CTGGAAGGCTAGAAGATAATTCACAATACTAACAAATGTACCTATAGTGCCCAGGCTGAGTAGAATGCAGACCAGAATCTTCTGCTTATTGCTTATTCGGCGATTCCACATTATTATAACTGGGTATACTAGAAGTAGAATGTCCGTTAAAGCGGGAACCACTATGAGAAATGATCTTAATTAGAACTTGAAGCTTTCCAGCAATAGATCCAGCAATAGAGAACTTAAATGGCCAATGGCCAAGGCTCATATGTAAATGTAACATCGCTATAACTTACAGGCTGACACGGATGCTAATGCGACGATATAATCACGGCAACGCGACACATTCATAGTCTGTACGTTATTGCATAGCGTGGATGGTAATAAAATCAGCACCGAGACCACAAGGGCTGTGACTAGCTAGATCAACTTTAGTTCCTGAGCCTGACCTTCGCAAAAGACCGACGTCGATTCTGACGCAACGCAGATGCATATATTAAGCCCACATTAATCACAGCAGCACAGATAAGAATCCATCTCCCAATAACATAAACCGGACCTTGCAGGTGGAGAATGTACAAGGTCATAGAGAGCTTGACGAGCATAACGCCGAATATCTGAAGAACCTGGCCACTTGCGACCATCCAATAAATCGCAGGACTGATGGCGCTTTTATACATGGTGTATAGATAAATTAATGTACTGGCGCACCCAAGAGCCTGTCTAGGTATGTTAGCTAAGGTGTTTCGAAATAGGATACTACTAGTAGGATATTAAATGCGAAAGGTTTGCTGATACCCATCCAGCAGTTGCTGAAGTAAGAATCCACTCGTTTCTCTTGCGATCGATGTAAAAGTAGATATGAAACCGTAAGACCATTATGGCTGTTGCGATTGTCATGCATGAGATTGATAAGCCTAGTATTACCTGTGTTGAAGGGGCGAGGACAGACACAATTAGGACGTTTGGGTCCTTAATGGGCTGGGGCAACTTTAGCCCTATTACGTCCTGTCAGGCACACAGGTGGCCACTACCTTCAAGTTGGAATGTAGTATGTAATAGAGAGAGAGGTGAACATATTACTATAAGCTTGATATTATCCAGATGAGAAGATGCGTCCGCATTGCTCCGACTCGGAGTCTTACAGTCCAGAGTAGCTTTATATACGTCACGGTCACATACATAGTAACTATCATCCAGTACCACAACGCTGGTTCTAAGGTTTCCAAAAACTGCAGCATCATATTCATGATGTTTTATTTTAAGTTCTGTCACCAGGGTCCATGGGGTCTCTACGAAAGCAAAGTGGGCTTACGTGTAACTGGAATAGAAAGCATCGGGTTGGACATGACTTGCTGTTGTGCTACTTGTCAGCCTCCAGGCATCTCCCGAATCTTCGTGAGACGAGTTTCCTGGACATCGATGTTATTGAACTCGAAATAGTTTGATAAAGTAGTTGAGTCCCCAAGACCTTCCAGGAAGACCAGACCAGTGTTGATTGTGGCCTCATCAATATCGCCTTAGCTGCATCTCTTCGCATGCATCACCACTTCATGGCTCTCGAAGCAGCCCACTACATGCAGTAAATATTACGATAACAAGAATTCGAAATCTCCAGCGAAATCAGCGTTGGTAGCAAGTATTTCGAAGAAACACTCCCACCCAGTCGCAGTGCATTGCTGGATAAGTAACTTGAAGTCTATGAAACATCACCGGAATCGAGCCGGCCACTGCAATAAGTACAAAAAGCAGTCTAGACAGAACCATAACGAAAGAAAGATAAATAGAAAAGAAAGAACTCGCTAGCGTCATTTTCATCACTCGGCTTCATCCACCCGCGTGGGAAGCGTCGAGTCAGTCAACAGCTTATTTCTTCAGAAGACCCAGCAGGTTGATGCTCTTGGGGCGCTCGATGGGCATGCCCAGGGCGCGGTCCCAGACGAGTTGGACCAGGGGTCCGAGAGTGCGGCTCACACCGAATGCGACGGTGTAGTACAGGGGTTGCTGGAAGCCGTAGTGGTGGAAGAGGACGCCTGATACGGCGTCGACGTTGGGGTGGGGGTTCTTGGTCTGTGACGTGGTGAGTTAGTTATAAATACATTCTTGCAGGAAGATCTATCCCAACAGCGTGGAGTATTAACGTACCTTTCCGTGCTCGGTAAGCACGCCAGGAGCAACCTCGGAGTTCTTCTTGACGAGCTGGAAGACGGGGTTGGCGAGAACGTCGGGGCGGGTAGCAGCGAAATCCATCAGGGCCTCGAAACGAGGATCGGGCTTGCGCAGGACACCGTGACCGTATCCGGGCACAACACGGCCGGACTTGAGAGTATCCCAGAGATAATTGCGGACGTCGCTCTCAGTGAACTTGGTACCGATTTGGTCCTTCATGGCCAGAATCCAGCGGAGGACTTCCTGCGCAGCCAGACCGTGAAGAGGACCCGCCAGGCCGAGCAGACCGGCAGAGTAACTCAGGAAGGGGTCGCTGAGGGCGCTGCCGACGAGGTGGGTTGCGTGGGCGGAGACATTGCCTCCTTCGTGATCGCCGTGCAGGGCGAGGTATAGACGGAGCAGATCGTGGAAATCCTCATTCTTCTCTCCGCCCTTACCGAGGAGCTCGGCGAAGTTGTATGCCCAATCCTGGGACAGGTCGAGCTTCTGATTACCGACGAGGTCGATCTCGTTCGGGCGGAAGACCAGCGCCGCGACGCGGGGGATCTTAGCCAGCAGCGAGATACAGTCGTCGAAGGTAGGTTCCCAGTACTCGGCCTTGTTGAGGCCCTTCTCATATGCCTGAGCGAACTTGGACTCTGTGTTCAGGGCCGCGACGGCAATGGAAAGCTGTGTCATGGGGTGCATGGTCTTGGGGAAAGACTTGATCAGGTCGAGGATGTGGGTAGGCAGTTCGGACTTTTCGGCGAGTTCGCGGGAAAAGGCGCGGACTTGGGAGGTGGAGGGGACTTGGCCAGTCAGGAGGAGCCAGAACATGGCTTCGGGGAGCATCTCGGTTCCTGATGTGCCCTTGGGTAGCTCATTCTGGCAGTCCTTGATTGTTTTGCCGTGGAAGCGGATTCCCTCGTCGGCGTCGAGCACGGAGCCTTCCCAGAGCATGGCCTTGAGGCCACGCATGCCACCGATGACATTGCCGACCTTGACTTCGCCGATGGTCTCGTCGCTTTGGGCTTTGACCTTTTGGAGGAGCTCCCGCTTGGCGGGGATGACTTCCTTCAAGGTGGTTTTGAGGTCGGGCTCGGCGGTCGCATAGGTGCGGGCCGACAGGAAGGGGCGGGATGCCTGGAGATTTGTTAGCTGTAGCCCATTGGGATTGGGATTGAGGGTGTTCTGCTGGCACATACCTGGATCAGGCGAGTGGCATGGCGGGTGGTCCTGAAGCTCAGAGCCATTGTTGAGGTGGAAGGGATGGGAGGAGTCTGGGGAAGGTGTGGATAGTGCGGGGGCGGGAACAATTGCGGGGGGGAGGAGTGGTGAAGGGGAGGATGGAAGTGGTGATAAGAAGGAGAGGAGGAGGAGGAGGAGGAGGAAGAAGGTGAAGTTGAAAATCACCACAGATAAAAGGCAGTCAAACTAAAAGCCACCAAAAAAAAGGATAACCTGTGATCGACCGGTACTTGCATGCATTCACTCGGCTGGACGCGGGGCTCCCACGCCCAGCGTCTTTCACTCTCAACCGAGGCCCGGGGCGGCTGCATGCGGTCACCGACATCGGATTGTACAGTACTAAGATTGTTTGAACACTGACACTGGCAGTGATCATGGCATTATCTTCTCACATTCTAGATATAATCTAAATAATAGCCAATTATCCCCATCATAGGTGTTGTGAAAGTGTTGTTCTCTCTCCGCGGAGTACTAGCACTGCTGCGGATAACCGCTACCCGCCTATAACCTCGGGGCCGAGGGGGAGCGGAACATCTGTAGAAGTTGTAAGCAGCGAAGTCGGATGATAATAAAGAGAATCTCGGTGAGGGATGTAAAGTTCTAGGGTAGAATTAAAGTACTACTAGTAGTAGTACCGCTAGGGCTGTAGGTCGGCCATCCGACCGAGTCCGCGGGTGGAACACACGCTTGTGATACTGTTTAACAGCCTGGGATGACGTACCTGCACGAGTAGCAGCAACGCTGAGGTTAGCATACTTAGTACTACTAATAGCTCCAGTGCAATCATCACACTGGCACTGGCACTGGTAGTACCAGGACAGAGGCGGTTGGAAGCATCTCGTCCAGATAGTCATGCCATCCCCAAGGTAGATCTTAGGAACTGGTATCATCTATGGATGATATATCTCTGGCTGGCAACATCAGCATGTGCAGATAGGGAGTCGAAGTAACATTAGCAAGGAAATGGGATTGAAAGATGCACATAAAGGAGGGACTTGACTGAAGTAAGAATCTGAATGTTCGGAGTGTGCTGTCGAGTAAACATCCCTTCACTCTGGGTCATCTCAGGCAGTCAGGCACTAAGGCTACAAGGCTGCAAGGCTGCAAGGCTGCAAGGCACCATCAGGTGATATTTATTCTGCCAGTTTACACCGGCATCCATCCCAGCTGAGTAATAATTTGCCCCCTCACACCGCCAAACACTGATAAGCCCAATCTGGTTAATCGGGAGGAACGTGATTGGCTGATTGGCTGGTCGCCCCCCAAAACAAAAAAAAAAAAATTGTAAGCACCGCTTGGGCTGCGGCTGGCCTGGACACTTGGAACACTGTTGCATCTCTCCTTTTTTCTCCTCCAACTCTCCTCTCTTTGTACAGTTTCCCTGTTTCTGGTGGTTGTCTGTGTGGCCTTGCGCTTTTGCAAAAATATCTGCAAATCGCATCTTGAGCTAGTCTTTTTCTTGCTCGCTTCTTTCTTTTCCCCTCGGGCCCCCGGTTTGCCCCGCCCCGCCACTATCATCGGCATCGCGGGTCTATCCCCCTTCTTCTCTCTCTTCTCTCCTAGATACCCAGATACCCCCCGCGAGTTTCTCGATTGATTCGAGTCGCGACTCACAGGAGACCATGCCACACACTGTCTCTCCTTCTGAGACCCCCGTCATGCCGACCGTTGTCGCCAAATCCCCCTCCGGGGTTCCCCCCCACCACCGAAGAGATTTCTTCTCTCCTGAACACAATCTTCACAGCCGAGTCTTCCCAAGTCTCCCTCGATGGCGCATATGCTGTTGCCAATCTCCTCCTTCAGAGTGTCGGTACTGCCGGTCTCCTCAACTACAATGTCGTCGCTGAGGCCCGCAAGGCCGCTGCCGATAAGAAGAACGGCGCCAAGCGCGAGAGTGCCATGTTGATCATCGGTGCCCTCTTTGAGCGCTTCCCTCGCGAGTTCCCTCTCAGTGAGGCCGTTTTCCTTCTCCAAGATCAGGCTCTTCTGAATGTCGTCTTGGATTCCTTGGCCGACAAGGGCGCCGTCGTCCGCGACGCCGCTCAATACGCCGTCGATGCCCTGTACGCCTGCCTCAGCCCCGAGGCCAAGGTCAACGCTTTGGTCCCAGCTCTGGAGAACTACCTGAGCAAGGGCAGCGGTAAATGGCAAGGATTCGTCGGTGGCTACTCTCTCCTCGAGAAGATGGCCGTCGGCGCCCAGATGGGCACTGGCTCCCTGGAGGAAGAGCGCGAGAAGGATGTCCTGCGCGAGGCTCTCGGCAAGACCCTGAAGGAGCTGATCCCCATCGTCGAGAACGGCATGCACGATCTGAAGAGCGAGGTGGCCAAGCAGTCGACCAAGTCGATGAATGCTCTCACCACTCTGCTCTCCAACGACGATGTCGCTCCCCGTATTCCCCTGCTCATCCAGACCATGGAGCAGCCATCGGCCAAGACTCTCCAGAAGGCCATTCACGCCCTTTCTCAGACCACCTTCGTCGCTATTGTCACCTCCCCCGTGCTCGCCCTCCTCACTCCTCTGCTCGAGCGATCCCTCAACGACCCCACCACTCCCCAAGAAACTCTCCGCCAGACCGTTGTTGTCGTCGAGAACTTGACCAAGCTGGTCCACGACCCCGCCGAGGCCCGTACTTTCCTGCCCAAGCTGCAGCCTGGTGTGAAGAATGTCGTGAACCGTGCCTCTCTCCCTGAGGTTCGTGAGCTGGCTACCCGTGCTCTCGATGTCATGGACAAGGCTATGGCCGATAAGGATGTTGCCTCCGGCTCCGTCACCAAGACTACCCCCGAGGAGGTCCTCGCTGTCCTGAACCCCAAGATCCAGGAGCAAGGAGGTTTCATCGGCTTCGGCGATGCCAAGTTCCACGACCTCACCAAGAACTACGTCGCTAGCATGGTTCGTGAGGCTATCAACGCCCGCATGCTTGACCGCATCCCCTCCAACATCACCCCCTATCTTCGCGGTCTGCTTGCCGAGGACAGCATCGAGGCTATCTCCACTGCCGTCCTAACTCACTTCACCGAGGAGGATGAGCGCAAGTTCGGCAAGCCTGTCCAGGCCGACCCCAACGAGATTGTCATCGTCAACGCCAACTTCTCCCTTGCCTACGGTGGTATGCTCCTGCTCTCGCACACCAACCTGCGTCTTGTCAAGGGTCACCGCTACGGTCTTTGCGGTCGCAACGGTGCCGGAAAGTCGACTCTGATGCGCAGCATCGCCAACGACAAGCTGGAGGGTTTCCCTCCCCCCGAGGAGGTCCGCACCTGCTTCGTCGAGCACAACCAGGGTGAGGACGCTGATCTCAGCATCCTGGAGTATGTTGCCAAGGACCCCGCCGTTGCTGGCGAGGGCAAGGAGCACATTAGCAGCGTCTTGACCGAGTTCGGCTTCACTGATGGCCCCGAGGGTCGCCAGTCCCAGCCTGTCGGCTCCCTCTCCGGTGGTTGGAAGATGAAGCTCGCTCTGGCCCGTGCCATGCTTCTCAAGGCCGATGTCCTTCTTCTTGACGAACCTACTAACCACTTGGATGTTGCCAACGTTAAGTGGCTGCAAGAGTACCTTAAGAGACACACCGACATCACCAGCTTGATCGTTTCTCACGACTCCGGCTTCCTCGACGAGGTCTGTACCGATATCTACCACTACGAGCAGAAGAAGCTGGTCAACTACCCCGGTAACCTTGCCGACTTCGTCAAGGTCAACCCCGAGGGCAAGAGCTACTACACTCTGTCTGCCTCCACCGTGCAGTTCAAGTTCCCCCCTCCCGGTATTCTGTCTGGTATTAAGTCCAACACCCGTGCCATTCTCCGCATGACCAACTGCTCGTACACCTACCCTGGAGCCCCCAAGCCTTCCCTCCAGGATGCCTCTCTCTCCTTGACCCTTTCGTCCCGTGTCGCCATCATCGGTGGTAACGGTGCCGGAAAGTCGACTTTCATCAAGATGTTGACTGGTGAGACCATTCCCCAGGGCGGCAAGGTCGAGAAGCACCCCAACCTGCGTATTGGTTACATCAAGCAGCACGCTCTGGAGCACGTTGAGATGCATCTCGAGAAGACCCCCAGCCAGTACATCATGTGGCGTTACGCCAACGGTGATGATCGCGAGGTGTTCCTGAAGCAGACCCGCATCTTGACCGAGGAGGACAAGAAGCAGCTGGAGACCCCCATTGACCTTGGTGATGGTCGTGGCCCCCGCCGCATCGATACCCTGATCGGTCGTCAAAAGTACAAGAAGACCTTCCAGTACGAGGTCAAGTGGGTCGGCCTGCTCCCCAAGTACAACACCATGATCTCCCGTGAGACCCTGATTGCCCGCGGCTTCACCAAGATGGTGCAAGAGTTCGACGATCACGAGGCTTCCCGTGAGGGTCTGGGTTACCGTGTTCTCGACCCCAAAACCATCTCCAAGCACTTCGAGGACGTTGGTCTGGATCCCGAGATTGCCAACCACAACGAGATCTCCGGTCTCTCCGGTGGTCAGAAGGTCAAGGTCGTCCTTGCTGGTGCCATGTGGAACAACCCCCACTTGCTGGTCCTTGACGAGCCTACTAACTTCTTGGATCGTGACTCGCTCGGCGGTCTCGCCGTCGCTATCCGTGACTTCAAGGGTGGTGTCGTGATGATTTCTCACAACGAAGAATTCGTCGGTGCCCTCTGCCCTGAGCAGCTGCACATTGCCGATGGTCGCGTCGTCAGCCGCACTAACACTGCCATCAGCCTCGACCGTTTCGAGGACAGCGCTGCCAACTCTCCCTCCGCCCCTGGTACCCCCGCCGGCGTTTCCGCCGCTGCCTCGGCCGCCACCAGCGCTGCTGCTTCGGCCGTCAACTCTGGCGCCGAGGATGGCGGAGAACTCAAGTTCCGCGCTAAGAAGAAGAAGAAGATGACCCGCGCTCAGCAGAAGGATCGCGAGGTTCGCCGTCGTCTCCGTCATATTGAATGGGTATGTTTCTCTCCCAACCCCGTTAAAGCCATTGCCTATGACCATATCGCTAACGTGCTCCTCCACAGCTCAACTCTCCCAAGGGTACCCCCAAGCCCGTCGACACTGACGATGAGGCCTAAATAAACGTGAATCGAATCCGAACCTGAACCTGAATATATTGAAGGAATGGAATGATGCCTAATGGATATCCTGCTGATGTTGTATTTCCTTTTGCATACTTTGTCATGCCTCTGGCTTGTTGCCCTTTTATTTTTGGGCCTTTTTTGAAATTTCGCATGGGAAGATCTTATAGACGGCGTTTTTTGGGTTTTCCTTCCCCCCTTTGCTTTCTTTTCTTGCCTCTTTGGTAGATATGCATCTCTCTATTTTTTTAGAACTTTATGATTGCCAGCCATGAAACAAAAAGTTTTTGTCTTTTCGATTTTTTCCTGGGCTCCTTCTTATTACTCGCTTCCAGTAGTTAGGTCATGGTACTGACTAGTAGAAACTTGAACAATTGAGTAGGCTCTTAGTAGGTACTGGCCTAACATGATCTGATGTAGTAGTAGTTGGTTGCTATTGTCAAAATGGGCATTTGAATGTATTTCAAGGTATTTTCCTAGTAGTTACTGGCAATTACTTCAAAGGCTTTTGAACCGGTCACCACTGATGCTGCCATACCCCTTGAAGTCTCAAATTCTTAACGAATAGATGCATGATTTCTTTACCCCAATGTTTTCTGCTCGAGTGGTTCCAACCAGGACGCAGGACCGTGATCAATTAAACCTGAGCAGCTTGAAAGGCCTCAATTGCTCCTGTCCCACAGTGACACCCTGCGTTCCCAACAAAATAGGGGTATGGATTATCATCAAAATGACCGTTCAGATACCTAGCCCATTCAGCCTCTGTGTGAGGGGGTGGGGTCACCGGGCGAATTGGGTCTTTATTGAACCCAAACGGATCAGCTTCGGAATTTAAATACTCATCAAAATCAAATGACTCCGTTAGCTGTTCCCATGTCACGAGGGGAACTTTTACCTCCGAATGAATTCCTCGTTCAGTGAGTAAATCCAGTATAGGCTGATATCCGATGAGCCATATAGCGTGAGCCATGTATAGATAGTAGGCACCATTGTCCACCAGGAGTCGAAATTCATCAACCTTTTTCAAATGCGTTGCTCGAATTAAAGGCATCTCTGAATTTATCGGGGTTAGACCATACTCGATGAGAAGCTCGATTAGAGCATAGCTCTGATCTCGTTCCAGAGCGGCGGAGACGGCATTTTGATACATCCCCAGATCTTCGTTGGTAATGAATGGGTTCGCGATGGCAACGAGAATATTTGGATCTGCGCCCTTTTCCAGTAGGATCTTGGCTGTGCTTATGGGGTCGGGGGCTGATTGTATCGCGGCGATCAGAGGTGTGTAGCTTCGCCATGGAATCGGGTACCAAGGGTTATCGTAGTTGTCAGAAACCAGATTCTCCTGAAGAATGGGAGGGACAATATTCAGCTCTGCTTCGCTTTTAGTTAGGAGAAACTTTAGACGATCATTTTCTCCTCTCTCTGCTGCGCATCTCAGCATCCAGTGTAAGTGTTGTTGTACAATAGATCTGTCAGACTCAGAACTATCCTCTGTGTAGATAGCCCGTTTTTGCACTTCTTGGAAGAGAAATTCTTCGGTGCCTCGGTGGCCTTGAACTACTGCATGGTCTGTAGGACGCATATCATTGTCATCAGACGATAGCAAGTCAGCCCCTTGATTAAGGAGTATCCGGCACAGCTCTAGATGACCCCCGCATGCTGCGAGGGATAGTGGATCCCGGCCCTTTGGATCTTTGTAGTTAACATCGATCCCAAGCTCGAGGAATTTAGCCAGAATCTCGATATGGCCCTTGGCAGCTGCAATAGAGATTGGGTGCTCCTTCGATGAGGGGTCTCCATTCTGCCGCCTTTTTGGTCGTTTGAATGGCAGGAAACTTGAAGATGAAGTTTTGTCCACTGGTGGGGGCTGAAAGTTCTGCCGTTGGTATGTTGAAGCCCAGAGAACATTGGCACCGGCGGTAAGGAGATATTCTAGGGTCTTGATGTACCCATGTGAAGCACACCAAAATAGCGCTGAGGCATTGTGATTGTGTACGTTTTCGTAGTACAGAGAGGGGTTTAGAGTACGGTGGAGATAAGGGTGAGATTGGATGAGCGCGTTTAGGTCGTGAGGTTGGAGATCGGATGTTATCAACAAAAGGATCTCGGGAGGTAATGAAAGAAGGGACATCGCGTGGACGGGTGCAAATTTGGGTTTAAATGCAAAGATAAAGCAGAGCGAAGTTGAGGTGCGATTGTCTGGGGCTCTTTTTTATTCCAAAGGTTGGATGGCCCCCAAATATAACGAAATACGGGGGATGTCATAAGTAACAAACGGTGTGTGCGCCTTGGGCCTCAAGGCTGACATGGACCAAATTTCGCCTGTAGATAGGCTCACTCTCTTCTCACTTCCCTCTTTGTATCACCGCCGCTTTCATCCTTTCCGTCGTTTTCATCCGCTCATCATCTTCTAGCAGAGAGTAACCTTGGGGCCTGAATCTACCTATCTCTTAGGACGCGGGGATTACAGTTCAAATTATGATTTCGGGAGGTCGGGACGGAGGTCATGTCGAAATTGCATCCTTCTTGCTGGCCTCAATAGCAAACAGGGAGAATAAAAGCATGAGTACTTTGTTCACGGCGATTGCCGCTCGATCTTCATTAAGGGTTGACTTACCGGACTCGGGCAGAGGGTTCAGATCTCTGCAGATACGCTGGAACTCGATAAAAATGCTACAATCCCAATTCTTGCAGCATGCCCTCACACTTACCTCGAGTAATATTAAGTAGAGAAGGAATTGGGAGATTAGTACTACCAGTTGTGACTTTGTATGGTCACGTTGTTTGAGTGATCATGCCGTGATCGACAAGGCTGCCTCGAGAAATGGTTGCGCATTGAGCGCGCCCAAAGCCTTGATTTTTGATAACAAGCCAATATTCGAGATTGAAAACAAAATTAATAGATGATTTATTGCTTTCACTTCATCCATAGCCAAAACTGGCATTGATTAGGATGTTTATCGCCTCAAGTTCGATCCACAAATGGTATCTTGGCGATGACGTAGGGATCATCGATGGGCATCGTCATGATCAAAACCTGGATATTGCAGGATGGAATGTGCCTAAGGGACCGTTGACACGCGTGTCAGGGGCGAGAATGGTCGGTCTTAATGACAGGCAGCCCCAATTAGAGCTAAATTTTGGACCACATATCCTGCCACGCAAAAATCCGGATACCTGCGCGATCCAGATCCAGACAGGCTTTGAGCCCCAAGAACGTTATGGGGTTGCACTATGTCTATCACAAGGCAATCGCTGCTGTCCTTCGTGCCCTCGTTCGACCTAGACTCCATCTTAACCCGAAGCCAAATGAGACAATTTTCATTCCATCTCGAGATGCCGGTCGCACCATCAAAGTCCATCTCTACAAACCTGCCACCGCGACAAACCCCACTCCAGTCCTAATAAACTTCTGTGGCAGTGGATCTGTTCTTCCGACTTATGGCAATGATGATGAATTCTGTCTCTATGTCGCAAATCAAACTAGATACTCCGTCCTCGACGTACAGTATCGTCTCGGGCCCGAGAATCCATTCCCGGCAGCATTCCACGACGCCGAAGATGTCGTGAATTGGGCCCGGTCACAACCTGACCGCTTCGATGCCTCAGAACTATCACTAAGCGGATTTAGTTCGGGCGGCAATATCGCCCTCGGCCTCTCTTCTTCATCTTCGCAATTCTGCCAGGAAGGCCAACCGAGCATTTTCCATACTGTCATCTCACTGTACGGCCCAACGAATATGGCTCTGCCTACGCCGGAAAAGCCGCAAGTGGACAAATCCAACTGGATTATGCGAAAAATATTCCCTGGATTCTCCCATCTCTGCCACAAATGTTCGATCCCGAACGGGGTAGACCCAAAAGACCCCCGTCTTTCACCCAAATTTGCCAATCCGAACAATTTCCCCAACAATGTATTGACCATCACAGCGGCTCAATGTTCATTTGCCTTGGAAGCAGAGGATCTCGCTCAGAGGCTCGTTAGCATAGATGGGAAGTATTCTGTATATAAGAGGATGGATGGCTGCGCTCATGGGTGGGATAAGGAAGCCATAAGGGGCACAGCCCAGTGCGCTGCCAAAGACGAGGCATACGCGTTAGTTGCCAGCATGTTACAAGGGAACCTGAAGAGGGATTTTCCCGCGGGCGATTTAAGTAAGAAGGATAACTAGTATTTGATACCCAGGATTGTCTATGATAGGAGTTTTTGAACTGTGAACTTTGCAACCTACAACATGGCGGGCCTCAATTAATCAACTTATTTTGGTTTCAGTTGCTGCATCTTCTTGTATGTTTGGAGGTATATTTCATCTTTCTTAATGTTTATTCAATTCATATTCAGTGCGTTATGTCGCATCAAGTAATATCTGCAGCCCTTCAAGTCTCATTGCCGAGGGTGGGCAATTGGTACGGAATTTAGCCACGTTCCAGACCCTGTTCAAACGCTTCAGCACCCATACCGCTTGGCCTCCTCGCTTTGACCGAATCAATAAGTTAATGTAGTCTTTTACCGCGGTCTTTTCCTTTTCAAGTATACTGATCGAACCAAGAATGGCTAGTGGCCATAAGAGATAGCTAGGCGCATATTCTTCTGGCTCCAACGAAACGATAATGTGCAGCCCATGCTGAAGAGACTCGGATATCTGGAGTGCCTTTTCTTCATTAGACAAATCAGGAGCAGTTTTCAGCAACAATATTTGAAGGGCATTGAAGTAGAGTTTTAGCGACACGTCATCCGTATGATCAACTTGGTCCCACTGAAGTAGTCTAAGCCAAGTATGGCACCACAGCGTTATTTCTGCGTCGTCCAAAGATCTGGATATGCGAGCGAGCTTCGTAGCATCGGCAATTGACAGGAAGAAGTCATAGGATGTTTGAAGAATTGGCTGGACGGGGAGCGACTCGGATATGTCGCGTTTTTCCACATAAGAGAAATACCCGGGTATATCTAGTTGTCGTCGGATAGATGAAAGAGCATCGAGAGATGGTTCGAAGAGCATCATGATAGAAGCATGATAAATAAATGACTCGATGCATATGCGATCAAATACTGCCGGGGCTATAGAACGCTTCCCCAGGTGCGACTGTCGCTGAGTTAGAAGATATCCCGATGCCGTGGTATGAGGTGCCACATTTGGTGCCATGTCCAGTCGAGAAGCCTGTCCATAATTAGCCGATTGCTTTTCTTCGCAGGAGGAGGGGCGGCTTGACTATACTTCAAAGACAGAAAGCAGAATCACGGTTGCCAATAGTCGATCGTCATTCCCTGCTTTTTCAATTTGCATGAGAGACTTCTGCAGCGATATTATTGTGTATAGATAGCTTTTTACAGCACAATTGACGGACCAGCTCGGTCGCGACGCGATCTGCATACCGGCAACAGAGATCATCGCGCCCATCAAGGGTGGATACTCTGGAGCCAGACATAACATATAACTTTGGTCAATCGAGCTTTGGCGAACCAATCGTGGAAGGATGGTAGAAGTGAAATGCTGGTAAAGGTAATAGTGTTCTTCTGTATGAAATGGCGAAGGCATTATGGGAGATGAGGGTTGCCTCACGATGGACAGTCTGGATAGTGGCTTGGTAGACGCGTCGCACTCGGCATGACGGCGTTTCTTGCCTCTTCGACCATCTACAGGCCCCTTTCCAGATGGCCATTCGCAGTCAAGTCCATTGCCAGTGCAACCTGCACAACGTGGTCGGGTTTCGTCGCATTTCTTTCGGCGCTTTCTGCCTGCTCAGTCATACGCAGTGCCCTATTAGCCATCAAGGATCTCTCGAAATCACCACTACATCACTTACATCGCAGACAACCGGTCCTCGTCCTCAATTTCGCTGTGGATTGGAGCATGGCATTAGCGCGTTGCGCTGGCTGAAGAGCAAATGCGATATGCGGGGAATTTCACGGTATATTCGGCTATCCTTTTGACCCGCAGGCCCGCTTTGGGACTGACGTCGCGAATAACTTCCTTTTAGGGAATCTCATTTTTATCAATCATTTCTAAAAGGACACGATGGAATTTATATGCTTCAATAAATTGAGAAAAACTATCATCTCCCTTTCAACAGCGTAACACTATTCTCAATTCACCTGGTGTCTACCAGCCCACTTGGCAAGGGCTCATGATTCAAGGTCTAAGAGCTTCGAAAACTCCCCGCCCTCTCTGCCGATCAATTCACTTGGGCTTCCTTGTTCTATCACTCGACAATTATCTAGTACTATAATCTGATCAAAATCCACCAAGGTACGGATTCGATGCGCTATCATGATGACGGTACAGTCGCCGAACGATTCCCGTATGACCTGTTGGACTTTGGCATCTGTCTCTCGATCCAAGCTGTCGTATTTCATTAGCATGCCCTCCGGTTTCAAGCTCACAGTATTAGATTAGGAAGTGAGAAAGAAAAATCTGCATACCTGCTTGTCGGCTCATCTAGAATCAAAACCTTGCTTCTTTTAAGCAATGCCCTCGCGAGGCAAAACAGCTGCTTCTGTCCCTGAGATAATATACCGTGGTCCAGTTTTGTTTCCAGCACATCATCGACGGTGCCGTCGAGTTTTGTTGCAATAGAATCCCAAATGCCAACCCGCTGTAAAGCATCAAGTATTTCCGTACTCGTTGCGCGACCCCAAGGGTCAGCATTTTGTCGGATGGAACCCGGGAAAAAGAATGGATCCTGGCTGAGACAACTTATGCTCTGCCGAACTGTCGATCGGGACATGTTCGAAATGTCCTGTCCGTCGATGATGATCCGACCTGACACCAACTCATTGAGGCGAAGAAGGGACATTGCCAAACTACTCTTCCCACTAACGATAAATTCCAGTCAGCTTTTCCCGAATTTCTGAAGTCTTTTGATTCGAGTTATATTTACCTTCCAGTTCTGCCACAGACTCCGACCTTGGACCCTGCCTTCAGCTGAAGCGAAATGTCACTTATCACGGGCTTGATGTCTTCAGTGGTACCGTACGAGATGCTGACATCCTCAAACTCGATTTCTCCACGATTTGGCCACTCTGGGCTTGGTTGAGTCAAATGCCGTACATCATTTTCCTCGCAAGGGGTCTTCTCCGAAAAGTCTTTGATGCGTGAAATGGCCCCCAGAGAAGTTTCAAGTAATGTCCAACTCTGGATAAGCGATGACAAGACCTGTCCAAGATCTATCATCATAACAAGAGCAATTCCGAGGAGGCCTGGATTCACTTTACTGCGGAGAGCAAATCCCATTCCCACAAGAAGAACTGTCAATGCCGCCACAACCAGGTTTAAAACCAGGCTTAGCCATCGCTGAATACACAGCAGGAGATAATACGGTCTTTGTGCTGTATCAAGCATTGAGACCATCCTAGACACAGATATATCCACCCACGAGAAAGATCGGATTGTGACCACTCCGGCGAGTGATTCAATGAAGTGGGTGTATAAAGGGCTTTTTAGTTCGATTCTATAAATCATTTAGAATAGGTTTCAACTGGAGAGTACAGGTCAGGAAACTTACTCCAGTAATCTCAATTGGCGAGACGTTCTCAAGTAGAACCGCTGGATCAAAAAGAGTAAACCCAGGAGGAATGGAAGAACAGCTGCTAAATACGGCAAGGACGCTATTGCAATAGCACCCTGGGCAAGGGCCGCGAAAAATTCTGCAGGCATGATTAGTCTCTAGTCTTTTGCTCAAGCCTCATCAAGTCGTATGCTTACGAAAACCGGCATTTATGAGACCCCGAGGGAGAATCATGTCGACAAGTCTCATATCTTGACTAAAGCGGGTAACTAAAGACCCAGTCTCAACACTCGACAAGTATGACAAGGATGCGCTAAGCAAATTAGCACGCAGAAATAAAGCTTGGTAGACTGGCTCACCTCATGCAAGCGGAGAGAACTTTTGAATGGAGGTTTCTAGAAGCGACGGGTACAATCACAACCCAAGTCCAGCTTGAGAACAAATAAAGTTAGCGAATCTGTACTAACCTAGTATTTTCAAGATGAGTTAATTCAAAACTTACTAAACAGCAAGGGTGAGTGTTGCTGCTTCAATAAATGAGAAGCAAGTGTAAAGTCCAAGCCAGTATCCCAAGTCTGGATTGGGACCTTGCGAGTTGCTGGAGGACCAAAGCTCAATCCATATATCTGAATCAATGGTAAGATTCATAGTCTTCTCACGCGCTTAATAATTTAGACGAAAACTCACATCGGAATCCACCCATTCCAGAGTCGATTATCAAGAAAAGCAACAAGAACAAAATTCTTTGCCATCCGAGAGCTGAAAAGTAATACTTATAGATCGATAGATCGGCTCCTCCTTGAGGTTTATCGCCGCGAGAAGAGTCACTCAAAGACTCCAGTTCTGGCTCTTGAGTCTCCTGTTGATTCTCGTGATCATCAATTAAATCAAGCCTTGGGTTGCTCTCTTTTGTTTCCGTCTTATTTAGCTCAGGAGCAGCTACGGTGTAGCTTCGAAGGCATTCTGGGCTGCCCTGTTCTAGCACTTGGCCATTATCTCCTAGAATAATTATAAAATCGGCAAATTTTGCGTACTCAACTAGAGAGTTGAAATTGTAAGCAGACACTGGAAATAGCTGAATATTTCAGTCGGAAGTGGAGTCAACATACCAGAGTGTGTCGCCATGAATGCCACGCCACCCAGTCGACGCAGTAATCCTTTCGGGCCAAATACTTTGTCAAATACTAATTTCGAAGTTGAATTATCCAAACCACTGAATATATCATCAAAACAAGAGATTCTCTTTCGGGAATATAGAGCTCGCGCAATTGTCTTTTGTGGAATCTCCTGTTAGCTCATCGAAGCTTCTCAAAAATATCGAAGAACCTGAGAATGGTTTAGGTGCCACTTACAATTCTCTGCTTCTGTCCACCGCTGAGCTTATTCCCCTGGCTGCCGACTGGTGTCTGGTCGCCCTCGGGCATTTTCATGAAATCAGTGTCTAGAGAACATGCACTTATAACGGTGCGATACCACTCATGATCAAGCTCAAACTTTGAATTCCCGACAATATTCTCCTTGATTGACGCATTGATAAGCCATGGTGTCTGGTCACAGAAGGCTATATCGGGGTATTCAATGAAGTAGTCGCCTTCCATCACCGGTGTCTCACCGGCAAGTCTTTTTAGAAGGGTGGACTTTCCACTGCCGACTGACCCAATAACCAAAACCAATGTACCTGTTTGGCAGGAATCTATTTTCAGGTTGATGCCAGTTTCCTCCGCTGAAGAGGCCTGCCAGGCAAATCGAACATTTTTCAAGGACATCACGGTATGCTTCGTCTCTGGTGGAGGCGGCAATGAACTCAACGCAATGTCTGATGTAGAGCTAGCGCACATCGAAGATTCGAGCGGTAATGATTGATATGCCCTTTTATCTGTACAATAAATGTCATTAGTCTATCTCGCAAATTTTGAAGCAGAAAAGGCTTTATCAAGGACAGAAAATATAGGAGAATGGGGTAGCTACCAAGACGCTTTGAATGCCTCAGGAACCCTTGTATCCTATCGAGACAACCCATTGACGCAAATGTGTCAGGTATAGCTAAAAGTAAGCTACTGAGTGGGAATATCATTAGGTTAATCAGTGAAAGCGATGTAACGGCTTGCGCGACGAAGAGTCCATCAGACCCACGGATCTTTGCCACTATAGCGTAGGCAGCAAATGTTGCAAGTTGCCCAAAGACATTTGGCAGGTTGACTGTAGAACACTTATCAGTACATTCATTCCTCTGTGGTGTCGCTTTCTGACAGCCGGGGATTGGGCATACCTGTACAAACCCGAACGGTCTGGATTCGGCGAAACTTCTTGGATATTTGAAGTTCATCTTGACGCGAAGAATCAATCATTTTTTGCATAATCTCGGTCAAACCAAGAATTTTCACATTTCGAATAGAACCGAGAATCGCAGACGTGAAATTTATGCGCTTTTCAGTGGCCTCAAGCCACTTCTTCTGTCGATAGGACACTGAATTCCCCGTGCCAAAAGAAAAGGCAACAAATGCTATCACGGAAATTATTAGCTTTTGCTCAGGAATATTTGTCCCGGTCAGAATGGCATCATTACTTATCACGATCACGATTGGCGCAATACAGACAGCTCCCACCTGGGTTTTCAGTAACCATGTTGCCAGTCCCAGTTGAAGGACATTTGCCCATGTTTCGCAAACTGTGGAGTTGAAATATTCGGCCAGCATTTCTATGTCCGACCCCATGAGAGACATGGCACTAGACTCGTCGGTGCTTCCCAGTGGAAGATCCATCATGTGTTGGTACACAAGAGCCATAAGACCTCCGCGAATCATTGTCGTGGCTCGAAATCCCAAGTGCTCGTATAATGCTCTTGTCACCTGTAGATTTTATCAGACTCTCGCATGTCAACTCAAGTTATTTTAAGGTCACATACAGCAATCCCAATGAAAACAATCGCAGTAGCTCCAATCAGCCCGTATCCCATGTCGAGTGAGAAAGAGTCCGTTTCTTGTAAGACATCGACGACTCTGCCCACAATGAATGGCTGCGCAACGCTAAAGCCAATGACAGCAAGTCGGGGCACGGCAATTCCTATGATCTCCCAGCGCAGACACTTGACTATGGCGAGCATCAAAGCATTTTTGCGATTCTGGTTGCAGTTTTCCCAAGCTGCTTCGAAACTCTTGGATAAATCTTGTGAGGACAATTTTTCATGAATATGTGGCAGTTCGTTCCCACTCAATAGAGCATTGTATCCTTGACGGAGAAGACCATTTAGCCAAACGAAAAAACCTCGATTGAATGGACCACCAATGCTTTCATCTGATAGTTTCTCTGTCTTCTGTAGAAGCCAGCGCTTCTTCTCCACATTCTGCAGAGTGAGCAGAATTAATCTCATGGCGAGAGAGGCGGAGAGGCACGCCGGGTATAATGAGTTGTCATGTAAGAGCCATGCGGTGCGCGTTCTCGCTATCTCTAAAAGTAAAGTCACGGACAAGTAGGCTGAGGTTAAAGATGAAGGACGAATGGAGCGGAAGTACTCCAAGTCGATAAGCGTTACAGCAGCAAGTGCTGCTACAAATTCGAGGGCTGTGCCTGCAAGTAAGGCATGCCCTCCTATGTGTTGTGTTTTAACCACCACAAGAAGAACTATCTGAAGGGATACAAACAGTGCTGAGACCAACTGCAAACGAGCCCCTTTTAGTCATTTATTTGGCTTTGAATGGAATACATTTCAGTGATCAAGCTCACTTACCAATGTCGCCATACGGAGAGAGGATGATTTCACTTTGGGTGATTGTTTAGACAGCTGAAAGAATCGAAGAGGAGCCAGTAAAAGGAAACAAGCACTAGGGGTGACAGCTAGAATAGTAGACTCAAAGAGTATCGTGAAGTCAAACCCTCCGCGACAACTTTCGGTCGCAACGGCAGGGCCAAACCATCCATCGTCGCATTGATTTGTCGCCATAGGGTCGTCCATGTTGCCACCACCGATGGAATACGCCTATAAAGTTCTCAAATCAATTTGTTGAATTTATTACTTTTTCGATATTGCAAAACAAATCGGTTGAAAACTTATGGGAGAACAAAAGAGAGCCCGGGTCATGTTATAATGTCGCCTAGTCCAATGTCGAAGGGGAATAGCTTGGTCTTAAGGTTACATCGTGTATGATTTGTTCATTCTGTTCAATGCTTGCTCTTAACTCCGGGTCGCCCGTATCTTGGCCTATTGAAGTCGGGTTCCGACGGTTTAGTTTGACCAATAATATGCCAGTCTTTAAGCCCCCCGACAGGGATCTGTTGCCCAACCCGCGAGTCAGAAAGCTGTGGCTCGTTCTTGCTATTTTCTCACCCATGGTATTAAGAAGCAACTTATAACGTAGTTCTATTCCAGGGGTTTGAGAGGAAGGCAACCTTGGAACGGCATCTTGGTACGTTCGGTTCTCTGGGTACCAGACATGTTTATCTCGACCACGCTACCTAATGTCTAGGTTGTTGGGTTTGGATGAGCAGGAAATCAAATAACCTAATCCCACATACTAGAAATATGTCTCGGCCGGGGCGGATGCTTTCCTATGTGTACTTTTTGGCGATCTCGAGCTTATTTTGAAGATTTTTTTCATATAAGCAGAATATTCAGCCGAACTTCATCAAGCTCGCGTAGCTCAGTTGGTAGAGCGCGGCACTAGTAATGCCGAGGTCTTCAGTTCAAATCTGGACGTGAGCATACCATTTTGCATCTCGATGAGATGTCTATTTTTTGGCTGCATGACTGATATAAACAACCATGAATTGGAGCGTTTTTTGGGTCAATTGACCGTACATGGAATTGCATTTAGATTGCATCTATCTCTGTCCAAAGTGGCAGCAGCCACCTCTTTACAGGTCCAAGTGGGCTATTATGATCGAATAATATCCAAGCTACCCTACTCGAACATCCGTTACTATGTTTATTTAGGGTTCCGGCTCCTAGTTTTCGAGGTTCGTGGCTCCGCGCATGGTCTTATAGCTTTTCATTAAACAGTTTGACTCTTACTCAATCGCCCCCGGTCACTTATATGATGGCCGAGCACCCTCACGACCAATAACTGTTTTTGACGGTCGGACATCCGCCACGATATCAAGGGAGACAAAACACACACACAAGGTGTGGTGAATCTGCAGTCAGAGCAAGGATAAGTGCAGTTATCCCTGGTATTTCTCAAGTAACAAGGCCTGTGACAACACTTGGAGCGCACGAATTCAACTGGATGCACGGGTTGTGGTTGCGGGCGGGAAAATATCAACTATGGCACAATGCCCTCGGCACATGGCAAAATACAGGCAAAATACAGTTGAACCCATTGTTGTCGAGAGAGAAAGATGTACCACCACGCTCGGACTTACTCCCTTTATGGTCTACCGAACGTGATTCAATAGGAGAAGCGAAAAAAAAAGCCTTGCATTCCTGAATGGGAGGAATGCAAAAAGACAATGCTCACGTCCAGATTTGAACTGAAGACCTCGGCATTACTAGTGCCGCGCTCTACCAACTGAGCTACGCGAGCTTGTTGATATTTTGCCCGCTATGTATGGTTATATGAGAAAAAAAGTCAGGTCAGCGATCACTTGTGACCATCTCCTTGCCGCGTGCATACATTCATCCCCTCAACTTCAAGGTTGTCCCCTAACTAACCCACTAGAACGATAACATAGTATCCCATAATCAATTGATACAGTGTTAAAAGCAGAAAGATTAACCTTGAAAGTTATATCGTACCTAGGTACTAATCCTTCAAGTTTGCACCGGCAAAAAAGTAAGGTAGATTTTCACCTGGGCAGGTAGTAGATGCTGTAGATATATATCTCATACCTAGGTACCAACTACGTTTTGAACTCTTCACAATATCCACAACTGCTGTTCAAGTTCAACTTGAAATTTTCAAGCCTGGAGTTCAAAGTTGTTTTTCAACTCAAAGGAAAGACTTTCGCGAGTCGCACGCAAGTCTATCGCGAAGAAATTACTTGTCATGCGCCATGATCCTACTACAAGACTATCACTCTCTCTACGAAAAACGCGGCAAAAGCGAACACCGCTAGCACCCGCCCAGCTGGGCAGCTTTTCGGAACCCCTGACTAGTATCCCGTAAATGAGCGGGACGCAATCGGAATTCACATCGTCGATCCTAGCTCCCACGTGCATGTGGGAACTACTAAACCTTCACCGCATGTTACACAGGCCGAGGGGTAGACAGGGGCTCTCAAAAGGCCCAAAATACATTCAAGCTTCCAACACAGTGCGCAGGAAGTCAAGATATACGAATTGATCGGTCCCGCGGGCGAATTGAGTCAATTGACCTTGTGCACAATGGCAACCACAACGCGCCTAGAAAAATCATATTCCTCAATCGAGACAGCAAAGGGTGCGCAAGACAATCCGCTCAATACTTCCGATGGGATCCAGAACAATCGAGTACTTCTATCATACGAGGAGATACCGGAGTGGTACAAAGATAATGAATTCATTCATGGTGGTTACCGTCCAGTATCATTTTCTACTCCCGCCTGCTTCGCTAGTTGGTTGTATCTACACAACGAGACCGTGAACATCTACTCCCATTTGATACCGAGTATGTTCTTCGCTACTGCCGAACTCGCAATGTACATTTATATTCGGTCTCAGTACCCGGAAGCGACCGCTGAAGATCACCTCGTTTTCGCATTCTTTCTGTTGACAGCTGTCATCTGCCTGGCATTTTCGGCAATTCTTCATACACTTTCAAGTCACTCGAGAGGTGTCTGCGAATATTGGTTACACCTGGATTTTATTGGGATAATTATCTTGACTCTTGGAGATTTTGTTTCTGGAATAGATATGATATTTTACTGTGAGCCAATGTTGAAACGAAGCTATTGGATAATGGTAGGAGACCCAAGCATAATGCAGCGACCATGGAATATATTAAAACATGCTGATATTGTTTCTAGACTACTACGCTCAGTCTTTCTGCTGTCTTCATACTACTCAGCCCGAAATTTCAAGGACCACAATGGCGGACCTTCCGTGTTGGTGCCTTTATCGCAACTGGTCTCTCAGGCCTTGTCCCCATCGCCCATGGTATCAGCATATTTGGCTTCCATCAAATGACCAAAAAATCCGGAATGCCATACTATCTTGTTGAAGGGTGGCTTCTGCTTCTAGGGGCCTTTTTTTATACGGTCGGTCATTGCTCATTAGCTTGATAACAACCTGCAAGGACAGTTTCTGATGACTAGCTTTAGACGCGCATACCCGAATGCTTAGCACCTGGTAAATTTGACCTCGTCGGATCATCTCATCAGATTTTCCATATTCTAGTGGTGATTGCTACCTTGGTGCATTTTGGGGGAATCATCTCTGCATTTGATTTCAACTACCACCATCTTGTCTGCAAAGAGTTTCCACACAGCTGAGCTTTACACTGCCTATGTGGCTTTCCATCACTAATGCAAGTACATACTACAGGGATTTTATAGTACGAAGGACAATGGGAATGTGTCATATGCAAAGTATGTAGAATGAAATTCATCTAGCATGATAAAGAAGTCACGCTTAATCGTCAAAAACGTAAGTCTATGTACGAATCTATGTATCTATACAAAGGTCTATGCTTATGGTCTATGCCATGTCGTTCAAGCATATTCCTGGGGCTTGGCAGTGTCGGCGCCAAGGTTCTCTTCGTGGACAGCCTGGTCCTTGATATCGAAACGGAACTGCTCCTCCTCCTCCTTAAGGATCTCCTTGAGCTTCTTGTTTGCCCTCCAAACAGGCTTCTGCTCGAAGAGACGGTCAACCTTCTCCAGGGGAATACCACTAGTCTCAGGAATGAGGAAGAAGGCGAAGAAGAAGGCAAGGAAGGACAGAGACGCGAAGAAGAAGTACACGCCGTATCCCATAGCCTCGAACATCTGCTCGGTGAAGCGAGAGACGAGGAAGTTGAACAGCCAGTTGCTGGCAGTTGTGCAGGCCTGAGCCAGGGAACGGAAGTTGGGATCGAAGAATTCCGAGTTGATGACCCAGGGGGTACCGTTCCAGGTCGGGGTGTAGACAGCAGTCCAAAGGTAGAAGAAGACGATAGCGGCAATACCGCCACCGTTGAGAGAGCTGGTGGGGTTGTCTTGCGGTGCAACCACGTAGATATACGCGCCAATGACCCACATGCAGATGGAGCCGGTGATACCACCGACAAGAAGAAGGTTCCGGCGACCGAATTGATCGACAAGGAACAGCAGCCAGATAAACGTCATAACGGCCTTGACCACACCAAAGATACCGGTCATCAGGTTGACAGTGTTAGACTCAACGCCAATGCTCTACAAAAATTATCAGTATATGTGCGCCCAAGAGAAACCAAGAGTGAGATAAACGTACCTTGAAGATGGTGGGCGAGTAGTAGTTAATGGCGTTGATACCAGAGCCGTTCTGCCAGAAGAAAAGCATACATCCCAAGAACAGTCGCCACATCAAGTTGGGGCGTGCACCGAGGGCCTTGAATGGCTTCCAGAAACCGAATCCAACGGTGCTGCGCTGAGTCTCGTGGGCCTGGTCAATAGCAGCCACTTCCTCGGTGATGTACATATCAGTAGCATCGCATTGACGAATCCAAGTAAGGTTGTCCATGGCCTCAGCCCGGCGATCATGAAGGAAAAGCCAACGGGGCGATTCCCGGATCCAGAGGGATCCGAGGAACAGCATACCGGACGGGACCAATTGAATAGCGAATGGAATGATCCATTGTTGGGTGGAAGGTGCAAGGTGTTGTTCCACGCCATACTGAAAATATCGTACCGGTCAGTCTCAGGTCCATTTTTTCCCGTTCAAAGGGGTAATAACGATCAGTTTTTTGACTTACGTTGATCCAGAAGCCAAGCATACCACCAATCTGCCAGCCCAGCTCATACAGACCGACCAGTCGGCCACGAATAGCAGGGGGAGCGAGCTCGGAGAGATAGATAGGGACAATGTTAGAGGCAACACCGGTACCCAGACCAGTCAGGACACGTCCAGCGTATAGAATGCCCAGTCCGCGGTTGTGATTGGCACCGCACTGCAGTCCAGATCCAAGAGCAAAAGTAGCCGAAGCGATCATCAAGCAGACCTTACGGCCAAGCCAGTGGCTCAAACCGTACGTGAGGAGGGCACCGAAGAAGGCACCAGCGATGAAGAGAGACACAATATTCTCACTAATCAAACTTTGCTCGGCTGAACTCTTTTTGTCGAGACCAAACTCTTCCTTGAAGGAGGTCAATGTGATTGTCGTACCGATGAAGGCACTTGTATAACCGATCATGTTGGAACCACATGATGCCACGAGGGCGAGTACGTAGACTCGCCAGTTGTAGACCGAAGGGGAGTTGGTCGGTCCTCGACCAGATGAAGGATGCCACCCATGGCTGCTAAGTGGAACACTTAGAAGGTTGAGGATGGATGGGGGGAAGGGTCGAATTTTTTTTTCGAGGTATAAGATGAAGGAAAGAAAAAGTTGAGACGGGATGGGGCCCCTAAGTAGTAAAGGCTCCCACTCTCGGTGGATTTGTGGGTGGGTGGAAATCCGTCCCTAACGAATGCACCCCCACAACTTACGTCGCGTAGAGAACCCCATCCTCTGGGGCAGTATGGGGTTTGAACATGAGGCTACGAAGGTTTGGAGAATTTCTAATCCCATGGGGTGGGAACTTTGGGCCGGGGTAGCGTTTTCCCCGGTTGAAACGTTCAGCCGGGGAGAACGAATGGCCACCAGTATATATCTAATACGGAAGCCTACTTCCTTGGCTGGAATTTTTCTTGAACAAGGAATTTTACCCCCTTGGGGACCTCCGCGACCACTCCAGGGGTAATTCAGTGCCTTGGTGGTAACGGAATGGATTTATGGCTACGATTATCCCCTTCTCCCTTATTTGAGGTCTGCGTTTACCCGTTGGATGTATGGGAGGGGCATTTTCCGGTGAACAACCTTCTTCGCCACATCTGCGTAATAATGCATAAGGGCATAGAGATTCTCCCCGGATCAAGCGGAATCAGAATTGTGGGGGCTGGGGGTACTGCGCAGGGACATGCACAGTCCAGTTGGGCTTGTTAATAGAATACCCCTTTCTCAACTGGTTGAATTGGCCTCGCGTGGGCTACGCGTAGTCCGTAAACTACTGGAGGTTGCCCACGGGGAGAACCCTTAACCATCGGTGGAGTCGGAAGGTTGCCGAGCTGCAAACTTCAATTAGGCAGGTCAACCGGTTCCGATCACGTGTATAAAGGCGAAGATAAACTCAAGCGTTTATGATTGGGCCAAAGCTCAGTGATGGAGGAGTTTATTTCATTCAGCATGAGTGCTCTTCCATGTCCCCCCGGGTTTTAAGAGAAAATTATCTAACCGTGGCGGTGTTTCGCCCTTAAATCGTCATCTCCGCTCCGATCGGCAACCCGCAAGGGAGATCTTAAAACCCAGTGGGAAGAATGGGGGGAAGGGGTTACCCCGTATACGGAGTACATGGAGAGTTCTGCAGAGGCTAAGCTGTAGCTAAGTTGTAGCCAAGCAAGAAGTAATGGGATTCGAATAGCCGGCCGATATCTTCTCTTTAGCCACCTTGGCCTTTTTGCATCTTGGCCCTTTTGGCTTTTTCGAGAATTAAAGCCGAGTAGGACCTTCGGGAAGATTCAGCGGGTGGACGCAATTGACACCAAGTGGAGAAACAAATGCCGAGTAAGGCTATTTACTGTCACCGGTGAAGAAAACCGAAACCTCATCTCATGTGAGCATTCTGATTTTTGCAACAGGGGGACCACTTAGGGCTAAAATCAGCGATGCCGAGCAATCTGGCCGTGAAGGATCAGAATTAGTCAAAATTAAGCTCATTTCGGGCCGCTTTCGGTGTGGCCATCGCCGCCGTGGCGGGCCGGACGGCATTGAAGGAGCGAAAGAGAGTTATACAAATAGTCAGCGCCGAATCACAGAGCGAGTTGGAAGGCAACAACAATTGACTTGTTTCATTATGCATGAATAATTATCTCTGTTCAAAGCATACCGGATTAGCGACCAAGCATGAGTGACAGAATGGCCACGGTCCTGGTCAACGGCTAGTCGCTGAGCAATGTCTCGGTGTTTGAAGTCGCACAAAATATTCGGCCCAGGACGAAATCTCCTGCGCTATTCCTGGAATCCATATTCCGTGGACATGAAGGGCGAGTGATGGCGCTTTTGCATATCGTAGAGGTATGTACCAATGGGCCTATCGCAAGGCAAGAACTAAGCATCCAGCGAAATCGGCGAAGATAAGAGGCTTTTATGAGCTTCAAAGCTAGGATTTTGGAAGAGAAAATGAATCATGAACGGTTGAAAGCCGGGTGACTGCTTTCGTTATGAAAGGCACAGATCTCATGTGCTTCTAGAGCAACTATCCAACACGCGGAGGGCAGCTATTATCTCTAAGAGCGGAGAAAAGCGGGCCTTGAAAGCTTGAGACACCAAACCGATCAAAAAAGGGCGTGGACATTAAAGTGATAAATATCATCATTGAATTTGACGGTCGATGCATGGCAACCCGAACGATATTGGTCCGCGAGCACTCATCGCGGCGACGTCCGCGCGGTCGGCATTTCCAAACGTGGTTGTGTTTTGCCTGAGATATTCCGGCATACTATTCTTGATCAATGAAGACTGATTGATTAGACTGAGCGTGTCCACGCTAAATCTATGTGAGAAATATGAACAAGCCATTATAGGGGTGGGAGATGGTAGCGTGATCCTCAAGACTCGGACGAGATTATAGAGTGTCGTTCATGAATCAGTGAATGAAATATTAAATGAGTTGATCCTGGCGGAATTGAGAGAATTTATTGCAAAATCTCTCGACGAGGAGACAAAAATCTAGAAGCTGGTCATGGGCTTGGAGCAGGTAGAAGGATATCATATCTCTGGTAGCCTTTGAGTGGGGAAGGTGGGTAGCCCGACCGGAGAAAATCAGCAAATTTGGACCCAGTGTGAGCTAAAGTATACAAAAATGATGCAAAATATCGACTTGATCCGGTTGAGTGGTGTTAGAATCGAATTGCACTTCGTTTGTTGACGTTGAAGGTCACGTTCCAGGCACACCACACATGTGATCACGTGAGTGGGGGCTCACCCGCCAAAGCAACTCCACCTTTCAACTTCCACTTGCACATTCACTCGTCAACAAGGCTGAGAAGCTACAACAGCTTATGTGACCTCCGAAACATTCGATCATGGTTTCCTCTATGCCGAGGTAGTCAAGATCCACTCTTCTTTCCCCCGATTTGTCCTTCGTGACATGAATATCTCATTTGCAGATCAGTAGATCAACATCGGTTCGGTATGTGGCCATAGCAGAACCACTACATCCATCTCTCTTCCGTCTGGCCTTGCAAATTAATAACTGTTATTAGCAAAAAGATCAATATGGAAAAGCAAGCGTCTCTCCCTGCTATCCAGCGTAGTATCTGGGCGGGACGAATACCGCTGGAAATCATCTTGGCTCCAGCGGAGAGTCGGACGTTTGATCAAACCAATCCATACCTTGTATGACCCGCATAGTCCTGTGAATTTATTTTGAAATTAATTTCTGACCCATTGAAGATCTCTTTCCCGAGAGTCTCATATCTCCCATCATTACTCCCGAGGCTTCGAGCTTTCTTCGCATCGTCTTTGATCAACCCAGACACCGAACACCATCAGGGGTGGTTTGCTTTCGAAGGCGTGCCTTTAAAATGGCACTATCCGATCGGCTTATTGTTTGATCTTTATGCGGGGGTTGACCCTGCTTCAAAGGCCACCCCTGGGGATGAACAGTCCCCAGAGGCTGAATCGCCCTTCCCTTGGCGGTTGACTGTTCATTTCAGTGACTGGCCTGTCGAAGAACTTGTCCGCCTCGACCCAGAAGGAATGGTGTTGAATGATGCATTTATCAACAGCGTTAAAGAAGCGGACTTCCTGCGCAACGGTACGGCCAAGGGTATCATGAGTCTCTCCAAGGAAGACTCCGCCGGCCTCTGGAAGGCAGTGGAGAATGGTAAGCAAGAGAAATCCAGTGCAAGAGCTTCATAAGCAATATGTTAACATCATAATAACGGCTAGTCGACCTTCCATCTTTTCAACGCATCTCAAATATCCTCATCCCCCCACCATCACAGCCGTTCCGCAATGTCCCAATCCGCATCTTCTTGCCACTTCCCCCAGATGAAGAGTCACCATCACTAAAAGTGGTCCAGTCACCACTCCCGCCTTCAATACCGAGCCCCAGCATTCAGTCTAGCCAATTCATTAACGCACGCTCAAGCCCGAGCACACAACCCCAAACCATTGGCGGTGTTTTACACACCCTTCTTCCCAATCTGTTTCCCAGTCGACGGACCCCAGTTCTTGCGAAGCCTGTTCTACATGGAGCCGTGCTTCCTATGTCTTCGCCCATTGAAGAGGTGGTCAGAACTGCTGCCTACGGGGACGGATGGGCTTATGTAGTTGTTCGAATGATGGGATGATGCTTCCAAGCGAACATAGACAGATTGGCAGAGCACAAGTTGACCAAGAATAATGACAGCATCGATAGGTTAGAAAGAAATCTACCAATACATTTGACTACTCGACTGACATACGAGAACAAAATGAAGACCTACTAAACTTTACGATGAGTTAAGAGGGAGTTTTCGCGAAAATCAATTGCATTCCTAATTCCTTCAATGGTATGATGAGTTGCCTCAAGTTATAATGCTAAGTTGTGATCAAAGTGGGTATCAGGGGTGTTGCCGACCAGCGGCGATGCATATCTTGTTCAACCGGTGAGTAACAAAAGAAATGTAGTATACCCCCAAAAATGCGCCATGGGAATGATGGAAAAAAGGAGATGGTCGTCTGATGGGGGTTATTAAGCGAGAGAATTGAACGCGAAAGAAAACATGACAATACGCGTACATGAAAAAAAGGGCAAAATAAAGAACAAGACAAATCAACCAGAAAAGGAAAAAGAAATCGTTGGAGAGTGTGAACTTAGATGACGTTGTATCCATTCACGAGCATCTTCTCACCATTGTCGCGAGCTCGCTTCTCAGCTTTCGCAAGCAAAAGCTTTCGAACCCACTCGCCACGCCCGTCGGCAGTGTTATCGACAAAATCGTGTCTTGGGAGAGCATTCTTGCTGAACAGAGCCTTCCTGTCACCGTCCTTGTGTGCAGGGATGAATGAAAATTGGAAAGCGTTGCCCTCAGGCCCATTTGGCATTCTGTCCTGCTTGCGCATGATGCTGCGCTTGAAAGCAGCTGTGACCTTGGAGCTTGATGCTAGCGATGAGCACGCAACAGCGTAGTCATCCACATCAATCACATCCAGGGCGCGTGAGATGCGGTGTGCATCTTGCTCACGCTCGTGCAGAGCCACTTTGGTGTCACGCAGAGTGACGTGGGCATCTTTCCACTCACTGCGGAGGAAGCGGTTCTTCTTGTGCTTGAGATAGCCGCTGTGGATGACGTCTGGGTCGGAAGCGAGCGAGGAGGCGTGAGAGACAGTGTGCGCGTGAGGTCGCTGACGAGGGCTTCGAATCAGATCCTCTGGGGATTCGATCGGGCTCAGGGGTCGATCCTCACGGACTCGGCGAAGAGCTGGGTTGTTTGGAGGGCGAGTGGAGGCACTGCGCATGATGGGGTCCCGGTAGGGAGGGAAAAGGGTTCCGTACTGCATGTCGGGGGGAACAGATTGAGAGGCATCGCGAGCGATGGGCCCGGTGGGAATTGCTGTGATGGGGACATCAACCTCTGTGAAGGGTGTGCCATGACGATAGACGTCAATGTTCCGAGCCTGAGTGAAAGGACCATATTGCTGGACTGCGGTCGGGGATCCGTACGCCTGAGAAGCCCGCGTCGGGGTCATGGAGCGGTTGGATGTCACAGCGGTGGTCATATCCTCTGTGTTGGGGCTGGTTGGAATGGTCAACTTGGGCAAGCTGCGCAGGTTGGCAGCCATGGCGTTAGGTTGAACATTCGGAGGGGTGAGTCCAGCGAAAGGCTCTTCTTGGGGAGGCAGATTGCATGTATCTAGCATTGGGACATTTGGGTGCTTGCCGACATGCTGATAAGTCAGGAAGTTGCGAATAGTTTCCTGAGGGTCCAGCTTTTGAATCCCATTGAGCGCTGCCTCTGAAAGTTGAGGCCCTGGAGCTGGACCGAATATATCTGAAGAGGCTACCACTGAAGGTTCGCTGTTGGATTTTGGACGCAGCAAGTCTCGTGCGGTTTCGGGATTACCAGGGCTTCCGATAATGATCATACCGTCATGAAGAACAGCATTGGGATGTTCGGCAAAGATCTGGTCAAGCTGGCGTTGGTATTTCCGGAACTTGGAGCATTTATCGCCCCGAGAGCAGTTATGAGGCTTGGGGAGGCGCTGCTCAATACCCACGATCGAGACAGACTCTCCAGGGGTAATGTTGCTCCCGAAGACATGGTTGGACAGAATTTCGCCGTTCGGGGAAACGGACATCGCATATGAGCGTCGCTGAGGCGATTCCTCATCTGAGGAGTCTCTGGGCGAAGAGTTTCTGGGAGATGAACGGCCAACAAGCGGTTGTCTCTGATCTGGTCTCCGATCCGTCGACTGGGTCATGAATGACTCCGGGGTAGGAGGCACGGGAGGCACTGTTGACATTGTGTTCTTCAGGTGGTCAATTGAAGCCATGATCTGGTGGCGCATGCCGAATGAGTGGATGCTCAGCTCTTTTAAGTCATCGGTCTGTATGCTAAGCAAGACAGTACCGGTGATATCGTTAAGCAGAAACTTCTCGATCACAGCATCGTTGTAGCCAGCAATGTGTAGCCAGTGTGCAACCTGGTTTGGCTTCCATGTCCTAATCTCTTCTTCACTCACGTGTGACACATCGGGATGTACAGTTGTCAAGGCTTTTGGAGTCTTTGGAGAGAAGGGGAAGCGTTTAGGTGTATCCACCGACCGAGAGAATTCGGACTGCAGTGGGGATCGCTCGAAGTAGAGATCTATCTCTGCAGTCGATGGCTCGTATAGGGACGAGCCGCGGGAATTTCTGAATAGGTGGGGTCCATCAGGGCCCTGTACCATCGAGTTATCGATGTGAATGTTCACCATGCCCTTCAAGTTAGGAGCATTTTCCGGGCTGGGGAGTTCTGGCGTCGAGATGGAGGTATTACTATCGTACGAAATCTAAGCTGTGTTAGTCTCGAGGCTCGATTGTTATTATTAGCAGAGGGAAGAGGGCAGTGTTTTGTACCGATTGTAGACTTTGTCGGAGCGATTCCTCATCAGAATCGCTTGTTTCAATATCGGTATCATCAAAATCGGTCGAGTTTGATAGTCGTCGTTGGACGAAGGTCTTGTCAGGGTAAAATCGCTCATGGTTCTTGACACTGAGCGACGTAGGCGCAGCCTTCCGTCGAACTCGGAGAGAATCCTGACATATATTATGAGAAAGCTGTTGGCTTTGATAGTATCTTTCTGTGGAGTACATACCATTATGATCAGATGATATTTAGATGCGTCCGTTAAAATTGGACAGTCTCAGAGCAGCCCGCATTCACCAAGCAGGTCTGTATAGGTATAACTAGGAAAGACGTGAGATGGTTCCCGTCAACAGTGAACCATCCAGATGTTCATGTATAATAATAATAACAATCAAAAACAATGAGAACCCCTGGGGTATCAAAGATCACGAGGGAGAAAGAAATATGAGAAGCTCAGCAAGAGCTGACCGAGATTATGGGGATTTGGAGTATATGTACGGTGTATCCACCAGCCAACGTGGGCGGGTACTTGAAACAGGATGCGTTGGGTGAGCGGCAAGGGAACTACAGGAAGCTGGCCAACCCAAAGGGTTCAACGGCACAAAATGTCCGTGACATGCAGTTTAGTGAAACACAGCGGTAGCGACCCCAAATTCCGGCAAACTACAACCGACGGAATTGGCTCAGAGGAGGGGTTAGGGGGATGGGGATGTGATGGCGAGTGATACGCCTGCAGTAGTTCCATTTGAGCGGCAGCCTGCCCGCATGGTCACTATCCAATAAAATAGGAGAGCTGCAAGGCCCCAGATTGGCGATCAGCCGTCCTCGAAGCGTATAGGCTCTTGTTGCAAAAGTTGGCTTTCACAAAAGCACCTGTTGAAGTTTGTCTGAGGGGGTATGCTTGGAGGTGACTGGTCTGCAGTTGGCGCCCACTGTGCATCAGCGTTGATCGGACAAGCCCCACTTAACTACTGAAGGAATGTGACGACCATACATCAACCGTTAATTAGCGCTCTGCGAATCCTCCCACAAACCTGCCTAAGTCTTCCTGACTGGGTTATTTAGGGAACGCTGAATCCCACACTATCGAGTCATATTCCTCGTTGTCCCCTCCACGCTGGGGGCTAGTGACGGATGGGAGCTCATGATCGTATTTCCTTCTCCCAACACTTGGCAAGCTGGCTGGTTGGCCGTTCTAATAAGCACGAGGCTGGGCCCGGCCCATCATCGCATGGGGCGCTTGACTTAGTTTGCCTTAGTTTGCCCACTTTCAAAGTGATGCAGTGATGTGAAATGTGATATAAAAACATACAGCCACAACGCACGGAAATTGCATGACACCTTACCCGACATCCTAGCTCTGGCTGCCCGGGAAACATCACCTCGTTTAAGGATAGCCGATGACTAGCAAATAGTAGAGAAAGGAACCTTGGAAAAGTGGAGTCGTGTCGAGTTGACGGTGTAACCCAGGAAACCCTGGGGGTACGATTGTCTTCCAGCTCTTTGGAGCTCTCACCGCTGCCCGACAACCTTGGAAGAGGGGTTTTCGTCAGAATATTTTAAGCGATCTCTTCGTAGCACTGCATGGAACATAAGTCATTGGAGTAAAAAGTAAGTCGGTTATCGATGATCGGCTTGGGCCCTCGTTGTTCTGAACGTACACGTGATTATTGGCTATCTTTGCCTTTCTGGCTATATTTAGAGAATCGACTAAACTAAACGCAGTCTATATACTTTCCTTGAAGCAATATGTAAAAGAAGCTGGTGGCGGCCTCGGTCAAGTGTATTCACCTCCCAGAAGATGAGCCGGTGTCGCTTAGCGATGATACATGCATCTACGCTAACTTCGATTCGCAATGAGTTGGCTCATTCTTTAAAAACTATAAATTTTTCGAATACATGATTTAATTGAACGAGACACAGTGGTGTTGCAAAACTTTGAAATCACTTGTTGACTGCCCTGATCTCTGCCTTCCTGAGGGGATCAGGTAGTTACTAGTCTGCCATTGGAGTGCGGTCGATAATGGTGGGCAATATGTGGTTTCAAACTTTGGAACTTTTGCAAAGCCACTTTACAATCTACTATATGTTTGCCACGTGTATCAAGAGTTTTTTATCCGCAATGTCGAAGAAGAACAATGAAGTTGTAGACACTCCGGGTGCTATCAATATTTACGGAGGAGAGCGCAGTAGATTAAAGGGGCCGTGTAACGTGAAAAAGGTGAAGTGCCACAGAGTTAGATCTCATTCAATTTGCAACCTGCACCGAAGTCCTCAATCAATGTTGGCATCCGGGGGAAGCCCCGTGCCTGATTTTGGCCAACCCGAGTTATGTGGCCCTCTCTCACCCGAATACAACATATGCATACATATACGTTGGTTCGAAATGAAATGTAGCTCATAAAATTATTCACGTGGACCAATGAGTTGAATTTTTGAACGGTGGTTAATCTAAAGAACTGCATGGGACTTATGTAGAAAACACCATGTGGCTTTTATCATGTCAACTCGGGTCGAAGAAACAAAACCGTTGTTGGGACCAAGAATGGCCCATCGAAGGAATCAACTTGCACAACCATGAAATATGTGAGTCAGTTCTGCGGGATGTATGTATTCCGAGTCACAAAAGCAGAGGGGGTTGGCAATTTGCCAGAGGGCCAATAGTAATGTGCGCAACTGGACGAACTCAGAACTAAGCTAATTTTCCAGTCCAGTCACAGTATAAATCAACAAAAGGGGGAAATTTCGGAAAAAAATTAATTCGCACCGCCATATTAAATACCTAGAGGATCTGAGATAAAAGGGTAGACCCGAAAGGAATGCTAATAGGCTCCGCGATACAACTCAAGATAATCCCGAGGTCACAGAATGCACAGAGTCCGCCACGTAAAACCGAGTTAATTAATTCTATTTTCAGAGATTTGCTCAATTTTATTAATAGTAAATGTCCCTTGAAACGGGATATCTACTAAACCCAGTGCGAAGACTGAACCTTTGTCGCCCAATGGTTGAAAACTCGGTGCACGACTTGATGAGGGGAAATTAGCCCAAATTTCCCAAGGCGGGCGGTTAAATGTTGCTAATTCAGGCAATTAGTGCTAGTCAAAGGCTGGGGAAAATGCACTAGGGCGATCTTATCACATCACACCCTTGTGCACGGATCATATCAGTGGGCCTGCAGGCTGCCTGCAGTGTAGCCAGTCACAGTCTCTAAACCCCTGCCCGCGTCGCGGGCAATCTCCTGCCTCCTTTTCTAAGCCAATAAGCATACCAGGAACAGAAGCTTGGCTCTCCCCACCTTTTCATCACACCATGATGCATGATCCTCCGCCCAGTCACCGCTCTGCGATGATCTTCCCCCCACCGTTCTAGAGGTGACTGATCTCGTCGGAAGATGGCCATTCGACGTTGCATGAAAGGCTACTGTAGCGGTCGGACTATGACTACCGTCATCAAATTTGCGGTATTTTTCCCAATTTAGCAACTTAAGGAAGATTGTGATAACTCGTGATGCTTGACGTGACGAGGATTAGTGCTAGTTTGACCCCCGCTCGCTGCAGTCGGGCGGGCAAGGCTGGGAGAATCTACCAACCGACCACAGGACTTTTTCTGAAATTGTGACACTGGGCGCATATTAGAAACGTTTCATCCACATTGTTATATGATACTAGGGAAAAAAACCCAACAGCACAAGCTGATGTTGGTTGGGGTCTGGCGAGGTTGACGGCGATGAGCACAAATGTGCGGGACTAGACTGATTCTCATCACTCAAGCAAGTCCAATCAAAAATTCGGTTGCATGGGTCATCTGCAGCCACCCCTGCCCATAAGCACAGAGACTAGTTCCAACTAGACTATCTCCATCCAGTCCCTCGAGAAACTCAAGATCGATGTGCATGGCGCTAATGCCGCCATGCGACTCCATGGCCTAAAAAAAGCAGGTTAATTGTCCCAAATTTAGTCTCCAGCCGAGTTGCTGCAACATTTACCCATCTTCTCTAGAGTATGATTCGTCCCTCGTTTTGTGTTGGTTTCCAGCCAAGGAGTATTCTGTGGTGATCCAACCCCACTGACACCAACAGCCCCCCAAATTATCCCGATCCTGCAGCTAGTCTGCCAGAGAACGGACAAGCAGGTGGATTCCAAAATAGAAACAGCCAGCCATGCTTCCACAAAGCTATCGTGAGTTTTAAAGCTTCTGAAATCCCTCCACTAATCTAAACTTCCACTTCACACTCAGTTGCACGGCCAACCATACCCTCCCTTTCGTTCTCTTCCTTTTAGAAGGCAAAGCCTGCTGGTTCAGACTTGCCATAATAAACCTTGCTTACTTGCGATTGGTTACTGTCATTTGATTCTTTCCTCACTTTACGATCGCCTGGGCTACCTCTAATCTCAAAATGCCGTCTGCAAAGAAAAGCTCTAACCCAGCTCCATTGAGCATCAAGACACACAATTTAGGTGTATCTTCCCAGTCTTCTACCGCGAGAATTACACATGCGAATACTGGAGAGAAGACCGGCAAGGCACACAAGCGGTCCCGATCTGGTATGTTCTTACAGCGAGCGCCTCGCATGCCCAGATAAAAATATTTACTAATGATTGATATCATATTAGGTTGCTTCACTTGTCGCCTGCGCCGGAAAAAGTGCGACGAGAACCATCCCGCTTGTGGTGCTTGCGTGAATCTCAACGTGCGATGCGAATACAAACGCCCAGTATGGTGGGGAATTCCAGATCAAAGAAGGCTCCAAAAAGAGAGGATCAAGACCAAGATAAAGAATCAAAAGGTCCTCGAACGAAACAACAGTCAATCGGGTAAGCTTTCAATAGAAACTCAGAGAGATATAAGAACTCTGTACTAACAAGTGCGCGCAAAGATTCCTTCCGCAACCGCAACAACTCCCTGGTGTCACCAACGTCCATATCGCCTGATTTTAATCGTCCAATTTTTGCCGAGCCTCAAGATATGTTCGCATCACATCTGCCTACACCAGGCCTAGGAACTGCTCCATATGGTCCATTCCCACCTTATGAAGTAGATGTGAAAACCGAACGACAAACATTCATTAATGATGTTCCAATGCGCCATGATTCCTCGACTTCAACATTCAGTGCCTTTGCTCCGCCGCAACTCAGTGCTCCGATGCCAACCTTCACTGGTGATGAGTGGCTCGGGGAGGAATATTTTGAGCAAGCTTCCAGCTACCAGGGACTGGCCCCAGGAATGATCGATCCAGGTGTCGACCAAACATCCATATGGCTCCAGAGTAGCATTCCCGTTAGCGATCACGACCGTCCCCTTCTGGACCATTTCATCCACAATGTTCTGCGCCAAATATTCCCTGTTTTGGAGGCCCATCAAAGGGGTCACTTACGGGCCCAAGCTATTCTCCGCGCCTTGGAGACAAACAAGTGCTATCTCCACTGCTGCTTGAGCGTCGCGGCCATTCATCTCAAGACAACCGAGGGCCTCGTCGGTGACCAGGTCGACACTGATATCATGCGCCACCGTTACGAGGCAATCTCGCAGCTTTGCCAAGCGCTCGGTGAAGATGTCAATCTCGAGGAAATTCTTGATGCTACTCTGGCCATGATCTTTTTCCATTGCTCTGTTGGTCCCTCCGATGACTACCTTCCTGACATCCCTTGGTTCAATCACTTTGAGGCCGCAGCAAACCTGGTCAACCGGCTTGACCTACCCCTCAAGTCAATGGAATGCAGCAACGGATATATGGCTCCTTCATTCAGCATGACCTTGACTTCCTGGATTGATATTCTGGGATCCACAATGACCGGAAAGACTCCACAGTTTGCCCACACCTATCGATCAAAGCATTTGGGGGGTACTTCCTCTGGCTTGCGTGAGTTGATGGGATGCGACGACCGTATCATGTATCTCATCTCCGAAATTGCCTGCCTCGACTCTCTGAAGACTGATGGTCGAGTTGATGACTTGGCCGTCTGTTCGCACGTACAGGCATTAGGACGTCAGTTAGAGTATACCGAGTCAGCCGACCCAACTCTGGAAAATCCCTACTCTCCATCAACTGGATCCATCCGCCCCGAGGCGCTCACAAAGACCATGTCTCATATCTTCCGCATTGCTGCTCGGATCTACCTCTGCAGTCTCGTGCCAGGCTTTGATCGGAACCAACCTACCAATGAGAACATGATCCAGGCTATCACAGATGCCCTTCAATACATCCCTGCGGGACCATACGGCTTTGATCGCTCCCTTGTCTGGCCGATTTTAATGGCAGGTGTCTATTCAACTCCAGCTAGCCAGTTCCGATCAGTTCTTGCCGATAGATCTGCTGCTCTCGGAGACCATGGTGACCTCGGAAGCTTCGGAAGAATGTACCGTCTTCTCCAAGAAGTCTGGCGACTGAGCGATGACCCTACCAACACCCAAGGTGTTGCGGATGATAGTTACAACTCGTCACTCACTAGCCCAATCTCCAAACTCGACCGGACCGAGTCCCCAACAGGCACTGGTGCTACCTTGGGTGGAAGGGAGATCAAGCGACAACAAGTCCAGTGGCGGGATGTTATGCGCCGCAACAACTGGCACTATCTTCTTATATAAACAGTGGGATAGTATACCACGACATTCTTTTTTCTTTCTCATGAGTACTTCTCATGCTGGCTTTTCATTACCTTGACGGTAAAAGATACCCCATTTCGCAACTTGATGTTATTGCATGACACAATCCCAACCACGGTATTTTCATATTTTCGCCATTCATATACTGCAGGACGGGCTGGTGTTTGGCGTTTCACCTCTGGGAGGTTTCATGTTTTTATAGCCTGTGGCTATAAAGGTCCTTGGGACTGTTCTGCGATCCATCCATTTAATGACCATTAAGGCTTCTATTGCCGATATGCCATAGATCAAAGCCTAAATAAAATCAAAAACTTCATATAAATATTGATTCATTCTTTAAAAATTTAGTAATGATAACCCGAATAATACAATGCCGTGCTAAGCCTTGGAGGCACAGTGGCGTTGCAAAAATTTGAAACCCCTTGTTGTCTGTTCTCGTTTCCGGTTTCAAGTTCTAATCGCAGACTAGTAGCTACCTAAGATGAAATAGATTGGCCTATCTATTCCATCTGAGGTAGCTACTAGTTTTCAAACTTTTGCAAAGTCACTTTATCTCCTTTCTCTTACATACCTAGGTATCTTTGGGTCATAATGTTCACATCTTTCCAACTTGAAGGTTGGCTAGAATCCCCGAGGTCTAACTTGAAGTTGAATGTATCCCGAGGTCTTCAGACAAAATTCCTTTTTCTTGGACTCAGGCTGACTGATTGACTCCGAGTCGACTGTCCCTGCCCATGAAAATCATCAATGACCTCGGGAATATTGTGCAAGATGGTCCGTGGTGCCACAAGAACGCCACTTATATGAAAGCGCGTATGACAAAAGTGGTGGTTGGATTTTTGATGCAAAATCTGGGAACGTAAGTTCTTTAAATACTCCAAGTCTTTCTAAAGTAGTGTATAAATAGTGATAGAGATCCATTCCAAAAGACGGTCAAGCAAAACTTGGCAACTAGAAAGTGGCCCCGAAACGAATGTTTGAAAGCTTGAGGTTTCACCTCGAGCTCTTCTATGTAGAAAAGAAGCTTGAGATTGGTGAAGTTGGATCTAAACAAGCGCCGTCTGGTACTTTAGCTTCATGTTTGCTAAAAGGTATGGCTTGTGCAGAGTAGAAAGGGTATTGTTTTCAACTAGAAACGTAAACCCTGTATCAGATTTCGCACTTGCATAAAATATCCGTTCTATTATTGTATTCAATCGCGCTGAAGAATAGTGGAGGTTCGGACCCTGGACCTCGATCTTGGGGTGTTTATCGTAGATGATTGGACAAGGACAACGAATTGTCAAAATTAACGGGCGCTACAAGTTCGATCCCCCAGCTTCAAACCCAATCGACTTGAAAGGTACAGATGCCTGAGATGCCCCCAGACGGCGCTCATACTCAAGCCCTTTGGATATCAAACCCAGTAGCCCCTTGGGCGAGGCGCCGACGGAATGGATGAGTTGCGCGCGTAAACGCCCGACGAACCACGGGCTTATTTGAGGAGGAAGAGGCTTGTTAAACAGTCCGTTGCCCAGGACAACAGTCGCCTTGTGTGGCGGCTCCTGGTACAGGGCCGCAGGGGTACGGAGGCGTTGCTTCAGATGGCGCGCGACAACGGCTTCTCCGTCTGGGCGCCGACAAGGAGTAGGATATTGCAGTAATCTTGGATGAGTTGGATCGAGATGGCGACAATGCTTTAGAGCTATAAAGACTTTGGTTGGGGACTATCCAAAACCCATTAGAACACACAGTACTCTTTCTTTCCTTGTTACGATTGAATCGTTTCGGGTGCAAAGTGGTCGAGTCTCCCTTTTGTTCATTAGCAGCTGGTTAACTGCTTCTTTTCTTCATCTTTTTCATTTTTTCTACTTTGCTTCTAAGCCGGAGAATATCTGAGAAATCCTTGGGGCTATTTTTTTTCCAGGCCTCGTTAAGCTACACCCGAACAGTAAGTCGCCCGACTCATCACTGCCACCTTCTTGCCGCCGTGTTCTTCTTTGGAAGGATTATGGGGCTGGATGGCCCCTCCACCACTCTCAGCCTTGGCCCAAATTGTCGCCGTTTCTGACTGAAATATTACACTAGCTAGCTTGGAATACAGTACCAAACGGTATCAGCCGACTTTCCATACATACGCGCGATCATCTCTCGCCCATATAGATAAAACACCACTCCGCTCCGCTTCTTCTTCTTCTCGTCTCATTGCTGGCAAAGAGATTCTTCGACCTGACCTTCTTTGAACATCCTTCATCCTCATATTTCTTATTGTTCTGCTGTAGTGCCTTGCACTCTAGCAACGATATCACTCTCTCGTTTACCCCTCTTCCAACCATTTTTATTTAATTGCCACGCCATCGACCTTCGCAGTCTATCGTCGCCGGCTTTCATTCGTCGTTGCTTCTTAATATACTTGACTCCGATCTAAATACTTCGAAAGAGATCACTGTGACTTGTCTTTCTCAAAATGCCGACCGTCAAGCCTATCCTCCACCCTCTCAAGACGCCGAAGAGCGCATCATTTCCCTCCGAACTGCATAGCGACTCCTCCTCGAGCCCCTCCGACTTAATCAAGCAAGAAGAACTATGCACTCCTATTACTCCCGACTCCTCTATTCCCAAAGCATACACTCAGTTCCTCGAGGCTATGACACCTGTCTTCAGTCCGGTCAGCGCGGGCGTGAACTTTCCCAAGTTTCCCCTCAAGAGGCCTTCTCCTCCAACCTCGCAGCCTGCTAGTGCTATGAGCGGATCCTTTTCCTTCAGTGACTCTGTGCGATCGCCTACTGTATCTTTGCCTCCACCAACACCCGCCTCAGCACAACCATCGAGGAAGAACTTTGCTCATCCTCGCCGCCTTCGCATCCCGCATTCAGCGAAGTACTCGCCATGTACGGATTCTCCTAAGAGCGCAACTATGCTTCGATCGCCCTTCACCCCCTCTGGCTGGAACCCTCGCTATTTTGAGGGTCCCCATAGCGCCAACCCTTGCGGAAAGCCCGTCAGTGTGAGACAAGTTGTCACCCGAACAGTGACCTACAAACGCACCCAACTCGAAGCCCCACCAAAGGGAAAGCGGCGCAAGTGCCGCGACATTAAGGAAGTCAAGGAAGTCAAGGAAGGCAAAGAGGTCTCATGACCACTACCCAACGATATACCTTTCTGCGTGATGAAATCTGGTTTTTGCATTGGGCTAGTTGGGGGCTCTTAGCGAGGAGATTGGTGTTCCGGCGTCAATTTGGGGGCGTTTTCCTTCAAAACATACGGCGAAATGGTTTGGTTTGCCTGTCAACCATTTTTGGTGCCTTTTCTTGTTCTTTTGGTGTTTTTCATGCAGTAAATTACATTATACGCTTCCTACCATAGTGGCTTGGAAATACAACCTGATTCGTGAATCCTGACGTGTCCGATCATGCCTTCGCATAGACATTACGCTAGACTGGTGGCCTAATGCTGACGCTTAGGCTCGAAAAGACGAGGTCAAAGAGTCTCTACGAGGACTGTTAGGTGTTGCGATAATTTCCAACTACTAACTAACAGTATTTCTTTTGGACGGATTGCTCCCATTTAATTGGAGAGCTGTGTTAATTCGAGGAAACACCGCCCACGACTCAGTAGTTCCATAGCTATCCCAGTTGCTGTGCCTACCTGAAGTTATGCGTTCGGAACATTGCACATGTCATCGAACGGCCATCAAATCGGAGCAATTGCGCCTTGCCAGGATCCTTTCTACTGGTACCGAACCAACACTTGTTTGCGGGTGCGGATCAGGCAGAGTAAATCGAAGGACCACCCGCTTGGACCACGCGGCGGCATAGATAAAATTCCTCGACCCAGCGAACAGGTAACGCCCCCAAATCTAGATCCTTATTGCCGAAAACCAACACTGAATCCTCACATTAACTGGAGCCTCATATCGGCGCCACCCAGCCTCTTGGGTAGAAAAAGCTATAACGCAGGGATCCACGTGTCTGGTAAGAGGCTCTGAGGTTAATCTTCCATGATTTATGGAGCTTTTACATGGATTGGACTCGCAGTAGAACCTTTAATCGCGCAGAGCGCTTCAAGGTGCATTTTTACTCGATCATGTAGTACCATAGAAAGATATAGAAAGAATGCCTTGCCGTCTTTTGGACTGGTAGACATCTTAATGCTCACTCATTCATGCGGTAACCAGTACATTCGATCCAACTTGAAGGGATTTTGTCTAAATTGAGTGGTATCGGAGCCTAAGAGATATGCGTAGTAATACGTGGGCTTAGGAATATAATGATAATTCTTCTTTGAATGAATTCTTCCAAGGTGGTTGCTTCTCAAAATCTTCGTTTCCATGTTTATGTTTGGATAGACTGGTTGGTTTGCTCCAAAATCAAGAAACACTCGTATATATGGATATTTTAGATATATGAGCCATGTATTTTCTAAAAGGAAGGTAATCCAGCAAGACCCTTGCTTCCAAAATCAAGGATTCTGTGCTGCCGGCCCATCATCAGTGTAAGTACATCGAGAGCCTAGTGGAACTACAGATCTTACACTTCGGTATAATTACGCCTAATGGTATTACGACTTGCAATATTACACAACCTGGTCTGTCCACCGGGAATCACCGTACAGTCACAATCACACATCTCCAACCAGTAGTGTGTAAGCTTAATTCTGCCCTAGAGCCCTACTAGTATTTTCCCTGACACTTAACTCGAGCATCACACCTTTCCCTTATTTTCATGCATGGTGCAAAGAGAAGCATTGCTCCTCTCTCTGCGTGGCTGCGCCAATGGCCATTCGAGAAAGCAGAAGCCGGTCCCACACATCGTAAGCCACTGTACCGAGGGCTCGTTACCGTGCAGGTGGCCGAGATGTCACAGTCGAAACGCACACGGTGATTGGGGGACAAAGCGCACATCTTGTTTCAAGTTGTCGCTGAAGAAACCCGCCCAGGATGGCGAGACGGTGATTTGCTTCATGGGTCCTCTTTTTCGGCCCCATGTTTCAAGGAGACTCCAGGCGTTTGGGCCACACCTAGGGGCATTTGAAACCCCCATTAGGCGGTGGCGCCTCAGCAATAGCAGGTCAGGGGGAGTAGTAGAAGTGTAACCAGGACGGTCAAGTTTAAATACGCAATACACGGTATTGAGGTCCCCTCTGGGTCGCCAATACAAGGGGTTCACTAAACCATCTGTGTCCCCCAAGATCGAAAGGAAACTGAATAAGCAGAAGCGAACTGCTCTTGAATAAAGTTTTGCTGGTCCTCAACGATACCGTTCCCCGTTTATACAGACCGAGTTGAGTGTTTATATTGGTTCTTCTCACAGCTGCTCATCACAAAAGGCCCAGACAAAAATAACTTACCGCCCACATTGCAATGGGTTTCGCCAATCAGAAAAGTTGGTGATGAGATTCCGGTCGCATGGTTGCTGCACTTAAGCGCCGGCGCTATACTAGAATCAGCGAGTGGAACAATGGGATGCCCGGGGATTAGCCTTCTTGCCCCGCCTGTGGGGGCAATCTTGAGCACGGAAGTCCCTATTCCAAGTCCCAGAGGAGTGCGAGGTGACGTGTTAAGTGCTGGGTCCTGATGTTGCCGCCGGCCATTCTCATCCTTGTTCAAACACGTGAACAAAGAGTGAGATCATCTACATGCCATGGGATCAAGCGTGATTCGCTATTTCCGGCTCATTTGGTTGATCGCTGGCTTCTCCTCGCGCTGAGGGAGGTTGTCGGTGTGATCACCCACCTTTCAATGAGGTGAATCAATAAGGTTCCAATTTAAGGGGTAAGGGAGATTTCAAACGAGCATGCTTCTATGGCATAGGTTGGGATTAGAGATACTATGTAACTGGAGGAAATAGAGCACTACAATTTGCAAGGTCTTCAAAGGAGGGGGAAGAAGAAAATCGAGAGCACTGGCTAGGATTAAAACTGGAAACGAGGGGAATGCAGAATGACCATGTGCGACTCATGCAATGTGATATCCGCTCTGACCTATTTTTGGTTATTCTGTGTCCTAAACATAGAACCCCCGCTTTCTCGGCATCGCAGCAGCCCTGGGGTTCCTGCATTCCACGATACCCAAAGCTAACTAGGTCTGTGATATTTTTGGAATTTGATGTCTTCGTTCCTCGATATCAATATAACGACAATTGCCAAATTCGATGAGGAATAGTAGTAATTCATTTCCCACCAAGTTCTCTTCTTTTGTCCAGACAAACATGCTTTTGAATAGAATCCATCCTTTGGAGCATTCAAGATGCTTTAATGGACTATCTCATCTTCACCATCTACAGATGCAATGAGTTTCAAGTGCATCGACGATGATCATTTTGGTGCACAACCTGAAGCTAAAAGGTGATATGATTCGTTTTTAGGCCAATCTCGGCTCTCAATGGCTCGCTTTGGTTCTCCAGCTGATCCACCTGGCGTTCTTCTCGGCCGCTTGTTTCACTACAATAGGTATGCCATACCCGTTGATAATCGAGGAGACGAGCTCAACCCCGCTGTCTTGCACCTGCTGATCATTCAATGTCCTAAAGACTCCATCTCGCTTCCAAGAATAGTACATTATGGCGCTTTTGATCTATTTTTGAACCAATTTGAACCTATCTATGCCACTTTGATCGTCACAATAGGCTCAGACTTCATCAAGACGTGACTATCACGAAGCTTGAGCGGCTACACCTTCATGCTCTGACCCATCAGCATGCACTATCCTGCCCCCAGTAGCTATCGACCTTAAGCTAGCTGGCGCTTCTTTCGCAAGACATAGCTCGGCATGCCAATCATCGCTTGCCATCAACAATACATCCCACCCCTATCTTCCCCATCACACCTTTTGAATTAATTTTAGAACAGATCTACTCAACATTGACTCCGCTTTCTGCATATTCCCATGTCTCTGGTCGGCTCGACCCTGCATACCTCCTCTTTCCCGGCCCCTCCCACGAAGCTCATTGCTCTAAACGGGGCATATGGCTTGCGCCGGCGTCATTATTCACTCTCTAGTGCCTCTTCATCTCAGCTGCCCCTGCAGCTTGTCTTGATCTAACTGTCAGAATGTATGATACTGTATCATACCCTGACTGTTTTTCACCTAATCCTTTGTCTCGAGACGCTGGTATCGTACAAGCTGGCAGCGAGTACGGTAGCTCTATACAAGCTCCTAGTTGTCACTGGAACTGCCCCAATTGCCCCCAAGACTTCAAAAAACTAAGGTTAACAATGTGAAAGAGTTTCTATATTTAGGAAATGCAACAGGCTTTCTATCTTCGGTCAATTGCCTGGTCAGCTTGATAGAATGTTGCCTTAATGACTGGAATATCCCTTTGAATCTGGTATTAACTAATCCTGTCTTCCCGAACTGCCGACAAATGTTTCCAGCCTCCTCTAAGTTTCAAGTCGAGTCCGAAGCAAGGCGTGGACTCGGACTCAGACGAGAGCGTACTATATCTTCGATTGCTTTGTTCTGTTCGTTGATTTCTGCACACGAAAACAGTGTCAAAATATCTGCAGGAACAAGGGCTTAATAATGTAGGAATATGAGTTGTACCGCTTACCCGGAAGTCCGGCAGGTCTATACGAGCCAAAGTTTCCATTGATACTTGATCAATGGCTTTGGATTGCTAAATTTAACGAAGAAGACTCGGATGAGATGCAATAGTTCATTTAGAAAGTGTGGAAGAGCTATCCATCTTTCCCCCTTTGTTTGAGTTGTCTTTGTTGAGCTCTCAAGGATATTTCGAGTCCCGGGGCATTTCTTGACTCCCCAAGTGTCAGTTTTCCAACCTTTTTACCTCGTCGTTTTCTTTTTCTCGCCTTGGAATTTATTTCGCTACCAGCCATGGAATATTTCTTTTTGCAATGGCGTGCGAGCCATCTGTTCGATACAGGGGAAGCACTTTCCTTGTACTATATGCGTCGGGCTGGGCTTTAGCAAAGCAATTTTGCTTTGAACTTGATTGTATAGTTCCTTGTTAATGGATATTAAACGATTCTAGCTCATTCCTTGAGGAAACAAAGGATATTAGGCAATATAAAGGAGACTAAAGCTCTCAAATGCATACTAGTCCACACCATTCTGCACAAGTGGCATGCCAAGAGCTGTGGTTTCTATAATTAGCAACCAATAGAGCAACCCCTCACACCTTTTTGCATCCCAAACAGAAAGATGAACCTGAAACTGCACACAATTACGAAGTACTACTAGTAACTAGTGAAGAGACTACTCCCGTGATCGGCACCCCTCTCTTCCAAGACTCGGATTTCTTCGAACCCTTTGGTATCGTTGCCCTCTCCGCCCTTTGCCGACCTGCCCTGCATTTCCTCTCTCTCCCTATTTGCGCCGTGCCTCAGCCGCCCCGAACTCCGCCCCATTCCCTAGTCTGATCCTCGACACACCCTCCTAGTAGACCCTAGGTCAATACGCCCTCTTATCGGTATCGCCATGGCTTACATGCCGCCCACCTTCACACCGGACAGCGAATTCGCTGACCTGGAGACCCCCCGCGGTCCCAAGGCCGGTAGCCTCTCCATCACAGCCCTCGCCCGCTTCGAGTTCGAGGCTGGCAAGGCCAACGATGGAACCAAGATCTTAATGATCGAATGGGAAGATGATGACATTACTCGTTCTTCCGCCGAGGGCTCGTGGCATGTCTCCTGGGAGGGCAAGACCACCGTCATGCCGGCCGATGAACGACCAAATGATACTACACGCCGCTTCTACTTCCTGCTTCCACCGAATACCACCATCCCGCCCGTCGTCACACTATCATACGAGCCAAACACGGGTTCCTCCTCGGCACCGGATACCCTGCGCTTGAATCCGCTACCGGCAATTTTTCCGCCGGAGCTGGGTGCAACTGGTCGCTCTGCCGGAAAGAAAGGTGTACTGCATACGATCTGGGCGAAGAAACGACTGCGTGTACTGGATAATGAGATCCGCGACGAGAGTATAAACAATGTCGAGGGAGTTGCGCTGCACATGGCGGTGCAAGAGAAGGAATGGATTGAGTCGAACTTCGGCGTCGGAGCACATGGCGTCGAAAGTGTTGCCAGTAGCCATGAATCGTCCAACAATCATTCCTCCACTTACCCCGCCACCCCCGTGTCACCCGTCAGTGGAAAGAAGTTGTCTGATAAGCTCAAAGGATTGAAGCTGCAGACGAGCGAGCGAGACCTTTCACCTAATGGCGGTAAGTTCAAGTTCAACGCAGGCTTGATATCAAATAGTATATCCGCAAAAGCTAACTGACATCAAAACAGGATCAACACCTTCTCTTCTGTCTCCGCAGTCACCGGATGTCGCTGTATCTTCATTCAGCTCCTTCCGCAGCCTTGCCAATCGAGCACCGCACTCCATGCCAACTCCAGATACAAACCCCACCCCAACGCCGATGTCACAACTGAACCCATCAGCGCCGGAGTCCCTTAAGCCCGTCGCACTGCACCCACCCGAAGCTCTGCAAGAAGCGCAGAATAGCACCGACGCGCCTGGCTTCGCACCCATCAGCTCAATGGGTTCTATCGTGCGCACTTCCAGTGCCGAGTCAGGCGAAGATCTCTTCGCTAAGGCCTTGAGCCCGCGCTCGCCAGATCTTCCCCGCAGCCCATTTTCATTCGCTTAAGCACACCATCGTTGATCCCATCCATCTCATCTTATCTCATGCATTTATATGCCTTGTCTTGACATCCATTGTTATCACCATTACCCTTCGTTATGACCTGCACTGCCACTTATGATTCCCCTTCAGCGATGTGACGACATTATTCCCAACATCTACCTGCTATCTTTATATGATCTGATCTGATCTGATCTCCCATTATTTACCATTACCATTTACCATTACCATTTACCATTTATCATCCACCACCCGCATTGATCCTGCGACACGACACGATACGTTTGGGTACAGCATACGCCCATCGATGAAACTTCCGAGTCGATATCGATATCCATTTCCATTTCCATTTCCATTTCCATTTTGAATTTCTGCATTTCAATTGCACATCCATCGTACAGACAAATGCCATAGTGCGCCACCAGGGGACCTGTGTACATAGAACATGTGAACTCGACATCCATTCGAGAATTCACAATGCAAGAACCATAAAAAAGTCACAGCTGAAAGTAAAATGTCTTTCCTTCTCGACCCAGGGTGTAGAGTAGCGTCAATCAGGCAGACAGAGAAGAGAGTCGTACAGTATACTCCGTAGAATATCGAAACCATTGACCTTGAAGATGCACGAAGTTGGAAGGCAAGGAAAGCCGAAGCCGCCCAGCGCATCCCAACTCAGCACATCCCCCCAAGAAAGACAAAAGCAAGAAGAAGATAATACCACACCCTCACCCCAACCCACAAGAGGCACACCTAATTACTCTTCTTCCTCTGACTCCCCGCCCGTCCCGGCTTAGCACCCGACGAACTCCCACTAGCCACACCCTCCGCACCCCCCCTCATGCTTATCCTTCTTCCCAACAGCAAAGCTCTCAAACTCCTGCGCATCCTTCCTTTCCGCATACCACTGCCCCGCCTGCAACACAAGAATGCCCACAAGCACAAGCGCCAGAATCGTATTACTAGCAGCAAGAACCTTAAGCGAATCCTCGCGGCCTAGGATCTGATCCTTATCATCCGGTCCGGCAGCAAGATCAGCCCCATACCGACCCGCCGACGCAAGCCGAAGACCCTTGACGATATTCGCAATGTAGACTGTAATTCCACACATGTAGAGAACGAGCGAAGCGCCGTCGAAGAGCATGTTTGATTCGGAGGGGCGGTAAAGTTTTGTCACGAGGCCTGCGAGACCGAGGAAGATTACGATGTGGAGGATGCGCGGGATTAGGGGTGGACTGGCGTGTAAGAAGCGGAGGTGGGCTTCGAAGTAGTCATAGTGGCTTGATGGGGTTGTTACTGTTGACCAGAGGATTGGGTAGTCGTATGGGAATAGGGAGAAGATTATTCCTAGGAAGAAGCAGGTTGCTATGCGAAGAGGGGGGGGTTAGTTTGGGGTTGATTTGAAATGGGGAGTGGTGGTTGGTGGAGGGTGGAGGGATGGATTGTGTGTGAGGATGGGGATATGACTTACGGCAAAGGATGAGGAAGGTCGCGAACGACCCGCTCTTGAAGGCCATTTTGAAGTGATGGTGGACTCAGAGGTGGAGGTGGAGGTGGAGGGGAGAGAGGAGGTTGACAGGGGGAGGTGAGGTTTATCGGTCGAGGCAAAGTTGCCCCGGGCCGCCAAGGCTTCTAAGGCTTTCCCCGTGGAGATAAGCCACTCGGTTGATGCCACCTGTTTATGTTTAGTGTTTAAAGAGGAGTAGGGTGGTATTTAGATTTAGAGTAGTAAAATAGAGTAAAATAGACGATCATAAAGAATAGCATAGAATAGCTCAGTAGAATACTAGAATACTAGAATACTAGAATAATCGTATGATTGTATATAGCTGAGCTATCGCTATCCTATCTCCATATGTTACATTCGGTTAACGCCTCGCGCCGTGTGTTCAGAAATATGCGAGTAGTGGTATCTTCCATGTCCTGGCCCCAAAAATGCGAAATGTACAAGTAATAATAATAAAAATGATTTGAACAACAGATCGGATCCTCTCCTCATCGCTGATACCGAGGTAGGGATTCGTCCCGCGTGCGCCGTGCCGCCAACGAGTTGGTCGTCCTCATCAAACACCGGAGCGCTTGGACCCTCACCGGGTTCGCCGTGACCGTGACCATGGCCAGTGCCATTGACATTGAAATTGACATTGCCACCGCCAATGCCATTCGGTTCTTCCGGCGGTGCGCTGGGTGCGCTCGTCTGGTCAAGCAATCGCTGCCGCTCCAGTTCCTGCTTGTCTTCGCCCGGAGCGGAGGGTTCGCTGGCTTCGGGAGCGCTGCCGTTGACAACAATGGTCTGCAAAGACTCGGCAGATCGGACCGGGTGGGGAACTGCGTGCGGGACGCCCTCAGTAACGGGAGAAGGGAGATGCTGATAGTCCTGCAGCAGATGGTCTTCCGGTAGAACAGGCGCTGTCGGCATCATCGCTTCGGCATTCGAGGGCCCCGCTTCGTCCTCGTCCGGCCTACCGGGTAACAGAGCCTCCTCGTGTCGTCGTAGTCGAGTCTTTTCGTCCACGGGCTCTTCCACCTCGGGGTGAGCCATCATGGGCCCAATGGGCACTATCGGTTGCGGATATTCGTGATATTCTTCAGGGTGCTCTGACCAAGCTCCCTCAGGGAATCCATAGTCCTCTTGGCCATACTCAGCACTTGAGACAGGCATCGGACTGGCCTCGGGCCATTCCTCTCCATCAACGGGGTTGATCAAAGCCCCTGCTGCGCCAGATTGGGCATTTTGAGATGTGGTGGATTCGGCGACGTTGGATGTAGTGCGTTCTATCGAAGCTTGGCCGCGCTGCGAATCTCGCGTACCAACAACCACCTCAAAGGCCACCGAAATTACGCCCTTTTCCCGGCGGATATGATCCGTATCCAAAATATTCCCGCCCAATTGGCGGTGAGGTTATTCCCGTTAGCGTCAGCCGGGTTCAGAACCTGACCACTGGGGGAGAAATTGCTGCCGCCTGATACCATTTTGAAGCGTGGGATAAAACGATCGGTAGATGTGATCTTGCCCCGCAGGTCAACCACAACTTCCACGTAGTAACGAAAGTTGATCATGGCGCCGGGCACGCGAGTGATGGTCGGGAATGCGTCCTCGGGAACTCGGATGGATGTTTTAACGGTTGCCGTCATGTTGCTAGGGTCCACAATGAGCGGTGCGAATGTCTGAGATAGGTCTTTGCGGAAGGTACTGCTGGTGCGACTGGTGCCCAACGTCAATCCACCAAGCCCTGTGCGGGACCGGGGATAGCAATCCTCGTAGACCGGCTTCTTTCCATTCGCAGTGGAACCTATCGGGATGGCAGGGTGAAGATCGATACGGCCCTGCCGGTAGAGAGTAACAACAATGCCTTGCGCGCTGCGCACCTGTTTGAAGTGGTTGATAGTAACTTTGATGGGTAGTGTGTCGCCCGGTAGCACACCTGCACGTAGAACCTCGGCTTTGGCGGTGATTGTGCGATCTGAGACAGACGGGGTCGCACTGCGACCTTCGCTGTTGCGCCCGCCACCTGTACTCGTTGACGAGCTGGGGTCGCTGGCGATGTGAAAGCTCTGGCTGCTGTTGCTCGGTCGACTTGAAGAACTGACGTTGCTAGGTGAAGGGCTGAGTGGCGGGCGGTTGTCGACTGAAGCGGCAGTTCCGCTGACCGGGGTATCTATAGAGGATGTGTCGGGTCCTGGGGTGGCGTCGGAGGCAACGGACTTGGCCTTTGCTTTGGATTTGGAGCGTTTTGAGATTGGTTCGAGAGTGACGATGCGGGCCTTGGGGGCAGGAAAGGGCGCAATGTCGATATTTTCTAGAAGATTGACCCGTCTTCGGCAGGTGAGTGTAGGGTTCATTGTGGTCGGTCGGGTGAGGGTGGAAGTTAGGGAGTAGGAGATAGTGCCTCGCTCGAACTAGAAAGGACGAAATTGGTCAGTCAGTCAGTCACTTGGGAAAAGAGTAGGCAAGAAGTGAATGCGCACGTTAATACTGCTCGGGAGAGCATAAGGTGGGAGGCTCATTTCGAAACGAAACTTGTAGATACCCTCCTTAAGGCGTCCTTCGCCGCAGAGAACGACTTCATCCTCGAACAAGCTCGCTAACCCGTTGCCCATGTACTCCGCGCCGCGCCGGCCACGACCCGGGCCTAGATAACCCAGATCTGGTGCCACTTCACCTGCCGGCATCGCATTCTTAAAGACCTTGACAAATCCATGGAGACAGACGACGATATGGGTGATGCGGACGGGGCGAACGACGGTGATGATCACGGTCCCCTTGATGACATCGCCAGGGAAGTAGGAGCGCCAGGGATCGTCGAGATCGATGTAATAATCGGTGACGCTTCGATTTCGATTACCGAGCGGGGAGCGAAACTTGGAAAGAAAGGAATTGCGATTCCGACTGATGACCGGAGACGTGGTGGTCTGGGTGGGAGGGTTGGAGGACATGACACACAGCCGGGGGTCGCTGCATCTATACCAGACTGCCGCGATGATCCAAATGAGAAGTGGGGTGGGGTGAGAGGAACACAGGGGATAATCAGATAGCTGCAGATCCAATCGCGAGGGGGGTGACAGCACGTTCGAGGTTGTGGCTGGAGAAGGAAACAGCTAGGGCGATCTATCGGGGAGAATGCTTGAGCAGAATGTGGCTGTGGCGGCGTGGGCGATAGACCTGGCCTGGACTGGACTGGGCTGGAGAATATCAGGATATCAAGAGAGTTGTCAGACCGCGCGACTGCACGGACTGCACACGGTCCTGGTCGTCGAGAGCCCGACGTTCGAGGACGAGGACGGGATGCAGACGGACCGGATTCCAACTCCACGGGGTATATCCGGGCGAGAATCAAGGCCAGATGGATAGGCAGTTATGACCGATGATCCCTCGACCACATTGTTTCTTGAGAAAGCGCGCGAAGGTCGCCGGAGGGTTGGGGGGGGGCGAACAAGTCGTGGAGTCGGGGAGCCGGGGGAGATGGGGAGACTGTAAGCGCCGGGAGCCTAAAGGAAGTCGGGGGAGTTGAGTTGGGAGTCGATTTAGGTACGAGGGGGTGGCTGAAGGGGGGGAAGAAGAGAGGAGAGAAAGAAGAAGGGGAGGAATGGAAGGGGTGGCGCAGTATGGAGAATGGAAGTTGAGGATAAGAGGGAGAGGAAGAAGTGGAGGAAGTGGAAGTGGTAGGGAAGAGGAGGGGGGCCCGGGGGAAGTTGCAGGGAGAGTTTCGCGATAAGCCGCAGTCTACGCAGACACTGAGTACACTGAGTACACTCAGACTCAGTCAAGCTTCGTGGTTCGAACTAGTCCCTGGGCAGGGTCACTCGGCTTTTTTGGTGAGACGTTTCACTTGGTAAAATTTTTAACACTGGTTCTTATTTTAGTTTGGGCATTAATCTACTATAGGTGATAGGTGTGATGGTGATGGTGGTGGGTGTGGGTGGTAAATGATAGAGCCACGAGACTAAGAATGCTAAGCTTTCTCCTTTTTCTCTCCTTTCCCTCGGGCTTTGGGGGGGACTCTCCCACCGGTATTGGATGATTGGATGATTGGATACATCCTATACATCCCCCTCTCCTCTTTAGCTTAGTTCGCGTAAGCCCCCATCCACGTATTCGTCTCCATAACAGTCGCGTTGAACCGCATTGATAATCTCCCGGTCCCCGCTCGCCAGCCGACGCAGATATTCTTCCAACACGTAGATATTATCGGTGCATTGTAGTGCCTGTTGCCTGAACCCCGCTAGCTCCTCTCGAACTTGCAGGACACCCTTGTTGCGCACTGAATCAAGTCCTCCTGCGCCTGCTCCTCCCCACCACCACCACCGGGCTGTGCTGCCGCTGTTTCTGCTCGAAGCCGATCAACCGCTGCCTGGAGCTCGGCTCTTTGCGCCTGCAGTGCCATGCGCTCTGATTCACATCCAATCCCGGAATCGGCCTCTTTCTCCTGTCGCGTGGTTTCAGTGGCGAGGGCCTCCGCCGCGTCAGTTCTGCTCTGGCGGGCCTGCTCCACTTCCGTCTTCACCCGGCCCAACTGGCGTTCGTGTTGGATTCTTTCATCACTGCCAAAACTCCAGTACCAGTTCCCACTGCCGATCTTTTCCACTCGGATTCGGTTCTCGTCCGTTAGTGCTTGGATGTATTCTTTGACCTGGATGCTGTTGATCGAGGCGACTGATGGGAGGGCCTTTTCCAGATCTTTCAGTGTGTGACAGGTGCCAGACGCCCGAAGATGCGCCACAATGAGATCCTGTTTGTCACTTTTCGATAGCTTCGGTGGCTGTTGGACGCGTCAGTCAGTGTCAGAGTTAGACTTGTTTGGCGTAGTCTCGGGGTAGAGTTCTTGGTTTGTCTTTGATGCCCAATCCTCCACCATAGGGGGGATTCACATACCATGGCTAGGATCAATGGGTCCCGACGGATCCGAGGGAAACAGTCCTGAAATCAGATCAACTGAAACCTAAACGGTGAGCCATTCCTGATCGGGTGAAACGATGAGCGAGTCAAGCAATTCGCGGGTGGAGGAGTGGAGAGGAGCGGCTGACAAAATTCCTTTTACGGAGGACGGTCCGTTTCAAGCTTCTTTAACCTCGACCCAAAACACAAGGTTGAAATGGGATGGGGGTGTGTAGACTAGTACTATGTAGACTATGTAGAAAATACGGTATACCTGGATTCCTCATAACTGTGTTGATTCATTGATTGGGTATTTTGCTAATTGGATTGGGCAATTGGTTGCGTGACCCTAGCCTAGTTCATATTCCATAGTTCCTAGCTCATTACTAGCACCATGGCCATGCATGGAGTATATCAATCATATCAACAGCAGTGTCTACCCAGGATTTGTGTCCAAGCAGGCCTTGAATGCGACCACCGATTTTCAAATCTGGCGCTGCATTCGACCTTGCTGCTCCTAGCTCGCCTGTTGGGCTAGGTTGGCTGGGTTGACTGGCATCGATTCCTCCAGTCGGTAAGAGTAGTCATTTCCAGACTCCATACTCCGTACTGCGACTTGCGACTTGCAGCTCGATATTTCGAGACAGCACCCGGCTGCATGCCATAACATCCTTATCGAGCCACGGCTATTTGGTCTCCAAGTTGGCATTAGTAGATATCCACTGTCCATAAATGAATATTATCGTATCATATGCAGGTGACTGCAAGGTGAAAGTGCACCATTGCACGCCCCACCAACAATGCAACCTCTCAACCGCCCCTGCTTTTCCTGTTGGACCCGATGAGCTCTTCGAGTCTGGGCCGTTTGCGCCTGGGCTGGATAATAGTCTGAGCACGTTTGCGCCGGGGAGCTTTCGGCTTCTTTCCATCGACATCTGCCCTCCAACCGACCGGTCGACCACGTTTAGGCAGGAAATCCTCCGCATTGCCGCTAATATCGCCCTTCAGACCTTGCGGTTCGATCATGAGCAAATGGCCGTTGTCGCCCAGGCCATCCTTCGCCATTTCCTCGACTAGAATCCCCACCGCCAGCAGTGCGGATTCATTCATGCTATAGTGACTTTTCCTCCCGCTCTCTCCTAGTGTGTATTTGTAAAAGTCCGAGGCGTAGGCGTGTATTGACTGGAGGAGATCCGAGTTGGGCAGAGGACGGTCAGCGGGGAGATTCTCGTGCGCAAAGTATGGTTCGCAGTTTTCGGCTTGTCTCATGGGGTGATCTTTGCGGAAGAGGACCTCTTCTGGTCGTTGAATGCGAGCCCCCGACGACGCAGTATCACGGTATTTAGAGGCTATAGGTGTAGATTGGGCGAATCCTCGGGCAGTGACACGGCCTTGTCTACGATCAGCATTCTAATTCTATCTTTGCCAATTTGACAGAAGGAGTAATATCCTACCGGCGACTGCATCGTATAGATTGGCCTGGCGTCTTCGAGCCTTTGGTTGAGGGTTGGAGGTCTCCTCAAATCTGACTGTTTTGCTTGGCGAATGCGACTGCGACTCTTCGACTTTCTCTTTTCTTTTCCTCCGAGAACTTGGTGCTTTGGTAGGTGGTTGGATAAATGTGCCTCGACTCAGATTCTCCGAATGCCCAAACGACATTCTGCTGAGTGAGGATGTGCGACAAGTCAAGACCAACAATGTTCGAGTGGGGGAAAGAAAAGGAAGACATGCGACTGCCAAAATGGGCGATGCGTAAATGCGACGGCCCAACGTTGATCCGATGAGGTCACCCGCGATCGCCAGTAACCGTAAGTCCGTGACTAACCTGGGGTGCTTCTTCGCTATTGCAACTACCCTGGAATGAATGAATTCCTATCTGCTCAACAGAGCCCTCGGCTCTGTCGCTCCCAATGACTTCCACACCGCGCAGACGGAGCGCTTGGTGCGCAACCTCGAACCGGCACCGGGGATTCGCTTCTCCAGTCGCAGAGCCGCGCCAGCGCCAGATCAGTCTGAAGATGACACAACGTTAAACCCAGACTTTGATCCGACAGAGAAGCTCTATGCACACAAGTCAGGAGTGAATTGTCTTGCAATTGACCAATTCGAGGGACGGTAGTACGTGACTTCGCTTCAACCCCCTCCACCTGCAGTGTGGTTCTAACCAACACATACAACATACAGTATGATCTCTGGAGGCGCCGACCCCTCAATTCACCTATGGGATCTCGAGAGCAGAGGCTCGGAGCTCGAACATATCCACCGAGCTTGTGCGTCCGTAAGCAAACCCTCACACAGCGCCGCCCACACACATGCCATAACCTCGCTCTCGATCTACCCATTCGACCCCGTCCCGTCAACCATCTTCTCAACCGCGCACGATGGCACACTGAAATGGTCAGCGTTACAATCCCCCGAAATTACACCCCTCCACACATTCAATCTAGACTGCACCCCGTACGCCCACTCATTCTCCTCCGCCCCCGGATCGACCCTCCTCGTGGCCGTCGCGACTTCAGAACAATCCGTCCGATTGGTAGATCTACGTTCGGGCCTGGCAACACACGGCCTACCGGGCCATAATGCAGCAATATTATCGGTTGCATGGGCACCGCATAAACCCTACCTACTTGCATCAGGGTCCGTCGATAACAGGGTTATAATCTTCGACGTCCGGAAAGGAGGACACAACTCCGCCATCGCAACGCTAGACATGGACGACCCGGTCGGTCTGGTAGATCCAGGATCAGGGTCTACCCCGACATCTTACCAGTCTCGCCCGGCCTTTTCACCGACTGCTCGGGCGCATAATGGGCCTGTTACGGGCGTGCGGTGGACGTCTAACGGTAGTCATATTGTGACTACGGGACAAGACGCGCGGATTAGGGTATGGGATGCTGCGAGTGGCGCAAACACTCTTGTTCATTTTGGTCCGAGGGTACGCAATAGCTCTACTTCGCATTTAGCTGAGAGAGCTCCACTACTCGTTCCGAAGGGATTCATGACACCGGGGCATGAAACACTCCTCTGGCCGAATTTCAATGAGCAAGATGACCGCGGCGAGATCTTTATGTTTGAGCTGCGCGAGGGGACGTTCATTAAACGACTTAAACTTCCCGGTGTGGCAATGTCCTCGCAATCGCAGGTTCGGGGTCGATCTAGTGCGCTCAGTGCTGCGCGTATAAATGATCTTGTATGGCGCGGCAATGGGGCGAGTGGAGAAGGCGTGGAGCTTTTTTTCGGCGCATGGGGATGGCACGATTCGGTCGTGGGTTTCGAGAGAATCGGATGGTGAATTGGATGATGAGGAGGAAGCGGCTGAAGCTACTCGCAAGAGAAAGCGGGATGTTTTGGAAGATATCTATAAAGGGTTTCTTGGGGGTGAGGATGCTAGATCGTTTACTTGATCTACTATCTATGCTTATACACAAGCACCCCCGGTTGGGATCGAACGGTATAAAGAGGATCATATAGCAGGTTATATTTGATTTATCATAATACATCGAGAACTTGAGGCCTCATTAAATTTGAAGGCAGCATCGTCAACAGACATTCATACACCTGTGACAACACCACCAATCCAATCCTTGAAAGTCATAACTCATGAGCAACTCGAAAGCCCACCGGGCATCAGCCGACTATTTCGTAGCCTGACTCTCCCCAACAGCATCCCAAGACTCCTCATCTTCATGGGCATAAGTATCAAACGCCCCCCGTTTCTGCCGATCATGCTTCTGACTCCTACTATCAGCCGGCGCACCAGGAACATTATTCCCCATATAGGCACGCTTCGACTCGACAGCAGCAGGCAACGTATCACCAGCACCAGTAAGCACTTCACCACTCTGTCCAACGTCCCGAGTTGAGCGCGGCATGTCGGTTGCGTTATCGGCTGCTGTGGCTGTTGTTGGTTTTGCTAGGCCGTCGTTGTCGAAGGCGAAGTGTTCGACTCGTTGGTCCGGCCCGGGTACGGAGGGAATTGTGTTCATTTTTCCGGCGTCGTTGGGGATGGTGGTTCCTTTTGAGGCCATGTCGAAGATTGAGCCGCCTTCGTGCGGGTCTTGGTGGTTTTGGGATTCGCGGACCATTTTGATAGATGAGGGTGTGGTGGTTGATTGATTGGGTTGTGTGTTTCAGCAGAAGGTTGTTAATTGTTAATTCTGTACCTTGAGTGTTGTCTGGAGTGTATTAGGTTTAAATAGATGTACAATTGCATGAATTGGAACTGATGTCACTGTCCGGGGCGTTGAAATTGGGGATGATGGGGTTATGATATCACGCTATGGTAAGTGTATGAGATGCCTTGATTGGTTGTCAATTTGCCTTCTCAGAACAGGTCTTTTCAGGTTCAGAACATGTACATTTTGGTCTCGATCATTGCAATCTTTTGCTAGAATCTTGGAGAGAGTGGTGAGATCAAGGTGGTTGATACTAGTATGATTCGCAATGACGAAACCAAGTCGGGTAGCCCTAACCGGGAGATCGACGGCGGGTCTCAGATGGGTCGACCAAGAAGACTTAGGTACGAGGGAATCGGTTGAGCGCCGAAGCTGAGGGCTAGAACTACGAAGACCTAAGAAGGACACTCGTGAAAAACATTTTGAAGAATCAAGTCATATTTCTCAAAAGGCGAAACCTCATCGGAAGCAAATCGGCCATTAAGTGCGAGGAATCGAAATAGAGTACAAAAAGTATACGAAAAGAGACACAGTAGGAAAGGAAGATAAGAAATGAAATTTAACGATCGACAGGGGTTTCTTCATGACTTTCGAGCACATCCATTATACACTGGCACTGGCGACTGCCCTTACAAGACGAAGGCCAGGACACCGGCGACGGCAGCGATAGCAGAGAAAATACCACTGGAAGCACGGGTAGCAGCGCCTTGGAACATCATGCCGTGAGAGGGCGTTGCAGAGGGGCTGGCACTGTGCATAGCGTCGGCACCGCTGGGCATGGCGTGGCTGACAGAGGGGGTAGCCATGGACTTCAGCATAGCGGTGGAAGAAGGCGCGGGCACGTTGACGGGGATCATGGAGTAGGCACCAGTGCTCATGGGTCGCTGGGAGTTGTAGTTGTAGCTCTGGTAGGGGATGTAAGACGAGGATGAGGGAGCGACCTGGCTGGCGAAGACAGCGCTGGAGTAGATCTTGGACTCAGGGTCGTTCATGGGAGTAGCGGCCAGGGGCACAGCAGAGGTCTGGGCAGCCTGGGTGACAACAGAGGTCTGGGCAGCTAGAGTAACGACGGAGGTCTGGGCGGCCTGAGTGACGACGGAGGTAGGAGCCTTCTCGTAGACGGTGGTGGTCGCGGTGGGGTGAACCTCCTTGAAATGGGTCTTGGTCACGGTGCGGACGACCTCGTGGGTCTCAGCTGCGCACTGGGGAACCTCCTCGTGGTGCTCGTGGTGCTCGCGAGGGGGGTCGACAGGAGGAGCAGGCTGGTACTTAGGGACCTCGACGTGGGGAGGAGACTTGGGAGGAGCGGGCTGGTACTCAGGGACCTCGACGTGGTGAGGAGCCTGGGGAGGAGCCTGGGGAACCTCGTGGGTCTCCTCAACTGGGGGAGCTTGCTCGATCTCGTGGGCAGGAGGAGAAGCAGGAACCTCGTAGGTGGTGGCCTCGGGGTAGGTCATCCAGGGAAGCTCGGGCTGCTCGTAGTGAGGATGCTCAGTGGTGCTGTCGATCTTGACGGCATGGTTGTCCTCACTGTGCTCATTGACACCGCTGTCAACACCAACGTCGATGGGAGATCCGAAGTCCTCACCACCATCGGTACCAGAGGGACCACCCTCAGCAGTGCCACCACCGCCGCCGCCAGAAACGCGGTCAGGGGAGTAGGCACGGCGCCAGGGACCACCGTGGGGGACATAAGGACCAGGGCCACCATAGACAGGAGCTGGGTGGACGTGGGTGTCCTTGATCTTGACCGAGTGGTCATCCTTTGCGTTCTCGTGGATGCCGGTGTGGGTGTTGACGGTGATGGGCATGTTGAAGGTCTGACCCTCGTCATCTCCGGAAGGACCACCCAGGGCGGTGCCACCGTTGTGAGGTCCCCAGTGACGCTTGTATGGAGCTTCGAACTCGTAGACAGGCTCAGGGTGAATAACCTTGTGCTTGACATTGACGGAGTGGTCATCCTTGTGGTATTCGTTCACATGGCTGTGGATATCAGCGGTGATCGGACGACCCCAGCTGATTCCTTCATCATCACCAGAGGGGCCACCAAGGGCTGTGCCTCCAGAAGCGTGACCAGGGTAACCAGCAGGGCCGTGGCCACCACCTCCAGGTCCGCCCAGAGCAGTGCCGCCAGGAGCGGAGCGCTTCACCCAATCGGTGTGGTGGTCGTTCTCAACGACGCCGAAGTGATCTCCGTTGAAGTTCCCGTTGTTGTTGCCATCAGCCTCGTAGAAAGGAGGGGGACCACCAAAGTGGGGAAAGTCGCGCTTCACCCAATCGGTGTGGTCGTCGTTCTCGGCGACGTTGAAGTGATCGCCATTGAAGTTGTCGTTGTTGTTGTCATCAGCCTCGTAGAAAGGAGGGGGGCCACCGGAGTGTGGACCATCGAAGTGAGGACGGCCCTGAACAGGGTGCTCCACAACATGAGCAGGAGGACCCTCGAAGTGAGGACCGGGGTGGGTATAAACAGGAGCAACAACGGGAGGAGCGTGAATGTTCTTGTTCTTGATATCGACAGAGTGGTCATCCTCGGAAGACTCATTCACTTCGGTGTTGAAGTTGCCAGTGATGGGCATGTTGAAGGTCTGGCCCTCATCGTTGCCAGAAGGTCCACCCTCAGCAGTGCCACCGGAAGGCCAGCTGCGCTTGAGAGGGAAAGGACCAGCACCAGGGCCGAGAGCAGGGCCGGGGTGGACGTTAGGTGGGTAGACATCAGTGTCCTTGATCTTGACAGAGTGATCATCCTTGCTGAACTCGTTCACATCGGAGTGAGTGTGGATGCTGGCAGCATAGGGAACATTGAAAGTGCCGTCCTCGTCATTTCCTGAGGGTCCACCAAGGGCAGTGCCTCCGATCTCGGGCTGTCCGAAGCCCTCGTGGTTGCGAGGCTGGACGCTGGCGCCGTTCATCTAGATATAGATTAGCGATGGTGCTCGTGAATGATGGCAGGTATATCTCGACATACTGTGTGTTCCATGGCCTGTGCCTGGGCAGCGGCGGCCAGGAGGGCCAGGGGAATTCCACCAACGAAGCCCTTCATGATGATAAATGCAATAGGGTATTACTTGACAACGGAATGAGAAAGAATTGAGCGTTAGTTAAAGAGTGACAGTAGACCGATGCTACGGGAGCAAGTAAAAGAATGGCAACAATTAGAAGAAGGTGATCCCAAACAGCAGCAAGGATTGCCGAGAGGTTAATAGTGCTTTAGTAGTTCCTTTGCATTCATGATCACCATCGCTCATTAGCATGGTGGAATGTGCAATCATGGCCAAACACTGGCGTTGACGGGGTATCGAGGCCTGACCCAGGCACAGAGGCCCCATCAGAATGCCGTCGGGAATGGAAGACAAGCAACGAGTCAACAAGCTTGGGCCCCTACGATGGTCGGCTGCCATCAAAAGTGTAAACAAACGCTGCATGAACCGCAGCGCAGGTGGTGGTGCGGCATTCCACGGAATATCATCGAGGGATCGGTATTTCCGACTGACTTGGCCAACCACGATGGCCCCTTGCCCGATCATTTAGGCATGGCATGACGGCATTGCATGACGGCATGGCCTTGCTTCGGCAGTACGACAGTGCCTGTAGTCCATTAAGGGCCTCTGTTTGGTGCTTCCCAGGGGCTCAGCAATGGGCGATGGAGTCTTCGACCAGACAAGTTGGACGGCAGTTCAAGAGATGAAACAGTCTGCCATGCTGAACCAGCATTCCCGTGATGTCAGTCGGAACAATCAGAAATCGCCGACAGCATTGAGAAATAGTAGCACCAACAAGTGTAGCATTTTAAGCTTGGAGGGCAGCCATGTTGGGTAGTGTCAAGGACAATCATTGGAACCTCGGGGATCATATAATCTCCACGGAGGTCTGACAGCAGGAGCACTTTCTCTCAACATTCGGTACTCCGGGCTACATACAAAATGACCATGGGGTTTCTCCATTGTACAATGGCATTTTTACTACGAATAAGCTATGGTTCACAACAAATACTTGTAGGTAAAAGTGTGGGATGTATCCCGTCTTCGACATTCCCCTCCCATCGCCCTCATTAAAGAGGACCCAACGGGAGGCGAACTTCCTATCGGGGAATTTCTTCTCCTGAACCGATCAGTCCCGAAGGACCGAAGGCAACACACGTCGTGGAGTTGTCAAAAGAGACAGGACGAGGGTCGTGGCAGGTTCAGTTGCTTTTTTTCGATGAAGAAAGAAAGTCGAATGGAGAGAATTTTGGCGCTTTTGTAGGTGCGTGTGGTCACGTGGCCGGATTATCTCGGGCCGAGGCTACACCCGTTGTGGACTAGTCTGCTATCCACACTGCATCCACTTTGGCTTCTTTTTTCATCTTCAATCTTCTCTTCTCGGCTGTTTGTTTATCTGCATTTGCATTTGCTTTGCGATTTGTGGTTCAATTTACAATTCAATTGACACTTGGCTTGAATACAATTATCAGCATCTGGCTGTTCTCGCCAGTACCATCCAGCGATTCATAATGTACAATCCCGAAACGGGAGGTCTGGTGCAAACACAAAAGGAATTCACCGCGATTGAAGGAATAATTCTTCTCCAATCATTGGTTCCAGGATATCTGCAAAATCTGGTTAGCTCAGGTTTCCTGGATATTAATGCCAAATGTTTTCGTGAAACTCACTATCCACCCATTGTCACTTGCTCAGCACTCGACCTCCAAGCTGCCCCACCCACTGCCACTGTGATCCCCAAAGCGATGGCAATCATGCTTCCCACCGTCACAACCGCTACCACCGCCTTCAATGCCATTCGCTGTCGAGTGCTCAAAGACTGCATACACGACCGTTTCGGTTGCTCCTTTTCCCACAGCTTTGATCGTCGCGGACTATCCGTCCTCGATGCGGAATAAGGTCCAGCATTCTCAATATCTCGCAAGTGGCTCTGGCTGAGATTGTTCTTCGTCTCATAAGTGAGTTGCTCGTAGGATATCGTAGGTGATCCGTGTTTGTAGAATGGGGAATATGGCTTCGCCCCTATCGTTGGGTCAAAGTCCTGCGGGTGGATGATTTCTGGAGTAGACTGGATGGAACATGATGGCGATTGTATTCGTGGGGATGTCGGCTTCTTCTCGTGTTTGTCGTCGCTTCCCTTGAGAGATGCGGCCACTTGGGCCCCAATCACTCCTAATCCATGCAGACTCATTGCGTTCTCGTTGAGAGCTTCACTGTGGTCTGCGTGCAGCTGGTGGCACCGTTTGTTTAGAATTTGGAGGACAATGATCGTCGAAACTTTCCCTTCGTCTTGGTCGCGGTTCTCCTTAAACTAGATTGGTTGGTCTTGGCTTCAGGGTGCCGAGGTGTTGTCGGTGGAGGTTGATTAAAAGCTTCGGTGGGGACAGAGATGGAGACAGCTGGGGCACCCCCGTACATAAACAATGTTGTGTCAACCTGGAATGCGCTCCAAGTCCACACAGACCGAGGCAGGCGCATCACTTCGACGAAGACGGACGTCAACAAAGCGTAAGACAGTTTTCAGAGAGAACGCTAGGCCAAGACACGCAAGGCGATCACAACAAACGACAAACACTCTTAAACAGCTCTCGTCTTTCTCAGTCAAACTACTCCGTGGAAGATCTCCTTTGCCAGATTCTCCACCAGTGCCCAATTAATCGAGTGTCCTTGGATAAATCAAATTCTCCCCTGTCCAGGTACAGTAGGGGTTGAGTGATTCAACAACGAGCCTGTTTTGCCGCACTGCAAGGTCAAATGTTTTGCCCGCTTTTGCCATCATCCCTTGATTCAACATCTCGTGCGGCCTACTCAATGCATTCCTCCCTACTCACTCAAGAAGGGATTGACTACCCCTGCAGGAGTCAATGCTGCAGCTATTGGCAGTTTGCGGACAAGAATGCATGCCTAGCGGCCGATCTGTTTGCCGCCCCGTGCGCTCTCGTTCCCCGTTGTCCGCATTCGTGTCCGCAACAACCCCCTTCCCCTATTCCAATGTGCAGGTACCAACTGAGTGCATGGTACGATGTTCTCCGTAGAACTCTGTCTGATCATAGTACTGCACAGACTCGTGTGGCAAAATCTGTGGGGTGCCGCTAATAGCTCTAATTTCGAGGTGGATTCGCCCAGAAATTCATATGTAACATTTGTCTCTCAGGTGGTTCTTCAACCTTGTAGTGTAAGATAGTTGTAGATGTCGCGATACAACTTACTAGACTCTGTACCCTATTACCTGAGGGGTGTATTTGTGTGCATTTGTTGTAGTTTTTTATTTATTTTTGATGTACGTTTTGATTCGTTGCGATCGGCGATCGGCCGGTGTTAACAATGGAACTTCACAACGGTTCCTTTTCTACAGAAAGCGCTACGTCTCAGAACAATGAAGTACCTGGTATCTACTAGTAGTATTTATATTCATTCGAAGTAGTGGGTTTCGTCATCGGCTCATGGTGTCTCATTTATTAGTTGTATTTCAGGGTTATGGTTGAAATATACTACCCATTCCAGTGTTGTCGCCCCGCCCGAGTCCGTCAAAAATATATTTCTCGGCAGGAGTTCAGTGCTGTGTAGTACTAGTAACATGGGGCATAGTATTCCACTCCAACCTCAACCTTTGGAACTTCCAACCTTGGAAAGTTGAATTTTTTAGGGGTCGGAAGTTATTAGTAAAGACTACTAGTAGTAGATAGTAATTCAACTTGAATTCGAAGCTTGAAAACCGTAAAATTCCAGCAGCCTCCAGCCGGGGCTTGTGAGCTATTACTCCTTCTACTACTATCGAAAAATTTCTTCAATCCACTGGCACCAGGGCAGTGTATTGCTAGAAATGTACAAGCTACTGGCTACTCGACTATGACTAGTACTACTAGTAGCTTCTGATTCAAAGCGAACATGTCATGAGATGCCTTATACTAGTATACAGGAGCAGTGATAGACTCAGCCATCCCTTGAGCCCGCCATCATGAAATAGACAATGTATCAATCGTGTCCAATATATGCTAATTTAATCTTCCCCAGAAAATGAGATGCCAGCATCTGCAAATTATGTTCATTCCGGGCACAAAATTCACTGGCCTGGCTCCCACCTTGATCGCGTTGGCATATCTATGGTCTCATGCATGGGTACATATTCCGCGACGAAAGGGGGCGGTGGATGCGGTAGATGTACTAGACGCGGGGGATACTGCAGACGCAGCAGATGCACCACTAGATGGGTTAGATGGACTCGTGGGCACTGGCGACAATTCCGGGTGCTCATTGCGGTCGGATTGCTCCAAAAGACCCCAGCCAAACTGCAGAAGTTCGCCAATACGATAACCAAGGTCGGATCCGATGTCACCCACATGTTTGAAGAGCTGTTGACTCCACATAAACTTCTCCTCGCGTCTGAGTTCCATGTATACCTTGGCGATTTGACCCATGCCGAAAATCGTAATGCTGACGCCCCACGCCTTCATGCTGTCCTGCAGGCAATATGGCATGGCTCGACTGACCTCGTCCGCATAGTATTCTGAAAGTTGATATTCTTTGTTGGTGAAAGGATCGGGGGGAGCAGATGTATATGCATATGCATGAGTCTGACCGAGCAGAGCCTGGAGGATGGACATCGCTGACCAGAAGAGAATATGTAACCTCGCACTATCCAAAGAGGAGAAGCCATAGGGACGACCGAATAAATGTTCCGATGAAGATATGTTTTTGCACGGAAAATCACCGCTCTCGCCGACGTAATGGCTGCCACCAATACGATCCTTCATGCGTGAATACCATGATAATAGTTTTTCTCTGTGTGCAAGGCAGTCATAGAGCGATAGGTGACAGGCCGTATTGTCGGATACATCGGTCATACTGACTGCAGCTGCAATTGGTGAGATATCGGCCATGAGTTGAAACAATTCATCAACAGCCACATTTTCGTTGGAGATCAAAGCCGCCGGGGTATGCTCTCTAGCCAAGTCTACTACATTATTTGCTTCAATTGGTGAAAGTGATTTTAACTAATGCCATGACAGTTAGTTGAATTGCATGAGATCGATAGAGAAGCCATTTCCTTGACTTCACGTGGGAGCTTACCAAACGCATTCGCTGGAATGCCAGACATAGAGTTTTGATGATGGGACTGTTAGTTGAATGTGATAAAATATGCTTGAAGATCCCGTTGGTCACTGCTGTTTGATGTACCATTACGTCAAGACCATGGGGACAATACAGCGCCTGAATTCGGTATCAGCTGATGTGCATTGAGAATATCAGAAGTTGGTACAGTAGACTTACCACCAGGATTTGAAAAATGCCAATTGTAAAGAAAAGCTCATCGGTGTACTTGTTGCGGCTAAGCTCCTGCGATACATGGTGTATCGCACCATTATATAGCTGAAGTCCATGATTAAGCATGCGAGTGTCCTTGTTGAGCTTGCCAAGATAGATACAAGACGTCGCCGCCATAGCTTTCTCAAGCATCACGGGCTTATTTGGTATGGCGGATATTCCGGAAAGCAGAATATACCAAGGATCGAGGTCGATAGTTCCCGTGATGTCATCGGGAAAGTAGACATTAATATATGAAGCGACAATTTGCTCTCGGCTGAATGAAGCTGTATTCACTGTCATTGGCGGTCGCGCCGCAACCTGACCCGTGCGACGACGATCCCGCGGTGACTTCTGTTCATCTTTTTGGTCGGAGCCATTCTGGTAGACAAAAACAAGCCTTCTTTCATATCCCTCGCACTGAATGCCTCTTTTCAGACAATTGCCGCATTCTGGCCGTTGTGTGTCACACTAAACGCCCCCCCCACGTTAGTGTCGAAATTCGGGGTCCAGGGGTAATTTAGATGAGTGGGCCTTGTATGTACCTTTACTCTCCGCCGTTTACAATTCGTGCAGCCCTTGGATTGAAAGGGCTTGCCACCCATGCTTGCGGTGAGAACGAGCACTTGATGGTGCGTGAATTCTCCAACTTCATGAGTTGGCGGGGCTGGGGGACGTGTTTAGGAGTGAGGGTTTAAAATGGAGTCGGGATGGAGAATCCCTCAGACCCGAACGTTGGCCCCGAAAGAACAGGGTCCACCAGGGCCCACCTATTTGCAGGAGTACCCAATGGTAGAGGATGCTGAAACCTACCAAAGCAGCCTGAGGTGCAAAAGAACAGATGTTTGTGGAAGTGAGCGTTTGCTAACTGCTTCTTTGTACTCCGCACTCCGTAGTAGCCGCACATTTGGCGAGCCTATCAAAAGCAATTATCGACTACGGGAAGGAATTTCATGCCCCTTGCCGAAAAGGGGGAATTGGGAGTCATTATCCGATCGCCAAGATAGAAATTATGTAAAATCTGCGAGTCAGGGCCTCGTTGGCTACTGCCGTGAAAAGTCGTGCGCTTTACAGACACTTTTTCGGCTCTTGGTACATTTGATCGGGCCATATTTTCCTGTGTGCTTCTTTGAAATCACAGGGAGAAGCGGATCTCAAGTAGCATGCGACTTTTTTGTGGAGCAAGTTCAAGTCGTCATGTCTCATACTAGTAGTGATATATAGTAGCTTTGAACTTGGAACTATTACTACTAGGTAGGACTGCGCCAACTTCAAGGTTCAACCTTTCAAGTTTCTATTCCGAGTCGGCTACACAACCCATAACTTCGGGTTACACTGGCAGCTGATAAAGCGAATTTGTTGTTGATCATTCACCCAGGAGGTTTCTAAATAATTCATGTAGCTAGTAGTATAACGATCTCAGTTCTTTCTGCAACTTTGTCCAATGTCGTATGAATGATTCGCGAGATATTTTCCAGGTTTCTTTTACAGCATATTTAACAAACTATAAATGTTAGCAACTGAAGTTTCTTTACGGGCTCCTGTTGATTCGGCTTACTTCCAATGACACCATTGACAGGAATATCGATCGAGGTTGTGTAGCTCGCAGCATCACTCAAGAGATACACATAAGCACCGCCGAGCTCTTGAACCTCCGCCAGACGTGGAAATCCACCGTAGTATTTCAACTGCTGCTCCCAATCGGGCTGCTGGGGGACCCAATATGTCATTGCAGTATTCACAAGTCCAGGCGAGACGCTATTCACGCGAATGCCATACTGAGCCCACTCCATAGCAAGGGTGTGCGTCATATTCCGAATGCCAGCTTTGGATGCGCCGTAGGGGGTGGATGGAACGCGCTGCAGAAGTCAGCCGACGCGATAATTAAACATGACTAGCAAAAGGCCAATAGAACGGTAGATAAATTCTAAAAAATCAGCTTTACGCACCTTGTTAGGACGATACGAAGCCATTGAAGCTGTGAACACAATCGCCCCCTTGATTCCGAGCTTAATGAATGCGCGGGCGGCACACCTGGCCGTGTAAAATGCGCCAAAGAGCTGAAGAATTCCAATTAGTAAGCCTTGTCCACCTGAAATCTGGTCATGAGAAAGTGTCATATGAGACTCACGTTTACGGAAAACAGCGCCTCGATCTCTTCGGTCGTGAAATCCAGCGCGGCCTTGTGGTTCGTCCGTCCTGCATTCACGACCATCCCGTGAAGCGCACCGGCCTCCTCAACGATTTTATCCACAGCGGCGGAGATGCTAGCTTCCTGTGTTACATCGGCTTGGACTGCGAAGACTTGGTTTGGGAAACGCGTAGACAGTTCCTGGAATTCATCACCAGTTTCGCCGATGTCGATGGAGTAGACCTTGGCAGCACCGTTAACGAGACAACATTCTGCGACACCGAGTCCGATTCCTCGATTTGCACCGGTGACTATTGTAATGTTTGTCAATTACCAAACTTTGCGCAGCCAAGAAATTACTAACTAGCGATGACTTTTGATTCAAGCGCAATCTTGGTCTGGGGCTCAGCTGGTGCGGACTGCGAAGGGATGGAAGATGACATCTTATAGAAATGTTTGGCATTAAAATTAGGTGATATTACCACTAAAACAGAGAGAATGTTTATCCTGGGGACCCCGCAGTTTTATAATTTGTATAAAGAGGTCGGACAGACGCGGGGTTAAGAGTACTCTGGGGTACTTTTCTTTTTGGCTCGACTCGAGGTAAACTGGACGATCGGAAGGATTGCATTTATCCCTAAATCTTTGGAAGCCAAGAAGGCGAGATCAAAGACGACTGGGGTATTTGGGTCAATTTACGAGCGACAGTGCTTTCCAATTCGTTCGGATATTGGGTGGATAATGGACCTCGACTCGAGGGCCACAAGCCCCGCACGGAGGTGGTCCGAAAACAGGGCACCACTATGGCAGCATCGTACAAGCAGAGTGTTACAGAGAAAGACCATTTATTTAGCTTGGAATCCGAAAGAATATCGAAGGAATAAACCTCGCGGTTCTATATTGAGGATAGAAAATCTATATCCGTTTCGCTCATAATTCATAGTACTCATATCCCTTAATCCATATCGACATCGCATTCATCTTCGTTATCGTAGTCGCCCCAGAACTCTTTCAGATCCTCAACTCGCCATGTCGTCGCCCATCCAGTCTCACGCTCAATTCGGACCAACGTCTCAACTATAGCTTCATGCTCGGAGTAATGCGACATGACCTTTCCGGCTATCCAGAGGGGTTGCAGCGCATTGGTCCAGCATCCACTGAAGTAGGAAACGATCAGTATTTTGATAATTTAATTTTTTCAAGAAACAAAGAAACAAAAAGGAAAAAACTTACTGGTGAGAATTTGAAGCAGAGATAGCGCAAATTTGGCGAGCATGCCAAAGGACAGATTTCTAAGACTTTGTTAGCGGATGTTCATATAAAGAAATATTTTGGGACGTTTTAAACCATACCGGCTTTTTCGAAAGGACTATCGTCTTCGGTCTTTGTTGGAGTAATAGTAAGGCACTGACATGATACAGCTGATTTCCGGAAACTGGCGATTGTTCAATATGATTAGTTTCAAGAGCCAAAAGAGTTCAAGGATGGTCAACGTACTGGCAGCTCCATTTCCATATAGCACCGTTGGAAAAGGCTTGTCCCGTGAAGCTTGGCTGGGGGTTGAAACAGTGAAGATAGACTTCATCTGGCTGGGCCGATTCTCATACCATTGTTCCACATGTGTGAACAAATCTCCCCAGCGGTGGACGTAAGAGTTTCCATCCTCTTCAGGAAACGACTGACACGATGTGCAGGGATGCGGGGCTTTGGATGATGACCCGAAGAGAACGCTGAGTGTTTCTGCACATAGATAGACAGTGTAATTGGCATATGTGTCAAAATTTGTCTTGTTGGAAGAAAGAAACAAACGCGATGCCTCGGAGCAGCTCATATCTCTGGGCCTCCAGTTGTGAATTGGAATGATGGTATCTTCCTCAGAGATGAGACCACCGCAGACGTCCATTCTTGCAAAACACCAGAAAAGGGCCTGCTCTTCATTCCCGGAGAAGCCATTGATACCCGCGGCCTGAATCAGATAAGCACATCCATCCAAATGGCGTCGCCACTCCTTTGGGTTGCAGGACAACATTTCCAAAACGCAGAGAATAACGCAAGAAGCAATCACAGGTGTACTCTTGCTTTCTAGCTCAGGGAATAGAAGATGGATAGCCTCTTGATACAAAGATAAGCTCTCTGATTGAGACTTTTCGTTTTGCTCTCTCTCCAACTGTCGCGCCGACAGAGCTAGAATTGAGTATCGCAAATGCGGCGATGTCTTTGCCATCTGGGGAAACGTGGAGGCAAAATGCCGATTATTGTCGAACATATCGAGCTATTACTGTTAGCCAACGAATATTTGCTGAACTAAGAGCAAAGAACTTACCCATGAGCAGATTTCATTCAGATAATTCTGCCACAATACGTGTTCTCGCTCTGGAGACAAGTCAAAATATCGACCTGCGCTAGAGCGCTGAGGCTGTCGCGTAGATTGACTGAAAGAGTTATCGCTCCGGCCTGACGGCGTATTGACATGAGAGATAGACCCCTGTGAGCTGGCCCGTCTTGGAACATCCGGTCTAGCAGTCCATAACTGGCGGTTTCGTAGCGCCGTGTGAAGGGCCTCGTAGGCCGACCCCGGAAGAAAGACATCATTTGCGAAATCAGCTGGGTCGGAGAAGACACTATGATCAAACAAAGGGGATGGCACAGTTTGATATGAGCCCTCCACGGAAGAATGGAATTGAGCACCGTTGAGATTCCTCAGTGTAGCAAGGTCATCGATGGCATATCCAGGACTGGAGTTCAAATAGGCGTGAGGCGAAGCATGATCCGGTAGTTGAGGCTGAAAGTCAACATGCAGATTGGCCGGATATTGCTCTTGGCTGGTTGATCCATGCTGGTGTACATGACTTGCACCCCGCCCAATGGCCTCACAGTGGGGGGAATTGTGACTAGGACCGTGCGACGTATGGGACGAGGTATTGCCGGTCAGTGGGGGTGATAAGGGAGGACCAATATCAGTCAAATTGGAAGGTCGATCCGCATATCCAGAAGCAGTAGGGATATTTGACTGGACTTCTGTCGCCGCATCCATTGGCATATCGACATTGGCGGTCGTCTTTGAAGGCGAGATAGAGGGGCTCTTTCGCCCCGATAGGTCGGGGCTTTCTTCGATCGGACGTTTGGCCCCCCCTAGTGCGATGCTGACCAGGCACAGCATTCAAGATCTTGAATTTACTTTGGCGCTTGTTTTTGCTCACAGCGCCGCCCTGGCTCATCGAGGGGTGATTGGATTCCAGTATTTTGATGTTGGAATCGCGAAATGAGCCCAGCAGGCGCCATTGGCACTCATCACCTCGGCGCTTACAGCCAGTGCAAGTCGGCCTTTCTTCGTCACATTTTCGTCGACGACGACTGCAGTTGAGACAGCCAGTTCGGGTGCGTTTCTTAGGCTCAAGTTGCCTCGCATCTTGTCTATGTTCCTGCGACAATGAGGGTGGATGGCTCTTGTCGGTATCCATGTCTGCCGAGAGAATATTGAAGATTGTGCTTGTCATCTCGCTGGTCAAAGGCCGCCACTGCAGAATCTGGGGGTTGGGATGGAGGGTCTGTACGACGTGGGGATGGAAGGACTACATAAAAGCCACTTGCCGAAAGGAGAACTTTTAAGCGCTCAGTCGGTCCCACCGGCTGGCTTGCCGTTGGTCGGCCTCCCGAGGAGTTTGGTGGCGTGGAGCGGCGTGGAGTCAGGTTTCTGGGGTATCCCCGAGAAAGGGCGGAACTCGTCATACGGCAATAGTTGACCAGGAACTCGGCAAGAAGCGAGATGATCGTCAGGGCCAGTTTTTCCTATGTCGAGAAGTGATACTACTCTGTCCCAAGGTTGGTTAAGAGAGAAGTTGCGTCCTTGTATAAAATTTTACATAGTGCTCGATAATTTACATAGCGTTCCCGAGGCCGGGAAAATAACAAAATTCGTTGAAAATAAAATAATTTGCTCCAGCCTTGCTAGCTTGCAACGTGATCCTCCAATGAAGCATAAATCTATTCAAAATGCTGGGCCCCTACGCTTTCGGGATCTTTACCGTGAGGAACGGCATCTTTCTCGTGAGCAATGCGCGTCTCTGCATCTCCGGCCACTCCCATAGAAGATTGCCAGTAAAGCTTGACCTTTTCGCCAGTGAAGAGGTGGTCGATCTGCTCCAGTGTGAGGTGTCGTGTTTCGGGGTAGAAGAAGTAGATCAAAGGAAAGAAGCAGAAGTTGAAAACTGATTTCGTGTTAGCAAGCTGCGAAAAGAAAGAAATCCAAGGACCCCGATTGAGGGGCGCATACCGGCAAAGTAGATATAGGTCCGATAACCTATGTTTGAAATTGAGACGGGGGTGATTTCCACAACCAGGAAAGTAAAGATCCCTGTTTATTATGTTAGCATCAATAACAATTCACGATCTGACTTTAATTTCGTACAGTTGGTAGCAGTGGCCAAGGATGCCGAGCGGGTTCGGATGGCAAGGGGTGCGTATTCCGCAGGCACTGTGAGGAATATTAGCATGGCTCTAAAGAATATAAGAAGGCGTCGAAAAAACTTACAGAGCCAAGGAATGGCTAGAAGACCGACTGCAAAGAAGAAATTGAACATAAACAGCATAACCGTGGCCACCAAACCAGAGGAATGGGTTCCATCCCAGACAGTACCAGCCAAAATAGCCATGCAGCATCCCTGCCCAATGACGGCAAACATCATGAGTTTGCGACGACCAAGACTGTATTATTTTAGTATTTATTCCCGGGCTAGCAAATAGACTTGATCTTACCGGTCAATGACCCAGATGGGTACTCAGGAAGAGAAGAAGTAAGCCACACCGTTGAAACCTGCCAAGAGGAGGGCGGTGTTGTGGTCCATTCCTACGGACTCCTCAAAGATGACGGTTGCGTACTGTTCTTGAATTAGCAAAAGTAAAGATAATCAGATGTATTTGGTTACCCACATAAGTGATAAGGTTGATGCCCGATACCTGCTGCATCATCTGTCCACCCATACCCAGAAGAGTTCGTGTAAAGAAACGTTGCGGACCATCCTTGAAGAGCAACTTGAAAGACCCTTCGGCTGAAGCCTCAGTTTCTTCGCGGATAGCTTGTGAGATATCTCTGACATCAACACTGACGACGGTATCGTGTTCATCAATTTCGCGTGCGTTGTCCTGCAGGGACCAAATAATGTGGCGAGCCTCATCTTCTTTTCCATGTTTAATGAGCTAAATGACGGTTAGTCTATATGCTGTGAATTCAAGCACCCTTTGACGTACCCATCGAGGAGATTCCGGAAGGAAGACAACACCGATAAATGTAAGGACAGCGAAAGCAATCTGGATTGCAATGGGAACGCGGAACTGTGCCTCGCTAGAGTTATACGAGAAACCGTAGTCTGACAGACGTAAGTATAATGCATGTTAGAGTTGGGATTGAACTTTACTCACCGACCCAGTACGAGAGCATGACACCAAAGATGTTGATAGCCAATTCAATAGCCAGCTATGTAGATTGTCAGTGCGTTCCCTTTTATTTCATTTGATAAGCGACGTACTCCTTTGCCACGGCTCGCTGCTTTACTCAACTCCGAGTGCCAGACAGCTAGAAAAGGGATGATCGTCAGTCGGTTCCGAAAACGATCTCTGAAACAACCAAAAAAACTCACGGATTGTGCTTGTGTTGAGACCATTGCCAACTCCAGCGACGACACGACCGACAATCAGTTGGGGGATTCCATATGCACTACATTGCAAAGCAGCGCCAATGCTGAGAATAGCACATCCAGCCATGATACACTTGCGTCGACCAAGCATTTCGCCGACAAACAAGGAGATTATAGCACCTAGGAAGCAACCCTATTCAATCAGAATATAGAAAGAAGAATTCTTGCTTCGATTGACTCACTATTTCATAGATAGCAACGCTATACAGGAAGGGATTGTGAGCTTTCGGCCTCGCGGTTGATGGTTTGCGTCCACTTACACTGTCCCTTGTAGCGCAGAGCTACCATGTCCAGTCTTAGTTGTATTGATCTCAGGGAACCTTGCAACAAAGGCATCACCAGTCAGAAGACCTGACATCACACCCTGATCATAGCCAAAAAGCCTGTGGCGATCAGCAAGGGATATCAGTCGAACACGAAAGGAAGAAGCACATACAGGAAACCACTGCCAGCAGTGGCCGTGATGGCCCATGCCAACTCTCGTCCGGTGAGGAATGTCATGGCACCGTTCAAGAATTGAAATTTTCTTTAAGGGAAAAACTGCACTAACGAAAAGCCGCAGTGAGAAGTTCTAGATGATGTGAAAGTAAACAAGCACTTTGTCTAAGTCCAATGTTGTGGGGCTCTGGCTCCTTTTATAAAACGACCCTGAAGTGTCACCCACGTTTGAGACGACCGAATCGGTGGCGCCATTCAAGGTTCCAGGAATCCATGGCGTAGCTGGGGACCGGGGAATCAGAAGAACGCGTGCCCCGGAATCGTAATAATCCGGGTCTGAAAAGCGGGCGACGTCCGGGATTGCGGGGTGTGCAGGAAGAATTCTGGCACAAAAATACCGCATCGAGTAGGCTTGGTCCTGCGGTTTCCCGTGTGTTAGTCGCAATCCTTGCAGATCAGATATCACGAAGTTTAAAGATCCCCTGCGCCAACTCTTTCCTTCGAGCTAAAAGCCCCCATTATCCCCATCATTCCTCTTCAGACCTTTAGCTCCCAAACCCTGTAGCTTAATTTTGACACACGAGCAAAACTCGGCATCCCTCACGTATCTACTATTCCGATGAAAAGATATCGGTGGGCCGAACCGAGTCTCCCCCCACAAGTGACCTCGTCGCCCGAGCTAGTTGAAAATGTTTCCAGATTTGGTATATTTAAGCACCGCAAACGCCGCTCTCCAGGCTATGATTTGCTCGAAATGTGGGGCTCGTACGCCTCGTCGATTTCTTGCCTCCTGGTTATCTCGCCTCTGTTTCGCAGTCTTATGCCCCAGCCCGCCTTCTCCATTCTTTACCCCATGCCCAGCGCCCCTTGAGCAACCCCATGAATTTCCACAAAGGGTAACCATATGCACTTCCAGAAAACCCACTCTCGGTCGGGCTGGTGCCAGCCATAATCGGCATGATTTGTCGGACTCTGGGAAGGAGTCTGGAAATTGGAGTTTAGGCAAATCGATTGCTTTAGAAACCGTTCCACTGTGGTTCTCAACGCAAAACTTCCCTAGTTGGGCAATGTATAACCACACTGCACCATGGCCAGCTGTGGGTGCTTTGTTGTTGCATTACAGCAAGGAAACTCCCTTATATGAAGTGGACATTCCCAAAGCATAGCAATTGGCACCTTTCAAAGTTTCTTCCTCCAATCTAACCTTCCACCATGGCTCCCTCTATCTCTAACACCACCCTCGACCACACACTCCCAGCAGTCGTGCCAGAGTCCAACGAGACTCCGGCCGCGTTTGCGCCCACCAATGAACTCTTCTCCCTCCGCGGTCGCACAGTCGTCATCACTGGAGGTGGTCGTGGACTCGGCATGACCCTGACCACTGCTGTCCTCGAGGCTGGTGGTGATGTTGCTTGTCTGGATCTTCTCTCTGAGCCCAGCCCCGAGGAGTGGGTTGCTGTTCAGAAGCTGGCCACCTCTCGCGGTCTGAAGGCGACCTACACCAAGTGCGACATCACAGATGAGGCCTCGACCAGGGAGACCCTCGAAAATATCGCCGCGCAAGCTTCGCAGCGCAACATGCCCATGCGCGGTCTCATCACATGCGCCGGTATTCAACAGATGGTCCCTGCTCTCGACTACCCCGTTGAAGGATATCGCAAGATGCTTGATGTCAAGTAAGGCGACCATGAAGACGTCGATGAAATTGCTCGAATCAAAATACTAATCATAACTGTTCTAGTGTCCTTGGAACGTTCATCCCCGCCAAGCACTTCTCCCGCATTCTCGTTGAGCAGAAGGCTCCCGGTAGCATTGTGATGATTGCCTCCATGTCCGGCCAGATCGCCAATCGCGTGAGTATTCCAAAGAAAAAAACTGTCTACCTTTGAATCAAGGTTTTAACTATTCCTCTTCATCTTAGGGTCTTACTTGCACCGCCTACAACTCCTCCAAGGCCGCTGTCCACCAGATGTGCCGATCGGTCGCTCAGGAATGGGGCCAGCACAACATCCGCGTCAATACTCTGTCCGCCGGAGTAAGTCTCTCCATAACCTGAAAATTATTTCTAATGCTAATGACCCAATCAGTATATCCGCACTGCTATGACCGACGCCCTTCTGAAGGAGAAGCCCGAGGTTGAGGAGACCTGGATGCGCGGAGCTTTGCTCGGTCGCCTGGGCGCCCCAGAGGACTTCAAGGGGCCTACCATCTACATGCTTACCGATGCCAGCGCGTGGATGACTGGTGCCGATCTCCGTGTTGACGGTGGCCACTGTGCTGCTGCATAAGCTTGCACTTTATGGAATGATGAACTAGACGTGGCATGTTTATGGCGTTATAGACTGGGGTTCTTTTATAGTATAGATCTTTATAAAGTGGCAATATATTTCAAGTTGCTGATTGGTCTCCAAAAAATGTTTATATCCATTGGCTTATATTCTAAATTGAAAGCAACCATCTAGATCTCTGTCCCCTAGCTCCAACAAAATTCCGACCTCGGCTAATTGCCGGCTGCGATCTGCGATCTGCGATTCGGGTCAACAGCCCTTTCAATATTCAAAGTTTCACCATTCAAGAAGGAGGGGCTCTGCACGGCATTGGTAAATTTATTGATGATTTCCTATAGACAGCTTCTTCATAAATTGATAAACCATGGAAATCTATTCCAACCGACCCATGTCGGTTAAATGTGAAAGTGCCCAGGTGCTTCCCCGCCCGGTGCCATGCTAATCGTAGAGATAAACCTTGGAATGTGTTGCTGCCCAGGTGGTGCTGCAACTTGAAATATATAGACATGTCAATCCAGATGTTTAAGTAATATAATAGCACTGACCTCGAACAAGAAGAAATCCGATCTATTTTCAGATCGAGCGAAACCGGGGACACCTGGGCACTTTCTAGATTAGTTTGTGGGGCGTGGGGTAACACGACGCTACATCATCATGTGTCGGGCGACACCGCGCCGAAGCGGGCTTTTGTCACCCGACTCTGCGAGCTGTTGCTTTAATACCCCAGACTCCGAGAGATCAGGAGCGGCATTCATCCAGACCCGAATCCCAATTCATCTCATACCCCATTACAGCCGCCTAACATGTCTATGAGCTCTCAGGATTGCGGCCAAGTCCGCGAGGGATTCCCTCGTCCTTTCCCTGACACGCCTACCAATGTTTTCGAGCAACTCAGCTTGAAGGGCAAGGTGGTAGTCGTCAATGGTGCAGCGGATGGGATCGGTCTGGCCGTTGCTGAGGCTATGGCAGAGGCTGGCGCTGATGTCGCCTTTTGGTACAATTCGTAAGTTTGCACAGAATCTAGCAATGGAGCTTTTCTAACAAGAATCATAGGAATGATGCTGCCATTAAAAAGGCACAAGAGCTGGCGACTTCCCACAGCATCAAAACTCAGGCATACAAGGTCGATGTCTCGAATGCCGATTCTGTGCAGAAGAATATCACTCAAGTCGTGAAGGCCTTTGGAAAAATTGACGTCTTCGTCGCTAATGCTGGTGAGCTTCTGAGACGCATAAAGTGATATTAAATATATTCTGACACTTTTGAACAGGAATGGCAATCTCAAAGCCCATTCTGGAGCAAACCCTGGAAGAATATCACAAGCAGATGACGGTCAATGGTGAGCAAACTTCGTCTTATGAGTCAAAATAAGTTTCTAACTATCTCCAGTCGACGGCATCGTCTACTGCTCTAAGTTCGTGGGTGAGGTTTTCAAACGCCAGGGCTTCGGAAATCTCATCCTCACATCCAGCATGAGTGCTAAAATTGTCAACGTCCCCGTTGATCAACCTGTTTACAATGCCACCAAGGCCTTTGTTACCCACTTTGGAAAATCCCTTGCTCGCGAATGGAGGGAATTTGCACGTGTGAACATTGTCTCTCCCGGATTCTTTGATACCAAGATGGGTGCTAGTCCTGGTTGCATTAATGAAGCATACCGCATGTCGTCTCTGGGGCGACAAGGTCATACGAAGGAAATCAAGGGCTTGTACCTCTATTTGGCAAGTGATGCGTCTACCTATATGACTGGCAGTGACGTGCTTATTGATGGGGGGTATGTTTTGCCTTGAATGGTCACCTAAAAGAGCAGTCATAGAATACATAGACTATAGATAAATGCGAGTAGATAAAGAAGTGTTTTTCTTAGTGAAGTACTTGTGCAACTTGATAACATCTAAATAAATGAGGGAAGCTTTTTTTTCTTCTGAAAATTACAATTTAAACCAATTGCTATGGAGTCTTTGAGGGTTGAAACTTGATGTTGCTAGCTAATCGAGAACTCTTCGGTCGGCAGTGCCCCGATATAAGTGGAGTTCTCCGTGTGTATTAGTTAACCAAAAGCTAGGACATCCAGGTGAAATATAATGCTACTTCCAAGGTTCGGATTGCTACTGACCGACGGCTTCTTCCAAGGTTTCTATCCGCCGATACCGTTATGCATGATTCGAACGACCCAGTGGCTGGGTATTTAGCCTTTCGCCACAGCCCTCTGACCTCTCCATTCTGACACACCTCTGCTGCTCCCATTCCAGCCTTTACTATTCGATCCTCGTCATACGACTCTGCAGCCAAAAACCGCAATATGACGGTCTTACCTAGTCGAGAAGAACTCACTTCTCGTGTTGTTCCGTCGATGGTTTTCAGTGATGGTAGTGCCTCATCTATGACCCCCGCTCCTCCATCGACGATAGAAAGCGACCCCGCTGTTGGTGCCGAGAAGCGATTTTCTGTCCGAGGAAATGCAATTATCACTGGTGGTGCCGGCACTCTTGGTCTTCAAGCATGTAATGCCCTTCTCGAGCATGGTCTTCAGGGACTTATGATATTCGATATCAACCCCGCAAATTCAGAGAAGGAGATCGCTCAACTGCAAACTAAATTCCCCGAAGCCAAAATCAAATACCAAAAGCTGGACATTACAGACGAAGAAGCCGTCAATTCAGCGGTAGAAGAAACATCCCGTGTCCTAGGCTCAGTGGATATTCTGGTCTCATTTGCTGGCATTGTTGGTGTTGTTGAGTCACTTGAGATGCCTATATCCGAATGGCGAAAGATGCTGGATATAAACACTACAGGTGCATTTATCTGCGCCCAGGCAGCAGCTCGACACATGGTCAAGCAAGGCTCCGGAGGCTCAATCACGTTTATCGCAAGCATCTCCGCTCACCGTGTTAACTTTCCTCAACCACAAGTCGCATATAATGTGAGCAAATCAGCTCTTTTAATGCTGAAAAGCTCCCTTGCTACTGAATGGGCCCGATATGGCATTCGCGTTAATAGTGTGAGTCCTGGGTATATGGATACTATTCTGAATGAAGGTGACGGCATCGCTTCTCATCGAGAAATTTGGTCCCAGCGCAATCCTATGGGTCGAATGGGTAGCCCATCGGAAGTCACCGGTGCAGTCGTCTTTCTTAGCAGTGCGAGTGCTTCATATATCAATGGGGCAGATATTGTTGTTGACGGAGGAGCCATTTCACTGTAAATAGTTGGGTGATATTGCACATTTTCTCTCTCGACTTTGTCTGGAGTACATTCTAATCGACATTCAATCAAAATCAAGGCTGATAGAATCGAGCATACTCCTTATTTACTCGAATTAATTATCATCTCAAGAGGTAGAACATGCATCTCGAAAAAGTTGTATTCGGACTGGCTTAAATTGCCGTACCGTACCCGCGGCAAATGTGAATGTTGGGGTAGAATCCGGCGTCGGTCGGCTATGCTCCGACATCCCGCATCGAATGACGAAATACCCGACAACATTGTCTTCAAGCTCCGAATGACATGCTTTCGCGTGATTTCATACTAGAGACCTCGGAAATTATATAGTTCCTTGTATCATGCGGCGGTCTGGGAAGAAGAATACCCTTGCACCTGCAGCGCGAGCATGTACAAACTGTCAAAAGCGCAAGAGCCGATGCCTACATTCTCGTGAGAACAACCCTTGTTCGTTCTGCGAAAAGACCGGGAAGACCTGTAGTTTTGAGGGTCCCCCGGATCGAACCCCCTTGACGCGAAGAAATCTCGATGCGGCTGAGTATCGGTGTACTCAGCTCCGATCACTCCTTCAGTCGCTTAATCCCGATGTGAACATCGAAGCTGCGCTAGCGGAACGAAGCAACGAATCTGCGCTGGAAGAGCGTGTCGATGCCTTTGACTCCAGCCATCAATTTGATAAGGACAGTGAAGTTACCCCGGATAGTTATGAGTGGAAGGAAGGATCACTTTCCCCCACGGATGGCATGGCCACTCTTTCGGCCACCGAAGCGGGGTACTTTGGTTAGTGGATACGCGATATGTTCTTGAAGTCAATGATTACTTTGATCCGGCGATTAATATTTCACAGGAAGTAGTTCTGGTTCACGACTTTTGGAAGAGATAGATTCTTCCATGACCGAAACGATGAAACTGCAGCAACACAAGGGATCCAGAAAGTTTCACCAAGCTAGGCCTACCAGAGACCCTCCAGATCTTATCATTTCCTACGTGACAAGCAATCTCATGGATGCTTATTTTGAGTTTTATCATATTCACTACCCTGTCTTACACGAGAAGACGTTCAGGGAGAGGGTCACTTCACAAAGCAAATTCTCCCCTCCATGGAGAGTCACCTACTATTTGGTTCTTGCCATTGGCCAATTCTGTTCCTCGAACACAGAGTCCGAATATCCGGAAACATCGGAGTTCTACAACGCAGCCCGGACAGGGCTATCCCTTCAGATGCTGGAATCAGGTAGCGTCGAGACTGTTCAAGCCTTTCTGCTTCTCGGAAACTATCTACAGAAGAAAGACCGAACGAACACCGGGTACAACTACATTGGCCTTGCTTACCGGCTTGCTCTCGGAATTGGATTACATCGCGAGGCGACCGGTGCTCAAAACACCATTGGCCACGAGCGAAGGCGACAACTCTTTTGGACTATGTACTGCTTCGAAAGTGGATTCAATATCACAACTGGCCGACCGCCAACTATGACAGATGGATTTATCGATATTAGTCTCCCTCGCAATATTGATGACCAAGTATGAACCCTTCACAAGAGACGATAACCCCTCGCTTACGATTTTAGGGCCTCTCGCTTGAGTCCCCCGTACCGGAAGAAGTGGACTACCCGACGATTTATTCCGTGATAATTTCCCAAGCCAAGCTTTCCCGAATTGGAGACACTATATACCGCGAGTACCTCTTGGCAAAAACCGCTGGCTCTAGGATAGAGTACCGACTCGCCGAATTACTTGAACGAGATTTGACAAATTGGCGAAAGGCACTGCCGAGCTACTTCACTTTAGCAGGAGCTCCACCTTGGTTCCTCGCACCACGTTCAGTTCTTCGATGGAAGGAGCAGAATCTTCGAATTCTACTCTGGCGCGGCAGTCAAAAGTATCACAGCTACCTTCCGACGAGATTTAATGCCGAAGAAAAATGCTTGGACGTGGCTATGGAGAGTGTGCACGATATCGCGACATTTTGGAGGACCTACGAAAATGCATCTTACCACATGGTATGGTACGCAACATACTGCTTGCTCCAGGCGACGCTGGTGATTTTGGTATTGTTTCTCGGCAAAGACACACAATATCAATCAAGCCAAGAGCTACCGTTGTGGCATCATTCGGTCTTTGAGGCTCGAGACTGCTTTCGACAACTAGCAAAGAGGAGCGTCTCGGCCAGACGCTGCCTCGAAATGCTCGATCGAATTTGCACTAGATTCGAATCGCTCCCGGCGTTAAATTTGGCTCTCGATTCTCAAGATATTCCCTCCAAAATAACGCAAACGCAAGCTCAGAGGTGCATATGCCACTCTTCAACGATATCGCACAGCAAATACCGGAGCTCACGGACCCATTAAGTGAAAATAATCTTATTTTTGGTGAAGATGGCCAGGTCAACATGAATGATGACACTGGCAATGACCTACGCATGTTCATGAATGAGGTGTCTCTTGATTTTATGGGAAATATGCCACTTGACTTGCTTTTTAATGATTGGGTAGACTACTCCTGAATGTTGAATACTAGTAAGCGTTTCATGTCTGCTGAGTTACGATGCTTCGGTTGACCCAATGAACGCCTATTTGCACGAAATATCTCTTCATAAAGCAGCCCGAAATCTCCGGCTCTAGGCCTGTGAATTATTGTGCACACGGGGTGCGAATACAGTGAAAAAGGATAGTGATAGGACTGCGCAGACATCATGAGTCGTGCACGGGAGTATCCAGAAAAATGGAAGATGAACCCCGAACTTGTGTATTTTTTGGTTCATTGACTTGATTATCTTTGTAGAACATGAATAAGCTTTCAGTTAACTAAAATCTAATCATTTGTGAAAAAAAGAAAATTAATTTCATATTAGCAGGTGGGCGGCTCGAACCCTCGACCCCACGTAACAGGGAAAAAGTGGGGCTGTGACTGGGCGATGTTCGTGATGTCTCAAATTGGGCAACTTCAACAACCCACCCCAAGCATCACAACTTGATATAAGGATAATCCACCAACTATTCATGAAATAGTATAGTTTGAAAGAACAATCAAGTAGGAATTTATCAGTTAAACCAATCCTGCAAAAAAAGAAAAAGAAAGGAGAGCTAAAGCTCATTCCCCCAGCTCCAACTCCGTCGCTGACGGTAGGCTGGTCACAGGTTCCCACCCACCCATCTGTGACCTCATCTGCATAGCCCAGACGTAGCTATGCACCAACCAGTGCCTTCTCTGGAGCGTTCTCCAGATTAGGCCGGCAGTGTGGGAGCTACCCAACTGCACCACTGGCGAGGTGTTAGAAGGCCGAGACTGGTTTACCCTTTTGACCTCGCTCCTGCCCTAGTATTAATATCCGTACTATGGAAGTGATGTTTTTGTTTGCATACTCCCATCAGCAAAGATGAAGCTAAGATAGCCACCATGATGCTCAGATGCGGAGGTCACCCACTGACCTCCATAATCTCAACATCGCCTGCGGAGAATGTTCTTACACTTCACGCCACCACAAACACAATCATAACCTCAATCGCAAATTCCATTTTTGTCTCGGTTCATCACATAGCACCAAGTTGTTTCCATCTCTGCGTGTGTGATTTTATTTCTCTTCCCTTCACAGATGTACTCTCCTTTGCAGCTGCACGCCATTGGTGACAACGAAACCCAGTCGGATTGGGGTTTCGTGATGCGCAACAACTTCCCATCGCAATTCTACCCAGGCGCGCAATTATAGCGAGCGCAGCTTCATCCGACACCTCATTCATACGCAAGATGGGAGAGGAGGAATCTTACACCTCTGTGCAGTCCTGGCATTCCATCTGGCACTCTTCGATGGTCTCCCGATGCTTTTGCAGCTTCAACGCCGATAGCTCATAATCTCCAATTTATAGCTTTTGCGCATTGTCTCGGCGAATATCTCCCATCATCCCGGTGACCTGCTGCGAAGGTCCTCCAAATGAAACCCCAATGCTTGTTGATTTCGCCGCTGCCACATCGAATCCTTGGCAACCGCCCACCACCAAACCGAATCGCACAACCGAAGGTCCCTCTGATTAGACACTGATGATGCCAAGAGAGTACCTTGAGGGAAGCTTGTCCGCACGACCAATTTCGCACTGCCAGGCACACAACTTCTTGCCGATGCCAAGTACCAAGAGGAGCGGAGGCCGCCAAGAGATGCTTGGCGAGGACCTTGGAAGAAGACAAAACACTCTGAAAGCGGTTCTCTACGAGGTAAATGGCTCATTTGGTGCTCTTGGCTGTGGTCAGGAAAGAGTCTGTCTTGCTTGGCGATTGTCAGCTTCTAAGCGACCCCCGGTGGCAGGTTGGAATCTTTATAGGAAGTCGACAAATCGCACATTTTCAGCGTCCTAGATCCGTCTTTGAGCCTGCTACAGAGTAAGGCTTCTTGAAAAGCGGTCCAGGATCTGATATCCTATTTTCGTTTCATTTCCAACTGCTTGAAGATCCATTGCGATGCAGATTTTCAAGTCGATCGTCATATCCTTCGCGATTGCCCGCGCATATGCCGCAACCGCGACGACAACCGGCGATTCTTCGATGATAACGGGCTGCCATGCTCATGGAGATGATGTGTTAGTATTTGTCCTGCTGCCTCTCGGTGAATCTATCCACTAATATCTTGAGCAGCTACTGTATTGACTCGGCGGGAGACGAAGTGCTGGTTTCAGTAACCGCCACACCAACAACCGGAATTCCTGCATCTTATACAGGTTGCCATTCACATGGCAGTCAAACGTATGATGACCTCCATTGATGTGCTCGGGGAATATTTGCTGACATTTTACCCCTCAGATACTGTCTAGACTCGGGTGGTGAAGACGTTCTCGTCGGCGAAGAAGAAACACACGATCACGCTCACGAGAGTGAAGAAGAGGCGACAGATACAGAATCCTCGACCAATTGCCATTTCCATGCCGGCGTGGAGTGAGTCTATCATCCTCGATTGGGTCCGATCTACGCTAATTTCGTTCTCAATCTAGGCACTGCGTTGGCGCAGGCGAATCGGAAGGGTCGTCATCGTCCTGTGGGGTACAAACGAGAGACTATGAAATGCCACTGCGAATTGGTACATTGTTCGTGGTGCTGGTTACAAGTGCGATCGGAGTATTTGCTCCGATACTACTGGTCAAGCTGCCATTTGCATCCGTGAACTCGGTTGTCATGACTATCATCAAGCAGTTCGGAACCGGCATCATCATTTCAACGGCATTCATTCATGTAAGTTCTCTACAGTCAATCCCTTGATTCAAGGTTTTACCTAAACTTACAATTGCTAGCTTTATACCCATGCCACTCTCATGTTCACCAATGACTGCCTCGGCGAGCTGGACTACGAGGGAACAACCTCTGCCATCGTCATGGTTGGAATATTCCTCGCCTTTTTACTCGAGTACTTCGGTCATCGCGTCATGGTAGCCCGTTCCAGAAAAGGCTCTGCACCTTGTATAGATGGCACCGGGTGCCAAGAGGAATCCGAGTCCCGCAAAGACGGATCGCAATCCACCCAACATCCCACAATCGCGCATCTCGGCCACTCGCACGGCGAGGATCCCACAAAACCCGCAACCAAGTTCTCCGTCCTCGTCATGGAAGCTGGTATTCTCTTCCACAGTATCCTTATTGGTCTGACCTTGGTCGTTGCCGGTGATTCATTTTATAAAACTCTCCTGGTGGTGATTGTGTTCCACCAATTCTTCGAAGGTCTCGCGCTGGGTGCTCGGATTGCCACGCTGCCGGGGGCCATCTTCCCATCCAAGGCGTTGATGGCAGCTGCGTTTTCTCTGATCACGCCGATTGGAATGGCGATTGGACTTGGCGTCTTGCATTCTTGGAATGGGAATGAGAAGAGTAATCTTATTGTGTTGGGGACGTTGGATGCCCTCTCTGCTGGAATTCTGGTTTGGGTCGGCGTGGTAGATATGCTGGCTCGGGAGTGGATTATCGAGGGAGGTGAGATGCTCAATGCGAAATTGGGAAAAGCGTTGACTGGTGGTGTGTCTTTGATATCTGGTCTTGTGTTGATGTCTGTGCTTGGAAAATGGGCTTGAATATCGGCTGTTTAGAATACTCTGTGGTGAAAAATGTGGTACAATAGACAAAGATACGGCAAAGCTCCTTGTCAAGTATCATCGGAGTCTCTTTCAAGCTCGCACTTCCCACTCCCATTGACAAGTCCACGCTCCAGGCCCAACTCTACTACTCCTCTGCGCCCTCTTTCCGAGGTTCCAAGGTCACGGGCGAGGTTCATCGTGCCCTTGGGTTCGAAAGGTATAGATACAGTTCCTAGGGCTTATAAAACGGCCACCCCCACTATGTGAACCGCGTAGAATGATATGAAAAATCTATTGAGAATTTATATTTCTGCCTTGCATGCAAATTCATTTATTTAGAGCCGATCGGTACGCTCGCTCCTGTAACCGAACCTGCGGACATTACTCCGCTAGGACCTCATCGAAGCTCCACTAAGCAAGCCCCTGTCAATAACAACTAGGATTGAAATAAGCTACACGCTATGTGGACAGGAACCACGAACTAATCTTATCGATCTCCATAATTCACTCGCTACTCGACCTTCAATTCAAAAAATACTGCTCCAAATCTTCATGGAGATCTCCCACTGTCGATAAGACTGCATCGTGTGGCCCGCTTTAATCAGCTCGGCAGCCAATAGTGTTGATTTCCCGCGACAACCTGCTTAATCTAGAATAGCCTCCCCACGTCGTTTAGCGGCCCTCGTGAACCACGACCACCGAGCCCCCGCGTTTCAGTGATACAGAGCGGGGGCTCATGAAAGCCGCCGAGATGCTCTCACTGCATTGTATGTACATCTTGCGCTATCAGCGCAGTCTCTGCATCACAAGATCCAGGATATCCGGCTATTGTCGGACATTGAAATCTGTAGATTACACTGCATAATGCTGTGTAAAACTACCGTTGGCCAAATATCATCCGGGTGGAGCTGCCTATTCAGGCTAGGGGCGCATGGTCAACACGCCGAAATGATAAGAGCTCAGATAAACAGCAGTGGAGTATGAGTGGGCGTCCTATATGAGGTCGAGCCTTCTCCCCTTAGACAGCTGTAGAAATAACTTCACTTCACCTCATTCCTACTTTCCAGAGTCTCAACCCCTCACAACAAACCTATAGACCATACATTCTTACTATCCTCCCTAGCTCCTCTTCCTCTCTCTTTGGTTCCTATCGATCAGTGGGCATAAGCCACACCCAATCTCCTTAGATGGCGGATTTCTCTCTTTATCCACTCCGACTCCATTCACACTATTATACCATATCACTGTCCCAACCTATACGACGAGTCAGTAGAAACAGTATTCGGTTTTTTAAACCTGATCTCTGAATCTCCGCCGGTCTATTTCGAACACTGTAGTGGCGAGAGTGAGACTCAATACAAGCGAATTGATCATGGCAATCGAGATCGTTCCACTAGCCAAGTCAGACATCGCGGGTGCTGTATACTGTGTGCAAAAGGCATTCGCGGATGACCCTTATTTCCGATGGGCATTTAACGATCCTTCGCAGGTGTGGCCCTTTTTTCTATAAGCATCATGGATTATTGCCCTTGAACTTATACTAACAATTCGCTTGCATAGTTCAATATACAGCGAAATGCAGCTTCCTTGGCAGCGCACTTTGAGTATGGAATCAACTGCAACTGTCCCATCTCGGTAGCCAGAGTGACTCACCCCATGAACGACCAAAAGACCGATCGGGAGGTCCAACTTACACCGGGAACCGTCGTCGGAGTCGGCTGGTGGTACTCACCTCAGTCCGCATCGGCACCACAAACCTGGTCTGTCTGGGCCCAAGAATGTCTTCTATCCTTTCGCCAGTTCTTGAACAACGTGCGTTTCGGAGGTCGTGGCGGGCTAAACATTTCCCGCTACTGGATCTGGAAACAAGTTCAAAATGAAGCTCATGAGGCTCTTTGGACGGATGCGCGCGGGTATTACTTCTGTAATATGGTCGGCGTCAGCTCCGAAGCCCGCGGGATGGGCGTGGGCAAGCGACTTATGGAAAGCGTTATGGAGAAGGCGGATCGGGAGGAGGTTCCTTGCTATTTGGAGAGTTCGAAAGGTTATCCAAATGTGACAATATATGAGAAGATGGGATTTGAGCTCGTCAAGGAAATTGAGTGCGCTGATGACGGGGATATCTGCAAGGTGTGTGAATAATTCGCGTAATCTTTCCTTTTTTTGCTAACTCAATTCCTGCAGCTCTATTGCATGATTCGCCATCCCAAATCAAAGTCGTGATATTCAGGCTTCTTTAATGATATTCATAGTTTACCCAGCAAGCAGGCACTTTGATGATTTTCTCCACCGCATTAGCGTCTTGATTTTATGCGAAATAATACATTGAGAACTCATTTTAATATTACTAGGGCTTTTCTTGAATACTAGTATATTAATCAATAGTCGAGGTCTTATATGCTAATACATGGCTATTCACTAGAATCAATATGTTGATCGTCCGTAACCTATACTACTTACTATATGTATGACTAGGTAGGTATATTCATGAAAAGTCTGCATTGTACTAGTAGTATGAATGCCCACTTTCACCGGCGATTGCACCGATTGCACGCCGTTTGTCATTAGCTAGATACTAGATATAGCGTGAGGATTCCCTCCATCGTATATATCTATCGCCGGGCGCTCTTCATCTTCCATCTGATGGAGGACTCGGAACAGATCATGCTACGAGGAGGTATGACGTTGCTCGTAGAAAACGAAATTGGAAGGCCGGTCAGGTGCTGTACGCAGCCTCAAGTTTAGATGTTACGAGACATGATACATAGTACGTATGAGTTGAACAATGAAATTAAGTAATGATATTTAATAACTAAAGCTAGCCATTGGACCTTAAAAAGAAACGACAGAAAATCATTCGGAGTCGTAAAGGTCAGAAGAACGATAACACGCGGGGCGAGGAGCTCACGTGCAAGGAATCACGATGGTCGGAAGAAACAGCGAAACGAGACTGAATAACGCAGGTCAGAAGAACGATGGTGAGGAGCGAGCGTGTATGGAAACACGAAGGTTGGAAGAAACGGTCAAGAAAGGGGAAAGGGCGAAATGCTGAGTATGGAGCGATGGCCCTTCTTACTTTTTGCTAATCCGGCACAAACAGAGCATTCTCATCCAGTCTCGACAGCATGTCGCGAATTTGGGCTCCCATCTCCGAACGGTCCGCTGCTGTAGTCGGTGCAGGGCCAGAGCATGACGAATGGGTTCATGAAAGGAATATGGTGGGAGCTGATGAGAAGATTGAGGAATACCTTAATCAGTAATCGCTTGGAGGACTTGCCTGATTGCGTTTGGTTATGTATTTCCCTACTCTGTATCTGCCTATCGTGGCTTTTGTATTGCTGTTTGTTTGTTGTTAGTCCTCTCCAGGCTCCAGTTCATGCGAATTGTGTGATCCGCACGCATTCACCAACTCTCCCTCGTCTATCTTACCCTACCTCCTCGACCAGACCATCAAACCTCAACCTTCATACTCTTCTATCCATACCTACTTCATTCTACTTCCGTCGAACCCTCGCACTTTTGAACCACCTCATTCGACCTCACCATCGCCAAACTCCTACCTCGGTCAAACTTCACCTCCCACAAACGCCCTCGCTCGTCGCGTGTCTGGAGACAACTCACTTCACCATCACCTTACCTCCTTCTCACTCACAGTCCGGAATCTGTAAGTGTGTTCAGAATCTGTAAGTGTGTTCAGAATCTGTAAGTGTGTTCAGAATCTGTAAGTGTGTTCAGAATCTGTGAGTGTGTCTGGAATCTGTGCTTTTGTCCTGTTCGAACTGGATTCGACTCTCAGCCTCTGCTCTATCTTTTCCTTGCCGTCTTTACGTATCCGAACTTGATCAGCCAAGATATCAGACGACGAAAGCCTAGACGAGATACCCATAAGGGAGCGGAACAGGGTCCATCAACTCGATGCACAACTCAAGGCGCTATAAGAGAAAGGCTCAGACGTATCTCCGATCAGTTTTAACCGGAAGCTTGCGAACTACAACCAGATCCAGAGCTTAACATAGTACAAGGATATACCAGAGGAGTACCGCGTTCTATAAGTCTGGGTACCCAGCAATAATAAAGGGGTAATTCTAGCGCCGAATCAGGATTCTTATATAGACAAATACGTCCGTGCTAAGTAGAAATTATTTACTCAGAAAGTAGTCCCTAAGCAACTAAAAATCACCTATACGGCAGTCAGATAGCAGATCCTGGCCTTATATATCCGGCTCTCCAACCTCTAGATCCTCGTCTCTATTATAATCAGGACCGCCGAAGAAATTAGTCAGTAATTCTCTTAGGATCTAGAAACTAAGTCTCAACCCTGTACCCAGCAGATCCCTATAGACTCTTTACTAATCGTCAAGGCTTATAGTATACTATAGTTTCTAGTGCTAGTAAATTATATTCTTTACGGCTATTTTTAGCCAGCAATCGGATAGTCTTTAGGTAAGCAGGATCGTAACATAAAGATATTTTGTATTAGCGATATCGTCGCTCTGCTAGTCACTGTCTATAAAGCGAAACAGTCCGGGCTATACATCAAAATATCTAGAAACATTATACTATATACAGCTGACCCTGTAGAAGGTCTCCAGAATCTACTACCCAGTAACGATTAGAATACAGACTAGCTATCTCTTCGATAATATAGCCCTGTGTAATGTCCGGATAGAGTTCGTCCAATAATTAGATAAATTTATCTGGATTATTATAGATAAAAAGACAGTAGTACAATATAAGTAGATAAAGCTAGAAGGCTTCTACTTAAAGTCCGCAGCGGATTCAGATCTAACTAATCCCTAAACTTCGATCCTAGCCTAGAAATATACGGCCACAGGCACTATCGATATGTTTAGAGCTCTGTACCTAGCCGCTATATTATCTCAGACAAAAGAGGCTATAAACTAGACGGATATCTAGCTTACCGGCCAGATTTACCATATATTCTTTTATAATAATAATCCGTTCAGAAACAGAACTACCCCTAAGCGAGCCAGAGTCCTTCTAGTATAGGGTACCCTTAAATTAGCCGTAGTACTAACGACGTTGATACCAGAAGCAGAGGAGCCTAAACTAACGATACTAGAATCCTCTATATTCAACATAATTGTCACCTTTTAGCGGCGGACCTCCGGTGCCTGAAACCTAAGGTTGACCAAGACCCCGCGGGGTCTTGGTCAACCGGCGGTCAACGGAGTTCGCTTGTCAACAAAGCTTTTGCCCCTATTTTACTACCTACAACTACCACCACTATGGATAAACCCTATTCAGATGTTGAACGGCGTATTTTGACTGCTTGCTCAGTTGCTAGAACCTCCAAAAAGCCTAACTTCGCTGCATTGGCGCGTGAATATGAGGTTCCCGTTGGCCGATTGCGGGCACGCTTTGCCGGTCGAAAGTCTCGTAGTACTCGTCAAATGACCTACACCCGCCTAAATGAGGATCAAATAGCCTCATTGGTACGCTGGATTAGGTGCCTTGATAACCTACATGTACCACCTACGGCTAAAATGGTGGCTATATCGGCAAATGCATTACTACGCAGGGCCAATTCAGACGCACGTCCACTTGCAAAAGATTGGGTGTACGATTTTGTGGCTCAACACCTACCGGAAGACCTTTTTTGGGTGCAACAGAAGCCTGCGGATCAAAAGCGTATCCTTGCTGAGGATATTGGTGTTTTGACGGCATGGTATGACCGTTTAGAGCCATTTATCAAGCGCATTCCGTCCAAGAATATATACAATTTTGACGAAACTGGCTTTCTGCTTGGCCAGGGCAGGCCTCAAAACGTTATTTCAGCCAATAAACACCGTACCAGAACCCATTCATTTGAAAGAGGCCAATTGGTTACCGGAATTGAATGCGTTGCAGCCGATGGTTGGGTTATGGAGCCATATTTTGTTGCTCCGGGGAAGGCCCATCTAGTCAGATGGTATGATGGCGGAAAACTCTCTGAGGAGACACGAATCGCTGTTTCGGATTCTGGATATTCGAATGATCTACTGGCAATCGATTGGCTGCACTTTTTTGCCGAAAATACGAGCCATCGCCTAGGAAAAAGTACAAAAGAGCCCCGCCTTTTGATCATGGATGGACATGGCAGTCATCTCACCTACGAATTTTTGGATATTTGTGACTTCTACAATATTATCCCATACGTCTGCCCGCCTCATACAACCCACCTTATTCAACCACTTGATGGGTCTCCTTTTCGAGCGCTGAAACAAGCGTATCGAACTAAAAATAACGAGATTGCTTAATGGGGTGGTGATGCCCGCGATATATCGGTCTTTTTTACCGAAATAACCGCAATTCGTGCAAAAGCAATGACACCACGTACTATTCGGAAGGCATTTGCTACACGTGGTATCTATCCTTACAAACCTAAGCTAGTTATTGAGCCTTTGGTGGCTGTACAAACCCCTGAGCCGGATCTCAAGATATTTGATGGTACACCACCACCAGAGCAAATATCTAGTATCCCCAATACACCACCTAAATCCGTGTGGGATGCACGTCGAACACGCAATAAAATGGTCAATATACTTGATAAATCGCCTCTTCCGGCTGATATACGTGACCAATTGCTTCGTGTTGCCCAATCCCAGATTCAGCTTGCAGAGGATAAAGGCCTACTACAGGATACCCTAGAGAATAGATTGCCTAAACAACGCAAAATTGCACTCAAGTCGCAAAAGCAGTTAGGCAAATTTGGTGCCCTATCCACTAAAGATGCTAATCGCCACATTCGTGACCGAAAAAAGGCAGAAGAGATCAAGGAAGCGCTTACGGAGTTACGCAATCCACTACCTTATCCGGCCATGAGCGATGCTTCACGCGCAAGATTAGACAATTTCGAGGTCGAATACCCTCCGTTATTGCCTAACCTAGAAGAGGATTATAGTTGATTGTCTATATATCAGGCGTTGTGGGTTAAAATACCTAGAAAATAAAAAAAAGCTTCGTTGACGAGCAAACTCCGTTGACCGCCGGTTGACCCACACCCGGAGGGTGTGGGTCAACCTTAGGTTTCAGGCACCGAAGGTCTGCCGCTAAAAGGTGACAATTACTCTAAGGGATCCTAACAACACCGGTACTGCCAGCAGAGCAGCAGACAGCTTAATAGACGCTCAATATACAGAGGATCAAAGAATTCTCTAATGCAAATACTATAGATATAACAGCGCAACTGTTTATAATCACCCTATACTGCCTCAAAAACGCTTTATCAGTATACAGTTTGTATATCGATACAATTAACGAGGCCCTAGCTCTGGCGGAAACATCGCCAGAGGTAAAGGAATTTATTATAAGTTTATCCGTTGACTAATAGACGGCACTTAAGGATATCCTCAACGATAATGTTAAGCTCGTTGAGTTGCGCCAAATTACGGACAAAGAGGTAGAATCATCTATCAAGCCCCCAGACTCACAGAAGAGGTACGATCAGTCCAGAATGCTATCGTAGATCTGACGACAGCGACGCGCCGTTCGGAGATGGCCGCGCAGATTACTGGGATTATGGCTCAATTGGATGGACCCATCGAACCCATCGACGGAAACAAACTCTTCGTCGATGAAGAGCCGAACATTTTTTTTTTAAAAAAAAGGGGGGGGGGGAGCATACTTCATACACGCGGCTTCATGTTTCCATACGCACTCCGGCGTATCATTGATACTCACGGCTTCATCGTTTCATGATCTTCTTATCAGTTTCCATACGCCGGACATGATCTTCCCCTTCGTCGCCAATCTCGCGACCGAACGCTCCATATCGGAGTTTGGATACCTTTCTATTCTATCTTAACGAGGACGATATCCCGCCTCTTGTAGCGGCTGGCTTCGGTACCTAATGCGCAGCGTCTTCACCACCGAATGCCCAATGCCTTTCAAGGCACATCTTCGTTCGCATCTACCGCTTGGTATTCCACATGTCGGAATTGAGCAAGGAGTTGATTCAAGGTCGCCCTGTTCTGCTTGGCGCTTCGGCTGTCACCTTACGGCACTTGGAAGACGCACCGATGCAACGGAGGTTCCAACGGGATTTGGGGTATTTTTTGCCGACCGAGGCTGCCTGTACCACCCGCGTCCAAAACTGCTAGCGATCCCCATACAAATTTTGACTTAGTGGTTATACCCAGTCTTTTCATGCTATAACATCGCTGCCCTGCTGCCCGGGCCTGATTGAAGCTATTCCGCCCTTACAAATTACTCGATACTACCAACTTAGGGCGTTGAGCAAAGGACCCCCCACACGTGACGTTTGTTTTACATCTTCATCTTAACCATTTTCATCTACACCAACAGGGAGGAATCGACAGGGAGGAATCGCATCAACGCAACAGCGCGCGCGCGAGCGAGCGAGCTCAACAGTCGGTAAACAGATATAAAAGAAGACGGTGGTTGATATCAGCTGGTAGTAGATTTGACGCGTTCAGGCAGCAGAACCAATAGCAGTTAGCGGTGTTTGTACGGACAGAAGGGATAGAACAGACAGATAGATAATGGGTATGAAATTTATAGTTAGAAGTTGCCTGCAGGGAAGGTATTGCTGCGTCATATTGATGTGGAGGTTTTTTTAGGTTGAAGGGGGAATCACGTGTTTTAACTCGCCTTAACTGTACTAAAGTAAAACGATTTATCCACATCCATAGAGAGATGTCTGTTTACTGCGCGTATAACTTGAATGCATATTTATTGATTCTTTGTTTTTTCCCTCAATCGCCAACTAGTCCAGGAGTAGTCCTTCCACCATTCTAGCCTTTCGTATACCAAAACTTGGATATGCCGCGCGTACAATACATCACCGGCCAGCTGAGAAAAACAAAACAAAAACATATTGTCCTGGATAACGCAAGTCTACATCTATCTTTCAAGTTTCAACTTCTATTCCAATCGGTGACTGCTGCCATATTATCAAGGGCACCGGTGCCAGTGGCACACCGCCCAACTTCAGCCTCCCCGACTTTTTACTCGAGGAAATGTGGTTGCTCCTGCGAACCCAAATCCCGCCCAGCCCTACGACCCAGCCGCTCCTGTCTATGTCCCAAACCCCGCCCAGCAAGCTCCTACTCCCGGTGCATGCCAAGTGCGGTACCGATCCCAGGCTGCACTTCAAGCCGAAATTGACCGGATTTATGCACTGCTTCAGCCCAACAACCGACGGCCTTCATCTTCAACTGAACGCCCTTCTGAATGGGCTCGCACTCCCACCCATGGATGATGAGCTTGATGAGCATGATCAATTGTAAGGGGATGATGATTCCAATGGTCCCGGTGGTGGTTAGCGACATCAGAGAGTGACTTCATGTGGAGGATTTACAGAAGTGGAGGATTTGCAGAAGTGGAGGACCTGGAGGGCCCGAGTTATTGGGGTGACCTCGGGTGATGTGGAGGATCGGATGATGGGGAAATTAAGCACTTGGGGAGGACTCGGAGATTCTGAGTAAAATTCGGTACCTATTAAAACTAGCTGTTAGCTAAGCTTGATGCGTAGAATGAATTCAAGGTAACTCGGCCACCTTGTGATACATCGGTGAAGTGAAGGGAGCCACAGGGGCGAGCGCCTCAGGGTGCGGGCGATATGGGGTTGTTGTGTTGGGAATAGAATGATATAAGGTGACTTGGCCGATACTAAGCTGAGGAGGTCTTTAGGTCATGCTTTTAAAACATCCTAGAAGGCGAGGGTTTTGGAGATGGCAAAGGTGTCTCCGCGGCAGAGCCGCATCGTCATGCGGAAGAAAACGAGATAATGGCGGGGAACAAGGCGGCGATTGGGTGAATAAAATTGAAACCCCAATAAAGATGTAGTATACCGAAGAATAAGTCTCTGACTATATATGTAATGTCAAAGCTAAATAGTGAATGATAGTACTAGTACATTTAGGGCGACATAGACACGTGATATCTCTTCCCATGGTCACACCTTTTCCTTTCCAGGCAACTTCCGTGACATTCACACCCATCCTCCATCTTTCCATCTTTTCATCCTCATCCCCTTTGTCCATCTTCACTCCCGTCAAGATTTCAACTCATCACAGGCCTCCAGTCTCCCCACGACGGGGGGATTTCGGATTCTTAACCTCAACCTCCTCGCATCTCTGCTGCCGTCGGTAGTCTACAGGCCTCCAGTCTCCCCACGACGGGGGGATTTCGGATTCTCAACCTCAACCTCCTCGTATCTCTGCTGTTGTCGGCAATTCAAAAGCCTGTAGTTACCCACGGCGGGTAACTCTATATTTTGTACCAACAATGGCCGATGATCAACATATCTTCAGCGAGTTTCTTGACCTACATCGTCAGAAGCTGATACGAAACATTATACAGCAAGATGTCGAACTTGCCGAAATTCCTCGCTCCATGTTCTTTCCCTTATGGTTTTCAGATATTACTGTCCTCGAGAAACTTTCTGCGATCAGAAATACCGACGCGACGGGTTTTCGCTTACGAACCTTGCAATTAACCACTCTGAGATGCGAGAACTGGCCTAGAATCTTCGCTGCCGGGAAGCATGCCCCGAAGAACGAACTGTCGCTCGTTGAACCCACGCTCGTTGAACCCGCCCTCGTTGAACCCACGAAAGTCCAGGATAGGCGGAAGAGACCCAGAGCCCAATCGTCATCCATAGATCCCGAGCCCTATTGCCAGACCAGCCCTGTGCGCCCTCTGCGCTCTTCCAAGCCTCTCCGCAGCAGCCCAGCCAAGCATGCTACCCTCCAACGGGATGAAAACAAGTGCATCCTCACAAAACATGGTCGAACAACCCTCGAGGTTGCTCACATTGTTCCGTTCAAGCTTCATATGACCAAGAGAGCGGCAAGCTGGAACTTTCTGATAGACTTTTGGGGCGTTGATAAGGTGAATGCATGGCGCGCCGAAATCCTGGGAAATGATGGGGCTTTCAACACGGAGAAAGTACAGAACATGCTATGCCTGGGCCCGGCCCTCCACGCATACTGGGATATGCCCATCTGCGCCTTCCTCCCTATCTCTATTAACGATGAATTGACATCAATGGATCTTGCATTTCACTGGTTACCACTGCCAAACAAATCCATCCACTCCAAGAACAAGATCCGAACTATGGAGCACCCCGATCCAAAGTACCCAACGGGCTTCTGCGATGGGCCCGGGGAGAACATCTTTCTGTTCAATATGGAGACCAAGTCAATCATCTTGTCGGGGGAAATATTTACGATTACAACGGACGATCCTAAGGAAAGGCCTCTCCCCTCTTTCCAGCTTCTGGAAATGCAATGGAACCTAAGCCGCATTGCGGCTATGCAAGGTGCAGGGGAGGACGACGAAAATGATACGGACTCAGATAGCGACATTGTTTCAGTTTCCTCAAGCTCTCGTTCGCGCTCGCGCTCCCGCTCCCGATTCCGATCCCCGGAAAAGGAACCTGTCCAGGCCATCAAGAAGGAAAACAGTCCACCCCCATGACCTCGTATCCCCTCCACATCTTCAATGGCAACAGGAAAGGGGTTGCCCACCATCGAGGAGTGCCCGGACCCTCTCAAAGAGACTTTATGATGCTCCGTCCTTTTATTGAACTCCGCCGCTATTTTTAATGATAAAATACTATTGCTTCATTGAATTGCTCAACTCCTAACTACCTACTACTGTAATGGGGATTTCCGCTCTCAATATCGGTACCCTAGGGTCAGGTGACAGAAGCCTTAGCAACAAGGCTCCTGCTTTGTTTCAGGAGAATAAGTAGCGTTCGTTCTAGATTATCAATTCAACATGCATGTTCCCCCTTATGAAATGTTCTACTGAGGCTGCTGAGGTTGCGGTATCGGTATACTGCTTATGAAAGGTTCTGTTATTCGCTCTGGTGTTCGTTCTGTTGATTCTCTATAGCGTCACGCTTGCCTATCGTCTCCTTGCACTCTGCGAGTGTGGTGGTGTTGTCTCTTCGCGATCGACCCGTCTGCCAACGCAGACAGCCTACGAGCATTCCCATCTTACAGTAGGTTGATTCAGAGATCAGTAAGACAATACAAAACAGACATCTGACAATACATTACACGCGGCTCGCTAATACTGCAAGCATGTGCATGTGGCGGTGCAGTGTACCGTTTTGTAAAGATATTGTACAGTTATGTAACGTGGGTCTGGCAATCACTTGTATTCTGGTAGAATCAACTGATGCATTGTGCCGGAAACATAAGTAATTGACGACATATGAGGCTAATAAGTTAATTATGTATTACAAAGCATCGTATTGCCTTGTTGTTATCATCGCTACTGGTATTTACTCGGTTCGTTTCCCCAACGACAGACAGCAAGGTAAATCCGAGCAGTCCTAGGAGAAATGGCGTCTATGGAGCGTGTAGAGAAATTACGTACTATTAAAAACTTGTCCGCTCACTGATCAATGATCGCTTAATCAAGGCACAGGAGATATGATGAAGATGCTCGTCGATAACGAAAGTAAATAAATGCGCACTGTATATACACTGTACATCTTCGGTGGGATGTGATGGGCTGAGGGCGGTTAGTGTTTCAGATTAGATTGATTCTTTTGGCTTTCGCCCATCCTACTTGATCTCCAACACCCCCCGCAAACCTATCAGCATGAAACCGGGAAAATGCTCGATTTCTTGTCTTTTTTGAAGGACCACCTAGCAATTCTGTTCGCTCATGCAATTACGAATTTAGGTGAAAAAAAAAACAGTATGAGTAAGGACAGTCTAGAAAGCTTAATATAGTTTCTGCGAGTCACTGCTCTGCTCTCCCTCGATCGCAATTATAAACTAGAAGTCAAGGCGACGGTGTAATCTAAACGTGGCGATCACCCGCGGAATGTTTGCTAACACCCCACTTGGAGGTGACGGCCAGTCCTTTGTTGACCCTATCCAAATCTTGGACAGTTACCAAAGTTGGCTTGGGATAGTAGGCGCACTTCAAGAATTAGCAGCCTCTTCTGTGGATAGCGGAGCTCGCGGCATACCAGTTGTGAGGCAAGGAAAGCCCAAAACCCAGAATCATCTGCTGTCAAAATATGTACCTGACCCGTCTCTCGCAAACGAATACCTACGCATACATCCGCGTCGCACATCTTGCTGTACTCGGACGCCTTCTTCATGAGAGTTGTTTTGCGACGGCATTTTTTTTGTCTCTTCGATTTCCTGGGGCTCATAGAGGAGACCGACTTAACAGCGGCCATTGTGAACTGGAGACTTGGCTTTTTGAATGGAGAAATCGTCTTGATCAAACCGAGATCGGTACTGTTCTTATAAACATTGATATCTCCATGATTAAATGCAGGATTAAATGTATCACTGAAAATATTAGGTAGTTGGTCTTTGTACATGCTCTGGTCATCATTGAAAGAAGTAACTCGTCCACTTGGTATTAGCAATTGGATCTAACACCGTTTAGACATGTCGGTTCTCACCACGTCGATAAAAGTACAGAGGACCCTAATCTCCAGCGAGTCCTCGCACTTCGAGTGAAAGATCGTTGAAGAGGCCGAATTTAATTTGATGCCTTTCCTTCGCCTCAAAGAGCCAGGAGAAATAAAAGTTCTCCACTCTTTAGGCTGCTGATTTAAAATCATTTTGCCACATCAAAACGGTTCTTCACTTCCTGATCTATCAACTCTGCCACAATCCACCCATGTCTACTTTTGTATCTGACAGATATATATGGCAATTTGTTTAGCCTAAGTTTCGCCTCCAACTAGCTTCACGAACCTGGCTCAATGAAAAAAAAGATTATACGCTAGTAGCTGCCAATGGGCATACTTCGACCAAATCCTGCGAGACAGGTCTAGTTTGCCATTGTGAAAAGAATAATTTGGGCTCAATAGTGAAAGGGTCTTCATTTAATATTATTAACACTGCGCTTGGAGATAAATTTGATAGCAGAATTACACTGCAGACAAAACCTGCCCGACGCGGACAAATTTGTCTCCAATTTCCAGATTCAAACCAAGTGATATCTCTAAGCTGTATTGGATACTCCTGTGGTATCCCAATATAAGTTCTTGTTGAGAGTATACCAGTAATCGGTGCAGAAGAACACCCAAGTCTCAGGATTCGTGCGAACCAACATAGCATTGGTCTTGCGATCCAAGTTTTTCAGAGCATTTCGTTGACCGTCCCATTCAGATTTACCAGGTATGGTGTAAGGCTTTTCAATATGCTTAAAAAGAGTCCCAAGATCATCTGTTAAGCGGGTCAGCTATGTCTCGGATTGAAGTTGTATCACAGAGTACTAGTGGACGTACAGGTCGCATCTATAGTATCGTCGCTGCCAATGACCAGATGGAATAACTCATGGAACAAGGTCGCACTTTTCGAGAGCACGTCGCGAAGCTTTTTGCCTTGAGCATCGACACCGAAATTTGTCTCCACGCCGGTTCTTGTGAAGGCCCTCGGGCATAATGTGACGGTACTTGGGTCCGTGAGACCTTGGGTCACCCCCAGTTCGCGCGAAGAAGCGCATACACCTCCTTCTCCCCAGACTTGATCTACGACATACTGATCAAGGTCTGAGGAGTAGTATGGCACCGAACTTTCGTCCGCTTCTAATTGCGGTCCGTATTTGGCAGAGTCTTGAATTTCCACCTCTTCACCACACTCTTCAATTTTATCTGTCCTAGATTTCTGTTCCAGCCAAGTGCTGTCACAAAACAACCATGGCAGGTCATCTTTAAGAAACTTTTTCTTGGCCATGAACAATTGAACGTCCAGGAGAATTGCTATAGTATCTATTGTAAGCCAAAATCCGGAAGATGGTACCTTTCAGGCAAAGTACCAAAACACTTGGCTTGAAGATGGCCAAAGGGTTGTAAGAGATGGCCTAATGTCTTACATTTGATATCCTCCTTGTCCTCATTGCTTGTATCATCGTCAATACCCAAGTATTTCTGAAGAGCGTGTTTCGCGTTCTTTGTTTTTGTGTCACCAGCGTTACCGTTCGCGTCATCAAACGCAGAAAGACCGGCGGAGGCCATGGCTTGAGATTCCGTCCACCATCGTGTAAGGTCCGATAAGTGAGAGTCACAACCGCCATTCTCGGATCCTTGCTTCACATGAAACACATCACCAATCCCGGCTGAAAAGGCAACAGGGATGTAAAAAAGCCATAAGGCCAAAACCTTCACGGTGATCGATGACATACTTCTCCGATTCCTAGCAGAAATACCCTTTGTCGTGATTTCCGTCTAATCTCGGGGAAGTGACAGAGAATGGCCTTTTCATTAGAAAACATAGTGGCACATTGGGGGATTTATCTATCTTTAGGAAGATGCCGTGAGCTTGCTAGCAGGGGCCGGCCCCTAATTTCTTGCCAGCCGCATTCATTTGTAGCATCCATTTAATTGGAGAGAGTCTCCTAGCCTTGCTGGGGGCTATTTGTTTCAGGAGTAGATTCTTGAGCCAGGTTTAATGCGGACGAATTCAAGTTGGAGATACTATGAAGAATCAGGCGTTTCGAGTTAGGTTGTTACCGACGATCATCTGTACTGCAAAACATTGCTACTGCCCAGGTGGTGCAGCGGTTGAATATTCCAAGTCGTGTTTGAAGGATTTCAAATCAGGGAGAAATCGACATGTCTCCGTAAAGAATTGCAGGAACAGATCAGTTCCAGATGAACATCAACCAGAACTTGAACCTTGTGGAATCATTGAGACTAACAGCCGCTTGTTTTTGTCTCATCTGCGTAAATCAGAACGCTGATGAAAGTTCTGTAGAGGATGTACTTTGTACGAATGCGAAAGCTGAACGCCACGGGTGAATTGGCCCCAAGCCCCTAGCCCCAACCTCCCAGCCCCTCTAACCTGGCCCCAGCCCCCACCCCCCGGCCCCCAGCATCCCGGCCCCCGGCCCCCGGCCCCCACGTCCCACGGCCCCACGGCACCATGGCCCCTGGCCCCTCTACCCTGGCCCCTCCACCCCGGCTCGATGGCCTGACGTCGCTTTCCGTTTTCACCTGCGCTCTCTCTTGTTTATTTGCGCGCTGGATTTTTCACTTGCACAAACCATCTTCACATACTACGTTTAATATCCCGAAGTTATCGTTTTCTTTATTTCCTCAGTCTGAAGAAGCAGTTATGTCAGACCCGCAGCTGCTGGTATTTACCAAATTTTACGTGCCTGAGAGCGCAAGTCTGGAGGACGAATACTGGAGAGATTTCGCACGAAACCTGACAGAATTTCCCGGGCATTATCTTTCTAGATGGGGCCGAATCGAGGAACATTTAAATGATGTACTTCTGATCACATGTAATATACCTTCCCTTGACGAGCAACAAAGATACTAAATTCTCCAGTGTGGTCATCCCAAGAGGAATTGAATCAATTCAGAGCGTCATCATCATACGAGATCTACTTGTCAGCATTATGTCGATACTCCTCGGTTCCGCCAGAGGTCTATGAGTTTGATTATCCCTTTATAAGCCAGTGGTTGAGAAGCCCAAGCTATCGTATCTCTTTTATATGTGCGCACTTCTCAGCTACAATGGGCCTGGAGGAAAGGTATAGGAGGCCTAAAGTTAAGGCCCTCGAACCTCTAGGCGCTCTTGGGCCCATTATGCGCAGAAATGTGAGGGTTGCACATAGAGCCACCCCTCTAGGACTCTGGGATAAAAGGAAATCCGATGATGGGGAAAAACTGAAGACGTGTGTGATGATCTACTTCTGGACGAATGCTGAGTTAGAGCAAAATTTTAAACAGATGCAGCGGCGTAATGGACAAACAACTTATCAAGTAGCCGAGCAAGAGTTGAGGGATGCTGGGGCTGAGAGCTGGGCAGAAGAGCACTGGGTTCCAGGAAGGCTTCCGAAGATTTGAAGTGAAGGGATAAATCAGTGCTCGCAACTCTAGTGCCCTTTGCAAATGCAGGAATAAATTGAAGAAAGATCGACGCTCAGTGAGAAATTACTGCGAAAGGGGATGCTAATTCTTCTGTTTGAAGACTTATCACATAGGCTATGGACTACAATATGAGATATTCTCCTGATTTGAGATAACACCCAAAGACTACTGATGTGAAGCTTCAAGCTATTCCTAGCGTCTTTATAATGTCAAATATGACTATCAATAGTACTAGAACTTAGTTACATGACTAGGCAAAGGGGCCCGGTCCAGGAATACCTTCGCCGTCGTACTGCTGACCAAAGTCATGTACCGAAACCCGCCTCTGTTGTGTCTTTTTGCTGCCGTGTAGAGGCCAGGCCCATCTGCACAGGAGAACCAGATAGGACTGTCGAATCCTGCGTCCGCTGTCCCATCGCATGCCTGTTCGCTGACGTATAAGCTTGACTCGGAAAATGTTACACCGAGGAAGGCATCTGAAGAAGCCGAAGCGACATCGATGGACACTATGCCGGCAACGTTCCTCTGGAAGTCAAATGTCACTGACGAAGGGCCATCGAAGAGAGCTGCGTGGGTGTCGCTACATTGGCCAGAGACGCTGCGTTTGTGACGGAGCTGTTTGTGCCGACTACCACTGGTGGAATCAATTTTCTCGAGGGTGGGGCGTAGAGTACAGCGAGACACCCTGGTGCGAAGAAGAGGGCAAGACTACTAGACCTCATGTTGAACGAGGTTAGTAACCCACTTGAAAGGCCGAGTCTCCAATTAAGTATTTAGCTGGGTTTAGGGGTCTTCGTTTATCCAGATCCACTCATTCTAGGATCTCGGGGTATCATTATCACGAGTTGGGTGGTACTCCACCTTTGCGCCTTCTTGAGAATTGAGGGTAATTCTTAACAATTTTGAGGAGCAGTCACTTGAATATTTGAGGCAATTGGTAAACCTCAATGGCCGAAATAATTTCTTTCTCATCCAAGCGGCTTTTCCTCATCTGGCGCCTCCAGGGTCACGTATTCAGTGCCAAGACAAAAAAACCAGTGTACGGAACCAAAATCTGTGCGTCCGCGCCTTTTGTTCAAATGGAATATTTTGCCCCATTTTGTGATACAAAGGTCAGTGAGAACAACGGTGCTAAAGAGAATCATTTGGCCGTACGGGTCAGAATTTGAGTTCGGTGATGGCTGACCTAGATTCGATTCATCTTTCTATGTGGGGGATCTTTGATTTAAATTTTGCATATCAGTAGAGAGTCAATTGGATATATCTGGAATTCAAGAAAACTCTGTCATTCAGTTACATATTGCAAAAGAGGCTGTGGAGGTCACCCTTGGCATTGATCAGTACTTGAAATTCTGAGTCGTCAATCCTACATACAGCCGCATAGTAAACAGCATACTCAAAGGTAGCTGGGGCTTTTTTATTCGGTTTAGTAGTCAAGACAAGTTCCTAAAACCTCAGAAATGGCCTCAACAACGGCCAATTGGAATTTTGAAGACCGAATGAATATTCCGTAGGCGTATCTCCTGTGGACTTTGACGCGCTTGGGCCGAGATATCTATGGATATAAGCCATAACAATCTGGGGTAAAATCATACACGCACATTGGGCTGCAAGAGTCGGCAATAGCAGTCTCGAAGGTAAAGTGTTGTCTAAGTTCCTGCTGTTTATTTTCCAGGCCGGCTTTTCAGATTAGTACACAGTCTTTCTATCTTCATCAACTGCACTTTCATGAGCTATTCGGGGCGGTGTACTTGTTGTACGATGTTTTCTCAGTCCGGACTAACCAACAATGCTTCCGACGGGCGCGACCGATGCGTTTGGGATTGAGCCATGGCGCACGGCGCGTAAAAACCAGAGGTAGAAGGACGAGGTAAAGACTACCAGAAGCTGTTCCTTTTGATTGTGCGATGAGGTGACTCTATGCCCTCTAAACTAGTTGGCCCAATTTGAATGACGCACTGTGCCTATGGCTACCTTCATTCTTTGCCAGTGAGCTAAGCAAGCTCTACTCTGATTTCAGTCTCCACTCTGCAACTTCAAAAGAAAGGAAAGCATCCAAGTAACCCTTGGAACAGACTATAATGTAGAACCTTTCTGTTACCTTATCTAATTCTTTCCCAGCGGCGAAATGGAGGTGCGAAAGCCTAAAATTCCACAAACCCCGCTCGGCCATTCACCTAAATCCGACGAGAGGGTCGCCATCACCTCGGTGCTATTGTTGTTTACTCTGATGTCAAAGCGGACGTTTTTGGGAATATAGGTACCATTTTTGGCAGACAGAACCCCCATAATGGATTGGTTTGATTTATTGGTAGTTCCTTTCGGCTACTAATGTCTATTAATCGGTCATAAATTCAATAGAGCTCGCCATGGTACTGCGCAGCCCCGAACGAATTAACTCGGACGGAATTGCCGACGGACTATTCCCAGGGTAGCTGCGATGATCGTCCGGCTTTTGGAAATCTCCAGAGCCCGATAATAACACAACTGTTGAGGACCTATACTTAGTTATCGAAAATTAGAAAATATCGTTCTTTTGTTCTGGTGCGGGACGGGTAAAAAACCTGTCTGTAAAATTATCGACCGACGGGTAAAGAATAACAGGTCAGAACAAATGAAGTAGATCAAGCCTTAAAAGTGCAGCATGCAACAAATCAAAGTATGGATTAAAGGACTATTCGTAATAGGCTTGACTGGCCCGGGGTAGCTTAGTTACCTGCCCCGCATATTCATAGGCTCTCCCCTACAACATCTACCGATGCTTCTTTCAGAATCTGAGCGAAACTGCAACATGAACAATCGATTCCCCGGGGAGCAGGTGCAACTTGCGTGTGAAAGATGCCATCGACGAAAGGTGAACTGCGACAAATTAAGCCCTTGCTCGAATTGTGAGCGACATGGTGTCCAATGCATAGCCGTCCGGCGCGCTCGCCTGCCACGAGGTCGGATGAACAATAGGACCACGGGGCAGACGGACACTTCAACATCTGCAATCATGGAAAGGATGGACAAAATTGAGCAGCAACTCATCCAAATGGCCACGGTTGATCGAACGATTTCCGATGACTTGCTTGTACACACGAGAGCGAGTACCTCAGAGCAAAACCGCGCTCCATGGTCTGAAGCGGGCGGGACACCCTCAAGCCAGAGTGACATCGCGATCTCGACAGATCTGCAACCTTTTGGCAATAGTCCCTCAGCTCCACGGGTATGTGACCCGAAGTTCATTCGGTTGCTCCTCTCACAGCCGGCCTCGGTGGCACTATTGACGCTATAGACCAGAGTCTGAATTCTCCTCCCTTCGGTGTCACTCTTGTCAATTCACTGTCGGCAAAGAACACCCACGGTACGGAAAGTCATACTCTAGAGACACAATTGTCTCCTCAAACCCGCCGACATCTTTGCGCAATCTATTTGCATAACGTGGATCCATTGTTCAAGATTCTTCACCGACCCTCCGTTCAAAAGTTTCTCTGCGATGGTGAACGATATCTGGACTATAAGCCGGGCCACCATACCCCCGCTACACTTGCCTCCGCTATTTTCTACTCGGCGGCTTGCTCTCTGAACGACTCTCAATGCGTTTCCTTGTTTAGGGAAGATAAAAGTGTCATAGTCGCTTTGCTCCGGAAAGAGACCGAATCAGCACTATTTAAAGCAGACTGCACCGCTTCAAACGACTTGACGATATTACAAGCCTATGTACTTTCTTTGGTAAGACAATTCTCTTGATTACTTTGGAGACGAAATTTTGACTAAAATTTCCAGCTGGCTACTTGGACTTATGACCAGAGTAGACGTGTTTGGACGATGTTAAGCATCGCTCTCCGAATGGCCCAAGCCCTATCTCTACATTTACCCGAGCCCCCATTTTCTATTACTCCTTTCGACCAGGAAATGCGCCGGCGGCTGTGGCTTGCCATAGGACTGCTGGATATCTCAACCTCTCTATCCCAGGCCTCTGAGCCAATGATGCAGACGGCATGGTTGGAATCCCATCCACCCTCCAATGTGAACGATGATAATATATGGTTTGACATGGAAGAGCCTGTGCAAGAGGAAGATGACACCGTGTTCTCTGATATGTCATTTTCTTTGATACTTTTTGCAGCACAGAATGTTGTCAGGTCTATAGGGTTTTCTGGCTGGATGGAGATTGTCATAGACCACTTAGTCCTGCGGCAGCGACTTGTTGATTGCTTTCGGAAAACGGTCCCAACGCTGCTCCTTGGATACAGTCCCGAGAGGGAGCCATTTCACTGGTACGCCCGACTAACTACGCAGACCATAAACTCTTGGTTACAACTTATTTCCGTTCGACCATTGAAAAAGAGCAGGACGTTTGTCTCCTCTGCGATTTCTGGAGATGATGTACTGAAATTGGCCGCTGAAAACCTTAAAACCATACTGGAGGGACATAATGATCCTCGCGCCTCCCCTTGGCGATGGTTTGAGTGCATGTGGACTCCTTGGCATGGACTCGCGGTTGCTATGTCAGAGCTTTGCACCTGCGAAGATCCACTTACTATGGCGAAGTATTGGCCGTTGGTTGAAAATTTCTATTGCGAGTCGCGCGCTTCTGTTAACGGCGGTCAAAGTGACAGGGTCAGAAAGCCAATGGATAAACTTTTCGCCCAGGCGCGTACTAGGAAAGAGGAGTTATTGGATGGTCACAGCACCCGTGGGTTGCCAATATACCTCGCCAACGACGTGCTTTCTGGTGAGAAAGGATCCAGAGAATCTGAGGGTCAATTCGGTTCTAGTCCCTTACTGGCGCTAGATTCAAATTCCAATCCTGATCAACAAATTCATTTTGGCAACAACGCACTGTTTTTTAGCAATCACCCTATCCTGTGGCCAAATATCTGGGACCAGGTTGAATGCGGAGACCCGGCACTTAACAACGAGAGAGAGGTACCCTGTCAAAGCTACGAAGACTTCATCTTTGGTTTTGAAAATGGAAAATGAACTTACTTATTTTACTGACCATGTTGTCAAAGTATATTACAGCGATATTCGGCGCATTTCAGCATTTCTTGTTGCTTTCAGCGTCCGGTATGCTGAAGGCATGAACGATCATTCACATCTCATGAAATGACTATACGTGTACTTAATCCATAATGAAGATATTTTGGAATTCTAGGGATTGAAAGTTACTCTGTATTCCCGAGGAAACCCTCAAATCTCGAAACTTCGACTGTGGGATTATTCTCGGGTGGCCGGATTACCCATGAAACACGTATCGGCTGCTGTAAACGAGCCGCACTCAGCCCTAATTTAATAATTACCAAATAATTATATCACCAAGTCATAATTTCTGGTAAATATGTCGGCATATAAATTTTTATCTTCATACTCTTTTTTTGTTTTGTTTTTTGATGTCTTGAAAAAATAGATATTTTTTAATTTGGATATCAGGTATATATCCACCTCTCACTGGCAGTACCATGGCGTCCCCACGTAATAAAAAACCAGAAACACATATCCGTAGTGAGATTTAACATCTGAATTTCACACTAGGCACTTTTTCAATTTTTTCCAAGGATAGCTCAGCGTGACACACGCACCTTAATTATAAAGCTATTAATTCTGGTTAAGAGCCACTCCTTGCAGGTCCAAGGGAAGGAATTGGCCGCTGTAGCAGAAGGAAGAAATATCCTGAATACCGACATATTCTGAACTAATCACAGCCATGGATATAACTCTGACAGTCTGCTCGGTCTTTGCTAGTCGCCTGACCCGTTACTAGTTGCTAAACACAGGGCAAGCCGTGAAAATTGCACCCATATCTGTTGTTTGAGCAAGCTCCCCCATTATAGACTTGAAGGTATTGTCCAGCCAGTGAGCCCAGAATACCGTATTGATCCTATTTGTTTGCCTCGCACACAAATAACTTTTGGCTGAAGTAGTTCCAATCACCAAGTCCCCAGAAGGGAACAAGATAGTCTCCCCTGTCTGCTTCCACGGCTCGCTCATAAAGCCAGTTATATAATACAGTATGCTAGAGCTGGTTTTGGAAAATGAGAAGCAGTTTTGTAACTGTCCAAATATAATGTCTAGAGATAGGACCACTTTAAAGAGAATTTCAAGTCCTTTTTCCTACTCCGGCAGACAATTCCCTATGAGGGTATCCTCCTAGTTGGCGCTAGAGTATCAACTACGTTTTCCCTTTGTTTGGTTGATTAGCAGCGAGAAACAGGACTACTTCAGCTCTACTGGTTTCACGTCTCTGAGGCAGGGATGCAGCTTTTTCGCCTGTATGGCCTTTATTATCAATAGGAATAAGTTCACGGGACCTCAACCACCAGGTACAATATCTCACACGCGAGAACCTGGAACTACCAGTGCGTGAACAGAACTTGCCCCGCGATCGGTCTAGTATGGCAACAAGAATGGGTTAAAGAGGTCGAATTGCAGAGAGTGACCACAAGATGTGACCCAGACATTCGTTTCAAGCAAGGTTAACATATAGACCCTCTGCGTCCACTTCCCGTACCCATAGTCTCCATGGCCGCATAAAGGACCATTCAGTCATCTCAGTAGTGGGGGATATCTCAGACTGATTAAGGTAATGCAGTTCACTGGCAACGCCATTTTTCCTAACGCCAGCGGAGCTACTGAGAGCCAACGCTGTTGTTTGAGTACTGGCATTTTGAGCAGTGTAAATTGCTCGAAAAATGCTCTCCTCTATGCCTTTGCCCACGGCAGTAAATCCATGACCTCGCATGAGGACCACTGGTTGTAGACATTGCGTTGAATCAGTGGAGAAATACCCCGATAGATTTTCCCCAAGTCGCCCATTTCTGACGAGGAGGTCCTGGATATCACCCTCGTGGTAGAAGTTGGCAATGTCAAACGTGGGGACCGAGCTGCCTATGTATCATCGTCAGCCACCCGCAAAGGTTATGCGATCAAGGTATCCTTTGAAGGTCTGAGTGGTGTGGTTCGTGATGGGAAGTTACCTAAAAAGCCGCTCATGTGGCAACACGCCCGCAACGGCACATCTGTAGAGTTTTTGTCACTATGTGTGATCAAAGAGGCAAAGAAGTTTCCATAGTTCTAATGGCTGGAGCTGCATACCGGTAATTGTGTATGGGAGGACTTCTGGGGAATGACTGTGAACCACGCTCTGTACTTCTGGGTAGTTCTTGTAGATCGCACTGTGAATGAAACGTTCCACGTATCCGGGAGGACTACTTGAGATGACTGGCGATGCATCCTCTACGTGGTATTGCACGATGTCTGCGGGGGATGAAACGGTGGCGGGAGCCATGTTCTTAGGCATCAGAAAAACATCCGAACGAGTGGGATGTCTCACGGAAAGATGGCCATACGCGTCTAAGATGCTGTGTATATTTAGTAATCTCTCTATAACAATAATATGTAATTATCAGACCGATGGTAATGCAGGATGTGGCATCCCGAGATCAAAGTTCTGTAGATCGAGTCTAGAGCAGTTTGGGTGTCGGACATAGACATCGTTGGATAGGTATCGCTGTTCTGCGCAGCCATCGGAAATAGGACGTGAGATTTGGAAATATCGGTGCGAGGTATATAGTTGCGGGAATTTCACAAATGGTTGGGAGAGCATGAGAGTTCGGAAGACTCGTGTTTACAGACCCAGTACTTTCTTCGGTGCGAATTAGACCCGAGCTGTCCGCAAGTCTATACCCCCGCAGAGTTGCATTTGCGCAGTGAGTGGCATATTCGGTTTTAATCGGGCTTTGGAAGCCGGGATCCGTGACCATCACGGCAGATTGATTGTTCTCGCCAGTCTATTTGCAAATATGATAACTGATTAATGATAAATGATTGAATGCCCGCACCTACGCACACTTTCCCAGGCAAGCCACAATGAGCAACCAACGTGTTACCAGACCACGCATTGATCGCTCTGTTACACTCCATTGCGTGGGTGACTGGGGTCAAGCCAACTTCCACCGAATCCTATCATGGCTATCTCAAGAGTTCTGCGACCGTGCCGGGCCCAAAAGCCGAACGGCAATTTGGTCTCTTCGTGATGGTGGACTAGATTCGGTTCTCCAAGTCTTCAATGGCGAAGCAGATCTCGGAATCTCCACACCCGCTACCCTTCTTAAGGCAAGTCTTCTGGGGGAGGAGATTTTCCAGAAGACCGGCCCCATGCCCTCTCTTCGAGCCCTAGCTGTCCTCCCACAACGAGACCGATTGATGTTCGCTGCTGCTTCCGGGCTGAATATCTCATCGTTCGCGGATATTCGAGACCGGAAGCTACCGCTACGCATCGCAGTCTCAGAAGACGATGGTACAAATTTCATTGGATACATTTCCGCACGGGTTTTGGAAGCCCATGGATTGGACGAAGAGACCATGCACTCATGGGGTGGCTCTTGGGTCAAGGCATGTCGTCCTGAACAGGTCATTGACCTTTTTCAAACGGGGCAGGCCGACGCCGTCATTCAAGAGGCTATAATGACACCTTGGTGGCGAGACTTGATTGAAAGCCGTGCTTTGTTGCCAGTAGAGATGGAGGATGCCGCTCTAGCCAAGCTTTTAGGCCGGGACGGCTTCCAAAGGTCTTCTGTGAAGGCCGACTTCTGGAGTAATCTGACGCACGATATCCAGTGCGTGGACTTCTCTGACTTCGTCGTTATTGTGCGCGACGATATGCCCCATGACATTGCTCATCTGCTCACTTGGTGTCTTGTTGAGACAAGGGACGTCCTGGAGGCGCAGTATCGCCACATCCCACCGGATCAAAGTCCTCTTTCCTATCCGTTGCAGCCGGCAAAAATGGCCCAGTCAACAATTCCACTCCACCCGGCCGCAGAACAGTTTTATCGAAGGGAAGGATATCTACAAGACAGCGACACTCCTTTTTAGTCTACTGGTTCTCAAGCAAGACTATATTAAGGATTAAATTCTTCCATAGAGTGCTATCCGGAAGTCGTGCAAAATAAAGAGGTGTGGAATGGACAGGAGATATGGAGGAATCTAGATATTAGTCTGGACTAGTGCTTAAGGAATTCGCAATGTCAGTCAGCCCTGGAGCTAGAAGGTATAAACCCCAGTATTTCTAGTACCATTCGTAGTAGCACATCCACCCGTAGACGGAGACCGCGTAGAGGTCACGATGGTTCTTCACATCTACCTGGTAGTTAGTATAGGTATATGTCTATGGATACTTGTACATCATCCTCTTCCGCATTCCAACCTTTGAAGGTTGCCCACGAAATGACCTCGGGACCGAGTTCGAGCGAAGCAGTAATTTCAAGGTTTTCTCTGAGGTTTAGACCTCGGGAGTCGGAGTCATAAAGTCTCACATATTCATGACTCTGCTTTGAATACAAGTACTACTCATCATATGGGATAAGTGGAGTGTTGCCGACCTTAGATCAAGACAACTCACTGGCAGGTTCTTCGCTTATGACGATACAGCTGGCCCCACCGTGGAAAAAATGTAATTACTGTATTACTATATATCAAAGGCTAGCTTTAATCCATCAATTTGACAGTGGAAGCGACTTGCCATCCTTTTCACAGATCATCAAGCCCGCAAATTTCCCTTATTCCTTGTCGGGATGAAAGCCATCCCGATCGGGAAGATAGCCTGCAACACCTTCTCCAAACCCATTCCATCCATTAAATTCAGAAATAAATTTCACCGAAGCCTTCAAATAATGATCACTCTTTTTTCCGAAAGTGTCCTCGAATGCCTTTGGAGCACGCGCGACCTTGAAGAAATGGGAATCCTTGGCCCAGCGGTGTTCCAACGCTTGCGCCATTACCCAAGACCAGTCATGACCACCTAGGTCAATGGAATCAATGCACTGAATGATTTCGGTGGGAAATTCTGGCTTCATCTGGCAAACATAGATCAGGAGAAGGAAAAGAGCATATTGCTTGAGAATAGAAGCATGTCGCTCTTCAGGAATGAAATGCCACAGTACCCGAATAGCTTGCGCGACAGTCATGGTGTGGATCAGGTAGAAATCATATTGCCCAGCTCCGTTGCCTGTCCCAATCCCCAAAAGTAACGATAGATCGCAACACTGTTCTAGCTGCTTCAAGGGATCAGTCACTTCCCATGCATTCCAGTGTTCCAATAGGACGCTGTAGCGTTTTTCCAGTAGAATATCAATGTTTGTGATGCCGGGCTTAGTAAACAAACCGTCAAGGCGCTTATCAGCTTGGACACGGCTGAGGACTTCTGCAATATTACTCGACTTATATGACGAGTTGTCGGTAGGAGCACGGTCGAGAATTCCATGGAGAGGAATGTATTCAGTACATCCTAAGCTCAAACCTTCAGTGGCTACTGTCGGGCTCTGTAGCTCCCATGCATAGGCGAGGTGGATGAATGGATGGCCGACTGCGTGAATGATATGAATTAGTTGAGATAGTGAATAACTCTGAGGCATCTTGGGACATACGGCCTCCGACCAGACCGTTGACAAGCGGTTCTGCTCCAGAAAATAGATACTGCTGTAACACGGCTTTCCAGTCTCCGTTGTTCATCTTGACTTCACTATCGAAAAAGTCGACATACGCAACGGTGTAACTAGGATTTGTTAGGATTTATTCCAAAACAGGCCATTATGAAGTACCAACGATTTCTGTCCAAGAAATTTCCTCCATTCATTCTTTGAAATGCTGTTACCCCGGACAGATGTATCATCAACCCGCACTAGGGTTTTGATTTCGTGTTCATAGAGTTCCTTCAACTGCTTGCTGCTGGCGCCCAGAATATACCCAGATCCAAGGAGCTTGAAAGATTAGATGAAATGTCTATATAGGAGCAAGGGAAGATGGGCTATTCATACATGCGGAAGATGGCTATGAAGAATCAACTTCGGTTCTCGAAGCGGTGCCATGCTATCGTGGCCTTTGATGAGTAGTTCATGTAGGGTTTGTCGGCGCTCATCTTTGGATTTGGTTACATCGTAAACCAGTGTTGGGGTCAGAGATCGAAGCCCCGAGGGAGGGGGCAGCTCCACTGGTGCCGTCAAAACAGCGGTGGTCGAAGGCATTGTTCTTTTTGTAGCAACGATTTTGTTTGCAGCACAGGATCCCTCAGTTTCTACCATTGGAACTCCTCGGCCTATTCAGTTGGATTATGTGGTGGATCTTTTCCATGCCGATTCTCCCAACAATCTCGACTAAATAAAAAACTGTTTTATCCCACTAGAATTGACTGCGCCTTTAGATTATGGCGGATACTCGGGTTTTGCAGTGTCGTTTTGGCCGAGACGACGTCGGCGCGGTCCTCGGAACATGCTAGTACATGAAAGACCGAATCACCGAAGGGCGTTTTGTTCAAATATTACCTGATTTCAGAGTGTCTATCAATTTCAGGCAGACACTCTCACTGCCCATTTGACCTGGTCTCAAGGTGTTCTACAATGGAAGCTGCCGGAACCCTTCATTCCTCACAATGCCTTGCACTACTGGGTGCAACAGGCCACACTGGTCGATTAGTCTTACGCAATCTTCTGACAAGCGGATACAACCAAATGGAACTTCACATCTACGTCCGATCAAAGGAAAAGCTAATCGCGCTTTTCCCGGATATCTTATCGGATACCAGGGTGACCATTTTCCAAGGCAATATTCAGGATGATGGCCTCATGCAACGATGCCTCTCCGGGGTCAGCACAATTATCTGCACACTGGGGGAGAACGAAAATATCCCAGGGATCCGTGTGATGCAAGATTTTGCGCGGTCCGCTTTGGAAGCTTTGAAATCCCTCAAAGACAATAGCTCACATTGGAAGCTTCCACGGCTCATTTTGCTCTCCTCTGCCACGTGGAATAAACGCTTCGCCGACAGTCGACCAGCAATTTTACACTGGATGATCCGAAATGCCTTTGCCCAATCCTATGAAGATCTTGTCAAAGCCCAGGAGCTCTTGAAAGCCTCGCCCTCGCTTTTATCTATGCTTTTGGTTCAGCCCAATGCTCTAGTCGACGAAGCGGCTTCCGGGTGCGAGATTAGTACCGATTTCGCCTATATGGCGGTTTCTTATGAAGACCTTGCGGATGGTTTCGTCAAGCTAGCCAGTGATCCTATGTACACGGATATTGATGCCGTTGGGGTGTCAAGTCGAAGTGCGGAAAATGGATTGCGATATTTTCCCTTTGTTTTTAGTAAGGTCCTTCGGGGTCTCATGTTTCAATTCATTCCAGGGTACTGTCGAGCTGAATATGCACTTTACCAGTGGTTACGGACTTTGAAAGAGAAGTCTAAGAAGTTGTGAGTTGTAACTGCTTTCACTGATATTGTTTCGTACCCAACAATATCCGGATCAATTAGCGCACAATAAACCTGCGTTTCATTACCCCTATTTCTGACAATCAATATGGGGCTTCTGACTGAAATATCTATTTGAAATTTCGTAAATACAGTAAATATAATAAATATAGTAAATAGAGGTGATCCACTTGTTGGCTCCATAGCGATCAGTTGATAGAATTGAAAGAACCGGCAACTGTAGTTATAATAGAGAGGCCTACATAGTTGATTCGTATAGCTCTCCATAATAACGCTGGCTCTTTGATAGTATAAGATAGTTGATAATGAGCAAGTTTCATCAAGGCGGCCGTCTCTATGGAGCAGCTTAAACAAGACCAGACAGACCATGGGGTACATACTTTGAATTTATTAGTCGGATCTCTCGGGGTCCGAGTTCGGCTTTTCAGAAAAGATGGCCTCGCACCCGTCGGAGCTTATCGGGGTTTGAAGCCGAATCTAAACTTGACGTACCCTTACCGTACTTTATAGTAGGCGACGCGGGAATTTGACTATCGTCAATGGGATTTTACGAATAGGAGACAGGTAGAGACGAATTTCACATGACTCTGTCCCGAACACACATGGGGGGCGAGATATCGCCATTTTGAAATCTTAGTATAAAATGGGCAATATGAACTTTCTAATATGCGGAGGGCGTGTGGAAGTCGCCGAGCTTTGCCCCCTTTAAATACCACTTGGTTATTTATTTATATATCTTTTAAAGTAACCGTGATGTGAAACTTAATGAAGCAGAAATTTTGAGTGAAGTTCTTCGACCTAGATCATTCCCCAAGGGACTTGACAAAAGGCCCTCGTCAAAATTTGGACAAATCTCTGAAACATCGGTCCATGTGTGGCCTGCTACATACGCTTCTGTAATTGTTGACAACAAGAAAATATGGTTGAATATCCACAGATAAAGCGTCAGTGGCCTGTCAAGGGAACTGGGTACAAATAGCTTCGCTCGCCTCCAGCTGCCTCTTACAAATTCCCAATTCCGCCCGTTATTGAAAATGCACTCAGTTGAGACCAATTTTTAGCTAATTTGCTTTACTAGTATATAATTGCACGGAAAGATCCAAGCTAGAATTCTCCATTTTACCACAGGCTAGTCACATCTAACGAAACTAGAGAGGAACTCCTAGCGTAGATGATAACTTCAATTGGGCTTCGCCAAACCTCCGAATACAATCCGTATCCCCAATATTTAACTGTTCAAATAGCTCGTCTCTGTCTTTCACAGCACCTTCATTACTGCCCATTAACCTCTCAAGATTGGCAATGGCCATAGGGCTGGTGTGTGTTAGGAATGCTGAGCGACGTTCCTCCGCGTAATTGTGTAACTGTGAACTTGACTGGCCTTGAAGAAGTACCCTCCTCAAGATCCGTCCTAGAAGCGCAGCGTCAAGCAATCCAGTGGTAAGTCCTAAACCACCCATGGGGTTCGTGAGCTAGCTCAAAGTATTAGCGTTGGCTCAGATTTCAAACCAAAATATGGGGAGGGTAAAGCGTTAAAGAAAGAGTAAACGGTGCAAGTTCATTGAAGGTTGATTAGGGGTGTTGCTGGTTTGAAGATACTCACATGTGCTGCGTCCCCAGCAAGAATGACATTCCCTTCCACGAATCTCGTAGCACAGAGCTGGTGCATCTTGTAGGAAGCAATTGCTGTAATCCTCAGTTCCTCCAAGGGACCTTTCAGAAGCTTACGAAAGATCTCTTTTGCTCGTTGAATCATTTTCTCTTCGGTCCAATCCTCGAATATACCTCCGACATTTCGAGCTGGGAAAGTAATCCGCCAGTTATCGTTATCTAACTTGATCACAACTCCCCATAGCTCAGGATCCACGATAAAATTGGCTGCTTCAAAGGGTGCCATATGATGGGAGCTGTAGACGACTTTGACGGTGATTATTGTATGATCACTCCAGGTAAACCCTTCGAAACCAATACCCATCATCTTTCTCACCGTACTTCTTCCCCGTCCGCACCGACCATGTATTTGGACTCATGTTTATACAAGCCTTCATCATGTGCACGTTTGAACGTAGTAATTACCAGATCTGGAGAGTTTTCAATGTGGATGACCGTCGCTCCAAAAACGACAGTAACATTAGGACATTTGGACAAGTGCTTCAACAAGATTTCAGCAAAGTCATATTGTTCCAATTGAATGCCAACTGTCGGTGGCGGAAATTCAATGCGTGCAAGGAGATCACCTCTAGGCTTCCGCCAACTCAATCCAGTACTTTTCAGGCCAGCATCATAGACATCATCATAAATCCCAGTTTGCTTGAAGTCATCCAAAACGACCGGAAAGTAGCTGTAAGGTACGTTAGATATCACCACCAATATAAATCAATACCGTAATACGTTACCCAGCTGCCTTCGGATACCGGAGAATACCCGTGCTGCGTTCAAAAACAAATACTTCGATACCAGCTTGACCCAAAATCAAGGCTGTGTACAGTCCAACTGGGCCGCCGCCGACAATAGCAATAGAGCTAGAGCTCTGAATCTGAGGGATTTTGAGCTCTGATATACGTTTTAATGATCTCGTTTCTCTTTACCTTTGTTTCCATTTTTGTTTTCTGGTGTCTCCCAGTTGCAACGTTTATTTTCGTAGCTTGTCACTACTGACAGGCAACAATAGGTACGGAATATGTAAATAGTCTCCTGAGCCTTGAAGAAAGGACTTTTCCCCGAGTTCAAGGGTCAAGAAATGGACAGAGACTGACCATGTCTCATCTTCCTAAAGCTACTCCTCGTTTGTGGAGACCTCGGCCGTTCGGGATTGAAATACGGCCGAGTGAAGTTTGATTCCCTCATAGAGAAATCGTATCATACCACACGCGGCAGTGCTATGGAAAGGATGTGCGGTGAATGATAGGTGTCATATACCTAGCCCGCAAGTATATGACTGTACGGAGTAGTAATTAACTCTTTGTCATTGTTGCCATGAGTGATAAGATGCGCATAGATGATATTACCTAGCTTTGAGGGTATGGCTCGGGTTTTAGAATTTAATGCGGCTCGCTGATTATTTGATTTTCACATTGCCTTGGGCTCACAAATTATTTATCGAGTGTATTTTGATGGCCCGACTTTCGAATGACTTTTCCATTGGGATGTAAAAATATTACTGCATTCTGCGTAAACTCCGCCAAGCCTTCCAAACCCACCTTCGCACTTATGTGAAGACGTTTCACATGTACCTCCTGCCAAGTCATAAGATATGTGGGCCAAAAGGGATTTCTACTCGGGGAAAAAGAATGCAGTGTTCATGACTAGAAGCCGAAACCCCGTCCTTGGCATTTTCCCGCCCTTTTACCAGGTATAGCGATGGCTGCACTGCGGGTTCAATGAGGTCAAAAGCCGACAAATACCGCTCGTGGGGATGGTTACAAAGTAGGCCTGGAAGCTAGCTGTAGCACCATGAGAGTCATTGATGGACTATTAAACATTTTCTTTTTTGATTAATTTCCGAAGATTATAATAGAATCTGCCAATTTGGACATTGATTGTCATTTAAATATCAATTGAGCAACAGGGTCTTCAACTAATCGTAGATGGGCTCCCTACTATCTGTGGCCAAAATGCCTATTATTCCGGCCAAAATATGGAGTCAAAGATTAAAGAATACAGATACAAATACCGAGGTTTCAGATCTGTCGGGGGCAGAAGGAGAAGAAGAAAATGTCGGGGTTCGGAGAGTGAAAGCACCGGCCTTCATAGTCAATTATAATGGACTTAAGGAGTTAACACGCAGTTTAGGATGGCGTAGCTTGATATACAGAGAGCTAAAACCGCTTAAAACCGCCCAAGCGTCGACATTACTAGGTCAATCACACAGGCTATGTATTCAATTTGCCGTTATCTCCGCAGACTAAGTTTAGCCTACAGAAATCTGATTTGGGTCGACTTGGGTGGATCTTTCAGGTGGGGCTCCTTTCGCGTAGTCAACCTCCAGTACAAGGGTAAATGGAGGATAAATGTGTGTGGTATCTCTATTTCGATCCATGTCTTGATAAAAGTTTCACTTCTTCCCCTCAAAGAGATATTCGCGCTCATCCACTCCCTGGATGATAACTGGCTCCATCATGGGTGATTGCTGTCTTAAAGGCTTTCGTTGGACGGCCCAACCTCGGGGAAGGGAAACGGTTCTTGCCAACATACCGTGTTATGTGACTGGCTCCAATACAGATGTTGCTATTTTGGTCATCCACGACTTATTCGGGTGGACGTTTCCCAATATCAGGCTGCTCGCAGACCATTATGCAGAGGAGGTTGATGCCACAGTTTACGTTCCTGACTTGTGAGTTTTTTCCTGAAATCGTCTGGAATGTGACTTGCAAACTTGCACCTGGAGTACAATCCCACGACAAAAGCAATTTGAACTAAATTTCACAGCTTCGGTGGAGAAGTTCTTCCATTGGACATACTACAAGATAAAAGTCGATGGGGCAGTCTAAATCTCCCCGCATTTCTCGAACGCAACGCCAAAGAGGTACGGGAGCCCCAAATTTTCGAATGCGCAGTCTCATTACGGGCACAGTACCGACAAACAGGCGCTATTGGGTATTGTTTTGGGGGTTGGGGGGTTTTTCGGTTAGGGGCTAAAGGCAGAAACCTCGTTGATTGCATTTCCACAGCCCACCCAAGCTTCCTTGAGAAATCTGAAATTGAATCTGTCGGTGTGCCAGTACAGATAATGGCCCCTGAATTCGATCCTATGTTTACAGAGGAGTTGAAGCTCTTCTGCAATAGTGTGATTCCGGCCCTCGGCGTCGCATATGAGTATCATTACTTTCCAAAATTGGAGCATGCATTTTCCGTCCGAGGGAATCCCAACGACTCAGCCGAGATGAAGGGAATGAGGAAGGCAAAGGACGCGGCCGTCGTATGGTTTCGTCAGTGGCTGCATGACACTGATATCTAACTGATATCTAGAAGCGGGGCCCTTTCGTAGCCTTGGGGATGCAGAAGACTGTTGTTGCGTTCATGATCTTCCAATAAATGTAACATTTGGCTTCCATTTCAATCTCTGCATTTGATTTAGTTTTGAATCCGACCTTCAGGCTATGCAATAGATGTCTAATTAGGCTAGCATGCTAGTAGGATGCTATCAAGGCTTGCGAGTAAGTAAAATCTTTCTTTGTCAAGGATCACTAGATTTGATGTATTAGCTTCTTCTGGTAACCCCAGTAGCTAGCAGGCGAAGCTATGAAACAAGCGACTAATGGTACCGTAGGCGCGAACGGCATCAGTTTGACTCGGATTCGGATTCGGAATCTGTATCTACCTCACTCTCTCCATCTCCACACGCCCCTTGCATGGTGGCGATATGGGAAAGGTGCCACTGCATCTCAAGGAGCTTGAAGGATGGCAGGGGTTTGTTTTGTAGATCGTCGGTCGTGATAGTGAAGATGTGACCCGAAGGAATAGGCAGCTAAGTTTCCATGTTGAAGAAAAAGATGCTATCCCCGGGGTATCAGTAAAACCTGTCGGTTGTTCGGGGTATGGATGTTTGTCAATCGGCATAAGATCGCTGTGGCCACATGATTCGTCCGGGAGGGGCATCTAGTGGAAGGCGACATCCATTGACGTTTTGTCTTCATTAACAGAGATAGGCCGGAATGCACAAATGCACTCGTTCCAATAGGAGTGGAGAGCTGGGGCTAGAGTTAGCATATTCGTGATTTGTTCGGTGTTGAAAGTTCCATCTTTTCCCAGAATTCGAGCACGCCAACTGTCTATTTTGGCAGTTTCCCAAAACCTCTTGAACCATATCCAACTACCCTCTATTCACAAGTTCCAGTCCCAGGCCGACATTGCGACAAGCGAACCCTCGCTGAGGACCTCCAGGATGAGGTCGACTCCAAACGCCTGCGGAGTGCGGACCCAGACGACCACGGACTCCTCGAGTGAGCCTACCGAGATGCAATCATTGCACGTGTCATGTCCGCAACTGCGCGCAAGGCCAAATCGGCATTCGACCAGGGCAAGTTCAAGAGAAGAGTAAACAGCTACCCAGAATCCCGGAGGACTGTTCTCGGTCGACTCGCCAAATTCTGAGAGCGGCCACTCCTCAAATGGAGTATCTGCTGGAGAAGGGTCTGCGGTCGATTGCGGGAGAGGTAGAATTTGTGGCATCGTGCTTTCTGATTCGTAAAGTCCATGTTAGTTCTGAGGATTGTATGATCCCAATATAATAAAAATATCTTATTGATGAAATCAAACTCACCTGATGTTTCTTCCATTGTGAGAGATAAAACAGTGACTTCTTGCCGAATTGGTTTATTATAGAGAGTTACCCTGCAAGGGTAGCTGCAGACCTGGGCGCGTAGAATTCAGCTCGGCATATGAGGAGAGAGAGGGGGGGGGGGATGTGAAATCGGCAATTGGATTCTCGGTTTGGTGGAGAATATGAAGCTGCCCGTTGTGGGCAGCTTTAATCCCGGATGTATTGAGGCCAGCTCGAGGTAAGAAGATGAAAAACGGGGTAGGAGCGAATCGGATACCAGTGCTAGTAGTGAATACTGAGGTCAAAGTCAATGCCAAAAAGGGAAGATGTGGTTGCCTGCCTTCCATTCACTATTTACTTCAACTCCTCTTCCACTTCCTCTTCCTCTTCTCTCACCCATTCCCTTCCCTTCATTTCGATCCCATCTCATCTCATCTCATCCCATCTCTGCGCTACGAGCAGAAATACAAGCCCGTTAGCCGCCCGGCGCCGCGTGGCTTCCTATTCTTTATTGCAGCGATGGCCGAGTAAGATCTCCAACGTAATCGGACCACACGACCCCGATCGCGTCAGGCGCAACGAGCCAGAGCAGTTGTTGGCGCCCGATGGCGATGGACTATATGCGGATATCCCACCTCGAGCAGGTGGATGGGCCGAGTGGATCGAGAAGCTTGAGTGGACTAAGGCCAGGGAGGAAAATGAGCTTAGAACTGCTTTTCTCATCTTCTTGAGCGAAATGAAACTTGTGCGGGAGCCTATGTGGCGTCATCGAGGTAACCAGTACGACACGTCGATCGACGATCTCATCGAACACATTTACCGCATTGAGGCTTGTCGGATGCAGATTTCCGGAACGCTCGCGCCCATCCTATGCCTATGCTGCGCTCGGGGATATAGACAATTTGCTCACTGTGCAATGGTTCAAGATTTCCCGAAGTCACCCACTGCGCAAATCGTCACTGGGATAACAACGGACGTCGTTGAGAGTGGCGCCCAGATCAGCTTGTTGCACCAGCTCCTATCCAGCTGAATCCTGGTCCGGTAGCTGCTGTGGTAGCTACCCCTGTTGCTTCTCCTATGTCACATGCTCACAACTTGCCGCAGAGGTGATCGTGTTTCGAGGAGGTTATCACAGACGCAATGGCCAAGGTTAATACCGCAGACGAACAGGAAATCCTTGAAGCTGCCAAGGTCATCATGGAGCAGGAGGTATTCGAGCTGTGAGTCGGTCAAGACAAGTACATGTGGCGGAATTAGATACGCGCATTCTAGATGCGAATCGGGGTATCCTGTTCACTCTCGCCGACCATTGTTTTTCTATTACATTCCCAAGCAATAGCTTTAAGACCCTAGTTCAATATTGCTAGAATTGAAGGTATTCCCTAGTACTTGTTCGGATACAATAAGTTACGTTAGTAGGCACTATTGCCTCTGATAATATAGAATACCTCTCTCAACTAAATCCCGCGTTAATTCAAATTCCATGGGTCTCTGCCTTGGTAGCGCGGCATTCAATTATTACAAGACACGATATATGATATGCACAAGCTGGGGAGAAACTCCTTAATGAAATCCATTCCAAGCTTGACTCTTCAACATAGTGACAGAAACATTATGAAGTACAAGTGACTCCCCATCTTCGATTGTTCTTTCAGTGAAAAGGCCGCTGATGCCCAAGACTTCAAGAGCTCCCAGATTCTGGCCGCGGAGATGCTCCATGGATTTTCAGTTCCTCATCGGCAGGGTGCTTAACGGGACGGTGCTAATCAGTGTGTCGCCGCCGAGGATCGTTCAATCCCGAATATCCAATTGAAGAGCAAGCCGCGTCTTGACCATTATATGCCATTCCGCGTCTTTGCTCCCAGCCATATTGGGAAGCGAGACAGACTGCCAAATGACGGCGTTAATTGTCGACTATCCATGTTCCGAGCAACATCACAGACTGCTTGTCCATCTAAGGTGTCTCAATAGCTGGCCCAGCCCGTGACAGACTGATATCTAGGAGGTCTAACCACTTTTGGGAGTGGAGGACCTCAAATCAAAGATAGGCCATGTCTGTAGCTTGCAGGGTATTCTCTGCTGTGGCTGCGAATTGACTCTATGGTATGTTCGTGGGTAAAGGAATCTTGAGTCGTCTCTGCTGGCTGGCGTGTTTTCGTAGTCGAGTTTTCGAGTGCTTAAAGGTCTTTCGTAGACAAGGCGTTGGCGATATCCTCGAACTGTATATATAGCCTTTCGTGGATCCTCCATAGTAGTAGCATACAGGTTTCCGCGTAGTTCCAGGTCTCTCATGAATTGAACAAGCAGACGCAGAGGCTCTGCATACCTTTGATCAAAATCCGAACTAGATGATAACTGTGCGACGGCAAGCTCCGTGCCACCATTTCACACCGAAAGGTTGCTTCACGCAGTCTGCGTAAATCCTTTATCCAAACGGTGCAATAAAACTGGGGAATTTCCCCTACCCATGTGAGTGGTACTCTTGGGAATCGAGGTCATGCTGTGTTAAGCAAGGTGGAAAAAGACATGAAGATCAGCAAGTTCACCCAAATCGACATGCAAACATCACGTCCATGTTCTTTGTCTGCGAAAAAGACAATCATGAAACCTGCAGTCAGTGGTGATTCTGAGGAACCCCTTGGACGTGTACAGCTCCGGAGATTGATTGACCACATGTTGGACATAGCGGCATGATGTTGGAGAACATCTTATATAAATACAGCCGGGTATTGATACCCCGGTGGTTGAACTGGAAACCGTGGCACGGAAATTCGGCTGGTCAGATTTTCAGATACATCGAACTCTCGTAACAGTACATTCCAATAGATTACTTGGCCTTACGCCCGATCTATCAATTCGCGATTTCGAGAAGGGGTACACGATAGCTCACAGCTGGTGGCTTGGTGAATTCAAACTCCGACATCGACGGCGTTGGCTTCGAGATACCCGTCGGGGGAGTGGCCGGGGTGGCGACCCGAGAATGTTTTGAGGTTGCGGAGAGGGCATTCTCGCCCATGGCCCGGATATACGAACAACACGTACAAGATATAAGAGATAGGCGATAAAAATAGATAGAATAGAGAGATTTGGGGGAGAGGAGGTCACTAGGATTATTGTTGTGTCCCGTGACTTTGGTTCCATTCACAGCGCGTGAGTACCAAATAGGCAGCGTACAACACCAAAGGCAGGAGTGACTGAAAGGCAATCTCCACGTTCCTTCCTTTGAAGGCAAATCGTTATTCAAGGCTTCTGTGTAGTATAAATACAGGAGTACATAATAGCGAGACAAGAGTTAGCCTATTTTCTATCCACTGCACACGGGACCTATGAAAATTTGAATAAATTGAAGTCATATAAAATGCATCGAGATATCCTCTGATTAGGGCTAGATAATTACATGGCCTATCACTAACACTTATTCTGCTGTATATAGACCGAATCTTATACCTGGGCCCAGTCCCTTTTAGAATGATTCTTTTTCCAACTTGAAGGATCCACAATTTTCATATGTTTCGACCGCGTTTCTCGGTGCCAAAGCCATGGTTATGAGTTACTCCGTGCCAAAAGTGGAAACTATCCTTTAAATTCGATGAACATCTAGTGAGTCAGAAGAGGGAATGGCCTAGATCTTTATGTATGACCCCCACATGAAAGTTTTCATATTTATAAACCTTGTTATATTCTCGAATCAAGGGTTGGGCTGGATGTTAGATGGGAAATGAGTTGACGAGATTACCAGTGCTAGTTATGACGTCGTGGGTGTGCCATTGACGTTGGAATATCTACTAGTACCTTCCTCCTTACCCACTCTCCTCTTTTCAAATCTATCCCTCGGCAACACCATTATCCTACATTCATTTGTCAAAATGGCAGACGGTTTCTACACCCAAGACCTAGCATATGCCTCGCTGGAGCTACATCCTACCTTGCCAAACCAACGGGCGATGAAGGTCTGACTTATACCCTAATTTCTAACCCTGTCTGGCTCTTCAGAAATCATATTCATTGTCAATCGGAGTGAGAATATGACATACAAAATGACCACCTTGAAAGTGGCATCGAGGGTATTACTCAGATCACTTCCACTGGGGGCCCACTTCAACTTTGTATTGTTGTGTGCCTGCTGGTCACGTTCGCGTTGTGTCTATTGCTCCACAAATGACTTCCTTCTATGGAAAACTAGAACGGCATCAATAGACCCTGCTACAGAGGCAGGCCGTCATTGTGCATTCCTCCACTTCAATTTTCACTGCCTGTAAGGAAAGAATAGCCGGCTGTTGGCGATCTCGAGTGGCTGAACGACAAATCAAAGAGCTGCAACGACACGTACAAGCAGAACGTCGCTAGCTCGTACCAGGTCGGTACTCTCTCGCTCTCCTCCAGAAGGCGCATGCAGAGATGTGACAGCGAGCACAGAGTCTTCAAACGCTGCACGATCACAATCGTGAACGGGCAAGTCATGTACAAGGCTTGCTCATCCTGTGCATGGGACAAGGCGGGCACGTTCTACGAAGCTCCCATGAAGCAGTGGGTGTTAGACGTCGTTCGCACATAGAATCCATCGAGTTCTTGTTCATTGGCCTTGCTCGATCAACGTTAAAGTATAGACGAGGGTGAGTTGTACTCAGTCTGGGCCATATTTATTATCAAGTACCGTACAATGAATAGGTATTGCCTTTTATTTTCTATCTGGAGCTAGAACCTTCCAAGGCGAACTTGCAGGTTTACACCTGGGCACACAATCACGTACTAGGCATGGATACATAGATACTATTAGGGAGATAATAAAAAATGCGATTCTGGTGTATTTCGCGAACCGTGAGGAAATACTGCCATTACACAAGTTCAAGAAGCAGATCGGAGTCGAAAGACTCCAAGTAAACTTCCTCGCATGGTGCCATGAAAATAATGCAGAATTGAAAGTGTAAGGCCCTCCCATCCGCAGCGATTCAGTAACCACCGGCTCACGGGTAGTATATCACCAGTAACATACAGCGGTAGAAGAATGATAGAACAGGGATAGAATTCCGCAAATTTTTCCCCTCTTTTGGAGCGGCCCACGATTTTTTGCGAGTCCGCATAATCTGGTTTCAACCATGTTTCTCGACCGCAAAAGCCGTGGTTTCGGTGATTTCCACGCCAAAAAGGGAAAACCTAGAGGTCCCAAGAAATATGTCGTGAGTCACAAGAGAGATTGGCCTATATCTGCGTATGTTTGGGCGTCTCTCGAACACAGTCATACTCAAGGTTTTCATATTCTCAAAGAACATGTCAAGTTGGATATTGGATTTAGATAAGTCGATCTGATGACGAGTGCTATCACGTTATCACGTGTCTTGGGGAATAAAAGCAGAGGGAATTGCCATTTCTTTTGTTGACATGTCAACTATCAACACACTATTTCAAAGTTTCATATTCCATCCAGCTAAGCTGAAAACCCACATTTCTCATTACCAGATCTCCTCCTCTTCCAAGTCTCCTCAACAACCCTATCATCTATCATCAACACGCTCATTCATCATCAATACACCTATCCATCATCAGCAAATTCATCCATCAAGATGTCAGGCTGTTCCCTACATCCAAGACCACTACACCAACTACCTCCCCCAGGTGGGCCTTGACGTGCACGCAACCGTGCTCTCGGCCTCCTCTCGAACCATAATCACCCAGACATATGAGAACCCTTCAACTACCAAGGCTATCCCAGAAGTTTTCTACTCCTTCCCACTGTACGAAGTCTCAGTCGTTGCAGCCTTCGTCTGCAAAATCGGCGACAAGACCGTCAAAGGCGTGGTCAAACCACGCAAGCAAGCCGATGTGGAATACAAAAAGGCCAAAGCAGCCGGCAAAACAGCGGCAATTTTCGACCAAAACCAAGACGCCGCCGATGTTTTCAGTACCCGTGTAGGAAACCTTCCAGCTGGCGAGAAAGTGCTGATCGAAATCACTCTCGTTGCGGAGCTGAAGCAAGACGCTCAGACAAACGGACCCCGATACACGCTCCCCATGATCATTGCGCAGCGCTACGGCTCTCAATCAGCTTATTCATTGGACGCATATCCATTATCGCAGCAATATCAAAATGGAGCTTCCATCCTGGTCGACGTTATGATGGAGAGGGACTCGAATATAATCTCCATTCAGTCCCCCGGCCACCCAATCAACGTACAGCTAGGACGGACCTCCATCATGCCCGCGTCCACACACGAACCCTGCTATGCATCAGTCAAGCTTCGCACAAACTCCACCATGGAAGCAGACTTCGTCTTGAGCATCAATGCAACAAAGCAAGACCTACCATGTGCCTTTCTGGAAAAACACCCCACACTGCCGAACCAACGAGCGCTGATGGTATCTCTTGTACCCAAATTTCAAATCCCATCAGATCCCTCAGAAATCATCTTCGTCATCGACCGGAGCGGGAGCATGGAAAGCAAGATTCCCACCCTTCGATCCGCATTAGAGGTATTCCTCAAGTCACTTCCATCGGGGACACACTTCAATATTCTATCCTTTGGAACTCAATTCAGTTCGTTGTGGCAACAGAGCAAGCCCTGCAATCGGGGTAATCTCAAACAAGCCCTCGAGCTCATGAGGTGTATCCATGCGGATCACGGTGGTACTGATATCCTTTTAGCTCTCCACAGTGCAATTCGGATGAGCTATAAAGATAAATATCCCGATATTTTGCTTCTCACAGATGGCGAGATCTGGGAGCAAGAAGCATGTATCAAATTCGTCAATGAAACAAAGAAGACACGATCTGCGAGATTCTTCACCCTGGGAATCGGCGATAGCGTGTCTCATGCGCTTATTGAGGGTGTCTCTCGAGCTGGTGGTGGCTTCTCCCAGACTATCCTTAACCTCGAAGAGCTTGATAAAAAGGTCATTCGCATGCTGAAAGGTGCTTTGATGGGACGTTTGTCAAATATCACTTTGGACTTTGATTCACAGGATAATACCATTGAGGAGGAGTTCATGGAGGTCGAAGTACCCAAATCCGTCGATGGAGATTCCGTGACTGAGAAGGGCGAGAAACCAATTCCTCTCTTTGACGAAAACTACGAGGAACCTGAATCAATCCCCGAAGTCCAACATAAACTTCCAGAACTCTCGATTCCCAAAATCATGCACGTTCCCACCGAGCTCCCGCCTCTTTTCCCATTCATTCGATCGACCGTCTACGTCCTCTTCTCTGAGGAACTCGTCTCTGTCCCACAAAAGATCTTCCTTCGTGCCAACAGTAACATCGGTCCTCTCGAGCTTGAGATCCCCATCCAGGATGTCGGCGAGGGTCAAACTATCCACCAGCTAGCCGCTAAAAAAGCGATGAGTGAGCTCGAAGAAGGTCGCGGATGGATTCACTCCGCGAAGGATCCTGCCAAAGAATTGATTACAGTGAAATATGAAAGCATGGTTGACGATCTCGTTCAAAGCGAATGTGAAAGACTCGGTGCTCGGTTCCAGGTCTCAGGAAAACATTGTTCTTTCTTGGCTATTCACGATAACCAAGACGAGGATGTGAAATCGGAAGAATATTTCTTTATGTTCATTGACGATGAGACGCTTCCAACGGTCACGCCCCATAGTCTTCCATCCTCGCACTCCTATGGTTCTCGATATATGGGGGGGTCGGCTCGATAGCTCCGCAGTCGTTCGTCAAAGTGCTGCGGGTATTTACATACCTCCTGCAACTCGTCAAAACGTTGGTCCTCAAGCATTTTGCGGCTCTCGGGGTGGTGGCTCTCGGGGTGGCCGTGACGGACTCAGTCAACCACGCACACGCCAGGCTGGACGCAGAAACATTTACGCTGCTGCCCCTGCTATCGACTATTCCCACCAGCAGACTTCACAGTCAACCTCAGAGATGGATAAATTCCACAGACTTGTCTCGATGCAAGAATTAGAGGGATACTGGAAGTGGAGCGATGGTCTCCTACAGATCATCGGTTTGTCTGAAGAGTACGTGAAAATTGAACTCGAGCTTCGAATCAAGGAGTATCTAGACGATAATCTAGAGTTGGCCAGTACGACTGGCAGTCGAAAGAATATCTTGAAGAAGGCTAAATGCAGAGATTATCTCGCAACGGCCCTGGTTTTGCATTACTTTGAGACCTATCTTGATGACTCCAAGGAGGTTTGGGAGATGTTGAAGGCTAAAGCGGAGGAATGGAGTGAGGTCACCCTCCGTGCGATGAACGATGAAGACGGGTATATTCTGGAAAACGTCCTTGAGGCGTTTATTATTTCTCAGCATCTTTGATGGGAAATGATTGGGATTTGAGGTTGGGAATTTGATCCCGGATTTGCTAGATAACTTATTGCTTTGAGTGATACATAGTAGCTTCTATTGTGATTCCAAAATCCAAATTGATCAATTTGCTATGACCTTTGCATGGGTTGTCTTATTTAGAATATCACATGGTTGGTCTTAAAATTGCGTGCGCGGCTCTCTGGTTCCAACGGTGGGGCTGCATGTACTCCGCAATAGACTAAAAATGAGGATTCCAGGGGTATAGCACTCAGTGCATGGAAACTATTAAGATATTCTGTATTAATATAGTCGTATATATCGTGATCTTCGTCAGTTTGGCCTATTCTACCTGGGATACCCTCCTATATCGAGAAGGGCATTGTGAAACACCCCCACAGTAGGCAGCGCAATTGTGAATGCATAACCGGTGATACTCAACCAATCGGGGCTGCACTGCCAGCCAAGCTTCCCACTAACTGGACGAACTGGATGAACTTGTGTGGGTCGGATGGTCTGCTATTTTGGTCGATCGGCAGACTTCTTGTTGATACTTTGTCTCAAAATTGTCGAGTAGACGGGGTATACTGGGTATATTATGACTATACTCTATGCTCTATAGTATATTCCCAGTATACTAGCCATAGGTATGCCTACAGTAAACCAGCATAACATACATACATCGGAAATATGTACTGTAGTGACCGCCACTCGATGTATACAAACCTAATAGTACTCATCAACGATCGGCCGGGATTCCCATGAATCTGCGCCATTCGGGCGACGTAACCCGCGGGTCCCGCAGATTCAATTCACTCTTCTTTTTACTCTTCCGGCCCAACTGCTCGACTTCTTCCTTTCTCTTTCTCTTCTTTCATCTTACTTTCCTCCTATTCACACTCGCTTTGAGCAGTGTCTGTGCCTGTCTTCTCGCCATGCACTGACTGCCATCCACCCCACCACACCTCACACCTCATATATCTCCACCTCCACCTCTACATCAGCATCTCATCCACACCTCCCCTCGCCATGGCCCTCACCCAAGCCGCAATAATCGTGATCGTCCTATGCGCCTGTCTCGCCGTGACAGCCCTCGGCGCCGCCCTCTTCAAACACTACAATCCCAACGAAGACGAGGGCCACTATAACACCTCCTACGAGCAGAGCCAATACATGCGGAACGTGCGGATGCGCAATTACGGCCATTTGCGCGCTGAGTCGATCTCTGCGGTCAAGGATCTTGAATCTTCCTGTTCGTTTCTTTCATCCAATCCAATCCAGCAATATCTATTCTATCTCAAGTTACTGATGCAATGCAATGTGATGTATAGATACACCCTCCGCCTCGGGCTATTATCCACCTCCACCGACGCATCCACAAGAATATCAACCATCCCACGCTACCACCCCACTCTGATCGAACCCACCGTTTATCTTTATCCACACTTTCTTTCTTTCCTTCTTTCTTTCCTTCTTTCTCTTGCAATTCCAAGCGAACACCTCTCCTGATGTTTATTCCCGGGCGCAATCATTGGCGATTCCATCCGACCAGCCTGGACGGCACTGGCAATGGCAGTGACAATGGAGGAATCCCATCGGATCGAATCGGATCGGATGTGGCTGGTCTGGCCGATCCGATCGAGCGTTGCATTTACATGAATCTGTATGAAATCTGAACGTCGATACTAAATGAATTTCCATAATCTTGATATTTTCTGCTCCGAGTCCTTTCCAATGGATTGAGTTGGTCTGGTTCCTGGATCTCCTGGGTGAACAGGATCGTTCCAGGGATTGTCGCTCCTTGGAACTGTGTCTGGGTCTGACAAACTTACCAACCTCCAGAAAGGCTGACCTTCAAGAGAAGCTGATCTTGGATATCTATATCTATCACATTCAACCCGTGGTTTCCACTGGGCGAGCTCTCCCGCTCCCGTGCACGCCAGAGTTTCGCCTTGGCGATTTCTAACCCATAGCACACAACTTCAATGGCATACACACTCACCACAGTATACAACACCATTCTAATCTCACATCCTCCGACTCACCATTCCAACACCTCCACCGGCTACGCACCAACCTAACAAACCAGATTCCGATCGCATTTACGTTAACCACCAGCAAAATCCACAGGCCAGTTTGGACAACCTCCTACGAATTTACTTCCTGCCGTGTTCCAGCCCAGACCTCGCGCCAGACTCCAGCTGATATCTCACCTCGGTGCCAGCTCTGCCAGGTCATACCAGTCAGCAACCTGGTATCAACGCTCTTTATCTTGCGCGAGCTGACCGTCCATGCGCCCGATAAACGGTCAGAATTCATTCACGAGTCGGTGATGGAGATGGCGGTGGTGCAGGGCGTTCTTCAAGTCTGGATGTGTATGCATAGTGCGACCGGGCGGGTGTGGATTGAGGATACGAGTCGAGTTAAGTCGAGTCGAACGAGTGGTTCATGGCCACCTCATTTCACGGTGGTGTGTTGTGGTATGCCATCCGGACCGACGAATTTCGATGCGCTGAGTGCGAGTGCGAGTGTGAGTGAGTGATGAGTGCGAGGCTGGGCGCTGATGGGCGATGGGCACTGGGCAATGGGCAATGGGCAATGGGCGATAGGCGTCCGATTTGAGTTTATCAACGTGGTCGCTCATTCCATGGAGTCGGTCTGCGCTGTTGGGGCTGATGGGGCTGGGCTGTGTTGGGAGATTAGCACCGACCGATGGAATGAAAGAAATCCCCTGAACCATCCGGATGGTAAGGCTGAAACGGGTGACCGAGATGGAAGAGACGGGTCGGATTTCGGAGACTCGAGAGTTAGTAGCTCGTAGCTCAACACCGCCTGCCACCTGACCTTGTGGAATACGGATACGCGGAGTCCGGGAAAAGTCGAGCGCCCGAGGCCGACTGGAGTGGTGTGTGAACTGGGGCAAATCTGCTTGGCATTGGAGTCAAATTTTGGTTAGTGTTCTGGTTCTGGTTATGATCGTGTTCGTGTTCATGGTATGTTTTGGTTCAGCGGGCCCTCTACTTCCATCCTTTGGCCCTTTGGCTCTTTGGCCCCGATGGCCTGAATGACTGGATTTTGAGGCTTTGATTGGGGGCGGTTGCAGCTGCGCCATGTTTGCCTCGGTAGATCAGCACGAGTCAGCAGGTTCGGCCAATCGCACTGCTTCTCCGCCCTACAAGGCGCAGTTTGTCACCTGTTCATTTTCTCATTTGTTCATTTTCACTTTGGTAACAGGGTAGTGCGAGGGGTGTGAGAGTGCGAGGGTGTGATAGTGTGAGGCGTGAAGAGTCGGTGACGTCGGGTCTGGGCTGGGCACTGTATTCAAGTGTATCCAAGTGTATCCAAGGGTACCAGGGTGTATCAAAGACGGTGACAGCCGCAAAGGATCCCCAATCTGGACTGTGGACTGTGGACTCTGGTCTTGGACTTGGACTGGAATCCTCCTCTCCGTGTCCGTCTCCGTGTTCGTCTCCGTCTGCTACCTGGTTTCCCCTCATCACCATGAAACCAATGGGTGTGGATGGACAAGATCAGGCAGGCGAATAATAACCAGTCATAATGATGGTTGACACTCCGGACTCAAACCTGGCAGGAGGAAAAGTGACTAGGGTGAGGGTCATGTTGGTGTCAGAGGGGGAACTCCACTTTGGCATGGTTCGTGCGGGAAAAAACCAATACGAGTACGGCCGTATGGAGTAACCAAAGTGCTGGATTGGTGTGCTAGAGCTGAGGCTAGAGAGCCTTATAACTCTCTTTCATCTTCCGGCATTTGGTCGATTTGCAATTTCGACTTCATGAATATCCTCCACGGTCGCCATCATCATGGTCTTCCAGCTACAACAGCCCAACATGAGTACTGCCTCCGTCTTCTATGAAAGCGACACCAACAGTGACGAACGGTATGGATCCTTTCACATTTACCTCCACAATTATTTAAATTTAAATAAACAACCCCAGCTAATAAGAATATAGCCCCTCGTCACCTCACACCGGCTTTGGTGGCAAGATTCAAGCCAGCTTCCAAACCGCTCGCCCTCCCCCCCAAATCTTCATTACGACTGGCCCCCAAACTACTTCTCCAAATCCAACAACTCGCCCCAAATCACCGCCCACAACCAGTCTTCGGAGTCTGGCAACCTCCTTTTCTAAAGTCCAAACTGACTCGCGACTTTGTCCATCGGCCAAAACTACGCACCGGCGATGTCTATGCAACCCTCGACGAACCTTTCATCATCAACTCCCACCTCCGCAAACAATCCACCAAATCCGACGACCCAGAGCACACCCCAACACGAGATATCACTGCAGCAATGTGCCAATCAACAAATCCAGATACCCCTTCTTCTTCATCAATCTACTTCCGCGACGCACAGTGCAGCTGGTCTGCCCGCGCCAGCATGGCAGGACCAAACCACGATATCCCCAGCTACCGATTTACTCTCCAAGATGAGAAGTCTTCAGAATCAGATTCGCAAATCGGTCGAATTATCCTACAATGGGAAAAGCGAGAACTACCTAAGAATTCAAATCAAAAGCAAAATCAAGGCGAATCCCAGAATACCGACCAGTTTGTCCTCATGCTCATCGATCGCCAGGCGCGACGGAAGAGTCGCATTGCCACGATGACCCCTGGTGGATTAGAGGTGTTTGTGCGAAAGAGTTCAATCCTTGAATCACTTCGAGTATGTTTCAATCTCACGAGTCCGTCTGCAACGGTCACTAGTGGGCGCGACCCGCATGAGGTTTTGGAGTCGTGGTTATACACTCACGTTCTTACTTTGGGGGTGTGGGTTGCGTCTCAGGAGGGATGGCTCGGTTGATATTACGTGAATAGGAATAAGAATAAGAATAAGAAAAAAATAAAAATAAAAATAAAAATAAGCAAGACAAATAAGATTTTAACTCATATCTAGTCGTAATAACCCGAAATTCCTTGTTCTCCCCTCCAGGCATCAATACCTTCGCGGAGGCTTCACTTCAACCTTAAATCAATCCCTCGATGGTTGCCTGGATCTGCAACGCCAGCAGTCGCGAATAGTACCGACAAAGCGCAAGGTTACCACCCATAAACCAGAATCCCGGATGGCCAGTACCCCGCCAAATAGCGCGCATCTCACCCTCCTCATCCCAGCCCCAAACATCACCGACCCGATCAGCGAGCTCATCGCCAAAGATCGCCCTCGCCTGCGTCCGCATATTCTGATACCCAGTGGCAAAAACAATCTCATCAGCCTGTAACTCCGACCCATCCCCAAACCGAAGCCCATTAGGCAACACCTCGCTGATCTCCTGTCCGTGCTTAACCTTAACCTTGCCATCGACGATCAACTGGCTCGCCCCAACATCAATATAATACCCCCCGCCACGCTGGAGATACTTCACCAATAACCCCGCATCCATGGGTCCCCGATCAACCTTGAACCCAGCTTTCTCCAGACCTTCGATAGTCTTCGCATCATTCGCGTTCATCGCTTGCGTAACCTTGCTCTGCTGTAACTTGAATAGTGGCGGCGGGATACTCCACAGGTAAAGATCCGCGTCTTCAGTCGGTGGTCCACCTTCTTCATAAAGACCCTTCAAGCCAATATTCACAATCGAATCAGATGAAACAACACACGTAGAACTCCGCTGAACCATCGTAACCTCATACCCCTTCTCGCAATAATCTTGAACAATATCATGCGCACTATTACAAGCACCCACAACAATAGCCTTCTTCCCCACAACTCCATCCCTCGCACCAGGCCAGTCAGAACTATGACAAATCCGATCGCCCCTAAACCCATCAAAACCCTTAAAATCAGGCAAATTCTTCTCCCCAGAGTGACCAGTCGCTTGAACAACATGACCCGGGTGTAGCGTCCTCCTCTCAACAGACCCATCACCCTTCGTCCGCTCAACAATAACAGTCCATAATTTCTTCCCCTCGTCCCAGGAAGAAGACTTTACCTGAGCGCGCGTCCAGACATTAAGTTCCAAAAGCTTAACGTACGATTCAAAGAATTCGGCTAATTTATCCTTCGGCGTGAATATCGGCCAGTGCGCTGGGAAGGGTAGGTAGGGCATGTGGTCGAACCAGACTGGGTCGTGGAGGACGAGTTGGTGGTATCTGTTTCGCCAACTGTCACCGATTGAGTCCTCGCGATCGATGACTAGGGTGTCGATGCCGAGCATCTTTAGTCGGGCGGTTATTGTTAGGCCGGCTTGGCCGGCTCCTGGATGGTGTCAGTATCAGTACTGCACTGCCTTTGCCCGCAGGGGGGGGGTTTCTGGAAATACTACTAGTAGTGGTAGCAGGGGTAGAACCATAAACATACCAACAACAAGAACATCCGGATCCGAAGAAAGATACTCGCTCTCCTCAGCCCGTCGATCAGCCCAATTCTTCCGTCCCTTCAACTCGCCATGCTTAACACCCTCCGACCTCCCCTTCGCTTCCCCTTTGCCACTGATTTCAACCAAGGACGTGAAAATCGTAAAAATCTTCCATTCACCACTACCCTCTTCCTCCGCAAGCCGAATCACACCATGGCCAGCTCCATTCGCGGACGAAACTTTGATGAAGAATTCAATTCCGTGGACTTCGCCGAAGGCATCGATGGGTCCGGTGTGTGGTGCTTTTAGTGGGGAGGAGGTGTCGATTTCGAGTTTTAGCGTAGATCCAGGTCCAGATCCCGACTTAGCTTTGTCGGCGTATTCGGTTATCTTTTTGGAGCCGTGGATGGTGCGGAAATCCCATGATAGGACGAGGTGGTCGCGCCAGTAGCTGTTTTCCAGGAAGAGGGTTTGTAGGGCAGTGGTTGGGGTAGTGTTGAGGGCTTTGTTTAGGGCTGTTGTTATTCTTTCTGCGATGGGGGTGGGGTCGGTTGGTGTTTTGGTGTTGGTTGAGGGGAATTTTCCGAGGGGGATGTTGTGGGAGCCTGGCTCGGGGCGTTCGTGGGAGGGGATTGTTGTGGTAGTTGTCATTTTTGCTAGAATTTGGGATGGGGATGGTGATGGTGAAGATGAGGTGGGGAAATATTGGGAGGGGGGTTGAAATTGAATTGGAGGGGGGTTCTTAAATATTGGGACGAGTAGCCCTGGACCACGAATGCCCCTCTGTGCTGTGGTACTAATGAACAGAGCTGAGTTGTCGAGGAAGATCGATTCGATTCGATCTGCTCGTTTCTATGTACCTGACTGGAGCAGAACCCCGCACTAATCTGAGGTACAGCAGCCACCCTGCGTTGGGATTGCTCAAGTTTGCGCGGTTGGTGGTGGGTAGCTCTGGTTTCTTATTTTATTTAAATTAGGGCCTGTTTAAACTTTACTTCTAATTAATCTGCGGATTTAGAATACGTTCCTGGTCAGCTAGCTCCAACCTACATCGTTCTGGGAAAGTGAAGTTTGTCAGGGCTGTCCAGCTGGTGGGGAACGGCCCGTCTGCGGGTTAATTGCCGGTGGCGATGCATTTGCCTACTCGGGTAAAGGGTAGGTACTGCCAGTGCCAGGTGCATCCATAGATGCAATGCTTGCTATTAATTGAAATCTTGGAATGTACTACTAGTAGTCCTAGTGCAATAATTCCTACTGGCAGGTGGTGGCTAGTTCAAGTTTCAAGTTCAGCGTTGATATATATTTTGTAAAAGCATCATGTTACATAGTAGTACCACCTTTCACCTCAGCAGGTCATATATTTCCAACACTCTAATTTCTTGAAAAACTCAAACACCTCCTAGTTCAGGCGCAAATATACTACCCGAAATCCACATCTAGAGCATTCAATAACTTGGAATGGTGTGGCTGCCCTGATATTGCAGTAGTGAAGCTATTTTTCTTGTTCATGACCTTGGAACTTGTTAAATGTCGTATGTAGCCATAATTCCCCACCTCTTACATCAACTAGCATCATTGGTCTAGTGGTAGAATTCGTCGTTGCCATCGACGAGGCCCGTGTTCGATTCACGGATGATGCATTCTTTTTTGTATTTCCTTTTTCCTCCTCTAGACGATTCAAGTGGACCAGTGAGGCTTTCCTTTTTGCTTAAGAGCAGTGAGTGACATACAATCTACCATGGCATTCGTCATTTGCGAATGCAAAAATTCCCCTTCTTCTGTTGCCGCGGCCTCGGGGGCTTTGTGATTTACGCCAATTGCGCGGTTGCGTTGAGCGCTGCTCTCCTTCAAGGCCAATACTATTTCTTTCGCCTCCCAATGGCATTACGTTGCACTTCTTGTCCACGGACCTGGGCCTTTGGCCTGAGAAAATGATGGCTCTCGCAATTATCTGCGGTCGCAAACTACCCCGCGGAATGGGAATCGAGATAACCCGTATGATCCTCAAACGGCATTGAGATTGACTGCTAGATCAGAGTTCGGTTGATTAACATTGGCCTTCGTCTACGCGTCCTGTCTCCAGAACTATTTATTTCATAGGGATTTTCATTGCGGTCTGCCTGCACTCATACCTGGGATGTCTACCAGCAACTGATCCGCCTGCCAGTCATCAACGGGTATTTTATTCCGATCATGTACTCCTTTGTTATGTATTATGAAAAAGAGTATATTTCACAACAGCGTCGTAGGTCTAGTAATTAGGATTTAGTAATAAATTTTTACCTCTCTGGGGATAAATATTTATGAAAAAAAGCATCTAGAAATACTGGAAAAATGAAACAATACAGCAAAATTCTTCTGAAGACAAAAAGTAATCAGCCAGAAGGCTGAAGTCGAATGCATCGGGCGGGAATCGAACCCACAGCAATCGCTTGGAAGGCGATTATGTTACCACTACACCACCGAAGCTGTTCTTGTGTATTTGCACAGTGTCAGGTTATATGATATGCGACCGGAAGAAACAAGAGGAGCTAACGCACCCACCTTTTCTATGAATACGCAGATGAGAGCTATGTTCCATTCATGAATGATGTATTTTACTGACCAGAGGTACCCAATGGAATGGATGGATGCATAGAATAAGACTATCTGGGAGGCTCAGACTATCTACAAGGGGGGTGCGGAGACTCAGCACTGAAGGCCGCAGCACTTTTTTTTTGGTATTTTGCCGCGTTTCAGATCGCCCTATTGTGCTTCCCTCCCTCCAGCCCGCATTACTCTGTCTGTTGATCCGCAGTGTGCAAAGGAAAGGGAGCAAGGCGTCTCACTACACACCAGAAACAAGGCCCTGCAGATTGCAGACCCTGATTTTTCACACCCTTCTTCTCCTTCCACTATTCTGCAATTTCTACGAAATAACTTGGATTTACAGCAACCGATTTACAGATAATACTACACTACACCCCTTCATCCTATACAGCCAAGATCTCAATTCACCTGAGTCTAGACCAAGTCCATTCAAGCCCCTAATGCCCCGCGTCGTCAGCTTCGGCCGGAGCTCCCGCCGCAACGACGCGTTTGCTAACCACCCAGCGAACCAGATCTCTCCATTTAATTTGAATAAATTAATCCCGCTAGATACAGACTTGGCAGGGTCGCTCGTATAGTTTATTTTTCCCCTCCGCCCTCGCGTAAGGTTTCTCCCTGTTTCGCTCGCAATCGTATCGCCGGGCAATGCCAGCGCCAAAAGTCGAAAATGCCGGCGCCGAACCTGGTTATCTGACGCTCGCATTAACTTGTTCCTAACATGAGTTGGTCCAGGCGCCAGGCGCTGGCCTGTTTCCTGGCGGCTTGCCTCTTTCTCCTATTATATCGGTCTACTCGCTCATGGAACAAGGTCGATCCTTTACTTACTTCCTCGCCGACCACTCTCAACTCCCCAGTAGAACCAGAACATACTTCAAATAAGGGTGGTGTCAGCGGCTCCTTCTGGCGAAAAGTGCCTGCTCGCTTCCCTGCCGTGTCTACCGCATCGCTACCTCAAGATAATCCAGCAAACCTTCGTCATATTCAACTTCCAACCTCAAAGCTCTCTCGCTTGACGCTTTGGTACCAGTTAGATCGACAATCGGCCGTTGAGGACGCATTCAAAAGATCATGGACTTCGTACAAATCCAGGGCATGGCTGGCAGATGAGTTGGCACCAATGAGCGGTTTACCCTGTAACGGCTTGGGTGGATGGGCCACTACATTGATCGACAACTTGGATACACTATGGGTGATGGGAATGCGAGAAGATTTCGACCAAGCTGTTGCTGCCGTGGCGAACATCAACTTTGAAGATACCCTGTCACCCGAGATAAACACCCACGAGGTCAATATTCGCATCCTTGGGGGCCTATTGTCCGCGTACGACTTGAGTGGCGATCCAATACTATTGCAAAAATCAATTGAGGTCGGCGACATGCTCTATACCATCTTTGATACTCCCAATAGAATGCCGATCATTCATTGGGATTTGCACAAGGCTGCGCGTCAGGAAGAGCAACAGGCCGAAGAAATGGTGTCGGCTTCGGAGCTTGGGTCTTTTATTCTGGAATTCACTCGACTCTCGCAGATCACGCGCGATCCAAAATACTTTGATGCGGCACAAAATGTGATGACAAAATTTGAGCAACGACAAGATCAAACGAGACTACCGGGCATGTGGCCCGTCACTCTGAATGCCCGAACGGAGAATTTCGGCGGCGACTTCTACACCATGGGCGCCGAGGTCGATTCTTTCTACAAGACTTTACCAAAGGCCCATATACTGCTGGGAGGACATGTACCAATGTACCGATCTATGTACGAGAGATTCACACGCACCGCAGCAAGCCACAGCCTCTTCCGACCACTTAATGCAGAGGGCAAGGATATCCTACTCCCTGGCTCGGTGCGAGTAACGACAACCCAAAACGAGAAACAGCGAACAAAACTCGAAGGTCAAGTTAATTATCGCGGATGTTTTGCCGGCGGACTATTCGCAATGGGCGGACAACTCTTCAACATCCCAGCCCACCGACAAATAGCAAATAAGCTAGTTGACGGCTGTATCTGGGCCCACGAGATCATGCCGATGGGCATCATGCCTGAACGTCTTGACATCATACCTTGCGCATCACAATGGAAATGTCCCTGGAATAAGTGGTTCTGGAGACAGGAGGTGTGGAAGAAGGCGAATAATCAGCGCGAACCTGATCAATCAGTTAATGTTGATGCCTTTATTAAGGATCATAGTCTACCTGAAGGGGCCATTTCTATCCCCGATACGCGGTATAATTTGCGACCGGAGATGATCGAGAGTATGCTAATTTTGCATCGCGTTACTGCTCGTGAGGATCTTTTGGATGTTGCGTGGGAAATGTTTCTGAGTGTTCAGAATGCCACCGGCGTTGAGAAGGGTGATGCGGCCGTTGTTGATGTGACTGCAGAAGGTGCTCATATCCATATCGACTCGATGGAGAGTTATTGGATGTCTCGGACGTTAAAATACTTTTATCTTATGTTCAGCTCGCCGGATTTGTTGAGTATGAACGATTATGTGTTTACTTCAGGAGGGCATCCACTCAAGATCCCGAAGCATGTGGAGGTAGACTGATACTTCGAATTTATCGCTCCCCTTTTATCTTGAACCTATTTGTATGATACTTTATACAGATTATAAGCTTAGCAATAATCAAGGCGCATATCAAAACTTAGAGCTGGAAATGCAATTTGTAAATTCTAAACAAGACTTCACACACGGGCGTGAACACGAGCGTGAACACGAGCGCTTGTCTCTTCCCAGATGTCCCGATCAATACGAGCACGAAGCTCCTGCTCATCTGTCGCAAGGTTATCCCCAAATACCGAAGCAACCTGCTCCAAAGATCTATTAGAAGTCTCCGGCACAAAGAGGAAAGAGAATATAGCAGCCCCAGCAGAGAAAAGCCCAAAAAATAAAAAAGTGCCCCAGCCAATAGAAACAAGCATCTGCGGAACAATCGTCCCAATAATGAAATTAGCCAGCCAATTTACCGCCGTAGCGAGACCGACACCTTTGGCTCGTCGGGAACTCGGAAAGATCTCGGCTGGCAGAACCCATCCAAGGGGCCCGTAGGAGGCAGCGTAGGCGAATACGTAAATATCTGGGATATTTTTAGTTCAAGGAGACTAGGAACTTGAGTGAATAGTGAAAAATGGGAGGAGGAAAAAACATACAGACTAATGCCACTCCAAACCAGCCAACACCAAGGTGGGTGGCCCAGCTGGAACTAAATTTTCTCATAATACCAGCCATTATCATATGCGGAATAGCCATTGCAATTCCACCAAAGATGGCAAGTCTTCTCCTGCCGAGTTGGTCCATGTAGAGAATTATTGGGACGCCACCGACGAATTGAACAATGTTAATCATCCCAGAGAGGATTAGGGACATTTCGTAATCCTGTCCTAGACTATTTGCACAGGTTAGCTTGATAAATTTCGGAAAGTAGATTATTCTTCGCGAATGGAGAATAATTAGAAAGATATAAGCCTCTTTACCTGCTGAAGAATGTTGGCGCGTAATATACGAAGGCATTGATACCCGAGAACTATTAAACTCATCATTAGAATCAAGCTCTCTCATTTTGTTTCCCCTATTTTTGAAAGGCTGTTGAAAATGCGAAGAACATACTTGCTGAAAGAAAGGAATAGCCATGGCGACGAAGGTTCTCCTAATGTATCTCGGACGAAATAGGTCAAGCCATTGTTTTACCTCCATCATCGCAACGCCCGTGTTTGGATGTTCCTTCGCTAGGATTTGTTTCTGGAATCGATCTTCCGCAAGGATTCCTCTCCACTCCAACTGCACAGTCCCATCAGTTGCAGGGAGGCGTCGAAGCTTTGCGAGGCATTCTAGACTCTCTTCATTTCGGTCGGCGAGAGCGAGCCACCGCGGCGAAAAGGGGAAGAAGTGGATTCCACTGCCCACCATCAAGGCTGGAAGAATTTGTAGGAGAAACGGCAATCGGAATGCCCAGTCGCCACTCATTGCTCTATAATCAATCACTTAGCATTGTAAAATTCCAGACTTAAGATGGGGTAACGCACCTAGTCCCGTAAGTAATCCAGTACGCGACAATCGCCCCGATGACAATACTGATGGCTTCTAGTACCATCAATGAGCCGCGCAGATTTGGTGGTGCAATTTCGGAAATATACAATGGCGCACCCATGGCCAGTGTTCCAACTCCGATGCCTCCAATGAAGCGTCCAGCAACAAGGGTGTCGTAATTTTGCGAGGCGGTTTGGATAATGGCTCCGACGCAGAAGAATCCCGTCGCAACACTGATTCCCCATTTTCGGGAGATCTTATCCGCAATATATGGGAAAAATAGACATCCAATGAAAGCCCCAAGCTCCAACATGCCTGTCAAAAAGCCGGTGTTGAATCCATAGTTTGGAGCACTCTTATCAACTTCGGGGTATTGGTCCACGAATTGTGGCATGACCAAGATCAAAGAAATCACACCTTGGTCTGTGAGTGCATACTAGTATTAGCGACATGTGTTTGAGGACCTTGAATTATGAGATATCTAACCATAGCCGAAGGAGAACCCTCCAAAGGAGGCAAGAAGGGCTGTGCCGCAGACATATGGCGAATTGAGGATTCCTTTGATGCCACTGCTGTCGTAGGAGATCTCGATATCCGCAAATTCAGGTGTTTCATCCTTGGAATGCTCATCATGAGCAAATGATTCTAGCTTATCAACATCAGGTTTGTGAGCACTCGGTGCCGACTCAGCGTTTGTTTCGGCCATGTCGTCGAGGGAAGGTGAATCAATCTAGAGCAAGAAGGGTGGATCACAAATAGAGACCAGGACATTCAACGGCTATTAAATACTAGCTGGACATGATACATGAATGATCCCTAGAACCCCTTCCAAGTACTATTTGAGATATTTTCCCGGGGAGGAAATAGCTTGGCTTGAGATTTACCCCGTGGGGATGCGGAAATGTTGGCCCGTTTAGTCGAAGTGGAGCCCTACCATGCGCAAGAAGAAAATGATCTGCCAAATTTCCGCTGCTGATTATAACTGGGAGCCTGATGATTGGCAGAGAAAAATAAGACATGAATTCTCACGATAGCTCATCCAGCGGAACACTGGAAGAGTTGTTTTACCCCGCGTTTCCCTCGGCCTCATTCACCACGATGACAGATCGCCCCCGCCATGTACGCCCCCTCTGCGTCACCGCCGACAGTGAAACCAACACCATTTTGTCTGGGTAACACCGACCGCGCAATGGCGGAATAATATAGGGTAGTAATTTGCATTTACTGAAAAGAATATATTCTGCGTGAAGGTTTCAACAGCATGTTGGGGCTTGAGGGCAAATATTAGAGGAGGAGAAAGGTTTCAATTAGTTGATACTAGCACTGTTCTTCTTAGATCATAGGAAGTTGCGTGATTTGAAGTATAGTTATGATATTGATTGCAATTGATATGATATTTTTGTTGCCTGCAAAAAGAAGATACAGCAGGGATACAGTCCGAACTTTCACAAAAAAACAGCTCATTTGGTCGAAGCAGACAACTAGTAAATGCCCGTGGCATCGACGGGAATCTCTCTCCGCCACATCTTCATGGGCATTTCACCCATCAAAAGATTGAAAGCTTCAAATCGCTGGAGCTTCCAATCTGGACTTGGCAGGGCAAACTCATAGCGATGAACCAGTGAAGCCAGCACGACAGTCTGTTCCAAATACGAAATATTCCGTCCAATGCATCCTCTCGCGCCTGTAGAGAACGGAATGAAATATGGCTCCATTCTTTTTCGTTCTTCAATATCCATCCACCGGTGCGGTTGGTATTCATCTGGCTTTGGAAACACGGTGGGATCATGATGCGCCGTGTAGATAGTCATTGAAACACTTGTATTTCCGGGAATCCATTCACCTAAAATCCTGGCGCCTTCTGGCGGAGTTCTGCGTGGTAGACCTGCAGATGTAGGTGGGATTATGCGCATTGCTTCATCCAGACACGCGCGTAAGAAAGGTAGGTTCTTGACTGTGTCGTAAGGTGCGACAATGTCTTCTGCCTGGAGCACGCTATCAACTTCCTCGCGAAGTGTTGCTAAGTGGTCGGGATGGCGAATGAGCAATTCCAGTATTTGAGTAAGTGCGATTGCTGTTGTATCTGCGCCAGCGTCGAGGATGGCAGCTAGCTCTCCCACAACTTCGCCCCACTCTAAGTTTTGAGGCTGACCATTTTTGTCATCCATGAGGGCAGTAAAGAAGTCATCCAGCTTTTCTCCATTGTTGTATCGGTCGAGCCTGGTTACAGCTTGATGGTAGATGACGTCCTTGAATGGCGCAGCCTCTTTCCAGGCCTTTCTCCACCTAGGAAATAGCTTCGAAAGCCGAACAAAAAGTCTGAAATTTTTATAGTCCCACACAAAGTGAGACGTGGCGTAGGCAGACGTATTTTGAGACTTGCGGTACTGGGCTTCGTATGTAGTGCCATCCCGCCTTTGTGCCGTAACATGATCATTGCCTTGCTCTAGAAGACCCAATGTCGACGAAAGGGCAATGTTATTGATCGCTTCGATCGTGAATAGGTTGGCCCATTTATTGAAATCAACCGTCAGGTCGGATGTTTCTGGGTTGGCACCAGAAGACAAAGGTTTAGTGCAGAGTTTGTCAAAAGCGGCGCACAGACGCTCTGTAGTTCGCGCAACCTTGAAGTCCCATCGCTCAAGATTCTTTATGGCAAATGCAGCTGACAGTCTTTTTCTTTTCGCAGCATGACTGGGCTTATCAATGACATCAAATAAATGTGGATGGGCGTCTGCAGTGATGGCATATTTTAAATCTTTCACGCAGGTTGTGGAGTGACCGTAGATATCTCTTATGGCTTGGATACCTCCGAAGGAAAGGTTGTTGGGGCCAATTCTCAGAATAGGAGACTTCTCGTGATGTTTTGTGAGATTGCGCGACCGAAAGCCAAGTGCACTCAAATAGCAGTATGGAATGTCGGTGAGTCCAGCGAGCAAAGTATAATTTGGGTACTTGCGAAATCCTTTTTGGTCACGGAAGTATTGTAAAACGGGCCATACCATCCAAAAAAAGACGATGTAAAAGCCCACAGCATTGAAGACGATAGTCGACAACATGATGCAGGTGAGCAAATAGAGATGAAAAAGAATAAAACAAATAACTGGGGAGTCGCATTCTGTGTACTTATAATGAACAAGTTGATTTAAGTAATCTGCTCCTCGTCATATCATTTGTGTAGATAGTTCCAAGGCTCTGAGTAGTCCGATATGTGAGCGGAATTTCGTGCCATTGAAGCATATGCCGCTCCCGTGTCACCAAATGAGGAAAATTTCCTTTTTAGCTTCCGCGCACCGAAACTATCAGCCCAGCTGTGGCAAATGGCTGTTCTTATGGGCGTTCCCGCCATTAGATGTGGGGTATGCGTGCGGAAATTTTGGCCCGATCGGGATCAGCCAACCAAGAATATTTTGATATATGCCTGCGCGTAACGTTTACGAGGATGAGCATTGCAAGGAAGTGAAGTGATACTGATTACAGATAATTCTTTTAAGGTTTAAATAATCATCATGAATCATTTCATGGTTGGAGTCTTGTTTGCCATGCTTCTCTGAGAGCGGCAGACGTAGCAGACGTCGGCCAAGCATGATGGAACTCCAAATCCGCCAGAAAATCAAGGACAGCTCCCTGCTCTCCCGGGTCCGTCAAATACTCACCACAAACTGAAATTCCAACAGCAGCATCAACAAACACCACTGGGCATTGCGGGTTCGATAACGCCAAACCAACAAGTCGGCGGACGATAGATCTAAGCTCCTCTTCCAACGCCATATTTGTAGAACGAGCAGCCAACCCAAGCCGGGAAAGCTTCGGATCCGATACTGCAAGCAGAATGCGAGATAGCTCTATGTGCTGCGCCCCAACAACCTGGCATGGGTTTTGATGCCAGATAGCAGGAAAGAATTTTCCAGAGGAAGGATCTGCCTTTTTGAAATACAGAGGCTTGAAATCAATCGGCTTATGGGCTTCCCACATTATGTCAAAGGCCTTTAATTCTGCCCATCGTTTTGCCCTCATTGCCGGTGATAATGACTTTCCTTCACCGAAACAGAATTTGAGGAGGTCGGCGCACCATACAAGGATCCTGTTGGTCCAGATAAAGTCATTCGCGGAGTCAAATACCGTATAATCATTTGAGGTACAGACTGGGAGGCGGAAGGTTCGTTGGTTGAGGAAACCACTCCAGATTTCTTGCCGCATCGCAATGAGGAAAGCAGAGTGGCGCAGGGAGGCCGAAGGCATGGAATGCAGATGGAGGTCTCTGGATGGACCTTGGATGGTATTGTAGGAGTAGAATGAGTCGTTATGCTGATTGTGGACAATGAACTGAACAGTATTCAGGTAAGCCTCGGAGTCGATACCAATTGATGGCGCTAAAATACTAGAATCAGAATCGGTATTGTAATGAAATGCAAGAGATATTGCCCACCGTCAATTTGCTCGTAGAAACGTAGAATAGTTGCTGCAGTGATGATATCCTCGTTATACTGCTCGTTGGGGTCTTTAGATAGTTCCAAAAGGTGCGAAATACAAATATCATGATATCGGACAGCGGTGTCCATGCTGAGACCAGGAAGCTTGACGCCTGACACTTCTGCAACTCCAGTATTCGAGGTCCCACGACAGGCCATAATCCGCGTTAGATGGCCAGCAGATGCAGTGAGAATGGCATATCGAAGAACAGGGCAAAAAAGCGCTCGTTGTGGAACCATCAATTCGAAATGTCGATCCCTGTCACATGTGTCAAACTGGTGGACAGTGAAAGATCAGTAAGCGTGACGACCAAGAGAGATTCCGAGATACCGGTTTATAGGACGTTTGTAACTTACCCAATGGGAAAGGTTCTGAGTAAAATATCTCAACAAACATGCCTCTTCAAGAGTCGCATAAGATCCATCCGCCGGGCCATCAGAGAGCCCCTTCAGTGGCCCAATTGGATACCTGTCTCGCGATTGTGGGAATGGAGAATCGAGAAATAATTGGGATTGAACCTGGTGTGCGTGCGATATTGGTGAAAATGGAGAAAACTGTGGTAATGAGTTTGCTCTCTCAAATCGATAAATAGATCCAGGATCAGAAAGGCTGCGTGTAGTCGTCTCTGCTTGGGATTCGAGATCGAGATCGCTTTGAGATCGCCTTGAAATGTCCGCAAAATCAACAGGCGGTATTTCTTCCAAATCTTTCGTCAGAACTGTTTCTTCGGCTATGCTAGGAGCTTCCTGTCTAGTCTCAATCGGTTCCTTGGTTGTATGCACGTAGGAGAGTTGACCTGGATACCTGCATTAATAATTGCATGAGAGAATGTAGAACCGCTAACTGCGCACCGCCTTGATTGTAGTCCACCCACTTCTGATTTGGAGAGAAATCGAAGCTTTGGCGCCGACGACGTCCATTCTTGAATTTGAAATTCGACGTCGAGGACTCGCACTGCATTTTTGATTTTATGCAGTGCGAGCAGGGTCTTTTGCCATCACCTGTGGGGTGCTGTTAGTTAATTGACTGTTGGAAAGAGCGGATACAAGCGCAAAGAAAAGTCTCACATTTTCGATGACGAGCTAGAAGTTTACAGAGTTAGCACGCGGTGCATTAAGAGCTTCTTGGTCACTCACATTTGCACCATTCGCAGGGGTTCGATGTGTACCGCTGACGTGTTGTCATTCGGCTCTGTTCTGATTGATATGGCCGTGGCCCAAGATACAACTAGTCAGGAGGCTGAGAAGTTGAAAACACCACACGCGTCGGGGAGGTAAAGGATGATGGACTGGACAACCACAGGCACTGCATCGCGGTTTTCGGGCGTGCGGGGGTAATCCTGGAGGCGCATGGGCTCCAGTGTGGGGAAGATTGGAGAATGTGGCCTGAGGCAAACATGGTCAATAACATCAGTAAATTATTCATCGTAATACATAACATAGTAGAATCTAGCTTCCAGAGAGAGCCGATGAACTAATTCATTTTTATTATTCTATTGCTTGAAAATTATCCTAGCTGCTGTGGGTCGAATACAGCAGGGTCAGCAAAAGCAGGGATATCCCAAAAGCTCAAGTCCTCAAACCCAAGACTAGGAATCTAATTATGAGTTAGTACGGGGAGGTGAATCACGTAGCAGAAAAGAACATACCATGAATTCCGAGTCCAAACTTGATCCCACCACACTCTCCGGTGTCCAGCCAGCGATCCCATCTCCGGGTGTAAGAGATGGCATCCCGTCTTCAGCGGAGGCGTGATTTTCACCAGTAATATGTTGTTGAAGCAAAGTACGACAGGTGAGCATAGTTTCCATGAAGGCTTCTCGGATATGAGACAGCTCTGCCTTCTCGCCGCGAGGGACGAATCTAACTTGAGCCAAGATACCCCCAAGCAGGCAATACCGCTTCATGCTGGGGATGCCAGCAGCCAAGCCTTGATAGAGATGATCCATCAATCTTTCAAGAGCTTGTACAAGAGGTGCACGAGCTGCTTCCGCCATCTGGTCTACCGAGTCAAAAGGCAACGAGCTTGACCCCACGGGTTGACTAGCAACCTCATCCTCCATTTGGGTGATGATCTCAAGGCCGATTACGACCATCACATCTAGAGAGAGATAACCTTTAAATAAACCTGCGCCCGAAAAGGAGAGTCGCTGGAAGTCTCGATGGGGTATTTCATTATCGAAAGAATCGCTAGGCGCGTCGCCATAGGAAGCCGTAACGAGGGCGGACTCTAGGCTGAGTTTTCGGGAAAGATAGAATCGTGGGTCGTGGGTTGCTTCAATGGTAAATGGGCGATACAAATTCAGGATAAAGCGGCGCAGTAAGGTGTCCAATAGTCGATGATGAAATCGTGTCGGTCGCATAAGTCGATCTCCAGTACAAGAGATAAATGCATGGAAGCGATGTGACATCTCTTTGCAGGATGCAGTTAGTTCATTACCAAGCTGCAAAGCATTTTCGTAGGACTGTTCCTGTGCACACTCATTGATCGTCCGCGCGACCTGTAAACGAAGTGGATACGACTCCAGAAGAAGTATTTGTAGAGATGCACTCGTATAAAATCCACGGGGCCGGGGAGATGGCATAGATGCTGTTGTTTGGTCGAAGTCCTCGTCTTCCATATTCGATGGTGGTAATGTGTCAAAATCATTCGGCCCTAGCAAAGGAGGCATAGCGGCATCGATGGCCAGCTGGACATTGATCTCAATTATTGTGCCCCAAATACGCCGTCTCATTTCACTGTCGAATACAGAGAGTGTTGGAAAATTCTTCGGGTCGCGATGAAGGCCTTGATGAATAGCTTGTCGCATCAAAGTACCCACCGATGTCCAATTAACTTCTTTATCGATCGCATATGCTTGTCGACAGAGGAGCAGCAGGCAATGGACTTGCAACCCCTGCAAGTTATTGGATTCTTTTTCGAATGGGCCCGCCAGCCACCACTGCGCCGCATAAATCCAACGGCGGACAGGGATACCAACTTCATTAGATGGCCCTGGCTTGCAATGGAAGATAGAACCGATAGCAAGAATCAGTAGGAGCTTGAACATAAAAGCAGTCGAAACCGACGCGCGATTTTCCCAGAAGCGTTCATATTCTTCATAAAATTTTGGAACGTGTATGACCCGGTATATGAGTCCCAGAGTTCGCAGATAATGCCGCACGAGCTCATCACAAATCTCGCGCGAAGGAAGATCGTTAAGCAGAGCCGGAGTTGGATCCATAAGTCGCGGGGCCTGTCGACCTTTGATCAATCGCCTCAGTGACCGGACCTCCTTGAGGAGTTTGCTGATATCATTATGTTTTTCATTGGTATAACTAGCCGTGTTTCGTACCTGACGCAAGAGATGAAACTATTCGACTCATTAGCATTCCATGTCGCGTCAAAGCTGGTAGCAGAAGCGGTTTACCTGTTGAAATACAATCGCCCAATGGGTAGTGCCAAAGAGTCTCGTTTTCTCCCCAGTTCCTTTCAGACGAGGCTGTAATGGGGCGATCAGTGTCTGGGGAGGACGTGTTCCATCCTGTCTACTGCCAGCGAGCTGCCCGTCGCGGTCAACCAGACGACTACTTGATCCGTTGGCACGTGTTAGTCCCAAGGAACCATTTTCTTCCACCGGTTGTGATTGTGCAGAGCTTCCCTGAGCTGACTGTTCTAAGCTTTGAACGCGATCCTGCAGCGCCCGAATGGTACATTCCATCTGCGCGATGCGACCTCCATCGGCGCCACTCGTCGGCATATCCGCAACCCCTTGCTGCGATTCAAGATAAGGTGGGGACTCATTTTCACTAGTCCTCATCGCATCGCGTCGTGTGGACAAGGCTGCTTTTCCTTCATGGACGTAGGAGCAGTCCATCGACCCATAGACCTTTTTGCAGGGGCCACACGGCATTTGACGGTCGCATCGGACTTTTCGGCGACGGCATTGTTCGCAACTCAATGCCGGCCTACGGCGCTTGCGCGGGCTCGATTGGAGATTCTGATTATCGGTCATTTCGCTTTAAGCGGCTCTGATAGAGAATTGGAGCTTTCAAGTTTTAAAAGCGGCGTTTTAGCCTTGTGGTTGGGAGCGGAGTTATCGCTAAATTCCGGGGAATTCCGGCATTATCGGGGAATTCATCATCGACTGATAACGAACAGTTGTGGCTCTCAATTCAAGCTTTCAGGGGATATATACACGTGAACATGGCCAAGTAGGATGTCTGGGTATGGGAGACAACTTGAACCTTGGAAGTTACTGATATTCTAAATGGGTGTTATCTAATGCTATTCCGATGTTGTGAGCAGACCTGGGCACCTGGTGCTGTCTTGATAGATCAAGCGGTCAAATTTCCTGTATACTACTACTAACTAGCACTGCACTGCTAGCAATGAACTATTAGATCAACACTTATTTATAAAACCTGGAATTAATTTATACATTTGATTCTAGAAAATGTGACTGTGCGAACAAATCTATCCGCTGAATGACATGGCTCGAGCCCTGGAAGCCCTCTTTCGAATATCTGCCTCGCGGCTTTTGCGACCCATGCGCCCGAGAGCCAATGTTTCGAGGGTGTATGGTTTTCCACCCCAAATGAGATTTCGGCCTTTTCTTTGTTGAAGAGCTGGAATCCAGAAATGAGTGACGGCGGCGCCAAGGACCATACAAGCGCTGAATACAAAAAGAATGATACCGTGATGTTGGGTTGACACGTCCCCAGGTCCGGTACCGAAATGATAGTAGGTGGAGAATATTTGAACGAGAATCGAACCAAGCTTGCCAGCGCCGGCGCTGAGACCATGGCAGGTACCTCTATAACGAGTAGGAAATATTTCGGCAGGGATCATGTACGTTGTTGCGTTGGGGCCTAGAAATGTCAGTTGTTGCTCTCAAGTAATGCGGATCAGATGCTCGTACCAAAATTGAAGAATATTTGGCCGACAATATACAAGGCGACCACAGCAGGCGGTCCGGAGTATAGGGTGATGAACATGCTACCCAAGGCAATGAAAAGTGCTGCCAGTGCAAGGAACATGTACTTTTGCAAAGCAACACGGTCGATGCGGTGGGCGAATAAGATTAGAAGAAGCCCCCCAACGAAGCTCCCGATGTTCAAAACTATTAGACCCCGAACAGATGTATCGAAAAACATCTGGTAGACACTAGCCCCGGGTCGACTATCCGTCATCCAGTTAGGCTCTGCTTGAGTGATGTGAAGTTCGCCCCAGGTTTTGGCTAGGAACTGCGGACTGGAGAGCCCAATACCATAGAACCCGAAATCGAGAAGTAGCCAGGAGAGTGAGGTGCCGGCTAAAGAGCGCCAATTTCCTTCTGTCCAGAAGTATCGAATGATATCAGTGCGGGCGAGTCGCCAATGCGAGTTGAGAGTGGCAGGTGGAAGACGGCTATATTCCTCGTCCTCGTGGATGGAATCGCTAGCAAGAGACAGAGAAGATATGGGCGGCATGTGGATCGAACTGCCCACTCCAGCGGCAAAGCTCGATGTATCAAAAGAAGGGCTCGTGGGGGCATCGTCGAAGAGATGCGTCGCATCAAATTCAGCGGTAACGACGTCGTCTTCGATTTCAACCAGGTATCGTGGACTTTCAGGAATCGCAAAACGGAACAGAGTCGCGATAGCACCCGGTACAACTCCGATTCCCAAGACCCATCTCCATGCAGAATCTACCGTGCGGACAACATCATCACTACCCCCACTATTGCGAGCAATGGCGATAACGATGAGAGAGACCAGGTTTCCGGCAATTTGACCCAGTGGCTGCATGAAGAAGACGCTGGCCATCATGCGCGCACGGTGCTTTGTGGGTGCGAACCTAGGCAGCGGAGTTAGATCGGATCCTTAGCCAAAGGGCATCTTGTGATATACTTACTCTGAGGTGATGACAGCACTAAGAGGATAGTCCGCGCCCACACCGATACCAACGCAAATTCTCCACCAGATCAACCACCCGTAAACATCCATGCTTCCATTCTCACCCTGAGATGACATGACCACACCGATAGTGGCGGTGATCAGCAACACCAGCTCGACACCATACATCTTTTTGCGACCATTTTTATCTGCCAGAAACCCAAAGAGTACCATTCCAAGAAGAGTCCCGGCGAGGGTTGCGATGTTGATGCAGGTCAGTTTCATCGAAGAGACCTCGTCTTTCCAGTACACATAGGATATCATCGGGAGGGCCATGTTGCTGGCAAATAGCTAGGAAAAAAGAATACCGTTAGTCAATGGGTCCTCTGTTCTCTAGTTTGAATTATCCCGGCCAATACTCACTGTATATCCATCGAGGAAGAATCCAAGACCAGCGACCAACACGACCACCCACTGGTAGGACTGTCGGTCGATTGTCTTCGTAGATCTGTCGCATGCGTACATATCGATCCTAGGAAGCAATTTTGTCAGTGATGCCCCTCCAGCCCCGCAGGATCAGAAATTAACGAACTTGTTCATGATCGAAATCGCGTGCACGGTCAGTTTTGTATAGTCGGTGGTGAAACCTCCCCATCGTCGCGATGATCAAGCTGGTTACCCCTTGGTAAAATGGGGCTGAAGGATGCACGGCAGGATGCACCGGGCGCACCAGCAGATGCGAGCCGAGATATACTTAGTGCTCGATTGATTAGGTGCTCCTCTGTGCCCTAGGGTAGTCCGTAGCTGATAGGCCATTGCGCCCAGGTCCACCAGATGCGCCCATCATCAGCAGTTTTCCAGCAACCATTTTGCAATGACTTTCTCCGAAGCACGAGGCCAATGAGGCTGGCACGTTGAGCTCCCTCTCGAACCCTGGGTCACACTACTGCACTTCCATCAACCAGAGCCACATCCCAGTTTCCCACGGCCATTCTGATACGAACTGTAAGCGGTGATGGGGCCGGGCTAAACATGGCCTCGGCGTTAGTGGGGGCTGCCCCACAACTTCGTGAGCCAAACCGAGCCTTCTTTCGCTCCACGTGCGGGCCTCGAGACTGCTAAGACGCTCGGCGGGCGCCCCACGTCATTTCAATATGCTTTTTTGAACGTTGCTCGCGTTATCCTTAGTGTTGGTTGCCTGTACGGGGTAGAGTAGACACCCATTCCCCGCCTGCCATTTACTCCTCTTTTAATCCGAAACAAGACGAATAGTAGGAAAAGAAGAAGAAATAAAATGAAAAATAAATGAAAAAGAAAAAGAAAAAAGATCATAGTATATTGGTATCACACGGTAAATCACGCCGAGAACTCCACCATGCTAGTCATTAACCGGAAGTCCGAAAGGATCTGAGATAGTACAAGAAAGAAAATAAAATAAAAAAGCCCCCAATAAGATCACCTAATCGTGAGATCCATCGATAGTAGCTGGCAAAATTCCTGAGAATCTAGAAAGAATAAGCGACGAGTTCGAATACTAACCCAGCCACGGATTTGAATCGCCGGGGTCTCAAAATTCCCCGAGCTATCGAGAAAGGGTTGTGGTTGTGCACTGACCATTATCATCAAGGAACTGAATTTGAAAGTTTCTCATCTGCGATAAGATTTCGAAGTTCGGACTTAATTCCACCGTCACCGGCCGACCGGCCTTTTTGGGTGGCTTGATGCTGGCAACGCAATTAACTGGGATAGATTTAGCCGTAGGTCGCGTATAAGCAGGCTTGAAAAGGAGAAGGCACTCACGTGGAAGAGACACATATCTCTTTAGCCCCCCGCGTTGTGAGTTGGCGAAATAGAGCATGACGCGCTTGTTGTTCTGTCCGCGTAGAATGCGCAGGTTTTGGCTAATGCACTCCTCGCCGCGGCCCTTTGATTTGGCCTCGGCCATGCCACCAATAAACACAAGTTTGGATCCAAGAAGGATTTCTTGAAAGAGGACACAATCTGTCGACTGTAAGCAACTGTTTGACACCGCGGGGTCCGTTCGGCGATCGCCTACCCTCCCAATTCTCAAATTTATAAGATAGCTGTGTCATGAATACCACATGGGCTGTCTGGACGGTCTGATGCTCGAGAAATGATACGCGAAGTGGGTAGTCGGAGGATTCTTTAGGATGTTCGAGGTGTGGAACGGGGAGTTTGGTGTGATGGACTGTTGTTTAATTTCATTAGCTTCAAGTTTTGCATTTAAATCAAGATTGCCGTTATTCCACTCACAAGCATGTACAAAGGGAGTTTGTTGGCCGAGACCTCCCCCAAGTTCAAGGCATTTAAGGGCCCCCGTCGAATCTTTGCACACGTCGATCCACGTATAGCGTAATTTGAATAGTTGCCCACTTTTGACGAAATTACTGTACACAGGTTAGTAAGTTTGTATACTGAAAAGGTAGGCCGTGAGAGAAGCAATAAGGAACTCACATCGTCATTGAGGGGTTTAACTCCAACCTTATTACCTCGTCAAAGTACTGCCATGACTGTTTTCGCGAGCTGGAACCAGGTGAGCTCGCGGGGGTCGGGTAAAGGATGCTGGTGGAAGCGGACGACACTGTGGAAGTTGACACCGTACTCTGACGGCGTGACGAAGTGCTTGCCCACTCGTGATAATCTGATGAGACGAACTGGCTCATGGCCGCGTCTGGGAGGGGGTTTCGTGGTTTATACTGGGTGGGCGGATAAATTTCGCATTTGTAGGATGGATTCAACGCAGCGGATCCCTCCAGAGATCGGCCGGCAGGAACGATGACATTTTGTGGTTCATAAAGAAAGCGAACTGGAACGCAATGGATATAAGGCCGTGATAAGCGCCATCGAGGGGAATTAACACCTGAGGGTCATGTAAAGTGGAGCAACGTGCGGGAACGTGCTGGAATGGCTGGCTAGCAGATCATCGCGGGCGGATCCACCACATCGAATGTTGCTCCCATGTGGCTTTGGGTTTGGTGATTGCGTCGTTGTCATTGTCTCTGTTCCGGAGCCCGTGGGAGGTCTGACACCCTCGCCTAGACTCGGGTCAATATGCCGTATTCTTGTGCTCATGATATGATGAATTGTGCTAGTTAGCCTTGCGTGGCTGGATCTTGTCTACGGGTTGCTGGACAAATCCGGCCATCACCCCTTGTTGTGTAAGCCACATTTCGGGGGTCAACAATTTCTTTCGAATTAAACCAGTGTTATAGTTCCCATGGATCTAAATGGGACCTAAAAGCTAATTACGTGTCGGAAAGCTACCGGAGGATTCTCGAACACATCTGGAATTTTCGCCGATCTTCTGGGTTGGTCATAGCTCCGTCTGCAGGATATGGCTCGTGCTGATGTGAAGATTCCTGAGGGGTAACATATAGAAGGTTTCCAAAATGCCGTTTCATACGAGTGTTAACTTGATCAGATGGTCTCCGGTCGCCTGATACTACCTGGATATCGCCTTCCTCCACAGTGGAGATCGATATACCACGACGTATTCGGACTTATCTCGTGGCTGGGCCACTAAGTGCCCTCCAGACCTGCGCAAGAGCCTCCCTCAAAAGAGGCGTTTCTCCACCATTGCTATATATTGACCAAAGCACGTGCGTCGGTCAATTCCAAAAGGCTAGAATGCATCCAAATAATCGCCAAGGTCACTCAGTCACCGAGCCGAGATGGTATCGCGCTCGGCGAAATACTCTACGTGATGAATTACCAACATCCGTGTCATGCTGAGAACCCCCTGCCTCCGTGAATGAAATATGCACATACTGAAATGGTATTGTCCGTTCAGCACCACTTGAGGCCGGGAGCAACGGGGCTGAGACGCATGAGCTCGACTAGCAGCGTGGCTACTGTTTTAGGATCACTGTAATCGTATCTCACAATTTTTATTTGTGATTCTTCCGTAAGATCTCTTTTAATAGAAGGATGTATGCCTAGATTGCACTTGTTCGGTGCCAGTGCCCCGTGCTCACTCGTTATATCACAACTAGAATGGTTGCTTCGCCCGACAGCTGAGAGTCGGCCGCTAGAGTCTGAACCTTTGCTTTGACTGGCTCCGCGATATTGAGCAAAACCATCCCTAAAAGTTTTTCTTTCCTTCCTTCAGGTTTTCTTTTCATTGTCGCATGCTAGTAGGTGTTGTCTCGAACTTGAAATTTGCGGCTACAATCCCAGCCAGTCCTCGACACCTTCAAAGGGGAAATGGAATAAGAAATGATGGAAATAGCTGAGACTTTGTCGAATAAATCTTATAAGTTCCCAAAATTAGAAGAAGAATGACTAGTATCCACAGGATGTTTGATTGTACATGACTCAGTTAAGCATGCGGAAACTAACTAGTACCGAACGACAACCATTCTTTGGCATCTGATATAACAGACTCAAAGACATCGAAGCTTCTCATTCACTGGGATTCAAGTTTCTAGCGAACTCTCTCGCAGTGAGTGATCTAATGAGATAAGGTGCGATAATCCGGGGCTTCCGCGCAGCGAGCACCATAATAGAGCAATTCGGGACCACAACGCGTCTTGTCCAGCGATGGACGACAGCTCTCATATTGTCAATTTCTGCCTGAGAATAGTCCACTATGATTTAATCAAGAACAAAACACATGAAGAAAAGCATGTCATCCATGGCTTCAAAGATTTCGGACAACAGTTGTGCTGGGACGCCAATGCCTAATGCGTCAGGCCACAGAAGCAAGTCAACCCAGGGGCTTTGTAAGCCTTAGGGTTAAGGCGTCAATTCGATGCCCCTGAGGTGGCTAGTATGGCCACATTTCAAGTCATATCTGCAACAAGGGATATATTCATTATTTGCTCAGAAATATCCGTACTCTGGACCGTCTTACCTTTTATCTCCCGAAGCTATGTCGATTGTTCTTCTCGTTGCTGCCCAGGTGGTGTTGGAGACTTGAAGTCCTCGAAGGAAAAGAATTTCGGAAGATGACCTAAAATATATATTCCAAGGTTCCAAGGGATATGTTTACCCTACTTATTCCTCTAATTTACCGATAAAAGTTGTATAGAGTATCATAATACCTCCTTGGAAGAGACCTCCGTGATTCGAAATGAAGAAAATTCCGAAGAATAAAAGATGCCTTCCTTGCTGCTGGATGGAATCTACAGGTTTAGCCGCGACAGTGTAATACGACACAATTTGGAGATTTAGTTCATTGCCCAAAAAGTTCCATGTATAAACAAACTCCGGTCGGAGCCTACTACCAAGTTAATCCCCAATGCGGTCTTGGATGTCCCTAGCCTTCGCCTTAAGAGCGTCAAGCGCTTTTCCGTTGACCGAGTCTCGTACTTGAGTTGGCTGCTGATCCAGGGCTTTTTTGACGATCGTCCATGCATGCGAAACGGCCGCACATTTTTTTCGATAAAGAAGCTCATTGATCAGGAATGATAAGGGACGAAACTGTTGATACCCTTTAAGAAGCCATTTCCATCTGCGAGACAAAGGCTCCATGTGTAGACGTGTTGATGTATCGACTATATCAATAGCCTGCAAGAATAGATGATCCTGAAAGGTTTGCTCATGATATACTCTAGTTCCGACTAGCTGTAAACTAATAGGAATGGTATCGGCACTGTACAATTCGAACCACATCTCCATGATCAGAACATGCGACACATGTCGGGTTAACCATTGGACTGAATTCTGATCATCAGTGCAATATTTGATGTATTTTCTTGTTATGCATTGTTGACACTCTTCGATCGTTTGTCTTTTTTTGTCAAGGGGCATGGCCTTGGTCAACTCATTTCGAGTAATCCCAATATCGAAGCGTGCAAGAGCGAATGTTTGCTCTGTCCATCCTAAGGAGGATACTGGCAGAATAGAAGACGTCGGGCCAAAGTCAGAATCATTTATATTGGTCGGTGGATCAACACTAGGCGTCCTGGGTGGTCCATCATGTTGGCCATGGTCTTGACCTGCACGGTGATCTAGATACCAAAGCTGCCATGCCATTCGCTTTTGGAGCTCCAGCTGAAAGGGCGGAAGATCAGTCCTCTGAAGAATTGAGGATCGCTTTGCTAGACCCGTAAGCTTCCAAGCAATATCCACCTCGCCCAGCATACGGTTGACAGTCAAGAATAATATGAGCGCCTGAAGGGCCAGAAAGTCATCATCCACATTGAGTAGTGCCGCCTGTGTTAGCTCTTGCTCGGTATAGCGTCGATATAATGCTAGCGCTGCTTCTCTTTCTGTGCCAAATAGGGATTGAGCTTCTTGCTCTGACATTGCGGCCAGACTTGCAAAGGATATTGCATATAAAAGAGCACTTTCCCCCCCACCTATGGAGTTTGAATCGAAAGGGGATTTCGTGACTATCATTTCGACGCTGGGCGAGTGTAGTATTTTGACGATGGGGTCCACCCTCTCCACGAATGTACTCCATATAGTTTGCCAAGTCTCACTCGAGTGATTCTGCAAAATGCCAGGACTACTTCGACGGCAGACGTCAACATAATTGTCTCGACTATCCAGTTGATTCGATCTCTTGATTGTGAAGAAAGTGGCGTTTGTATTGAATGAGGGGACTTGCTCGCTAGGTAAATTGATATCGTTTGTCGCAGACTTCGGTTCATTTTGGTAGTCGTGTGACTTTTTAGGCTCCCTTTTGCATCTTCGAATTGGGCTCGGGTACGTACATTCGACCGACCATCTTTCGCAGTTTGCGCACGGGGTCGTGCGGTTGCACCTGACCTTGCGTGTCCGACAGCCGATACAGGCCTTTGACTTCAACATTTGCGGTGACGTATCCTGAAGTAAGCAAGGTGCTTGAAGTTCATACAACCTTGAAAGGCAAGTGAGGTGCAACGTGAAGGTTAATTGTCGGGATTCTCGGTCCCTCGTATTCATTGCTGACATACTTGCCGCTTTTTCAGATACGAAGTGGGGCTATGTAGGCAGTCTTGGCAGGATCAGCTCGTTTTCGGCTTTCTCGGTGGCTCGGGCTGCAAAATCCCTTGACTGGTTTGATTGGCTCGATGTGAGTAATGATAGAAAGTTATAGGAGGGCCTACTAGTAGAACGATATGGACGAAAGATAATTTAAGAAGATCGAAATTCCACATTCAAACTTCATTTTCAGTCTGGCTTTCAAGGATTTCAACAGTTCAAAATGCCAGATCAAAGAGTCTCAAAGGCAGCCTTGATATTCATAGGTAATCATGCTCTCCAGATAAAACTTCGAGATTAGCTCTAAATTCGACAAGGCCTCCTGGCCATGCCAGCATCCGCCCAAATTATTTACGAAGATCTGCATCTTGTACCAACATATGCCAAAGCACACGGCATAGCAATGGGGCTCGCATTTACAGTCATGATGCCTTTGGGTATATTTATTATTCGGATTCCGAACAGCAAACACGCGGTATATGTTCACGCTGGGTGGCAGCTATTGAGCTGGATCATGATGATTGCGGGTCTTGTTTTTGGACTTCGGGTGGGAAAGATTTTAAATCGAGTACGTTACCATCAATTTTTATTTACAAGCGGTTCAAAGGCTCCTTTGGCTGATAGCGACAAAAAGTTACACAACAATACACATACTGTTTTTGGTACAGTAATTGTGGTTCTTCTCATACTTCAGCCTTTCTTGGGACTGGGACATCATCTTCGTTTCCGTAAAACACAGAAGCGAGGCATGTGGACTCGGGCTCATGTCTGGTATGGAAGATTGTTAATACTACTTGGAATAATTAACGGTGGTCTTGGGCTGCAGCTTGCCGCGAATACTTTAGGAGGTAGAATTGCATATGGAATTGTTGGTTTTATATCTGGGGTGGCCATGATCTGCACAACTATCATGGTAGATATGAACCTACGCAAGCCTGCTAATATAGGGGCAGTAGCAGGTTAGTAACTACTACTTACATGACCCACAGACTCTGGTTATCTCTTGGTATATCATCATCAATCTATAGGTTTTATGTGAAGTTTAAATGTGAACAGCAACTTGAGACTAGGGGCATTTTCCAATGGCATCTATATATTAATCAAATGTGCTACCTAACTTGAAGCTTTATTTGCGTGAGCTTATTATATAGCATCAGAGCGCCATGCAATAGACTGGCCTAATTGAAACTGAAATTCACTTTTATCTTGCCTCTCTAGTAACAACTAATACTGCGCCAAGCACCATGGAAACGCAGAGCGGGATTTGAATACAAATATAAAACATGTTTCGCTTCCACAACTTCCTCATATTTCTAAATATCCATATATACTTTTCCGTTAGCCCTTTTAATTCAGAGATGTTCGTAGGCAATCAAAAATTATGTAGAGTTGGAGTTATCAGCGCATGAAAAGGCAGCTGAGCCTCCAGAAGCTTTATAGGCGTCCATAATTCCAACTACAGATCCATAAGTACCTGAAACTGTGAGGAAGCAGCCAAGAACAACAACGAAGATGCTCCAGGAAGCCTTGACCAGCCAGAATCTTGCGTGTCGTTTCTCTTTGGACCAGTTGTCATAGAGCCACATGCATCCCATGGGCTGAAAGCACATGAGTGGGCCAAGCAAAGCGCCAATCAGTGCTACCAATGAGTTGAATACGGGAACTGTACTAGCAATGATATAGGCTATCACGGCGACCCCCAAAGTACAGCTGATCCACGTGATCCAGTGAGTAGGTGTGTTTTTGTTCAGATGTCGGGAGCCGCGAAGTATATGAACAAAGATGAATTTCGCTGGTATCTGTATGTCATATAAAGAAAGGTTAAATCAAGAAAGGGCTTTTTTCATTCGTGCTTGGAAGCTTACATGTGAGCAGATAGTTGTAGTGACAATTAAGCCTGGTAAGGCAAAGCCATAGGCAATTTTCTTCACATCTCCACCAGCCGAGCCGAGAGCCGGGGAAGAGACATATGATCCGCAGTAATAGTAAACAATACATCCGACTATAATGTACACACCAGTGACTCCTGCTTGGCAGAGAAGCAATGCGAATGTGTATTTTCGCGGGTCGCGCATTTCTGAAATGATTGCAAAGAACCCTGGGGTTCCCGAAAAAGCGAAAACGAGATTGCAAATGGCCGTAATTCCAGTCGTGAAAGACGGACTTCCGACTACCTTGTAATCGGAAACCCAAGGACTATCGGTTTGTGGAGCAGAGGCAGGGCGGTCTTGGAGGCTGACCGCAATTGTCACTGTCAGGACTGGAAACAAGAAGAGATGAACGGGATTAGCTTCATAAAACGGACAAAGAATAAATTTTTGGTTCGCATACCCGCAATCAAAATGCACGGAAGTCCTACCCAGGCGAGCCAAGTGATTCTTCCGAGCGTGCGCACACTACTCAAAGTGAACCCGAAAATCGCGGCAACAACGGAGAATACAGCCGTGCATGTACCGTGTGTGGATACTGCATTCAGACCGATCGAAATTCCAAGGATCCCCGAGCCACTGACGAATATCCAGTCTATGGAATGTTAGAAAAGATAGCAGATATCATATTGCCCCAGATGACGTACAGAGACAGAATGACACGGAGAGAACAGCTCGGCCAATTGGACCAAAAATCAAGGCACCAGCATCGTCAATGCTATAAACCTCACGATGATTGAGCTTGAACGTGCCAATAACATAATTTGACCACGTCATTATGGAAGCAATCGCACATAGACAAATTACCCCGGGAACAATTCCTAGTGCATCAAATGTAGTCGGTATTGCGAGAACTCCTAGGCCAATTTGGGTCTTCATCATGAGAATCACAGTCCCTAACACCCCCACCTAAATAGACGTTAGACTCTTGTTTTATTGAGCTTTTTTTTGGGTGGTTTGACTAGTTGTGCACACATTGCGATAGTTAGGGCCTTCTTCTGTGATCTCTCCGAAAACAAAATCATGGTTCGCGTCATTCTGAGATTCTTTCAGGTCAATTTCATCTTTAGATTGAGGTTCTTCGGATAGTTCCATCGTGGAGAACTTTATGTCAAAAATATGTGGACAGACAGTTCGCCCTTACTTCTGTTCCTCCTATTTCCTTTTATATCCTGCACAACTATCTTGGGCCAATCGATTGGGATAAAATTCGTCTTACAAGACACGGCCCCCGCATTACAAGTCTCAAATACCGGTGAGTTGGGGTAAAGTGGGACCCGCAAAGGTCAAATAACAAGTTTGATTGAGATAGGTAGAGATTACTGCCAAATCGGCGGCCTAAGCGGGGAAATAGTATACAATGCAATATTTCATCATCTGGAGAAATTGGATCTGCCTTCGGAATTTGTTGAGCAAAATGTGTTGCTTGAAATGAACAGCCGGTATGCATAAGGACTTTTTTCTAATTGTCTCCCAAGATAAGTCTTTAAATGAAACTGGGTTTATGACAAGGAACAGCTACTAGTACTAGTTGTATATTCTTCGATCTGCTGGCATGCAGCGGGATATGTATTCAGAAAGGGTAATCAATTCCTTCGCCATGTCATTGAATTCAGCATACAGTAGTAAAGCAGCCAAGTGAGTACGCTAGTGAAGTATGGAGTATTCTACAAAAGTGCACGGAAATGTGATGTAATAAGATAAAACTTCTCACTAATAGTCTACTATTCGAATAACTCGCCAAGGCCCCAGGGCCCGTAATGCGCATCCAATTGTAGGATTGAGAAACTCGAGAACCGTGTGCTTCCGAGGAAATTTGATACCGTCACGCGGGGAAGAAGCGGGGAAATTGGCGTATTTCTCCCGCAGTTAGAAATTGCAAAATGACAGATTGTGTCAATTGCCGCAGAGCATCGGTAGCATTTCCGATCTCCCACACTTTGAAACTCCCTCGGCAAACCATGTTCGTTCTTAGAGGAAAAAGAATCCACAACGTATATGCAGAATTGCAGTTCAGTATAACCAATTCATAGCTAGAATAATTTGGAATCTCGAAGATCTAAGAGTCAAGTTTCTATGACCCTCCATATGAATGTACTCGAATATTTTGCGACGATGCATGCACTCCTTAAAAGGGCTGGATCGCTTCCGGGCCGACATCCTATCGATATCTCGGTCGGCAAATCCGATCGCGTGATCGGCTGTCGGGTTATTCAGCTATTTTAGGACAACAAACAGTGCAACGGACTCTAATAAACCGAAGGATACATGAACGGGAAAATGGTTCAAACTTTCCGGGCAGACTAGTCAGTTTCTATGGGGTTTCCCTGAAAACCTCCACGGCGAGTTTCCGAGGGTCCAAGTCCTGTGGTGAAATATCACTAGATTTCAGTTGCCAGTTTAGGTACACTTTTCAACCCTGACAACTGGTACATTAAATTCTTTTGTTGGAGATTCGGCCCGAACTTTCTAACATGATCTAACTAATACGCGGTCCTGGAACTTGGCTGACTCAGCTATGGCAGAGTCTAGAGCGACCTTACAGAACGCCAGTGGGAACATCGCATGCAATTTAACTGTTTTCTATTCTCTTTGTCAAGGTTTCTTTCCGAAATTTTAATTTGAGAACATTGATTCTGATTATTCTCTAACCCGGAGAATTGGATGAAGGTAAGCGCCTAGCGCAGGTGGACATTCCAATGTTGGCACACCCATTGCCGTTCAAGAAAGGTCAACGCCACACCCGTCCATCTCTTTGACCGCCCAAAGTCTATTGAGACCCTATTTTGGACGTGAAATTGGCCAGCTAAGGTGATTTGATTTGCACCCACCTTAATGACTTCTATTGAGACCCTCATCCGGCATACTGACATTTTGGGGCAATCCTCTCCAGGCCACTCTATCTGAATTCTTTGTCCTTCTTCAGCTTCTAAATGGAGTGCCTGTCCCTCAAAAGAAATTGCCCTGAGAATTTTACAAATGTCCCCTTTTTCTGAGGGATGTACAATTTTGTCCTCCCTATCAACGAGAATCTCTATTTTGCACCAGCGCTTTCCCCTGGGGCGATAGACATGATGTTTACTCGCAGCTACCAACCAGTTCCAAAAATGGAACCCAACAGCGACAATGCGGATAGCGATATGACTTTGACCGGTCGCCCACGACGTCGCCTAATGTCTAGCTTCTTCAAGCGAAATCTGGCTGCAATCACTATAACTGGCCTCATTCTGGTCTTGATACTCCTAGTGATGGCGGTAATTGCAGCGATCACGATAGAACCATTTCGACAAGTTCTCATTCTCAGAACATCATTAACAGGTTCGAATTATCTCAAAGGTCAACGACAGTGCCTACCAACAGCTCCGCGTACAACCCTCTCGTGTGGAAACTCGACAGCGGAAGCGGAAGAAATGGGCTGCACGTATGATCCCTTGTCCGCATGCTGGCTTCACCAAAAATGCCCGCGAGATTACTCCGATGTATTCGCCACTTTCAACGATGGCAAGCCTTTCATATACTACTATGATGAGGCGGCCACTCATCAAATGAAAGACTACACCGAAGTTGGGCATAACGAGAACGGATACTACTGGACATCAGTGCGCGAACACCTTGTGCACTGTCTATATCTTTTGAGACGAGGCCATGATGTACATATGCGTGGGGATCGGCTCGATAGCATGTTGGCCGATATAGACCATGTGGACCATTGTACGAACTTTTTGGCAAACTGGTTGCGACGACCAGATCCTTCATTGGAGCATATCGGTACGCAAGGGAAAACAGACTGTTTTATGTCTTGCAGTTGAGACAATTGACAGAAATGGAAGAAGATTGCCCAGGCTGGATAGCCAAATATGGAATGTACTTCTTGAACGTATGATTGAGGTGTTTGCCATTTTGACAAATTGACAACTTGCACTCGATATTCGCACATCGCTGTGCTTTTTTATCAGAATAGTGCCTTTTCTCTGAACTTTGATCTCCATTTGTACTGCCTCTTAATTTATCTATAAGACTTAAAAACCCTTTGGGATATATCCGTGTCGATCAAAGGTTTTTGATCTACTAGTAGCTGATGGTAAATTCATAAATCGCGGAAATGGGCTCGATAGGTCACTTAATTCAGGTAAATCTATCATCTCAACTACAAATCAACCCCGAAAAACAACACAAAGCAAATATGAAGTTCGTGCTAACCTTTTTTCTCAACTGCCGATCAGTTGCGACCGAGTTTGGGAGGTATATGCGATGATTCAGGGTCGTGAGGGGTAAACGGGGCAAGCCAAGACACCGGCACTTGAATAAACACCGCCGATTCGACCTTCTGCGTAGCAATTTAACTAGTCGTATCACGTGGTATTCGAGTGATGAAAATGTAGGAGAGAGAAAAATTCCTATCTGCTGATTGTGAATATCTTGTTTTGTATGATTCAATTTACCATGCTCAGGAACCTGGCAGTGGAAGTCACGGCCTTCTTGGCCCTGACCCGCGTGGCCGACGCTAGTTATGCATTCTATGTCGGCAAAAACCTCACTGCAGACGGAAGCGTAATGGTTGGAGGCACAGGTGAAGAAGTATCAAGCCATTGGCTACAGCTATTCCCGGCTCGCGACCATGCTCCCAACTCAACAATCACCGTGGGCGTCACCATGGAGGCTAGCTTCCCGGGCGAGCTCATCGAGATTCCCCAAGCCAATCACACATTCCGTTACTTGAGCATGGAGTATTCAGATTATGAGGGATTCCCGGCCCCTTTGACCAATGGGGGTCTAAATGAAAACGGCGTTGCAGTTCGTGACGTTTGGGCGGATAATCGGGAGGAGCTCCTCGAGATGACGCCAAATCCTCAGCACGGGCTACAGTATAGTGACCTCGCACGTATCGTCATGGAGAGAGCAAGTACGGCCCGCCAGGGGTGGAGCTCATTGGCGAGCTCATTGCTAAGCACGGAGAGTCTACCTACGGTGGTAACTCCCATCTCATTGCCGATCACAAAGAGGGTTGGATTGTATGGGAGATGGCCGGAGGAAAGGGTCTCTGGGCAGCACAACGCCTAGGACCTAATGATGTCAAGGTTCTATATCCGGGGTATATTGAAGATTTTCCAGTCGATTTCCAAAAGAGCGCGGATTATATGGGATCCGAAAATATCGTGACTTTTGCGATCGAGCGTGGATGGTGGAATTCAACTTCTGGAAAGCCATTCAACATTTTCGACGTTTATGGGCCTCAGGATCCTCGCTATAAGGCACGCGACGGTGGATATAAGTTCATGTCGCAAGCTGCCTTGGAAGATGCTACCCGTCAGATGGCCCCCGTTACAGAGAAGGATCTCATGGAGCGTGTCAGAGATCATCGGATTGCAGATGACGAGGCAGGTTACGGCCAGGTTGTCAGTCTGCTTCCCAATGTGGACCGAGATATGCTTCGAATCTGGATCGCACCCACTGGCTCTGTATCCGCCCCTTTCATCCCATGGTGGCTAGGAGTCGACTCAATTCCCGCTGAATTTGGTGAACACCGATACCTGACGACTGGAGCATCAAGCAGCTTTCTCAACCCAGACTATCAGCTCCAGGAAGCCTCGATTTTTGCCGGGCGTGTTTTCAAACGGGTGCTATATTATATGTGCTCATCACCAAACATTTATCTTCGAATCGTGGCTGAGATTCTGACCAAATTTGAATCGGAATCTCGCTCCCAGGTTGAGCAGTGGGTGGAGCAGTCTGCCCAGCTCTTGATAAAAGCAGGGCAGAGAAAAGATGCAGGGTCACTACTGACATATTACTCTCATTCTCGAGCGGCAGAGGGGCTAGAGATCGGTCATCGTCTGAACGATGCCCTTGATGGCTATATCAAGCTTACTGGTCAGTGGCGTAGTCCAGTGGGCAGTGAGATCAATGATAGTAACGAGGGGAACGAAACGGTCAACTGTTTAGTGGGATATGATCCTGACCAACCGGAATACCTCCAAACGCCAGTTCGTTAAGAACCGAGGAGATGACAGAGTATGATAAGCTTGGCATAAAAATTAGAAGGAATAGCAACTAGAACATTCTGTCGCAAGATCATGATTTTCTTGGCTTCTTGCCGCTGTTACACATTCTGCCCAGATCGCCAATGAAATATCGGACGCAGAGTCCCTGCGCTCGAGATTAAAATTCTCCAGGGGTAGTTTCACACTATACAAGATGCCCAACCAACAGCCCCCCTACCACCCCTGTTTGTATGACCAACCAGCTGTTTGAGACCTGCAGAATCGCAAGCACAGCGCCAAGGCACGCTAATGCGGATTTACTTGACTGGCCAGATAGTGTAGGCTTAACTGAAAGCACGAAGACGAAAATAAATAGAGACAACCTAGGAACCTGAGCCCAACAGCTGCTTAGGTGTATGCGCTTTCAATTTCCCAAAATTGCTCTGCCTCAACTCGCTTGTGTTTGCCTGTGCCCCCAGAAACCAACACAACTTATCGGAATTTTCTACCACGAAGCATTGGCTCTGCTTCCACCGAGTCCTTTTGTGCTATTCGCAGGCATGATATCCCTTTCCGCTGCAATAGAAGAGGGATTGAGAAAGAATCTCTGTGTGTTGGTGGTGGATCTGATTTCGATCTATGCTGTAACTAGTGGTAGGAGTGGCTCCACCGCCTCTTCAGATATTACTAGTATTACTGAAGGATAAAGAGAGAAATCAAATGGACCTATACAAATCAAAATCGCCCTCGATGATTTTCATCCTCACCAACCCATCCGCAAGGATCTACCTGATCCAAAGGTCCTTCCACAAACAAAGCGAGCCAGCCCACCATTTCCAGACGGAAATCATTTTGGCCGGAGCTTCATATTCCCGCGGCCTGTCCAGCACGACGCTTCCTGCGTCTCCGGATACAAAGCCACCCCCCACAAGCCAGAATAGCCACCCCAATAATTGGGACCCCTATCATCGCGAAGTACAGCAATGAGTTCCATCCCCTGACACCGCTATTATCGCCATTGTGGTGGTCAAACGCCCCGTCAGGGACCCCCTGTCCGGGCTTCCAGACGGCGAGGTACTTGCCCGACGTCAATGGCGGCAACGAGGGGGACATGGTCGCCGTGTCCGACTCAGCCCATGTGACGTGCCATGCGCGATGAACAATCATTCCCTGTGTGAATGTGCCTGTGGCATCTGTGCGCGATGCCAGTGGGGCGGTGATCGTCGTTTCCCCGGAGTTGATCGTCCGCCCACAAGCCGGGCTGAGAGCAGATGTCGGCAGGGCGTACCCTCCAGCTTCAAAGGCGAAACCGCTGCAATGGTTAGTAACGTGGGAGAGTAGATAAATAGGTGAGGGGGTTAGAGATGTAAGTGGAACGGAATCACCATACCTGGCACAGCAGTATGCCGCGGAGTAGTGCTTTGTTGACGACATTTCGTAATACGTCCAGTTCTGCGGACAGACGGCGGGGCTGAAGGTGAATAGATCTTCATCTTTGGCGCCTGTATTCCATCCTGAGGGTTGGCAGGAGGAAAACCCTGGGGCTGCGGCATCGGATGCCAGGACTGTGATGGTTGTAGGCGTGCCCAGCACGCTGGTCGTGATGGTGGTGAGCTCGACGGCCGAGGTGCACCCGCTTGGCTGGACAAAAGGGGTGGTGAGCGCTGTCGCAATCACGGTCGTAGCCATCGTCGCCATCACGGAGAGCAGGGACGTGAGGGTCATTTTCACCAGGGCTCCTGTTGTAGGACCTCCTCTCAGCTCAGTCCTTCTGCTCACACGTGGCGTCGTGGGGGGATTTCTGCGTGGATGCTTGATGTGTGTGCGTTTCTTTATAAAGTCTAGATTTAGATACAATAAGTATCGTTTGAACTCACGGGGAGCCGTTCTTTAGAAAATTGTGACTGTAGTAGATGCGCAAGTTGATCGGAATGGCCGAGATGCGGTAGTAGTTGTGTTGGATATTATTATTATTGTTATTAATGACTGCTGAGGAATTGAGAGTGGCCGTACTGAAAGCTCTCTCGGCGTAACTATCTAATTTCCCATTTCTTCGTGTTCCAGGCATTGTTCGTTCTCATTATTTGCCCCTAATCCTTAGTAGCTCCCCGCATTGGCCCCCGTCCCGTTAGGACTACTCCGTAAAGCACGGAGGGAATGCCAAGCACTTAGTGTCGTTCTTGTCTCACTGACCACGAGAAACAGCCCTAAGCGATGGGTAGTCTGCTTGTCCTGGGCTAGTTTCTATCTAGTCGTTGCGAAGTTACATTGGCTTGCTTGGGGTTAGTGCCAGTTTGGGCAAACAGAACAGACCGACAGGCCGCCAAGAAACATCGACTCGACCAAGCATGTGAGGCACTTACGGCAGACTATGCGGCCATCCGCTCAAATCAAATTTTACGAGGCACGACACCGCCATAAATTCCACCTAAATTAGATTATCGTGTCGCCTACGATGGTTGCTATTCGACTATCCCATTGGCATACGCTGAAACGCCTTAAATGCATACGAAAAGATTCGTCGCAATCTCCATGGTTAATTCGTTGTAATCGCTATGGTCAATTTGTTACTACGATCGCCGTGGCCAATAATAATTTAATTATTTTATGAGTACTAGTAGTTATATTTAATTGATTGAAAAGCTACAATAGCCCTACCCTCGGGGGTAAATCACCAAATTCTTGGGTATCTACCTGAGTCTCCTCTCCCTAAACGTCAAATATACTAGGTATAGGTATCCAGCATCGTGATTTTGCCTGGAGTAGCCCTAGTACTAGTAGTGGTACGATTCCAACTGGATTCGAACGCACAAGGATGCACGGGAGGTTGTTGTTGGTGGAACTTGGAAATTTTGACTTGCTCAGGGCTGTCAGCTAGTCAATGCGCGCCCCCAGTTATAGGTGTGTTCGAATGCCTGTTTCTGTAGTGGTAGTTAGTAGTAGTAGTGGTGGTTAGTTAGTTAGTAGTAGTAGTGGTGGTTAGTTAGTTAGTAGTTAACTAAGTGGTAGTTAGTAGTGGTAGTTAGTAGTAGTAGTGGTGGTTAGTTAGTTAGTAGTTAACTAGTGGTAGTTAGTAGTAGTAGTGGTGGTTAGTTAGTTAGTAGTTAACTAAGTGGTAGTTAGTAGTGGTAGTTAGTAGTGGTAGTTAGTAGTGGTAGTAGTGGTTCCACCGCTTCTTCAGATCCGCGGATCCGCGGATCAGCAGATCGAAGCTCCGAAGAACCTTGGAATTCCGCGAAACCTGATTTAAAAGCCTGACCTGCTCTTCTCCTCGTTCTAACCCATCCTTCTCAATCATCTGCATAATTTCCAAAATGCCACCTAAACACATCGCAATAGTCACGAGCAGTACTCGCCGCCCACGCCTCAACCCCACCATCACACAGTACATCTATGACGTCTTTATGCACGACCCGTCAATTCCAACAAATCACCAGCCAAGCACATTCAACGCAGAAACAAATCCAAGCTCAAGCACCGATCCATCCAGCTCGGCAACGGCGATACCACAAACAGAACAGGGCTCAATAGACACAGACCCAAAGCATATCACATTTACCATCCTAGACCTATCAAAGCAATCCCTCCCTCTCTACAATGAATCCGTGATTCCCGCAAGTCTACCCGCAGCCAATCCAACACCACACTACAGCAAAGAACATACGCGCCACTGGTCTGCAACCGTGAAACAATTTGACGCATTCATCTTCGTCACTCCGCAATATAACTGGAGTATACCAGCCAGTCTAAAGAATGCACTCGACTACCTTTTCCACGAGTGGAAAGGTAAACCCGCGGGAATTGTGACATATGGATCGCGCGGTGGCGGGAAAGCGGCAGATCATTTGCGTGGGATTTTGACGGGGTTGAGGATGGATGTTGTCGGTACGGCGCCTGGGTTGGTTGTTAGGTTTACGGGGTTACCAATTGGTTCGCTTTCGGAGGAAGAGGAGCGGGTTGAGCTTGATGAGAGGGATTTGGAGGGGTGGAAGGATGCGGGTGTTGAGGGGATGATGAGGAATCTTGTTATGGAGATTGTTTGCGAGTTGGATAAGGGGAGGTGAGGAGATCTTATGGTACTAGCAACGTGAGAAACGAAAATGCTCAAAATCAGTCGCGCGGATAGATGGAAAGAAGGGGGGGGGGGGGGTGCGCGATGCTCAGACTGCTGCCGAATGCCCCTCCTTACATGATGAAGTGTGGGGGCGGAGAGATGAGGCTGTGAACTAGGCCTGAAGCTACTCTGAAGCGGGGGCGCCCCCAGAGCTTGTTTACTCTTTCTCATTGACTCTTCATACAAAATTCAAGATATTTCCTAACACCGGGTCTATTTCACGCTGAAGTTGCCCACTCGGATATGATAGAGCATAGTAACAAGAACGAGGGAATAAATAATTCATAGATAGATAGATCATGGCATGAAAAAGGACAGGTTCGAGGGCCTTTTTGCTGCGAATTCGTTTTACTTCGGAGTGTGCCCAGGTGTGCAACAGCTAACTCACATCTTTATTTACCGATCACTTTGGAATTCGGAATTAGTATTTGAAGTCTCAGTCCTTGCAAGGAACCTTGGAAGATACTATGACTTATGATATTCTGTGGGGTTTGCTAAAGTCCGACTATGCTCTGATTGATACCTCCCGACTGTCAGGAATAGCTACTTCAATGCAACCTTTTATTTCACAGGTCTTCGTGTTCAACCCGTAATTATTGCATGGACAAATATTATATAAGATTATATACAGTCATAACACCATAGACAAATGATTCTTTTAGTTCGGCAAAACAAAGACTTTTGCAACCCCTTCCTCCATCCTCCGTCCCCTCACTCACTCACTCATCAGCCAAAATATCCTCCAACGTAATCCCACTCCTCTCACACATAGCCCTAAAAATCCCATCCTCCCTCTCGAAAAGAACAGCCGGGGCATCCATCTCAGCAATCTGACCGCGATCCATAACGCAAATGCGATCATAATGAATAATCGTCCTCAACCGATGCGCAATACAAAGTAACGTCCTCCCATGGAATCCCTGCGCCATAGTCCGTTGAATCTTCTGATCCGTTTCAAAGTCAACGGAGGAAGTCGCTTCGTCGCAGACGATGATTCGCGCGTTTCGGACTAGAGCTCTGGCAAGGGCCATTAATTGGCGTTGGCCCAGGGAGAAATTGAGGCCTTCTTCGTCGACGGGGGATTCGAGAGTTAGTCGATTGGTTGGGCGGGGTTTGGATACATCTCCCGTTCCTGTTGTTGGGGTTGTTGTTCCTGTTCCGGGGCCACTGTGGGTAAGAGTAGGATCTGAATCTTCGGTTTCGTCGGTGATTAAGTAGGCTTTTCGGAGGGCGGACCAGAGTTCTAGATCGGAGTGTTCGTTGAAGGGGTCTAGGTTTGTGCGGATCGTGCCGCGGAATAGAGCCGGGTCTTGTGGGATGATAGCCAGGCGGGAGCGAAGATCATGAAGTCCGACCGTGGCAATATTAATATCGTCGATGTGGATCGTGCCGCCGGATAACTCGGTCAATCTGAATAAAGCAGACATGATACTCGATTTGCCAGCGCCTGTTCGTCCGACAATACCGATGCGCTCGCCACCACGGATATCCATAGAAAGACCCTGCAGGACAAGAGGCAACCCTTCTCGATAGCGCATCTTCGCGTCGTCAAAGACAATCCGGCCCTTTTCGGGCCAGCTGGATGATACCTCTGCCAGGTGGAGGGGGGGCTTCTTCTTCAAGCTCTGTTCCGTAGTAGTGCACTCGTTCGGTGGCATTCATATTATTTTCGACTTCCGCGAGCTGGCGAACGGTGAATTGGAGCATTTGTGCGATGGCGAGAATGTATGATAACACTAGACCTGAGATGCTGGGGGAGACGTTGAATCTGGATGTAACGACCAAAACGCCAATGACGAACACTAGAGCTGTAGCCACGGCGTCCAAGCGGACGCTCAGCCAACGCTGGTTCGAGAAGGTTAGGAAATAAGCGCCGTTCATCACGTCGATCGAGCTGCGGATGCTGGTGCGGAATTGGTTTTCGACGCCGTAGGCGCGGATACAGGCTGTTCCGGTGATGGCTTCGCTGAAGCGGGCGTAGACCATTGATCGGAGGACGGCTTCGTGGCGCTTCATTTCGCGGGCTGAAGCTCGGTAGTAGTTTGATGCGAGGAGGAATAGGATGAAGAGGGGGACGAGGGCGATGACGAAGTAGTAGAAGAAGACGATGATAAGGACCATGACGGAGATGATCATTGTCATTGTGAGGGCGTATATTCTCATCGCATCGGATAGTTCATTGTCCATGACCTGAATGTCCTTGGAGAAACGATTGGTGATTCGCCCGAGAGGGGTGGTGTCGAAAAAGGACATTGGGGCTCGCAGAACGCGGGTCATGGCTCGCTGCAACATTGTCCGGCTTGCATTTGTTCCACAGGTCGTCATGTATGTCGAGAATACAAACATGCAAATGACCACACTGGCGCCGAGTGCGGCGTATATTCCGATATACTGACCCATCGACAAACTGGGGTATTTATCCGAGGTCCAGTAAGAGAGCCACAGGCTCGTCCAAATGTTGGCGACGTTTGCAAGACCCAGTAGAATGAAGACAGCGAGGGCGTTGAAATAGCTGCCAGAGGCACGGACGTAGGCTTTCCAAACGCTCCATCCGACCGAAGCGGTGGCCTTTTCTTCTTGTTGCATCAGAGCAGCTGCGGGCTTGGCAGATGCCTTCTTTGGGCTTGTTTCGGTCTCCTTGGGCTTCTCGGTCTCTTCAACCACCGCCTTTTCCCCGTCTTCTTCTTCCTCCTTTGAGTCTTCCTGGCGCGATGTCGACATGAGACGTTTAAACAGCTCGTTATCGCGCATCAGGTTGTCAAAGGTATCAACTGCATCGATACGGCCGTCGTCCATGACAACGATACGATCGCAGCGATTCAAAACATGCAGCTGATGCGTAGCGAGAATTCTGCAACGATCTTTTAGGAGACCACAGATGGCTTTATCCATGATATGGCGACCGACATGAGCATCGACTGCGGATAAAGGGTCATCCATCAAAACCAGCTCGGCATTGAAGTAGATAGCACGTGCGATGTTAAGACGCTGCTTCTGTCCTCCAGAGACTGTAATGCCTCGTTCGCCGATTTCCGTTTGGTCGCCGTTAGGAAGAATCTCAAGATCGGGTGACAAAGCGCATGCGTCAATGACCTGGTTATACCAAGTTTCGTCATAGTCCTTTCCGAAGAGAACATTGTTTCGGACAGAAGTGTTTTGGATCCAGGCGTATTGAGGACAGAATGATCGTGTTGTGCTCATCCGTACTGTGCCCTCTGTGACACGCATGTCACCTGCCAAGGCAGAAAGCAGCGAGCTTTTGCCACAGCCCACGGTTCCAATTACGGCAATTAGTTCGTTTCGTCCGACCTCGAGGGTCATATTCTTGAGCTTGAAAGGTTCCGAGGGTGTGGAGTTCTCCGCCTTCTCCTCTTCCTTGAGAAGTGCCACGGCTTTAGCATCGGGAGACTTCTTAGACTTGCCCGCATCTTCACCTTCTTCGGAAGGCAGACGTTCCCAAGTGAACGAAGCTTGATTAATTTCAATAGCACGATCCATCTCCTCATTCTTTTCAATGTCCTCTCTCTGTTCCTCCGCACAAAGAAACTCTTGAATCCGGTTCAGCGCAGTCCAGGCATCGGTAACCTGACCGATGACCAGAGGCAGCATGTTCAGCGGCATCCGGAGGGAGTTGAACAGCGCAAGCGAGGAGAAAATCTCAGCGGCCTGCAGATCGTGATTGGTGAGGGCATAGGTGATGAAAGCCAGCATGGAAGCGAAGACGGGGATAGACATGGAGACGCAGAGAATTCCATTGCGCACAGCAAGCAGTGTCTGAATGGAACGAATCTCCTTTTTGCGAATATCCTTGAGTCGATTGAGGAAGCTGCTTTCCCAACCGAAGAACTTGACGAATCGCACGGCCTGGAGGATTTCTTGCGTGAGGGAAACTCGCTGGTCGGTGATCTTGTTGATGTTTCGGCGACGTTTCACAAGAAAGCGGACGGCGTATGTGAGAAAGGGGACGCCGAAGACGAGCAACGCGTAACCGGACAGACAACTGTAGCCGATATTCACCAGCAAGAGAACCAGCGTGACGATGATGGAGATCGGGGCTGTCCAAATCATATGGAACATACCACATGCCAGATTGATGCGGTCGACGTCAATACTCATCAGCGCGACGATACGACCATTATTCCACCCTCGTCCATCACCAGCCACCGCTGAACTGGGATTCTGACTTGGCTGTCCTTTCTGACCCGTCTCTTCGGCCTTCTCATCACCCTTCTTCTCCCCCTTCATCAGCGCCTCCTTCGTCGATTGCAATTCCCTCACTTCCTCCTCCGTCGCTTTCCCGCCAGCCTTCGCCCGACCGGACAACTTCATCGCCTTATTAAAGATCTGCGAGATCAGCACCGCCCGGATCTGCCCACCAACCATCTGACCCCGATACAGGAACTGATTCGTGCACAGACTCTGCAGTGCCTGCATTCAGTGTAATGCCGACGACAAACCCCATCCCGCGACCGATATGCGGCGCAGGCAGACCCTTCTGCTCAGCGATATACGCATCCGTCGCAAAAGCGATCAAGTATCGCGTTAAATAGGGCGCAAACACGAGTAGCAGCGAGCTAAATAGCTGACAAGTCCCGCCGAGCAGGAATTCAAAGCGGAATGTGTCATATAAGGCCATAACAAGGGCGCGTTTACTTCCGCTCGCTGTGCGATTTTCCAGCGCGACGTCTAATCGCTCGGCGAGGACGTCGACTGTTCGCTCCGGATTGACGGTCCAAACATCCTGCAGCTCGAGCGGGCGCAGATATCCGACCTGGATATGAATTAGCAATTATTTAAAAAAAGAAAGTAAGAAAATAAGAAAAAAAATAAGGGGGAGGGTTGGAAATAGTTGGAAAATCGCCATACTCACTCGCATCAAGGGGGACATCCATTGGAAAGAAACGATGCTGAAGAATGAAGCCCCGTACTCCCTGGACGCGGTCCGCTCGTCAGGAACAGGTGGTGGCGTCTGCCATCGCAAGGGATTCAGCCTCCGATACCATTTTGGTCTGGGACTGGATGGCTGCAGGGCGTTATCGGGGGCCTTGGCTTCATCGTCCCCAGATGCCGATCTGTCGCTGGGGGCGGCCTGCAATTTTTCGATATCCGCCACCACTACCTGCGGCAGTGGTTCGGGCGGGGCAGACATGGGGAGATGACACCTTTAGGTGCAAGGAGGGTGGAAAGGCAGGATATAGAATGGTGAAGCGGACAGAAAGGTCGGGCGAAAAAGAAAAGAACGAAGATTGATTGAGAATGTGAGAACGCAGCGAATCTCGGGGATAAAGAACGATTGGGAAGTTTTAGCTCCGACGTTACCAATCGCATTCAATGGTGGAGCCGAGGGATGACTGAAAGCGGGATCTTTGAGAGGCGCAAATGTACCATAGGAACAACACTCTTGATATAACCAGCAATCAGCAATACCCCGAGTGACTCACATCGGAGTTAGCTGAATTCGCTGAATTAAGCTCTGGTGATAGGCTGTGAGGTGTGAATGAGGTGTATCTCTCCGCTACGTCCGTACGGAGTTGGGTTCCAGGATGAACTCCGATCTCTCCCCCATCGGATAGGATGACTGGCATTATGCAATCCACTTAATGCTTGAATAGTGGAGGAGGGTCCGTAATCTGGAAGGAAATGCACTTGACAGGTCCTGCTCTTATTCGCATTCGCATTCGTGTAGAGCGGAGATCCAATCAGCCGTTGCGATGCGATCGGGGATCGGGGTTGTAATGACCCGTGATGCCGGCACTAGAGTCAACTGGGAATAGCCAGTAGACTTGATTAATAATAGGGGATTCCGATGCCCTAAGCTGGGGTAGAGAGATGCCGAGTGGACGAAGAGAGGAGATGGGGTTGGTCCAGTGGAAGGTGAGGTTTTACTACTACTAGTAGGGGTCAGGTGACAGAACTACTAGTACATGGGACTCTCCAATATACACAACACAATCACACATCAACTTGAATTGTTTTTATCCAATTTAGTACATATCAATGCGAAAGACACTGCACGGAGCTGCTGGCAGCTAAAACAAATCGCGAGTCTAGTAAGGGTAATCGATGTTTGGATACACTGTGATACATTGTATCTCCGTTCCTTCGTCAGGTCGTGGGATGCTCTCATCCGTCAAAAATAAAATAAAAAAAGAGAAAGAAAGGAAATTATCTATGATGAATCGTCGCACGCATCTAAGTGACCACGCTGACTGTCCAGTTCAGCGCCGATCTTGATATTTTTCACCGGTAGGAAAACCTTAGTGCTTGACAGATCCCTTCAGGGTGGGCAGTTCGGTCACAGCCTCGTGAATGATCTTCAACGCCTGCTGAATCTCTTCCTCGGTGATGACGAGGGGAGGGGCGAGACGGATGATGTTCTGGTGAGTAGGCTTGGCCTGTAGAGAAGAGAAAGAAATTAGCTCGGTCCTCCTATATATATATCGAACCCCGATATTCAGTCAAAACTTACCAGCAAACCCTTCGTCTTCATCAACATGCACAGATCCCAAGCCGAGTGACCATTTGTCTTCGACTCATCAATGACAATAGCATTGAGCAGACCCTTTCCACGCACAGTCTCGATGAGAGGACTCTTCAGATCTTCCAGACCCTGTCGGAAAACGTGACCAAGCTTCTCGGCCCGCTCAACCATCTGCTCCTCCTGCACCACCTCGAGAGCACGGATAGCAACGGCACAACCCAGGGGGTTACCACCATAGGTTGAACCGTGGGTGCCAGGCTCGATGGTGAGCATCACATCCTTGCGGCCAAGCACACATGAAACAGGGTACATACCACCCGAGATAGCCTTGCCCAGCAGGACGAGGTCGGGCTTGATTCCGCTCCACTCGTGGCAGAGCAGCTTGCCGGTGCGGGCGATACCAGTCTGGATCTCGTCGCAGATCAACAGGACATTGTGCTTGTCGCAGAGGGCGCGGGCTTCCTGGAGATAGCTCGCATCGGGGACGACGATACCGGCCTCGCCTTGGATAGGCTCGACCAGGAAGGCGGCGAGGTTGGGGCCGGCGGCCTCGAAGGCCTCGCGCAGAGCGGTCTTGTCGTTGTATGCGATGGGCTTCTCGGTGCCGGGGATGGTGCAGCCGATACCGGGAAGATAGGGGCCGTAGTGCTCCCGCGACTCGGGGTCGGAGGAGAGAGAGATAGCGGCGAACTGTGGAGAGATTCGTTAGTTTTCACTTGACTTTCCTTTAATTTATTTGAATATTATTATGAATATGAGGAGAGCTTACTGTTCGGCCGTGGAAGTTGTTCTCAGCACTCAAAACGATCGCCTTGTTCTCGGGAATACCCTTCACTTTGTACCCCCACTTACGGGCGATCTTGATGCCGGTCTCGACCGCCTCGGCGCCAGTGTTCATGGGCAGAACCATGTCAAAGCCGAAGTAGCGAGTGACGAACTCGGCAAAACGAGGGAATACATCATTGTAGAAAGCGCGGGAGCTCAGGGTGAGGCGGGAAGCTTGATCCACGAGAGCCTTGACCAGCTCAGGGTGGCAGTGGCCTTGGTTGACAGCGGAGTAGGCGGAGAGGAAGTCCAGATAATGACGTCCCTCGGGGTCCCAGACAGAGGTACCTTGAGCGCGGGAGAAGACAATGGGCAATGGGTGGTAGTTGTGAGCAGCAAAGTCATTCTCGGCTTGGATGGCCTCGGTGGTGGAGGCGGAGTGGTAGGCGAAAGCGCCGTTGGAGCTGCCGTTGGCGGGCATGGTTGAGGTGGAGACGAGAAGAGATGGAGAAGATGGAGATGGGAGGATGCGGGGGTGGAGTAGAAGTAGAAGTAGAGGATAGCAGGTAGAGTAGTAAAGTAAAAAGTATAGTCAAATAAAAGCAGAGTTAGAATTCTCAAATTCCGTGTTTCGTAAATTTAGTAAAACCAGGAGTGAATTGAAGAAGAGAAGTTGCCCTGTCTTATACTATACCACTCCCAGCGTTCCCCCCAGTGTGCTTGTCTCCGCCTTCTCCTAAGTGCAGGTCGTCGCGAGACTTCAACCCTCCCAACATCCACAATTCCCTAAGTGCAGGATTACACGAGTCGCCCTCATTTTTTCCCCTTTGGCCCTCCCCCGTCCCAGTTGCCCTCCAATAGGCGCATTTGTTTTACCGGCCCGGTCTTTTCTTGGAATTTCTCTTGTGTCATTTTTATTTGACCTGGCTTGCTGGTTGCTGATCGCGCGCAAAGCGGATTCTGCCAGAGTGTGATAGTCTCCACGCGCAAACAAGTCCACCACAGCCATGACCCTCTAGCCACTACCCACTCACTGAATTTCTATTACGGAGTATATCCACGGGTCTTTTTTTCCCTTGGCTCATCCCTCGTGGCACAGGATGCCCCCCGCCAATACCCCTGCGCGTCGCGTCGCGCCATCGTCATCTGCCTTCTCAACCTCGGCCACCACCAACATCCTCCTCTTCCTGATCGCCTTTCGCATTCTCAATGCCTTTACCCTTCGCACCTTCTTCCAGCCAGATGAATTCTTCCAATCTCTGGAACCCGCATGGCAGATTGCCTTTGGCAAGGAGCAGGGCGCCTGGATAACGTGGGTAAGTGGACCGCGTGTCGTCCTCTTCGGCATCACGACAACCGGCACCCTGTACCACGAGAGATCAGAACACTAATTGCTTTATTTTGCTCCCTTCTACAGGAATGGCGCTATCAACTGCGCTCCTCGTTACACCCGCTCCTCTTTGCCGCCATCTATAAGACCTCCGATTTCCTGGCCGCCACCCTTCACCTCTCCCCCGCCACCAGCGCGGAACTCCTCGTCGCCAGCCCCAAGGTCGCGCAGGCCATCGTCGCGGCCATCGGCGATTTCTACACTTGGAAACTAGCGACCCGCATCTACGGGAGAGATTCACGCGGGTCGTGGACAACGGTACGTCGTTCTTGCGCCATGGCCAGCTAGCTGCATGGTCGATCTTTGCGGGGGAAAAGAAACCACAAGAGAACAAGATTGGCTAATGGTCGCAGTTACTCGTCACACTTCTCAACCCTTGGCAATGGTTCTGCTCGACGAGAACCTTGTCAAATTGCCTGGAAACTACAATCACCATTGTCGCGTTGGACCTTTGGCCCTGGCGGTGGTCCGCAGGAGGATCTTCATCCGGCGATAGCCGCAAGGATGAGAGGGGCACGGCCGCGGATCGAGCGCTCCTGTCAAGGTAAGACTGGGAATATAATTCACACTGCATGTTATCGAATCAGCCACTGACGCGCCCTATCAGCCTCCGCCGATGCTTACTTTTGTCGGCCCTCGCTTGTATTCTGCGGCCGACCAATGTTTTGATCTGGGCGACTCTGGCCAGCATCGCTTGGTTCCGAAATTCTTGGAACATACGCACCATACTCGTTCGAGAGGTCTTGATTTGCGGGTATGTCATGTCATTCCTCTACTATTTCATGGGATCATGCCCGTCCTGCGGCGACAGCGTCCTCCGTCATAACCTGCGAAATCAACTGACGTCAATTCTTTCTATCTAGATCGGCCGTTCTCGCTGTGTCCGCCGTCGCAGACCGTCTCTTCTACGGATTATGGACATTCCCGCCGCTGAGATTTCTATACTTCAACATCGCGCAATCGCTGGCTGTCTTTTACGGCCGAAATGACTGGCACTACTATTTGTCGCAGGGCCTGCCTCTTCTTCTGACGACGGCATTGGTCCCCGCCCTTTTCGGCCTTTACCAAACATTGAGAAATCGAAGCTTCTCTACCACCGACAGACTGCAGACAGTGACCCGAATTCAGCTGGCAACGATCTGCTTGGTGATGCCTTTCGTCCTGTCCTTGATCTCGCATAAGGAAGTACGCTTCATCTACCCGCTACTTCCAGCACTCCACATCCTCGCAGCGCAGCCGCTAGTTCAGTTCTTTGCCCCGGCCATCTACTACAGATCCTCGCCGGCATACACTCCACAAAGACTGCTCCTCATCTTCCTGATCCTAGTCAATGCAGTGATAGCATTTTACACGAGTGTATGGCACGCCTCAGGGGTCCTCAACGTCATGACCTACCTCCGCCACCAGCACGAAGTCCACGCACTCGAACCAGACTCGTCATTTTTCTCCGACTCAATCCCCAAGGGAATAACTGCAGGCTTCCTTATGCCATGCCATAGCACCCCCTGGCGATCCCATCTCGTCTACCCAACAATCTCCGCCTGGGCCCTATCCTGCGAACCCCCAATCGACTTCAGCGAGTCCGAGAAAGCCGTCTACCGCGACGAAGCAGATCAATTCTACGACGACCCAGCTCAATTCCTCCGCGACAACATGGCCGGCGGCCTTCGCCATCTCCCCACCAGACCAAGCTACACCTCCACAACACCCGCCGACCCCTCCCTCTCCGGCTCCAAAAACCAACATGAATGGCCAGACTACCTAATCTTCTTCCAACAACTCGAGCCAACCCTCCAACCCCTCCTCCGCATGTCCTTTTACCGAGAATGCTGGCGCACACATAATACAGCCTGGCACGACGACTGGCGCCGCACAGGCGATGTCATCGCCTGGTGCCTCGACACATCCGAACAAGACAAATGGCGCGAAACACAACGTCAAAATCACCAGTCCCACCAACGCTGGGCCAGCGCAACAAATGCGCTCACCAATACACGCGAATTCCATTTCGACCGCATGCTGGAAGCGCTAAAGAATTCCGAAACCCAGCCCCAAAATACTCCCGGTTGGAGCTGCCTCAGTTTTCTCCCCGGTCGCTCGACATTCTCATTCTCCGCGCCCTGGTCTTCAAACCAGCCTACCCTGCGCGAGAAATTCGCTGCATGGCGCCGTGGGGTGACGGCATATTTTGGACCCCGGCCCTCGAGGATTTGGAAGTTGGGGAGGTCGACGCCGAATATTAGGGACTGGATTCCGGATCCTTGGTGCTTTTTTTCTTGGAGGTGGTGGGTTTTTGGGGAGTCGTTGGAACTTACTAGGGAGCGGGAGTTATATTCTTGATCTTGGTCTTGATTTGGCGGAGATGTTGTTTCATTTATGTGCATGCACGGTTGCTGTGTCACTGGGTTGTCTCTAAGATGATGTTTATAGATCTGCTTTCGAGTTCTATACCCTGATTTATGTAATATACGATGTGATATTATTGCGTTGATGCATAGTTAAATAAAAGGATTTCAATTTACCTAGACCTTCAAGTTCTTTGTTAATTAGTCAATTTGACACAAGTTATCTACGAGTAGTACTGATATTAATCATACTACTACTACTAGTAATTACCCCCGGGGCCTAATTGTCTCGCCCGCTGGCGGCTAGCCGCAGCCTGAGCCGGCTACGGTGACCGTGCGTTCCTCCCTCAGGCTCCTGCTGACTTTACCCCTCCAGCCTCCGAGTCATCTCACCCCAGCCCGATTGTGATCGATCCTGATCCCTTCCACCCCCTCGAGCCCTATCCCTGTAGCGACCACCTTCCTCAGGGCCCTCCAATCATCATGCGAAGTAAATTCACCATAATCACACCACTCCCAGAGTACATCACGCAGGAAGCAGTGATCAAATTACTCCATTCCCACGCAGATATGATCAAATTGAATCCACTGGTCACCAATTTTCAGCAGTGCGACCCTTCGTCAAACATCCCAGCAGACTCGGATGAGCATAACTCGGACTTCATCTGGTACGAGATTACGGACAAAGTTGCCTATCTCCCATGGAATCTCCTCTCCGGAGAAGTCACTTTCAAAGCGTCCTTTTGCGATCTTCCAACTGGTCTGCGGACGCATATTTATGCGCCGATGGGGTTGGATATGAAAGAGAGTTGGAGTGTGGGCAGCATGAGTACGGATCGTGCAGATGCAGATGCAGGTACAGAGACTCAAACAGAAACAATCACGCCTGGTCCTGGACAAGCAGGCTCGAGTGGGGGGTTGTGTTTGATAGAAGATATTGATATGCAATGCAATATGTTGATGACGTGGTTTGTTAAGAGGACTTTGAAGGAAGCACACAACTCTTTGAAAGATCAGTTGATTTTGAGATTTAATCAAGGGGATTTAAGTTAGCCTTGTCTTCTGGGTTGGTTACCGGATACATCATACATCATACCATATCAATAGAACTTTTTGGACATGTGGTAAAGCTCTTGAAGTTCGTCTGAAACATTCCTTTCACTCTTATGTAGATGCTCATATCGCTCATTGTAGATATCTAACAACACCTTCATACAGGTAACGACCGAGGCAGGGAATTATTGCCATGCTCTTAGAAGAGTAGATAATTTAGTAAACAACTTTTAGTCGGGAAGGATAACTCTTCCACCCCACGGGACATCCCGCATCCGGAGATTAAATGGTCCGAGAAGGCTAACTTCACAACCTTCACTCAACACAAGTACTCTCATACCTAGGTACCTTTGAGTCACAATTCCAACCACAACAATGACTTCAGCAAACCCCCCACCGAACGCTAAACTTGCCCAACGTATCCAACGCCTAATGGCAGTAGGCTACTCAGGCATGGGCTCATGGTACATTATCCCGAAACAGGCCCAAAATATTCAAATATTAACCATAGCTAACTCACCCAGGTGTCTCCTATTCCCATCAACAGTAATTGGGCTCTCCCTTGTACCAAAATACGCCACAACAGAATACACACCAACACTTCTAATGCGCTGTTTCGGCGCTCAAGCGACAACTTGTGGCGTACTGCTCGGTACGGCTAACATGACGCCGAAGAGTTTCGTGGCGTTTGGCCTTGCTATGATTCCTTATCTGGGGTTTAATTATTGGTTTGGGGTTGGTCCTGGGAAAGGGGTATTTACTTCTTTGCTGTGGTTGGATTTTGTGGGGAATGTTACTTTTTGCGCTGGTTCGTTTTATTGTGCTTGGTTGTTGGGACGGGATGAGGAGGAGGTGGAGGGGGGTGGTCGGTTGAGGAAGGATGAGTGAGGCTTTTCTTAAACTGTACTAGTACTTTCTTTCATTCCCCCTTCCAGTCACTGGTATACTTTGATTGAAAAGGACAGGCCAGGCCCAAAACGGGCCTAATTGAAGCTTTATAATCTTTGTATGCAAATATGGAACTAAATTTTAGTACTGATGTTCAACATCTCAGAGGATGAATTAGGCCCTTACTTGACTAGGCAGGCATTACTGGGCCTGTTGGAGTAGACATTTTATTGTCAAATTATTGCTCAATAACGAACAATATATGTATGGCTGCCACCGGATACAGTCCTCATCTTCATGGAAGAATCTTCCGGGCTTTTCGCTGGAGCTAATACCGATGTGTTGTTATACATTGATTCAATTGATGAAAATTCTAAGCCATAGCATGTTTTAGCACATTTCACATATTTCCCAGGTCTTTCAATGCATCAAGTTCCAAGGTTCCAATCGCGGCAATATAGGACTATGTAGCCAAATAGTCACTGAAAGAAACATCGAAATCGCTTCACAACTATATCCTATCATTGATGTAGTGTAATATTCCTTGTATTCATCACATAGATAGCGCTTAGAGCCTGCTAAGAAGATGAGACTTTGCGTTTTCTGAGAGTGAGAAACAGAATAGTCAAAGCATAAACAATTCCAACGATTCCAGCAACAACGCCATAAGCAATAACTGCTCCAACAGGAGCAATCGGAAGACCGATACCTGTTAGGCGAAAGCCTAGACCAGCATTAATAATGCCAAGAACTATAAAGCACCGACCGAACCACCGATGTAGGTAAGAAAATACACCCTTGCTCCCTGTTTTGCGGAAATATCTGTGCTGAATGAAGCCCATTGCGGGTTGAAAGAGTATAAGGGAAGGAACAGTCACCATCCCGATAATTGGATGATACATCCCTATGAAATCAAGGCTTCTTGCCATTGAAATCCCAATTCCGAACCCGGCAATAGCCAAGGCAAGCGTCAAAAGCTGGAAGGAAGCGTGGAAATAGACGATCTTCGAACTTGGGATGATACGAATCATCAGAGCGAATGAAGGGAGGAATATGACGAAAACCAGGATCATAATGATAGCATGGGCCTTCCTGCGACTTTCGACAGATCCAGTGTTAACGGTCGAAATCGGATGCGATGAACTTGACGAGCTCATAGAGTTCGAGGCAGTAAACGGATTATCAGACGTGCCACCGGTTGCTTTCTGCAGGTCAATAGCTGCAATTCCCTCAAGGTCATGTATGTTGATAGATGCCGCCAAGCTGTTCGTGTTGAGTGGAGTCCCATATTTCACTGCCCAAACCCATGGACTCGACGAGCTGCTCACATCTTCACTTCCGCCGGGCCAGGTGATACAGCTATCGCATCGAATATTTGCTGTTATAACCCCATTACTTATCCCACTGTTGTTCAAAACCGATAATTGAGCCTTGGAGTTATACAGTGGCATAACGTGCTCCACTCCCAGTCTTGGAGAGACGGTGACATTATTCCCGTCGCTTGATGCGTAAACAATAAAGATATTTGCTCCTTGCATTATAGAGCCCTGGCCAAAAGCAAACCACTGAAGCGGTGTGGTAGACTTCAGTTGAAAAAAAATCGGGCCGGTGCCGGTGGACGCGGTGGTTTCGGGTATGTTCACACTATAGGACACTCCATTTTGACCGGGAGGCACGAATGTTTGTATTTGGGAAAGAGTGAAGGTGGCTGTAAGGAGCCAAAGATAAATATAAAGATATATCTGTGCCATTTTGAAGCAGGGCCGGTTATTTCTGCAAGTTGTTAAGAAAACTTGCCCAGATGAAATAGTCTCAGGCTGCTCCGAGGTCGCTTCCAACCTTGGAAGCTTGTTGTGATATACTACCCGTACTAGTAGCAGTACTATCGGCAAATATATATCATATCATAATGACACTAACTATATCCCTCAGACTTATTTCATAGTTATACCTAGACGGGTATCACGTATGTATTGCCCAATCCAATACCGCAAGTAGTCTGTGACATAAGTCCCGCGAGGTTGTCGGATCATTTGACTGCTGGCGTCATGACTTGCTTAGCAGTTCGAGGAGGGGGTAAGTAATTAATTTTTTCCAGAATTATTTTTGTATAATTTGGGTAAAGTATCCATTGGAGACCACAGAATAAGACACTGCGCCTCACCAATCGCTTTGAGCATTTATGAACGTTGCCGGTCCAGACGTTCTTCGTACCAAACCCGCGTATTCCTAATTCGGCCGGTGTCCGTATACCTACCATGGCTGTGTTAGTCAGCCACCCCGCATCCAAAATAACAAGACGTGTCACATGGTGAACTATCTCGAACAAGATATTGAGGTAATCGACCGACCTAGGTCTAATTTTGTGGCGTTCAGTCTAGGCAAAGTTCCAACGTCCTGTGGCTAATCCAATCTGACGACGAACCGCATTCTCTGTTTTAGGAAATGAACTGCCCGAACTATGGGGTTGGAAGAGGAAGCTTAGCTTGCTTCACCGTGGCTATGCTAAAGCTTAAAACTTCCAAATATTAGATTGGGGGATATCATGGAAGTATACGTATATCGTCACTAAGAGAGACCACATAAAAGAAACCCAGGTCCGGAGTCCTCGGAATACAACTCCAGGCTTTCAAATTTCATTCTGACCGTCTAACTTTACTTCTTCTCTTCCAATTCGGTGATAATTATGATCCAGATGAATTTGTGCACGTTCGCCCTTTTTTGGCTCCCTCTCGTTGCTGCCCAGTATGGAGGAGGAGGGGATGCCAGTAGTACTACTACGACTACGGATACGCCTACTGCGAGCTCAACAACCAGTGCATCCTCTTCGAGTAGCACTGTCTCGGTTGATGTCGGCGAAGATGGCTTCACCTTTAATCCAGCAACTATTAATGTTCCTAAAGGGGGCGTCGTCGAGTTCGGTTTCTATCCAGGCGATCACTCGGTTGCCCAGGCCGCATTTGACAATCCATGCCACCCCCTGAGCGATACGAGCTTCTTCAGTGGATTTATGGCAGATGCTCATGACGGAAAGGTAATTTCATGATAATATTTCCAGGCTGTATGATTTTCTGACTCGGAAATTTTAGCCTGTCTGGTCGTTGACAGTTAATGATACAAACCCGATCTGGTTCTACTGCGGCCAAATTGGACATTGTCAAGCTGGCATGGTCGGTGTGATTAATCCCTCGTAAGTGAATCACTGGAGAAACCCTATTAGGCGCTTCTAGTAACTCTCTCCTTCGCATTAGTGGCTCCGATACACTTGATGAATTCAAGTCGAAAGCCTCAAGTGCAAGTGGCCAGAGTGTGCCAGCCACTGCTCAAGGTGGTGTTCTCGGTACACCAAGTGCCAGTGCTGCACAGACAACCGCAACTGCCAGTGGCACGACTGCGAGCGGCACGACTGCCAGCGGCATGACTACCAGCAGCAGCACATCGACTGCCAGTGGTACTACCAGTAGCGGTAGCTCCAGTCCTAAAGCCACGAATACGGCGGACAGTTTACACCTTTCAACTGATCTTAGTGTCTTGTCCCTTCTTACCTTAATGATGGCTGGGTTTATGATCTAGGTCCAGTTTCGTGACATTAATGAGGTGTGTTGGGTTTGATGGAATTCGGCTTTGGAGTGTACATAGGACACAAATTGCAGGCGGTCCTAGGCAGGACAATCGTCACAGATGATTGAAAATGTGAAGGCTACTAAGCTTCAATATTTGCCATTCTTCTGTTCCAAAGTGACTACCTGGCTCTATAGCACCATGTTTTAGGCGTACGCTGCTTGTGTGACTGCAAATAATATTGGGAACTATTCAACCCTTTCAAGTAAAATGCTATCGTATCATCTCTGAAATTACTGTAGACTTCTGGTATTAGTTTTTTTCATTAGCCATCTAACCCCGTTGCTGCGATGCTCTTCAATAAGCTTCACATCGACCAGTCAGATCTATAGCATACACGAACAATACACTATACCGAGCACACCACGCCTGTAAACATCTGAAAAGGTCAGAATAAAATTAAGTGATGGTACTGATTGAAACTATCGTACTTCCAATCCGCCATAAAATTGATCATTGCATACAATACGAAAAAAGTGGCGTTCTTCAGCCCCAATCCGACCCCTCACCGGCATATATTTCCCCACGGCGATCGCCCTGTCAGACTTACCTTATTTGGCAGGTAAGATTGGTAAGAAATTAGAGAGAAATTGGGCATCACCGTCGAATTTCCAAAATTCCATTTCAATTCCGCAGTCTCACGGTGAATTTGCGAGCGCGGGTGCGAATGCGAATACGAAAGAAAACCTTGACCTTATTCTCCTTTCGTGCTAGTCGGCTATTTTGCTTCTTCATGGAGGTTTCACAGCCACGACGCTTCATATGGAGGTTCTATTTTTCTTTGTCTGGCAGAACGTCCCAGGGGTCATGGTCTTATAGGCTGATTTGTCCCGAGGAGGGGAGAGCGATTATTCCTTTTTTTTCTCCCCCGATGGCCAGTGGAAATGCTGTAAGACTCACCTGCATCGAGCAATTACATAGCCACTTTGAGCACAGTATACGAATACTACTAGTAGTATTGTTTTGGGAGATCCGGCACAGCCTATCATGATAGTGGAGTAACTGAGTGTCAAACCTTTGACTCGGAGGGCCCCTGGGGCCCCTGGGGGCAGCATGGTTGGTAGTCAACTAGTCCCAACCTCAAAACAACCTTGGAATCGGAATACAGATACAACCCTAGAAAATAAAATCCAATATATACCATTGACCCGCTAAAGGAGACATCACTCTTATACTAGTACAATTAAAACAGTAAGAAAAGTTGAAGAAATGAGAGACAGACAAATTCAACCAAAGAAAATATTAAAGAGTGACAAATAAAGAAAAGAAAAACGAAAAAAACCCATATGCACCATGGCCATGCACACACATACCATCTCATCGACGATTCTATATCCAAGATCCAATCATAAGGAAAGAGAAAAGCGTAAGGTAACCGTCATCTTTCTCTCATCAGACATTATCGCAGTGCAAGAGGGGAACAGCACAACCCAAGACAACACAATTTAATGCAGAGGAGAGCATTGCATAACAGCGCAGCGCAAACAGAAACAGAGACAGGTTGATCGTTGAGTCAAGTCAAATTCATTGGACACTAGGAGAGCAGAGCAAAGCGGATCGCAGATCAAATCAACCATAGCGAGCGCTCAGACTAGCAAATGCATCCGGGCTATGCCGACCATTCTGCAGACCGTTGACGTCGACGCTAGGCTGACTCATGTGCGTTCTTGGGAATGTGGAATTCATATTCATACTTGTTGGTGGGGGCCGGAGAAGGGGCTTGAGGAAAACGGGGCTGAAGAGAAGGGACTTGACGATGAGAACGGACTTGAGGGTGGCTTCGTGCCTGTTGCTCCTGGGGCATTGGCGGCGCCGTTGGTGCCCATTCCGATGCCTAGGCCGGAGGAGGGTTGGTTCAGTTGGGAGGGGGTCACGCCTGCTTGGGCAGCTAGGCCTGAGCCAACTGTTGCAGCGCCGAAGGGGTTGCGGGATGCCATGGGTCCGGCTGTGGTGGTTTGGGGAGTAGGAATTGCGGAGCCGGGTTGGGTTTGAGGTGTGGTGGTGAGAGAGTTCGTGAGTGGTGGGACGGGACTGGTTGCCATGCCGTTGAAAGGCTGGGATTGCGGTTGCGGTTGAGCTTGGGGCTGGTATTGAGCCTGAGCCTGAGCCTGCTGTTGGAATTGGTTGGGGATCTGAGGAACTGCTGGCGAAGGAGCGAGGTTGTATAGAGAAAGGATGCCGTTTTTGCTCATCTGGCCAGTGGTCTGAGGGACTAGCTGCTGCTGTTGTTGCTGCGGCTGGACCTGCTGAGGTGGGAATTGAGGTTGGGTCGTGAAAGGTCCTGCGCTCTGAGGAGTTGGCATGGCCTGTTGGAATGGGTTATAAGACCCTTGCGAAGTATTTTGGTTTTGTTGCAGCTGTTGCTGGGTCTGGAAAGAAGGTGTCGGTCCAAATGGAGAGGTTCCAAAGGGCGAAGAAGAAGACATGGCTGGCATGGTGTTTGCATGCTGAGGCGGGCGTGGTACTGCGAGAGTTGGGGCTGCTGCCGACTGCTGGGGCTGCGCAAAGTTTTGAGAGGCATTAAAGAATGGATTGTTTTGTGCGGCAGCGGTGTTGGTAAAAGGCTGACTTGCCACGCCGCTCTGCGGCTGGGGTGTAGTCTGGAAGAATGGATTGTAGTTGCTGTCCATTGCCTGGGGCGAAGAGACATAACCTCCCTGGTTCTGGCCGAGAGTGGCTGAAGGAGCGAATGATGGTTGATATGTAGTCTGAGGTTGCGCTTGGTTGGAATATCCGCCGGTCGAGTGAGGGAACAACGGCTGCGACACCTGCAAGTTCTGGAAAGAGGACTCCAATGGCTGTGCTGAGGCTGGTGTCGGGTTTGGCTGATCGAACGGGTTATAGGAGGTCGTCGCAGACTGCGGCTGTTGCTGAGGAACCGGGTTCGAGACGGATCTCTCGAAGGGGTTGTTGGATCCTAGCGATTGTGGGTTCGGGGTCACGGCACGCGGAGCAGTTGGCAGAGGTGCAGGTGCAGTGTTGCTCGTTGGAGCCGGAGTTCTCGCTCGTGCAGGAAGAGTGCCGTTTCCTTCTCCCAGTCTTGACAGTGTCTCCGCGCAACGATTCAAGTCCTCGTTGAGACCACGGAGTACCATCTCGTTCCGCCGGTCATTGGTGAATCCCATCTCCCTCAACGCGGCCATCTTGGCTTCGAACGAATTAGTCGTCACATCGGCAACCGGTGCTCCGAGGCCACGCTCGGGGCGCTCGGGGCCCTTCGAGGAAGAGGGCGGGGACCAGCGCTCGAGATCTGGGTTCGGCGAGGCCTTGGATGACTTGGTCCCGAATCGGCGGAGGTTCGAGGTTGAAGAGGATCCGCGTAGACCGAAGCCAAAGAACTTGCTTCCGGTCTTGGGCGGCAGAGGCGGAGGTGAGCCCTCGGGGGATCTGGGTGGAGATCTAGCGGGAGATCTGTCGCGTCTGGACCGGGATGGCCTGGTATAACTCTCGTCATCGCGGCTCGGAGGCTTCGGCTTCCCATCTTCCAACGATCGATACTGGTATTTTTGTCGAATAAAACGTTCCATGCACGAGTCGGCTTCGTCGACGTCGACCGGGGTAGACGGCTTGATATTTTTCGGGTTATAAATCTTGTTCATGAGGTTGTTTCCGTGCGATTTCATGTTCTGTTGGAGGGCAGCGCGTCAGTCTTTCGCCCATTGCCTTTGCTGGAGACCGGGGGTCTACTCACATCAACCTGCTCGGACGACCATGTATCCATCGACAAGGACTTGACCTTGGATATGTGTGTACCTAGCTTGCGGTGGATTGCGGCGCACCGCATGCAAAGGAAGATGCCCATCTAAAGATTCGGAGAAGGAGGTTAGTCGGCGGGATCGGAGATAGGGGATCGAATTGGATTGGAGTGGTGATGGCAGATCGTACGTTCCAGCTTGCCCATCCTGTTGATTGCGAGAGAAAGGATTAGTTCAATGGACGAGGATAATGGGATTGTCATGGTCAAGAGCATCGTATCGCATCTTGGCAACGTACCTGGGGTCAAGGCGTCGCAGTCGGCACAACGGTCATTGCCGGGAATTGTGCGGATCAGCTCGGCGAGAGTTTTCTCATTGCGCAGCTGCTGGCGCTTACTGATGCCATTGGGCATGATGAAGGAGTGAAAGGAAAGGAATGGACACAATACTAGGATTGTGGTGGGAGAAGAGAGGAGAATAAGAGTAGAAGGATAAGAATAGGAGACAAGCCTGCGAGGGGCAAAAGTTTAAGGTGCAAACCAGCAACCCCGGAATCGAGGCCCAAGGTTGGCCTAAGGTTGGCCCAAAGTTGGCCTGGTTCTGCCCCTGGCTCCACTAACTGACGTTCTGGAAGATAGTAGGGTTCCCTTAGGGAAGTGTGGCTAGAATAGTCACGGAGTAGCTTCCAGAGTCGCGGTCCATAGGGACACCGTTGGTAGTCTGTACTCGTATACGGAGTGCTTGGTGTTAAGCTAGTGCTGATGGGACCATCATCACTGTTGCTTCCAACACTACTGAGTACGAGTATGGAATACTCTGTGCTCTTAACTCAATGGCTAATCTACAAGGGATTACATTCCGCTCCTCCATTGGGCTTCTACAAATGCCTCTTCCATCATTGAAAGTGTATGTCTGAGCAGCAGGTGACGCCTCCACCACTGCACGTCCAGGCCGAAGCCCTTAGTGCCGTTGAGAAGCCTTTAAGTTGCTCTGAGAATTCATCTGGTACGCCAATATGACCTACCATCCTATGACCATCGTCAAATGGAGGAATTGGAGGTTGATTATGCGTTCGGAAAGTGTATGAGGAAGGAAAAGTGTTGCCGCAAATTTTTCGCCCATATACGACGGGTCACGTGCTTCCTGCCAGTATGTGCAGTCACGTTACTCACAGCTGTCAAGGCGGTGAAGGCCACCGGGTAAAACTCATCTTTTGCTTTGCAGCACCTCCTTCTTCTTCCTCTCCTTCATCCATCACTCCAATTCCAATTCACTTGGGAATTCACTTGAGGATCTTCTGATGTGAAGACTCTACATTGAATACCTTGTCATTGAATTCAGGACACATTTCGTAGTGACAGACTTCGTCTGTCTACCCACATAACCCGCGTGGTGCCTTTCTGTGGCTCCTCGTCTCTTGGGTGATTTTTAATCGTTCGTTCGTGGGAGAACAAAACCAAACGGTTTTTAGCAGAGCCGCGTCTACTCCACCCTGATGTTCGCTATATCGGACACCAGGACTTTTTTACGACGGACATCTCATTTATTACAAACAATATGACTTTATTTTTTCTCGGCTTGTTTTTGTCCACCATCTACCCACCTGCCATCTAGTACTGCCTAGGCCCTCGATCTAGTATCTCCCAGGAGTTATTCTCAAATGACATTGATGGGAAACGCGAGTACTCGTAGAGTAGAGACTTGGAGGGTACCTTCTGGCATGCAAGTAAACACAGCTTCTTCAATTCTTGTTCCCATTCCATGGGTCCTCATCCTCACCCTACGAAACAAGGCCATTGCATACTCTCGATGCACTGTCGGTCCTCCTAGCGAGAGTATTGGACAAATGACTTATCTAGACTTCACTTCTGCTGTCCAACACAATGGCAGCCTGCGAATTTGAAGCTATGCCATGGCTCAAAGCATCGACTTCATACAAACACTGGTGAAACCCACCGAGCGATACAATCCCCATTCCAAAGTTATGCTTCAATTCGACATACCAGCTTTTCCCACACATATTACCCAAATGGAGTATGACAATCAGATCCTTCTATGATAGTCACTATCACTTTCAAATTTCAGATCTATCAAGAATGTGGAGCATCATGATCCGTCCCGCCAAACTGGCCAGCGTCATACATTCCAAAACACCCCTAGCACAATGACAAAAAAATAAAAGAAAATACCATTCTCACGAAAGAACTATTCTTCAGGTTCTCATTTCAACCTTTGGAACTTTCGAACTTTGAAAAGCTATTAGTACCTCCACAATGCCTTCCAGGATGTGCCACTCCATCCCCAACCCGAACTCTCACCCAACCACCGGCACAATCCCCCTCCTAAAAAACAACAAAGACTGGCCAAAATGGAACCTAGAAACCCACCAAACCCTCAAAAATCGCGACTTCACCTCACTCCTAAAAGACACCAACAAACCACCACTCTCATCTCCAGCCCAACTACGCACCTGGAACCACGCCCAAAAAACCGCCTGCGCAATCGTCATCAGCAAACTAACCCCCACAATCGCAAAAGCAATGCACCCCCATAAAACTCTCGAAACTCTCCTCAACGCCGTGGATAAATATACAAACCCCACACCCAGCGAAGCACTGGAAATGCTCGTCTCCCTCTGGACTCGACTTTCCACCCTCCATTCGTCACAACATGCCAGTATCACGGACTATTGTGCCGAAGCCCGAGATATTGGCACGCAGTATCACCGACTTGGAACAGCTATTTCCGACACTATTCTCTCCTGTGCGTTCATTGCAGGCCTTCCGTTTGATTGGAAGGAGTGGAAGATTCGACGTACCCAGAATGAAACGGTTTTAGTTCCGTGGGATGATTATTCGAGTTCGACGTTTACGTTTGAGAATCTTGTGCGCGATGCATTGGAGGAGGAGGGTCGGTTGTATAGAGCTGCTCTGCGGGATGAAGATATTAAATGGGGTTTGAAAATTAGAGATGTGGGCGTGAATGAGGTGACTGTTGTTGATTTTTGTACCGTTTGCCATGGGGTTTTTCATACGGCGTCGGCTTGTTCGGGGATTTCAAGTTTTTCGCAGGTGAGACGGTCTCGGTCTCGTCGGAAGGCGAATAGTGGTTTGAAGAGACGGGGGGTTGATTCGAGAGGACGGTATGCGCAGGCTGCTACTGGTAGTCTGGGTGCTGCCATTAAATTGGGGTTGGGGAGTGATGTGTTTTTATTTAGTTCGTGATGGGCCCCGGGGGGGGGAGGGTTGAAGTTGTTTAATGCTGTCATTTCGGTCGTTGCTTTCAAGTTTCTTCGCTGGTGTTTATGCTATTTAATCCTATGCTATTCTCAGGTTATTTAAACCTCAATCTCTTCTTGCAACACCACTCCCGCAAATAATTCTTTGCCCTCCCTACCCCAAATACTTCGACACGGAACGACCTGGCCAACCCAGAAATCTTCCGTCACTCGCTGTGTGGTATACAGGACAGCCTGAGAAAGTCTCCGGTTCAAAGACAGACTTTCCAAAATAGCAGCAAGCATCTCCTTCGAGGCGGATTCCCCGCTGAAAATCTCAATGCACGTATAAGCATATTTTCCATCCGCTATACTGGCCGTCCGATCGACCTGATCTTCAATCGAGACGTTGCCGCACCGATATCCAAGACCCTGCCACTCGATATCACTGTCGCGGGGAAGTTGGTCAACTTCCACTGCTAAAAATGGCGATAAGGACGTAGTAGATGTCGTAGCACTGGAGTTGCTGTTGCTTTTGTCGATGATATCAAAATCAGGCAACTTCCAGGTCTGAGCTACCACATCTTCGGTCTGTCGCCCGTATTTGATATCCCAAGCATCGAACTGCGGACCTTCTTCGTCCTCGTCATCGTCGTCATCACCAGGAGTGTCCGCTGTATGGATATTCTTCCACAATCTCCACGCTATCCGCGCTTGAGTCCGAATGTGAGTTTGATCATTTCCCCCACGAACCAGAAACGCAACAGCCCCCGCCCACCAATTAACCTGCATCGCCTCGCCAATCCTCCACATATGCTGCAACGCCAACGTAGCTCGATGAGAATAATGCCCAAACGCAGATTCAGATCCATTCCCCGTAGCTGCAGCCATTTCCATCGAAGCGGGTTCAAGCGGTATCTGACCCGCAACATAAACCAGTCTAGTCTGATCATTCTGGGGATTCTCACTCCCACCCACTTCCAACGGAACAGACAAAGCCTGCGAATAAGGCCCAATATTCGCCGGAGCCCAATAACTCCTCGACTGAACATGTAATCCCTGCCTCGCATTTCTAGCACCTCGATCCACAACGAAGGAAATCATCACATTCACGCCGTCCGGCAAAGTATCGCCGCAAGCGACTGTTGCTCGTGCGGGTGGGTTTGGCTTTTGGAATAGGGAGACGTAGATTTTGTTCATCGGGGTGAAGTCGTTCATTGTGCGGAGGAGGACTGTTGCGAAGATTATGTCTTCTGTTGAGCAGGGTGAAGAGGAGAGGGCTTTTTGGATTTTGGTTGATATAGCGCTCATTTGGGAGGTTGTGTCGGGGCCGGCTTCTGGGGCGATGAGGTTTGAGATTGTCCAGGTTGTTTTTGTTTGGCGGGTTATTGGTTCGATTGTCCATGTTGGTGATGGTGATGGTGGCGATGATAGGGGTGTACTTGTTTCGGCAGTTGAATCGTTCACGACACCAGGTCCAGTCGAAAGCTCATTCAGCAGTGTAGCGAATTTCTCATCAAACAAAGCTGGCCTCCTAATATCCTCCGGCGCGGTATCAGACTGCTCCTGCTGCTGCTCCTGCCCATCAAATTTAGAAACACACCTCACCCCCTTCAAACATGTGTAAGCAACACCCCCATCACCAACCCTCTCAACAACCCTCTCAACAAGAATCTTCTTCTTCCAAAGAAAACCCCGGCCCATCAACAGCCAGAGTCTCATACTCACCCCCCTCACCAAGAACAGCACCCCGAATATCCTCCGCCTCCGCAAACCGACTCATAGCCTTAACGATTCGTCTCCGAAACACCCGGCCTCCACCCGCACTGCCGGAAACATTCTCCCAGAGAAACCCATCATCTAGTCCGCCCGAGGCAACTTTGATAATTCGCGCATCACATCCGGCGGCGGCCATATCTTCTAGCAATCCCGCTTCCCGCACGGTGGTCGGGTCAGCGTCACGCTCTGCTGGGGCGGGCAGTGTGGGATAGTTCCATAGCCAGGCGAGAGGTGTCAGGCCAAGTCGCCCGGCGACGTTCTCGATTCGGGTTCGTTGGTATGTTGATAGGATTGCGCCGGCTGAGACGGCGTTGGCTTCTGGGTGGGCTTTCATTATGCGGGTTAGGAGTGGGACTAGGGATTCTGTTTCGTCTGCGCCAGCGCCGACCGCGTCACTTCCACTTCCAGCCGGGACGTCCTCAGAGGACTCTGAGACAGCATCTTGTCTATAAATTCGAGAGGTATCCACGGCACCGCCGGTGATTGGGGCGCGGTAGAGTGGGATGCCGAGAGCTTCTTCGTAGAGGGGAATAACGCTGTGACCGATGGTTTGGTACATGAAGCTGTCGATATCTTCTTCTTCATCCTCGTCGTCTTCATTTTCAGTGGCCTTTTCGGTAGTCGATGTATTGGTTTTGATTTTGAGTTCGGGGTGCAGGTTTGCTAGGGCGATTACTTTGTGTCCATTGCGGATGCAATGGAGGATGGAGAAGAGGGAATCCTTTCCGCCTGAGACTAGGGCGATGACATTGAGGCCTGTCGGTATTGTAGGCTGTGTGTTGGACATTATTAGGGCTGTGGGAAGTTGTGTTCATCCCAGTTGTGTAGTGTAGTGTAGTGTAGTGTAGTGTAGTGTAGTGTAGTGGGATAATTTGCAGTCCCCCACTGTTATTGTTATCAGTGGAGCATCCTAGGGTACTTTGGTCTTATCGCGCTCGGTCGTGAAGTAAACTTAGTCAGTGCAGAGTTAACCCACCAAGATGGCTCACTTGGTAAGAGGCAAAGACGACGCGCATACACCTGCGGTACATCCTGTAGTACTCACATGTACTGTCAATAGACAGGTCCTCGCTCGGGTTCGAAACCAGCCTCCGTCAGATTTCCGGGTTGCCGATCTTGCGCGATTTCCCCCTCCGACGTTGCAAACCAGCCTACGTTTGTTAGGGCGCCTTCGGGCCTATAAGAGAGGAACCCTCCCCATGAGAGGTCTGAACGTGCCGGTACTTCGATTATGAGGCCTGGCTCAAGAGCTAGAAGTTTTTTTATTTTTATTTTTTTTTCCTTCCTTACAGTACAAGTAGTACGCTACAACTATGTATAAAGTATGGTTGAGATTATTCTTGATTGATGGATCCCCAGGATAAATTGAGTAAATTGACCTTGACCAACACAAACGAGCAGGCAATGCAATACAAGAAGGGGGTATGAGGATATGATGATATCGGGGGTGGTCAAATTAAGATATACACGAATGTGACCAGCACAGCAAAACGGGTGTTCAAAAAAAGGGGAAGACAAAAAGGCTATTACATGAGATAAGACAAGAGCGAGATGTGAACGAAACGGTAAAGAGAAGCGAAAGGGTGGGGGAAAAAAAAAGTCACAGAGAATGGAAGGATAAAAAAATCAAGGGCAAATCGGCAAACGATGGAGCCGAGAAAGATTTGCCCACAACGCTGATGTGTTGATCCGGGGGATAACAGAGACGAGAGACGAGACGAAGAAAAACTTCAAGACAGAGACAAAATGAAAAACAAAGGAAATTTGCAAGGAAACACAATGACAAAGGAAATCAACAACCAAGCCACCTGTTTCATCGCGAAGACAGGATGTCATCATTGCCCACTCTATTTTCTTCTCTTTTGTTTTTCCGAATGGTTTCGGGATGAGGGGGTCGTGAAACTTCTTTTCTTTTTTGGTGAAGCACGCCATATCTCCCGAGAAGAACCCAAACAAAGGGAAAAAGGAAAAGGAAAAGAAAAATGAGAAAAAATGAGTCCAGGAGAGTCAAGTTTGCAGTGTCCTCACTGAAACCTCTCCGTCAACTCCATGATGAATGTATCCCCGAATGTTCCGCTGAAAAGACAGGAAACCATGCCTTGCACCGATGACCCCGATAGCCGACACCAGATGCAAATGCCCGGACGCCAAACCCAATGGACCCGTATAATAGGTCGAGTAAAAAAAAAAAAGGTGATGAATAATGAAAATAAAAAACAGCCAGTTCAAAATCCCGCAGGAGAACCGCCCGACCGAGCGCAATGTTGTATATTATATATGCAGTAGGAAGTTCTCCTGGTCTCATAAGTTGTCATGATCGCCAAAGGCCTGCGGAAAGGGCAGAACTTAGACGGAGCCAGAGTCACGCTTGCGCTTCTTGGCAGCACGACGGTCGGCACCAGCCTCGTTGGACTCGTACATGACCGCCCCTAACGCCCCGGCATCTTGTGACTCGTCGAAGGGCATAGATCCCTCCGTTCCGTCCAGGATGCCCATGACGATGGAACCACCGCCGTGGGTGCGAGCGTGCTGAGCCAGGTTGTCACTGCGAGAGAACTTCTTGCCGCACTCGTGGCACTCGAAGGGCTTGTCCTGAGTGTGGAGGGAGCGGTAGTGACGCTTGAGGTGCTCCTGGCGACGGAAGCGGCGCGAGCAGAGTGTGCAGACGAAGGTCTTGGAAGGGTCTTCGGTCAAAGACTGCTTGCGACCGCGACGGTTCACGGAGACGGGGGCGCGCTCGGAGTCGGTGACAGTTCCGTCGGTTGAAGGCGGGGAACAGAGTCAGACTTGGTGGAGCAGCAGTCGTCATCAATGTGGGCGGTCTTGCGGGATGATTTGCGGTTGCTACGCTTCTTGGTCTTGATCTCCTCCTCAGCAGAGTCGGACTCGCTGTCGTTCTCAAGGTCAAGCTCATGCTCGTGCTCGTGCTCGTGCTCATGCTCATGTTCAACGTGAGCATGGACGTGAGAGTGGGCGTGAGCGTGGGCGACCTCGTTCCAGTGGAAAGCAGGAACGGCAGCCGGAATGAACTCGGAGTCATCCGAGTCCTCAAGGCTGTGCTCGCTCAGGAATCCATCGTCCTCGGCAATGTACTGGTCCACACGCTGGCGCTTGCCACCAAGGTAAACAGCATTGCTACCGGGGTGGAAGTCAACGAGGCGGTTCAGCTCATCGTCCGAGTCGAGGTCAGAGAAGCTGTCGAAGGTAGGCAGGGAGCTCAGAGGGTCCTCAGTCGTGGACGAGGCAGTGAACGAGGGAGAGGGGTTCTCGTTGACAGGCAGCGTCACAGACGCACTACCCACAACGGCGCGGGGCTGCTCCTCGTCGCAGGAGAGAGTCGGCAAGGGAGGGAGACCATGGGCAGTCGGGACGTGAGCTGAAGCCTCGACTGTGAGCTGACGCGGGTCGCAGAAGTCTGCACCGGCCGACTCAGCAGTCAAACCTTGGGATTGGGCGAGGATGTCGGATGGAACTGGAGAGGGAGAAGGAGAAAGCGAGGGGCAAGAATTGGCGGAGAGCAAGTCGGAGGTTTGGCTGGCGGTCAATGACGGCGGGTGGATAAACACTGATGATTCGCACCTCGAGTTAGCATTGGCCCTTTTTCTGTTTATCCCTTGCATATATGACCTCACGCCACCTGGTTCGTAGGTTTTCCATCTTTTGCCAAAACTCTTTATTTTTGGAAAAAAGGTGACGTGCTTGCCATGCGTGCATGCATATGATCGATCTGTGTTTCACACTAAAAACTTACCTGGAGTCATTGGAGGGGAGTCAGAGCGCGACCAATCCGGATTGGCGAGAATCTCGGTGTGGACGTCAGTCTCACAACCTTCCTTAACACCCTCGACCTTCTCAAAGGAGAAGAAAGTGTCGGTGATCGGGGTGTGCAGGGTGCCATGGGCGGAAGGAGGGCTGCTGATGCTGCTGCCCGAGGCGGAAAGAGGCGGTGTTGATGGGAAAGCGTACAGGTCGGCACCGATGAAGCGAGTATCCAGAGGCATCAAACCGGGAGAGCCCTGTTGCACAATGATGGAGGGCTTCATGTGAGAGGGCTGAGGTGAGGCAATGGGGGTCATGTTGATAGCGGCACCGCGGAAGGCATTGGTGGTGGCCATCTGGTGCATATTCATCATGGGTTGCGGTTGATAGATGGGTTGCTGCTCTGAAGCCCGACTTTGCTGGTACTGCATCTGACCGTAGTAGTCGGAGGGCTGGCTGGTGTAGTGCCCTTGCTGTTGTGTTGTGGCATCGTAGTAGAATGATTGGCCTTGCACGGGGGGTGCAACTGTGTAAGAGTCCATTGCTGCGGGAGTCAGCGGGGTTCTGGAGTATAGTATGGCCATGACTATAAAGCAATGTCAATGGCGTAGCCATTGGCATTGCCATGATAGTACATGATACTAGCCATGCTATATCATGCCATCCAGTACATACCGTCGGTAGTCGCAATGCGGGTGTGAATATTAGGTATAATTGATGGTGTAGTAGTTAGGTCGAGACACTCCAGTGATCTAGAGTAATAATGAATGAATGGACCAGGCGATTAGGTCAAAAGGAAGGTGAATCTGAATCTTGGAAAGATCAGGTGGAATAAGAGAGAGTGAGAGTGAGAGAGTGTGTGGTGAAGATGGGAGATCCAAATAGTTTGATAACCCAACCCAAAAGCAGAAAAGGAAAAAAATACAAAATAAGGTATAAAATATAAAATAAAAAAAAGATGAAGAGGAAAAAGAGAGTGTACAAGTAGCGAGAGAGAAAGACAGAATGAGAGAGAGAGAGGGCGAAGGTGGATAAAAAGAGTGATCTGCTGCTATTCCTACGTTTGCCGCTAGTGCGGGTGGGCCAGGAACTGATGGAATAAATGATTAAATGATGAAAAGGGAATAAAATAAATAGAATAATTTAGTCCAAAAGTGAAATCTAATTAAAATACTAAAATAAAATAAAATAAATACTAAAATTGGGGTGTCTCAATTCTGTTGTGTAAGGAAAAGCAGGCTAGTCCGGGGCGGGTTGGGAACTGCACATCCGCGGTGGGTCTCTCGACCACTTTCACTCTTCCATCTTCTCACTGGTTAACGGAGTACGGAGCACCTCCACTTGCGGGCTGGTCGACGGAGTACGGTACACACTGAGGACGAGATATGGAGGAGACTCAGAACACTGTCCAGGCCTCTGCTGCTCTGGCTCTGGCTGGCTGGTCTGTCACCTGTCAAGCCTACCCTCAAGCCTACCTCTGTCGACTCATATCACCTCAGCTTAACGCTCACTATATCTCGGTGTCTATGAATATACACCACTTATCTCTCTTTTTTCATCCCTCTTAATCTCATCACACCTACACCCACGGCTCTCTCCCTCGTTGTGGCCACGAGGATCATCGCTATTGGTCCCGGCGATGGTGACAGCGCTAATCATTTGCACCTCTTATCAGCACCAGCTCTACCCAGCGGCAAATCAGCTCTCGTCAATGGGTGTGGGGGATGGGAAACCAGACACATTTTCTCCCACTGTCTCTCTCTCTTTGTGTGTGTGTGCACCACACAATCCTTGGTCCCCCGGTGGGTGTGGCCCCGGGGCCAATGGCCACTTTGCCCAAAGCATGCCCCATGTCCGTCCCGTCCTCGTCATTTCGCTGCCAGGGCAGTACACCATCAGCGTGCGTCGATGCTGGCCAAGCGTGGACCCGCTGCAGCCACCACTCTGGCGATCGACACTGATCTGACTGCGCTGACCTCGGAGGCCCATTTCCCCCGGTACTTCGCCCTCCCCCGGCGCGATCAACATGTGGAAACCATGCCCATAGGTAGTCCGGGTCGATCCATGCCCCATCTAGAACGAGTGCAGGTGTGTGTGAATGCGCAAACCCAAGTCCCTCTCAGGTCTTTGCCGATCAGAAGGCTATCAACGGTGGCGATTATTTCCTACCGTGCGACCGCCTCTGTGTGAGCGATCGTGAAACGGTCGGCATTGGGTGTCTTTTTGTTGTGTGTCATCTGCCATTCGAACGCCCTCTCCGCCCCCGGAGTACGCGAATGTGTATGTGCGCCCACGCAACCCCCGGTCAGTTTCATATGATGCCGGCAGTGGCCAAAAGTACAACCAAGCGAGGCAACGGCAACGGGAGCGCAGCGGCAGCGATAACAGACATCACACTGATCTGTGCTTTTGTTTTACATACGAGTATCCTACCCCATCCACCATCATGGATTGCAAAATATTGGATCCATACTACATAGTCTAGCTTTTTGGTGGAGGCAAATTATTCGAAGCTACGAGCTGTGACCTGCGTGCGAGCTGTCGTGAAGTTGCCACATGGATTTGCGGGAATTTTCTCGGCGAACACAAGCAGTCTGTAAGGGCCGCGACACGTCAAGGCTCAGCTTGTGATAGTCTCATCTCTTTTGGGGGGATTTCTTTTTTTTTACCTGCGTTGTGCGGTCTACTGCAGGAACCAGCTGCGAAAGCACCGCAAGAACCCCCGAACCCAGGATCCCCCAGAGGATATTCCGTACCATCATTGGAGATAAGGCAAGGCTTCAATGCAAGTCCCCTTCGTTGGAGACAAATCGCAAGAGCTCGAGGGATGCGGAGAAATCCTCCCCGTCAGCCTTGCTGACTTGATTAGCGTCAAAGGGCCATGTCCCTAGTTTCGGCACTCTACAGTGATTATATGTACTTTCTTGACGCAAGTTCAAACCTACCGGTCCAGACCGACGCACTGGTCTTAAAAAGTGTATACCTGGCTGATGAATGAGACGCTTGTGATACATCTGATTGGTCTGGGCAGCGTAAGCCATGTCGCAAAGTGATGTGTTCCGATTGCATGTCGATGTGATGGTTCTTGCTGGCGGACCGCGTCTCACTCGTAGATCCGGGGCAGCGCCAATTCCTTGTGATCCATCAGGCAGGACACAGAATCCGATACATCCAAGTGCCCATCGTCCCAAGACTGATCGATGTCCTCTCTCACGCTCTCACAGCCACCGGCACGCCGCACGCCACGCAAGCAAGGCCGGTCCAATCTTGAGTAACTTCTTGCTATGAGTAGAGTGGCACAACCTTCTCAGACCATATTCCGACCCAAACATGAGACCTTTGGTGAGATTACTGGTGATTTTTTTTGGGGCATGACTCTGAACCCACCCTATCAGACCCCCCAGTGGCCAACAAGGCTGCGTCAATCACAGACTATCACAATTCAACAGCTTCAAAGTTCCCCTCCCAAAAAAAGGTAAAGGAACCAGCCACTCGCAAAAGCAATGAGCAAACCACTCGAGGCCGAAAAGTCGAAATTCCATCATCGCCCATCTTTTCCCATCTGCGCATCAACCGTGCACCATTGGCCGCTTCTAAACATAGCGGCCTCCACACCGGCCCACCAATTCCTCTTTTAAACACTTTTGCCTGGACACTAACCAGAAGGAGTAAAGAGGTGACGGGAATCCTCGACATTCTTCCGCTCGCCAATCAGACTCCCGAGACAGTCCACTTGGCCGGGAAATTGTGAAATTGGGGGGAGAAATTGTCTGATCGCTGCCTTCCCGACCTCTCCCTCCCCACTCCGATCCCCATGAGGAGTAGTACAGAGCTAGGGTAAATACACTGCTCAACTCAGTAAGTCCAAGGCCATCAAGGTCGCTTTCGTACTCCACCTTTTGTGTTATCCACACTCACTCACGCGGGTCTGAGTGTTGCTGACTTAGGACTAGATTCGCTATCTCCAGCCTAGTCACTCATGGGTGGGCAAAGACTAGAGTGTTAGAACGTGGCCCTAGGCTTTACACAGGTCTAGCGGATGGTAAGGGCCATGCATGGAAGGCTGTCACTTACTCTTCGAGAAAGAATCGCGACCCCATTCCTCTTGACCATTCCTCCTCTAGTGAATACACTAGAGAACAACCTTGCGTCCGGCCCCAATCTGTTGCAGTCGATTATTATTTTTTTCTATCTCGCCGCGGCTGCAGGCTAATTTTCATAGACGCGGTCCATTACGGATTGCAGAGATAGAGCTTCTAACATTGCATAAAATCAATTGGATCACGAATTTCCCTCGATCGATCATTTCACGCGGAGCCCCAAATTTGCGGCCAAATTTGAATTTGCTACTATTGCCGGGAGGAGTGCTCCAGTGGACTCTTTCGTCCTTCTCACACGCAACCTTGACCGCCACCACCAACGCTGTCGCACAGACAGTTCGGCTTGATTAAGCAGCGATAGCCAATTCCAGACTCAAATTCTTTGCCTATTCCAATAATTCCTTCTTCGATCTATTGGATTCGCGGCGCTCTGGTGATCCTCTTTTTTCCTCGTGCTTTGTTGGTCTGTGTCAAGCCTTCAGATTAAGAAATTGTCGCTCACCGATCCGCAAAGGGGAATTATTAATGGTTATCGACCTAGCTTCGAATGTGAATGCTGGTTTCACGGACCAGTTGCGGGCTATCATTACTGGGGCCTTTACAAATTAGCCAACACGGCAGAGGCTCCTGACCAGCCAGATGGTGAGTTATTTAGGCGTGGTGTCGAGCTCTGGATACACGGGGTGGAGACATGGGATGGACTCCAGACTGGAGAATATGTTGGAGAGAGAGGGTACGGAGGAGGAGATAGCGTCCGTCGAACGGGCGGCTGCTAGCTTCTGACTCGCGCGGAAGGTCCTTCATGTGCAGCCGACAGTGGACTCGATGGAGTCGAAGACCGACGCGAATGGTAAAATTCCAAGTCCATCACTGCTGGTGTGGGTTGAAGCTGGAGCTACGAAAGAGCTTTCCCCATGTCCGGCTCTTCTTGGCCGTCCTCATTCACCCAATCATATGAAATGTGGGCGGGGGGGGGAGACGCCGTAGAAACTTTTCCCTTAAGCCCGATTCCCAAATAACGGGGTTCGGGAGCTGGCCCTTTCCTGCCCTGACCCGTGCAATTGGAAATGGGTAATGTGGTCCATTATTTCGGTGGCGGGATCCAGATGAGCTCTTTCCCCGACGAATGAGAGGACTTTGAACTCGAGCTATAGACGGAGATCCCCCATCCTTTACCTTTGCTGGGTACGGATATTTGTAAAAAGAAAGTACGAGTACTGGGGTCTTGCCAATCCGATAATCCTTTTTCGTTCCTGGTGGGGCAGAGATTGCGACAACTTTTCCTCCCACCAGGTCGAATAAGCTGCGAGAAACCGTTGTCGATCATGCTCGTATCCGAGAGGATTGAGAAGTCGACCTGTTCCATCGTTCGTGCGTTCGTGGCGTCTAGGCGGCGGATAGGATGGCGTATCTACTGCATAACCCATTCCAAATGGAGAGGCGTGCATAGAGTTTTTAGGAAAGTTGATTAAGTGCTACTAGTGTCAACTGTCAAAGAACGAACTCCGTTGAGATGCGGTGGGGGAGAGAGCAAAAATTGGATACATCGAGGTGATGGATACATACAATTCGGAGTACCGGATAACTATGTATGGACTAGCTGCAAGGGTCTTTTCCTTTTGGGAGAGCCGTTGTGGTAATCTCCCATGCGTCGCAGAAAGCTTGCATCCTGCGCGCCTTGACGGCCGGATACCGAAGCGTTCGTTACGATTGGCCCGTATGATTTCAGTGCTTTTGCGATGTGATATGTTGATTGAAGACTGATCCATTCTGGACTTTCGGACGAAGTACGGAGTACTGCAAGACTATGAGTGCGAGTACTCGTATACAGTCGAACAACATTGGAGCCATTCAACTTGAAGGCTCCATACTACGTACTCCGCACGTATGTCTTTCGTCTTGGCCCATTCTCTTTACGAAACGTTCAAAATGGAACCCCGAACGTGGACCGGTCCGTTGCCTTCTACTAGCTCCTCCGGGCGCACTATACTTGCCACTCATATTTCCCAACTCCGGGGTTCTCTTTCTTTATTTCTTCTAGCTTGCATCGGCAACTTCAATCGACTAGGCTTAACGGCCATTAGTCGAGGGGTTCGAGCCCATTCATTCACATGGTGCCGCGGAGGCTTCAGATACAGTGCAGAGTACTCTCGCTCTCCGGTTTTCTCACTTCTCACCGGTTGATGACAGCCGACGTGGAGTCGAGTCCAATGGGGGCGTGGGGGTCTTCGATCCCTGCGGGTTCACTCGCGGCTGGCGGCGGATCATGCTATCAACCTTGGAAGATGGCAGCAGCACTGCGAGTGTGCCCGGTGGCAGCACAAAAAAAATTCATATGGAGAAGCTGTTGCGGGTCCAGTGGCTATCAGCGGCCGAACTGGAGCCTTTGAAACTTCGATGGTGGACTGAGACCTCGAATCAACTAAACTTCGTTCCATGCGCTTGTCCGAGTTGGCTCGGGTCTACCCTGCCCTCACGTTGCTAGACAACGTTCCTCTCTCCTCTCGTTCTCGGGTTACTTTATGTTCAAGGTTTTTGCCTTTTAGGTTATTACCAGCCAAAACCTTGAACCAGTCGGTCTACACCAAGAAGAGAAGCTAGGCCCGACTAACAGTCCCAAGGAAACTTTTGACAGCGTTGCAGATCGCTGAGTGATTTTATCTGAATACAGGCTGAATGCAGGGTCGAATGAAAGAGTGTTTGGGGAATAGGGATAGTCCACGGAAACCAAATGACCTAAACCATAACAAGAATGGAATGGACTCAAAGACGCAAATAGTGGAGCGATGGAGCGACTGTGCCACCACCAGCCATCATGGTTTCATTTCGGCCCTTTACGCACGTTGGAATCTGAAACCACTCGAGGGACTTGGCTTCGAACACGCGTCGAGGCTGCGACGGGTGCTAGCGCGGGACGCCGCGGTCTTGGCTGGGCCCCACGGGCATCGATAGCAAGTCCAGCCTTTGGAGGAGGGAAGGGGCAAGGATTTTGGGATTTTTGACATTTTCAGAGGTAGCGGTGTACCAGGCTCGTGGTGCACTTGCTGGTACTTGCACTGACTCGGAGAATTTGATATGTGCCGTGAGCTAGGAACAGGAATTGATCCTTGCGGTCGTGTGCAGCAGCGCCCAGCAAGGAATGATACTAACTACAGTAGTCGGCAATATTCGAGAATTTTCTTTCCCTTTCTCTCTTTCTCTCGCAAACTTCTACTTTTGCACCAATCTCCGAAATTACACGCATTGAGTGATTTCTGAATCAAATCGGAGAACCCGAAGTATCCAACTTCCATCTCATTCTCATGCAACGGTCGGTCGCTCCGCCACGCTGAGGTCACATCCTCCCGACGCCCAGTGCTCGGGCGCGGTTTCATATCCATGGGACTCCTTTAGGATTCACCGGCAGTGCCATTGGAATTCAAATGGCCCAAGCGACCAAAATGCGGGGAGGCTCGGCTAGCGAGGGGGTTTCCATGGGATGGGAGAATTTATCCTTGCCTGAAGCCGGCAACTCCCACATGAAAACATGGCAACGAGCAGTTAAGCTAGTCTGGCGTACCATATGATTATCATGATAATCATGGAGCACTGCTACGAGTACAGTCCTATGGTACCTGTATCTGCACGTGTCCCTCGGCATCCACCTCTCCCCCAGAGATGAGCAAGTCGATCGCCTTCAATTCTCTCTTCTTGTTGGCTCTTCTTCCCGACACTATGGAGTAGACTAGTGTCCATCGGGAATACAGTCCCAGTGCCCTGCATCTTCTGCCGTTCGCTCGCTTCCTGCCGTGGAAATGAAATGGAGATGGAAATAAACTAAAATTAATGGACAACGTGCTCCCAAACTTACACTTGGACCTCCTCTATGCCGCTGCAGAATCAATCTACCAGAACACGGAGTATACCTGCAACACTGGCAATGGGGAACACAGAGAGTTCCGGCAAGATCCACCCTATCTATCTCGACAGACGGAGGAAACGGAGCCTTTTTCCTATACCAATACTAGCTCGACCCTTAGCTCCCTCGGTCGAAGCCAAATGAACCAATGGAAGATTCTCGAGCCCGATCTTCACAAGCACCCGCGGTCCCAAGGTTCGCTGGACGTCGCACACAATTTTTTGCGAAAGCTTCGCGGGCCCAATGAGGACTAGTAGCAAGGTCCTCTCTCTTTACTCCATCGTATCGGTGTACAGAGTATACGGCTCCCCACTGGAGTCCACAAAGTCCACAAGTCCACACCACGATCGGCTACGGCCGCAAATCCGTCTTGCGATCGCAAGATCCCAAAATGCGGAGAGCAGTATGTACGAGTATGTACTCCGTAAGTGACCACTTTTAATGCCTCTAATCAGGAACGGAACTCTGTCTCTTCCCGACTCTGCATTAGGGCCAACCAATTATCCAACGAGATTGTCTGTTTGGTCCCCAAAATTCCGTTGCTGGGTCGCCACCACGGGTTTCCCTCCGCAATGGGCCTGCAATGGGGATGAAAATGGTGCAATCAAACCCAGACAGACACGGTCCCAAATTAGTCCTTAGTCCCCAGTTTCCAGTTTCCAGTTCCCGGGTCACGAACCCCCCAGCACAATCATGCGAACCAATTCCGTGGGTTCGACTCAGGTACACCCGGCGAGAGCTAATCATATCCAATCACATCGCTCTCCTCCACGACTCCAGTGAGGACCGCGGTGGAACAGCTCGGCTGAGACAGGAAAATGTGCAATCGTCCACACCTTTCCTCAGCAGCCATTGGATTATTTTACGGAAGTCCGCTTCGTCTCCGTCCGCTGCCCACTATGGATCCCCTCTCCATCTCCCCGGTGATGCAATTCGATGCAATTAGATGCCATTGCGATGCGATGCGATTCCCACAGCCGAAACCCTATCTTCCCGATCGAGATCGTGTTCCAATGGTTCAGAGGTCATCGCGTGTTTCAGCTTCGACGATGCATAAAGGTAAAAGTATAACTGCGCCATACACAGCTCACCGGAGGATATCCGAATCCACATCAACACGCATCTCTTTTTTCTGCCCCCATAGTACATGTCCCAGATCCGTCCGAGATCTACGGAGTACTACTACCTATCGTATCGTATCTTTTCGGGGAGCAGGAAGTCAGTCCTTCGTGGGCCAAGGCCAAGAAAACAAATCTTCTCCTCCCCGAGCGTGGGCCACCCACACGGAGAGAACAGACCAGACCATTTTTCTCATTTTCGGCAGACCTCTACGATCGCCGCCCTCTAACCAGAGAAGACCAGCGAAAGCGGCAAAGCCAAGCCAAACTATCCAACTATAAAATCCATTATTTGTAAATCTCCCGGCTCACGACCGGCCCCCCATCCCCCAATCCAGCGCTCTCCACCACCAGCCCGCAACACGAGCTGTCCACTGGCCCGTGGCCCCCAGGGAATTAACCTCCGAAGCCGGTCCGCGCTGCGTTACCATCGAAGCAAAGCTGAGCCCGTACCCATCTTCCCTTTTTGCGCGATCGCGATCGACGGGACCGAGTAAGGTGGTACCTTACCCCCAGGCGATCCCAATTCCAAGGTTCCTCTTATCGGATATGAACGAGTAAACTTTCTTGCCACACAGCTCATGCCAAGGAAGTGGGCTCTTCCGAAGATGTTTATCGCCCAATCCGGAGTATATACCACCATACAAAGTTGGGTTGGGGTCACTTTGTGGCTTGTGGGCTGGCACGAGTGTTCGCCGCACTCGTAAATGGCGATCGACCCCGTGCAGCTCGAGCACGCAAGTTCACGTAATTGCATCTGATAGGATCGCCCTTAGGCTGAATTCCGTTCCAGGGCTGCACTGCGCTAGCTGAGCTGAGCTGAATTGAGCTGGCATGTCGAAACTAGATAGATCGAGATGCACTGGCGCTGCGCTGTGCTGCACAATTGCCTCGTGAAGAAAAGCCCAATATCCACAACAAAGAGCTACGTCTCATTAAGGAGCGACTAAAGTATCAAGAAGCGACTAAAGCGAGACTAGCCGGTTGCCCTCGGACCTTCTGGCCTCTGAGCGACGGCAAAAAGAAAACGAAAAAATAGAAAGCCTTTCGCAAATGGCGCTTGCATGAACGACTCTCGGGTTTCGTGGGCATAATTTCTTCTGGAAGACGCCACATTGCGACTAGGGCGTCGACTATGAGAATTCTAACGTCACCATCCACTTTCTCTTTCTGTTTTTTTTTGTTGTTTTTTCTTCGTCGTCTGCTTGAAATAGTGCTGGCTACGTATGTTCGTAGCACCACGTGCTTGCTTTTCTCTCATTTTCTCTATCAAAGCAGCTTCGGTGTCACTGGCAGTGGGTACACTACAGACAATATCTTACGGAGAATGCAGAGGCTCCGTCCCGCGTGCACCGCTCCAGCTCCCACACTGGCTCATTCATGTGTCCAGCACTGGCCAACACCTCGTGTCGGAGCGGGCTAAGCGGGTCTCCTACACACTGTGGGAAAAACTGATAAAATGCAACGCGAAAAACGAAAGAAGAAAAAAAAAACCTGGCACCGAGTCCAATTATCACCCAACCCTTGGATCGGACAATAAAATAGGTCCCGCAATCGCACCTATTATCCGAACAAAGCATCTGACCGCCCAAGCCGAGCCCGTGGATATCATTTTCAAAATGCATCCCCATGTCCCAAAAGGAACAGTGGAGTGCCAGTGGCCGAGTGGGTGCGGCAGCTCCATTTACGGAGTATGGATTTGGTTATTTGGTCCGGTCTAGAGTCTCACAAATCTGAATATTCTGGATAATTATCGTAGTATATCGTACTACTTACGAACATAGTAATATGGAATGGCACGATCACGCCACGCCCCATCTATTCTTACTGTATACGGACAATCGCACGACCAGCGGAGCGCTGTTTCATTTCTATCAAATGGTTTCCAGCTACTTGTACTCCATTTCCTAATCGGCTTACCGCACCGCGCCGCACATTGGTGATCATGATCATCGGGTGAGACCATAGTCGGCCCGCAATCAAAGATGCGAGGGTCCATACTCGTACATCCATCGGCCAGCCCTGAGGTAAAGCCTCCAGGGCTTTCATCTCTTTTTTGTCTCTCTTTTCGAGTGGCTTTTTATGGATCATACGATGGCATCAGAGGCGAGATGCGGGACTCCACGGTTGATAATATGCCATTTCGGCCATATCTTGTTCGGCTCTGCTTGGCGCGGCGTCTGCTTCATTTTGCATCGCATCGCATCGCACCGCACCGCTTGCCGGGCTTGGCGAGAAGGCAAGACAAAGCTCGGCTAGGCCTCGCTTCAAGTTCAACTTGGGATTTCCCGAGGAGTCCCTGAGGCTCCGCTCAAGACGGCAGGGCTCCTAGTAACCCACCATTGCGTGGGATGTGCGAATGAGGTATTAAGCATTAAGCATTTAGCCTGAAGGTCTAGGGATATTCGTTCAGCCTTGTGGGCAATTGACGAAAATTTCTGCAGTCCATGGGTGTAAATGGAGTCTCGTCTGCAGGGATTCTGTACGATAGATGAGTGACAGTAGACAGCTAAAGGGCGATCTAATCTGATAAAGGTAAAAGTAAAAGGCCTTGAGCAACAGCGCAAGCACCAAACTCATCCAGCGAAAAAACACAGCTAAAATCTCCACCACTCAAATCAATCAGACACAAAAACAATATAGAATGGCCTCAGGGATGGTTCAGTTAAGATCAAGCTCCCAATGGGAGTCAGTCTCTTCCTATCATAAAATTTCCATTATCCTCATCAACGGCCGAATATATGAAGAAGAGCAATCCGCCGACCTGCGAAGAAAAAATGACAGTCGGCAGTGGTGAGTCAGCAAAGCTGAGTAAGCAGTGCTAACTCACCAGGCACTCAGGCACCAACCACCCCCAAACTAAACGCCCGGAAAAACAAATCTTCCGCTCGCTTGCTCGCTTGCCCGCTTCTCCCCTTTAAATTCCGCGCGCACCGGGCGGACTTCCTCTTCTTTTCTTTTCTTCTTCGTGCGGCGGCGCAACTTCGATAACCCGTGTTGCCTGATCATCCACGGGCCTCAAATACCCTTCAGTGATGTACCCCAGGTGTCAGTTGTGCCACAGACGAACGGAATTGCACCCTGATTCTACTTTATTAGTCTTACTGATTTTCTAAGGATGAGACTATTTGGTTTGGGATCGGACATATCCTCATTACTTTACGGTTTTGAGCTAGTTAGCCATTGTAGAGCAGAATATCAAATGAAGAAATTAAACAAATTGAAAAAAAAAAATTGAAATCATTGCAAAGAATTTTCATGTTCGCCTAGAACTGTGTAGTGTAGTGTACCCTGTCGGCGCAAGCCACTCGTTGGTCTATCATAAGGCATCTAGTCTAGTCAGACTTGACCTGTGACATAGTGAACGCTGTTGACGCTGTTGCGTCCAACTCTTCATAGCTGAAAGAAAGGCTCGTCTCATCTAGCTGTACTCCGTACTTCCCTTGCATTCTGTAGCTCTCTCTGACTCTACATTTACTCGCCAGGCTCATCACCAATCTTCTCCAACTTGCCCATAGCCCTCTTCTCACCCGCATCGCCAATAATGCGAACCCGATCAACGCGCAACTTCTCCGAATCCCCATCCCCATCAGAAAAGAAAATCACCAGCGAAGTAACACTCTGAAACTTCACATAACGCAACGCCACATTCGCCGTACCAGTCTTCTCATCCCAATCCTCAGCCTTAATCTCAACCTTCTGCACGGCAGGAATATCCTCCGCCTCATCGAAACCAAGCACATGCGAGCGATTCGTGTACAGAGAAATAGACCTAGGACGCATAGGCACCTCATCCTCATCCCGATCCTCCTCCTCCGTAGAAGAAGGGAACGAAGTAATCTGCAACGAGTGCACCTTCAGCGTAGACTGGAACGGGATATAAAGCATAAGCTGTTCGTCCGTATCACTCTCCACCCAATCTTTGCCCGCCGCGCCGGCACCGGCATTCTTGCCGTTGTTCAGCGCGGACGGCTTGCTGGACTCGAAGAGAACTCGCGGCTCGCCGAACTGGTTGTCTCGGTTTAGTAGTTCCAGTCCCTTTGCGTCTACTTGGTCGGTGACATCGGTGTATCCCCTCGCAACGGTCGCGCCGAGCCAAATGCCCCCGCTACCGCTACCGCTGCTGCCTTCGCCGGCGCCGTCGGACTTGGTGGCTTCTGTTGCGAGCTTTTGGATGACTTCGTTTAGTTTTTGCGGGTTGGCGCCTGCGACGGTTTGTGTTTTGCGCCCGTTTTCGAATACGATGAAGGTGGGGTATCTGTTGTTTTGGGTCGTTAGCTTGGGTTCTGCTTGATGCAAGTGTTGTGGGGATGGGATGGGATGGGATGGGGTTGATGCTGGTGCTGTAGCTAGAGCTAAAGCTGTAGCTGGCTAGCTGGGTAGAGGGGAAGACCTACGCCCGCACGCTGTATGTCTGCGCCAGTTCTTTCTGCTCATCACCGTTGATCTTGGTGAATGTGATCTGGTTCGGGCGCGAGAGCTGGCGGGCCAGCGAGTCGTAGACTGGGGCGATGGCTTTGCATGGTCCGCACCAGTCGGCGTAAACTAAAGTTGAAGGTTTGAGTTAGATAGGGTGGTACTGGCTGTTGTTGTTGTCGTTGCAAAGTGGGGGGGAGGGGAGGGGAGGGGAGGGGAGCACCAGGCCCCGAGTGGGCTGGTCTGGGGCTTGAGTGTTTTGGAAAACTCACAGTCGGCAATGACAATGCGGGAGGAATTCAGCAGGGAGCCGAATTGCTCGGGGAGGATATGGTGACGACAGACATGGTGGTGGGTTGATGTGGTGAGGAGGCGAGGTTTCAGTTGGAGTTGGAGCTGCAGTCTGTTTTGGTCTTTTGGTCCCTGCAGGTGCTCATCCGCCCCTCTCCAGCCACTTCAACTTCCTCAGTCCATCATCTACAGCAGAAGAGGGCTATTGAGTTCGTGGGTTGGGCAATTCTTTTTTTCAATTTATGCTACAATATTTATTTGGAGGTTTAAAAATCTTTTGCTCATTTTGCCTATGGGTGTGGGGGGGGGGGTTAGCTACACCGCGAAAATATATAATCCAAAGTCAGGTACCTACACTACTACCCCAGCATGAAGGTACTACAAATATCCGCCTTGATGCGAGTCTATCAGCTAGTTTCGAGCTAATGTCTCGTATTCCGACCTAAAGGTTCAAATTTACCCACTTGTACTAACTACGAGACCCATACTATCTATACTATACTACCAGTATTCCCTTTTAGAAAAGGTGAAACACTCGTTCGTTCAGGATTGACCCAAGCGATGCAAAAGACGCATCTGGCAGTGATAACCTAAATCAACTCAAACACAGTGGACCAGACTAACCTGGAATTTCAAGGTTCAAGTGCCAGATAAATAAGATTCGATCTAGCTCATTCATCCCGTGTAGCAAAGTCAATGACCAAGAACGGGGACCTCCGTCCAACATGCGGAATACCAGTATATACCGGCGGCCTGAGCAGCTTGACGGGAGAAAATAGGCTCCGATGATCTGCGGTACTATTTACTAGATACTAGTAGGTTTTTTAGTGTTTTGTGAGGGATGGTTCTGCAAGCCACATGGACATAGCGGCTGTAATAGAAATGCCGAAGTAAAGTGCTGACGGTACAACTAACCTTGGAACCTTTCAAGAGCCTGCTGCTTGTCCACCTGGGCAGCCTGCCAGTGTGTGCCAAGTAGATTTCAAGTTACTACATACTAGTAGTACTATACAACTCAGTACTACTATATACTAGATCTCTCACTTTCCAGGCATATATCACTCAAATATTCACTGAATACTATTCTATATTCCTAGCTATCACCACTTATAGTCTCTGCAATGACCGTCGCTTTTGTACCAATGTGGAACGATAATGTACACTCAATCGAGTTCTTGCCAGGTATCCATGCAGAAACACCTCTGCGTCGTCCACCAAAAGAACCGCACCGTCCGAGAGACGTATGGGATGTCAGAAGAATTCGAGACTGAAGCAGCAGGGGAATTCGCTTGTTTCCCTTGACGCAAAATGAGTCCTCATATGTACGTGGCGCGAGCATAGCTTGCAAGCCCCCATAGAAGACTTGATGTGCTTTGGGAATCACAACAAGATCTCATCCCAGGCGCCCGTCACCGAGATATCTTGCAGTATCATGGTTTCTCACCACCAAGCTCAGAGGAGCCAGTGAAGACTCTCGGACTCTCTTTCGGACCGTGAAGCAAAGAATCCAAACTGCTTGTCCAATCCATCCTAATGCTCTGAGCCTCCTTTCTGAACCAGGGAAGCAAGTTGGAAGAAAGCTTTCTCCCAGCGATACCTGGATCAAAACCTGTCGCAACCAGTAGCCTATGCGAATCTGGAATTCCGAAAGACAGAACAAAAGCGAAGCAGCGTAGGGAGCTTCATCGCTCTGTGAAGATAATCTGCTAGGAGAGCAGGAGGAAGTTTCCCCCGTAGACTCCAATTTGAGCACGTCCAGGCCTACGTCGAGAAGGCCACCGAGAACTTTTTAAAAACCCCCACCAGATAGGCAGGCAGGCAGACAGACAAATCACCCATCATCCTCAACAGCAAAAAGCACCTTCAACCAAAGACTACACCCCCGACACCCAACAACAATCTCACCATGCTCAACCTCCTTCTCAAGCTCATCTTCCGACACCAAAAACCCCCGCTCATCACCACACCGACACCCGCGAAACCAAACAATCTCTTCACCGGACTCATCACAGCCCAAATCTTCCAGATCAACAACCTCCAACCCCGTGTGAAAGACGTCGCCGGTTTTTTCCCGCTCAGCGCCTTTTACTCGGTCTAATCGGAGGACGCGGTCGTATTCGGCGCGTAGACTTGGGTCTGTGAGGGTTTTGTAGGCGGCTGTTATTTCGTCGATTGTGAATTTGTCTTGCGATGAGGGGGAGGTTGAGGCGGAAGTGGCGCGGAGAGTCGCGTCTTGGGTAATTGGTCCGGCTTTATCGGGGTGATGTCGGAGTAAGGCTTTATGGTATGCGAGTTTGAGTTGTTGTTTTGTCAGGCTGGTTGATGGGCCGAAGGGGAGGTTGAGGATTTGGTAGTAATCCACGAAGGTGGTGGTTTTGGTCATTTTCGCTTGCGCGTCTCCGTCGGCGGGGAGTTATTTCACTCTTATTTGAATTAGAGATAGATTGAAGACCGTGGGTCTTTTTGTATTGCCCCTCGTTGATTCCGTGCGTGCGCTGCGCTCTGCTCTTTCGTTTTCGGTCTTGGCTGCGGTGTGCTGCGCTGCGGTGCGCGGCAGGTCAGAGCGCTTACCCCAGGTTTTGGACGGAGCGAGATTTAGCGGCGAGGCTTGACCGCATGCACAGGACTTGGTGTTGGTGCTGGTGTGACGTTGCTGGGAGCGGGGTGTAAGGTGGAAGATTTAAAGTGCGTGGGCCCGCGGAGTTCGAGCTGAGTTGAAGTTCCCAAGGTTGAGTGAGGCACGCCACTTCGGAGGGCCGGTTGGCGGGTCTTTTCCCCCTTGATATACTCTTTGCTTTCAACCTCCTACTTTCTTAATTTCTCTTTCTCTCCTCTCAACTATATACAACCGCACAATTCATGGAATCAAGATGACCTCGCTTTTACACACTGACCCGGGCTATGCCACAGACTACCCTACGTCGCTTCACTGCTCAGCTTAGCTCAACTCAACTCAACTCATCAAGAAAATGCCAAATGAAATGATCTAGATCTATCTATCTAAACATTTCGGATATCAAATCGCGAAACAACAAGCAGTCTATACAGACCAAGGAATCTACCTTTATAATAACACATGTGCACTCTAACCAGCAACATCAACATCAACAAAAACCCACTTACTCAGAGGCCTTGAAGACAAAGCGGTCCTCAGGCTTGCTCTGGAAGGGAACGCCCAACTCCAGAAGCTTGACATAAACATCAGAGAACTCCTTGAAGAAGGCATCGCTGTCCTTAGCATAGCGCTCGACGTGCGACTTGAATCCCTTATCCTTGATCAAAGCAATGTCAGTGGGCAACATCATCAGAGTGGAGGTGGTCTTGTCAGTGAACTGAGCAGGACCGTTCCACTTGCGCTGGTTCCACTTCTCCTCAACAAGCAGACGGAAGAACTCATTGCTGAAGACGGTAGGGCTGAAGTCCCAGGGACCATCGAAACCGGAGCGATCAGTGTGAGCACGGCCCAGGGCGTGAGCACCACACAGGGCAACCATCTCACGGTCATCAAATCCCATACGGCCGAAAACGTCGCGGATGTGGCGGTGGCCCTGGCTCGCGTCGGGAAGACGGCCATCAGGAGTGCAGGCGACAATCTCCTTGTCCTCACGACCGGGTCTCCAGGGGACGACGGGTCCACCCAGTTCCTGGATGGCGGCAGAGCCGGCCAGAGTCCACAGGTCAGAGTAGGTGATCCAGGGGAATTGGGCCTTGATAGGCTCGAGGAAGTCACGGGCGGTCTTCAGGCCGGCGTTGGCACCGTGGCCGGACTCCGGGGCGAAACGCATGGTGGCGCCGTTGCTGCCACCGGTGTTGGTCTCCTTGTCATAGGTGCCACTGGCGTGCCATGCGAGACGGACGAGGACCTGGGGAAGATGTTATGTTAGTAGCTGAGCCTTGCGAAGCGAAACACTGTCAATTGTTCATGTTGTACTTACGGGACCATAGCTGCCGTCATCATAGTCGGTCTCATCGGCCAGCTTGCGGGCAATCTCGTCATACACCTTCTGGTAGTCGGCCTGACCAGGGACGAAGGGCTTCTTCTCGCCGTTCAGGTAGAAGTAGGCACCAGCACCACCGGCGACACCGAGGGCCAGAGCCCAGATGCCAGCGGAGGAGGAGGAGGACTTGCCGCCAGTCTCAGAGGAGTATCCACGGCGAGCAGTGGTGCGGAAGCCCTGCGCGGGGACAAAGCGGGCAGAGCGCGCCGCCGGCCGGAACGAGGAGGCCGGGGAAGAGCGCAGGAAAGCGCGAGAAGCGGATCGAGCAGCGGAAGCCATTGTGTGAGGGTGATAAAGAGGGGATACGGAAAGGAAAGGAGCGTGAGGAGGAGAGGAAGAAGAAGAAGGAGAGAAGAGAAGCGAAAGGAAGAAGTCGGAAAAGGAAATGCGATAGTACTAGGTACCCCCCTGTGTACCTGGGCTCTCTGTGTACCAGACTGTGCCAATCGCTGGGAGCCGCGCATTACCTCGGTCTTTTTGACTCAGCACTCCGCATTCTGTCCGTGGGTTCGAAGGGGTTCGAACGTTCCAATGGAAGGGCGGCTTTCAGTGGCGTGGTGCTTGGTGCACATGGCGTGTTTGATACCGGAGATGCGTCCTTGAAGACCCGGCTCTTCTCGGCATTTGGATAACGGGTTGACTCAAGCCATTGCCTCTCCCCGGGCCTTTTGCAGTCACCTTCATGATGAATTCGATGTTGTCAATGAGTCTGTACACATTCCAACTCCACCTGTCGAGCGGGTCTGTAATTTGTAACTAGTACGCGCTGTTTGGCCGGACGACCAACTTGGCTCCACCGCGGTTGCACGGCCGCCTCCGCCCGCTGACTAACAATCTGGTCTGGATTCATCTGCATAATCATCGAACTATCGAATGTATAATCAATAGATTCTAGATCAATTCCCAATTAACCAATTTGTGGTGCCAATGTGCATATCCAATTGGTCCCATCGAGCTTGGACCAGCCGTTCTACAGTTGGAGTTAAGTGATATTTCCATCCTACAAGTATACACTCAGGCAGTTATACCCACGGATGCAATGGTAGATTGGATTGTAGATTAAGATGCACAACCTAGGAATGGATCTTGAAAGTAATCAGCATTAAGCGTTACAATAAGCTAGACAAGGAGGAAGAGAAGAGTAGAGTACGCTAACAATATCATGAGTCCCATTTCCTTGTGTCCACTGTTCGCGCCCGATGATTTCTTCCAAGTCCGCACGACCCGGGATGTAGACTTTGAGAAACAGAAGTATATGACATATCCACATCAATTCCGACTCATACGTACGGCCAGGTATCGCCGGTAACACTTCCCAATTGGCCACTGTCTGGGGAGCCAAGCAATCTACAACAGCTGTCTCGTCATCTTAAGATCATCGTGGCGTTATTCAAACTATGCATTCATAGACGCATCGCAGATTATGTGAGCATTCCACAGCATTTGGATGGACATGTTCAAATTGTCTTTACTGGAACCAGCTTCCGCGGAAAATTCGGCCGTCTGTGGCTCGGTGAAGGCGATGACTTGCAAATTAGAAATCATAATGATATCTTTATCTGATGACGAGAATTTTATCTATTATTGACTTTATGACTTTAAGATGATCTAACATTTGAGTCATATATGCCTCAGAGATAATATAAGAGCTGAGAGTTTGCGGGGATCAAACTTGCAATATCTCTTATTCGTAAAGATTCTGGTGCCGAATGATACTCTAGGTCTTCGCCCTGTTTCTCGATTTTGGTCTCAATATGTCAGTTGGACAAAGACAGCCCGAGCCGCTGCGTCGAATCATAACAACACATGATTCCAAAAGCGGCCGAGCTATCTTCAGCGACGCCGTTATGGAGCAGGTATCGTTTACCGGGTTCCCGGTACCCCCCGGCAAGCCCACAAAGTCAGACTATGCTCTGGCCTACAACACAACCACATTTCCTGTGCAAGGGCTTTCCCCTCCAACTTCTACAACCCCGGAATCAAAAGCAAATCTCGACATTAAGCACTATCACTCCCAGCTCGTGAGTCCATCGCCTTTGAATCCGCCAAACGGCACCTCCTGCACAATCATCGAGGTACCTCCGGGTTCAGACGTCCCGATGCACCGAACAGCGACCCTCGACTATGGTGTCATCATTGATGGCACTACGGAATTAGTCCTTGATTCCGGTGAAAAGAAATTATTGGTTAAGGGTAATGTATTTGTTCAACGAGGCACAGCTCATTCTTGGCGGAATACGACTGAAAAGCATGATAACTCTGGTATTTTACGTGTCTTTTTTGTATTTCAACCTATCGAACAGGTGCGATTGGAAGGTGGAAAGGTTGTCGATCAGGACCTGAATTTGTCTCTACGTGAGACTTAGAAATAAAAGAAAAGAAAAAATAGGTGGCAGGGGGCGTTTCGCTTGAACCGTTAAACAAAAGTTAAATATTCTTGTCAAATATTCTGTCCCATATTTTGAAAAGTCCTAAAATTATATACGAGTGCATCTCTATCAACGCATCAAATCCAATACGGCAAGTAACGCAATTTCTTTTTCTTAGCACTACCTAAGTAGTACCTAGGTATATTATAGGAAGCTTCATTTTACTTGGACTCTCTAGGGAGTCCTTGCCTTGAGATTTCATTTCAGAAAAAAAAAATTAGAGCGAAATTTAGGTGATCCGATTCTTCGATTCCAGGTATTTCAGAGAGATCTCCTCCATTTTTCACTAGTACCATTAACTTCGGCAGGTGTATTCTGATCACAATTTTCTTGTTTGAGTGCTGACTTTAGAACGACATTTCAGATAAGAACCCAATGTAAAAATTCAAACTTGTTAGGAAACTTTTAGCTGTCGGTGAATTTCAGAGTTCTGTTAAGGCAGGAGCTCCTGGAGAAGGAGGCGCCGAAAACTTTGTCTGGACGAAAACCTTCTGCATACCCGGCTCACGCTGATTGAACAAACTATAAACCTTCTCCATGTCCTCAAGTCTGAGCCGGTGGGTGACCATATGCAGGGGATGGATTTGATCCTTCTGAATATACTTCAAGAGATCATTCCAGTATTTATGCACGGGAGCTTGCCCATTGCCAGCAAGATGGATCCCGGTCTCCATTAGGGAACCGATATTGAAGTGATTGCACTGCATTGCCACGTCAGTAGAGTTGTTTTACTTAGGAAAGGCACCACATACATAACCAGCATAGACGCCCGTAATACCACAACGCCCGAACGCACGGACAGAGATTATCATCTCGTTGATGAGTTCAGATGTATCCGTTTCCATACCCAGTAATCTTTCAAAGTAGTGAGCCCAACCTTTTGTATACTCGCCTGCGGCGCACTCAATTGCCACATCAGGTCCGCGACCGTCGCACATTTTCTTCAGAGTTGAGGCAACAGACTCGCCGTTTGGGAGATTCGTATACTCAATTGTCTCAAGCTTGGGTAGAATCTTCTTGACAAAGTCTAGTCGCCATTTTCCATGGCCGCCGTCAATAAGGATAACTCTTTTAGCACCATTGAAGAAGCTGAATTCAGCTGCCATTTGTCCAACTGGGCCACCTCCCCAGATTGCCACAGTGTCGCCCTTTTCAACCCTAGTGTCAACAACAGCATTCCAAGATGTTGCCAGCACATCAGAAAGGTAAAGACCCTTTTCATCGGGAACGTCGTCGGGCAGTTGAAGGAGGTTTACGTCACCATATGGGACGCGAACATATTCCGCTTGCCCACCGGCAAACCCTCCCGTAAAGTGGGAGTATCCAAACATACCTAGAGTAGAGCGGAACTTAGGATAATAGCTCCATTGACATCAACATAGCTGTTTGAAGAGGAAACATACCGGCTGTGCGACGCCCATATAGCTTACTGGCATCCTCGCTCGAATTTGTCCGTTCACACACTGAGGACAACTTCTTCTTGCAATAATAACACTCCCCACAGGCAATTTGGAAAGACGCCACAACGCGATCACCCACTTTAACCTTCTTGACTGCTGGCCCCACGCTTGCGATAATACCGCAGAACTCGTGGCCAAGGATATCACCTTTCTGGAGATCTGGGATGGCCTCTACAAATCGGTAACAGATTTCGCATCAGCAGGTCGACATGACACTTCATTAACGGTTACAAAGTCATGACATACCGTGGAACAGGTGCAAGTCACTCCCGCAAATGGTGCTGCCCGTCACCTTAAGTATGACATCGCCTTCATCGATGATCTTCGGGCGAGCCGTCTCCACTACAACAAACTGCATTAGCAGGAAACTCGAATTCTTTTGAGATGGCCTAAGTGAAGTCAAGTGAAGTGAAGTGAAGGTCGTGATGAGCAGAATAACTGACCAACTTTAACCGAATTCTTCCCTTGCCAGGTCAAGGCTTTCATCGTATGGCTTTCATCACCATATCCCCGAGCCCCATAGTTACTGACATTTGTAGTGATCGAGGCAGACATTATTTCTACTGAAAATGTCTAGTTGAGTTGATTTCCGACTGCAATGGTTTATCTTCGAGTTCGTTTCGATAAAGTAGTTCAACCTCCAAGAAAGTTTTCGGCTGATCGCCATTGTAGCGCATGGAGCGGATATATGCGAGCGTCTTCGAGACCAATGACATCATCCTTATGTCTTCGTGTTTACATCACCATGATCGTATCTCCGCCAAACTTGTGAAGCGAAGAGGTGAATGAGATCTTAAATCTCGTATTAGCATCATACACGCATCGACAATTTAGATGTAAGCGAGCCGCTCCACCTTTGCGTGGTTGTAGACTGGTTCAAGTTGGGGCTTATATCTATGACTTCCATATTCTAAACTCATCGTGTATCGTGAAAATCAATAGCATTCAGCGATGTATTAAGTAAGACCTCAATAATAATAAAGATAATGCAATCTGCTACGATACCTAGGCAAGTGGTGTCAGAATGAGGAAGATGATGATGTTCTTATGTGCAGTGCGAGCCTGTCCCTACGTACCCAGGGCCAACGTGTGCACGTGACTACCAGCTATCTATCGTTACAGCCTGGCCTCACAAGAAAAATCTCATGCCCCCATGAGAAGTAAGTAAAACTACGTGTAGCGACCACCCGTATCCTCCCTTCGTCATTCGCGTTCCGCCCAATTTTCACTCTAAATCTCGGTTTCACTCTCGTCCCCGTAGGGCACCAGGCTGGCACGAGTTGCCGTTCCGGCTGTTGCTGGTGCAGGTTTGGCGAGGGCTTCAGGGTTGGCGTTGGTGACGCGTCGCAGCATTGCTTTGACGGCGGCGTGGTCTTCTGTGTCGCAAGTGTCCACAGCGTCTGTGAGCGCTAGTGCTAGCCAATCTCTGAGATTTAATATTAACATTAGGGGAGGGAGGATGGCCCCCGGTAAAGGCTCGGATGGGAAGTCGGATATCTGTCGCAAGAAGATTTGGTGATGTGTGGTTTTCAATCTGGACAACATGATAGTTGTTGCCTCCTCGAGTAATCTTGGCCGAATCGGCGATGATTGCTCGGGTATGTCCACTGCGTAATATCCGGCCAAAATGAGAATCATGTTGCTTTTACCAAAGAGAAATCATTTGATAGTCTCGTCAGGATTATCACGGAGCTTAACAATGAAGCTAATCCGTACGGATGAATCGGGATGTTCAAGCCAATACCGGGAATCATTTGTGAGTTGTGTTTCTGTTTCAGAATGTCCGACTTCCATGACAACTGTACAGTCTTCGCTCATTTCTGGTCTCCAACAGCCATCGGATTGGGCAATAGTATTACCAAGGCTTGACTGGAGCGGTCAACGTGGCAGGGAATGCATTGTTGCTGCCCTGATCCTTGCCCATCCGTTCCTTGATTCTGTCCTCTAGGTTATGGCGGTTGCGCCCTTTGATAACTTGTCTAGCCTAGATATCCAACTTCGTCGCGTGGTCCTTTTCGAGGGATTTTTCCTGTACGTGCGGAATATCGTATCAGTATGGTGCGTCTTGCGTGTCAAAGCGGTTTAAGTTGTAAACTTTGTGTTGGTTGATGGCCCCTGTATGGAGGGTAATATGTGATGTAAGAGATGTATTGTATTGTGCGTGTGAGAGAGAGAGAGAGAGAGAGAGGTGTAGGAGGCGAAGATGGAAGCTAGTAGCATGGAGACGTTGTTGCCCAGGTGATTTTCCTATTATGTGCGAGTACGATGGAAGGCAGGAGCGATGTGTGGAGTTGCACTTGACGCTGAGAAAGAAAAGAGGCAATACTACTAGTACTGGTATGGTTAGTAGGGTACCCTAGGATAGTGCTATGTTCTTTCTACTAGTATCTATTTCAAGCTTGTTAATTAAGTATAATGGCATGTGAAGCCAAGCCGGAAGCCCACTCAGCTATCCCCTAACCCCATCTCTTCCGGTCTTCTGTCCCTTCTTATCCCTTGAGCCACTTTCTGTCTTACCCACTCAACATCCATCAAGTTAATTCAACATGCCACTCTATCATCTACCAAATGAACTGATACTGTTGATTGCCGAGAACTTGAAGTCAAATGGGGATCTCAATAGTTTGATTCAAACTAACACCCACTTTTGCAAATTGCTTGACCCCCTCCTCTACCTTCGGGATACCGCATCTGATCCACCACAGGCAATATTGTGGGCGGCTGAGGGAGGAAATGATAATACAGCTCGAAAATCACTAGAAGCAGGGTTGGATCTTGGGTGCTGCTTTTATTGGGGTAAAACGCTGTTGTGCTCAGCGGCGGAAGGAGGTTACGATAAAGTCCTCAAGCTGCTTCTCGCTTATGATAAGAGTGTTGACCCAGACGAGGAGAACTCAGATGGAGAAACACCACTGGTTTGTGCGGCAAAATGGGGACACGGCCTAGTAGTCAAGGAACTACTTTCAACCGGTAGAGTCGACGTCAACTTTATTTGCTGGGGGTACACCCCGCTTTGCTCTGCAGCATGGAACGGTCATGAAGCAGTTGTAAATCTGCTTCTTGATACCGATGGTATCAATTTGGATTACGCTTCTCCCGATGGGCAAACAGCTATATACTTAGCAACAGAGTCAGGCCATGAGTCGATTGTCAAACTTCTGATCGCAGCAGGTGCCGATCTAGACAGTAAAGGACATACCAGGCTATCACCGCTTTTAGGAGCAGCACGGTATGGACATGAGTCGATCGTTAGGATACTGCTGGCCACCGGTAGAGTCAACCCAAACACTACGAACAGCGAGGGCGAATCACCACTATCTTTGGCGAGAGAGCATTGCCACGAAGCGATTACCAAGGCCCTAGAACTGGAACTAGACCTGGCACTCACCCGCGGGTAACCCTCCAGATGATCCCTGATAGGTATACTGTGAATGTTGGAGGTCTTACAAATTGCTTTAATGTGGCATGATTTGGCTTGATCCATTCATGCCTACCCATCTAGAGATAGTATACTACTAGTGTAAGCCAAGGTAGCTAAGGGTGCATGGACCAATATGTATCTCATGGCCAATAATGCGCCAGAAATATCACAGGATCGAAATGATATTCCATCCCGTGGCCAATCGAGATATCTTGAGGCAGCTGTTCTCCAGGGCGGGAGTCACAATTGGCTGACAGCAGGTCATTTTCGAAGATGTAGCATTTCGGAGGGATTAACAGGCCACTGAGAAACCCCTGGGTATAATCGCACGACGTGGTTGTTCCCAATCGACCGGGACAGAGTGGTTCGATAAATTTGGCGGGCCAAAAAGAGGCAGCGATGTCATGCGGTGGGTCCAAGCATGTGATACGCAGCGCCCGGCCGCGTGGAGAAACAACACATCCGGCCGCATCCAACTGCAACCTCCGTCCTGGACATTTGACTCGCACCAAGCACAGAGAAAGTCGTGTGCGCAGACCGTGTGCACTACGATTGATATCCTATTTGATTCCCTGATTTCAACTACTTCCTCCCTCACCTCTCCCCGGCATGCTACACCCCTCGTCCTAGGAATGGCGCTATGAGTTCTTCGCGGGGCCACGAGGAAGAGGTGATCGTTCGCAGCAATACACCTGCATCTTCCGATCCAAATACCGATAATTTGCGACAATTCACTCGCTCTCCACATCCCTATCACCGCAGCAGAAACCCTATATCGCGAACTCCCTCCGAACAGGGTGACCTTCTCCGGCCCCCATCTTACTCGAAACCATCACGGACACCGAGCGACAGCGGCACGGAGGCAGACGATGAGAGTACAGGTATATTAAGAGGATTACCAGCGCCACCGATCCGACCTAGAAAGGGTCTACGCTCTGGCGTGAATGGCGCCCTCGATGGTGATGCGTGGCTGCCTCATCTCCAACCATGGCCGTCAATTGTACGGCAAGTGTCGCGCGGTTCGCGGAGGAGTTCCGAGGAGGACGCCGAAGAGGATGCACTCGAGGCACAACGGTTGAAACAGCAACGACGGGTCGAGGTATTGCGGCGATTGATGGAGACCGCACTGCTCTTATCGGTGGGCGTGGTCGTCTTGCTGCCAAAAGAGACACGTTCACTAGCCTGGGTGTGGAAGAAAGGTACTTGAAGAAGCTCACTATGAGTCGCAGAGTAGATGTGTACGGCTTGCTAACTATTCTCTTTAGAACTATTCACATATACTCTTATAATAATCGGCCTTTACGGCTCTTACCCTTTCCTCCTCCGCATCTCGAACCGCAGACGATGGCACGCATGGTCCTCGAAACGCGCCTTTTTCTCTATACCAACGAGTTTTGACCCCGCGCCACTTCTATACCCACCTCTCGTCCCGATATTTGTCGCACTGTCCCTCACAAACCACCGTCCGGCGCTGATTATGCCGAATATCATCCTCGGTCTGGCCTCTCTTCCAGCGCCGGTGATCCCTTTGCACGGCTGGATCAATGGTCTCAGCATACCTCACTGGATAGTTGCTGTGGTCCCAGTCCTCATATCCGAACACTTCTCTCTCGACAACACCATTCCCAAGCCGCTCATCCTCCGTGGACATGAAGCGGAATCGTTGCTTCTTCTATTTCCTTTGCATCAAGCGTTGATACCCACATTAGACTTTTTGTTGACGACAAGCCTTCTTCCCGCCGAGTTACAGCTTTTGACGACAGCTCTTATCAATTTATATTTGTTCGCGGCATCCCCCCAAGCGGAGATCCTGAAGGCCCTATTATGGCTCGGTGGAATGTGTATATTTGTGTCATGCCGACACATCCTGCGCTGGGAGATTATTTTGGCTCGTATTCCCAGCTGGAAATTCCGCCGCTCGCTCAAGGACTCGCAATCACCACGGAAATTGCTCAATTTAATGGACCACCGACTTTGCCAGAGACTCAGCGGGACCGCGTTCTCTGACGAACCCTCATCGGACAGCGACGGGCCTGGCAGTGTACGCAGGCTACGGAAAGTGAAGACGACACGAGATGTTCGTGAACCGATTCCACCACTACCAGCACCCAGCTCAGCGATCGATAACATCAGTGCGGAAGAGGCCTTCGAGCGGCACGGTCGCACGGGACGCGCACGTCGCCATACGATCTCGACTTTTGAAGATGTGATTCAAGAAGAGCGGGTCCGCACTACCCCGGGCGGCCGACGCAAGAAGCTCATGGGCCCCGGTCTTACCTCATTCTTATCATTGACTGCAGCCCAGGCGCAGGTCCGCAAGTGGGTTTACGCTAGTTATGTCTACGTTATATCCGTGGCCATCATCATGGGACCCATCCGAAAATATGTGGCCGAGCGAGCTCTACAGGGACAAGATCCATTCGGATGGGCAATTGGTTATCTGCTGGGGAATATATCCAGCGTTCGTTTCTGGGTACTCATGTTGAACTTGGAATACTGGATCCAGCTGCCACCTCGGCCCGAATCCGTGATGGAGACGGCCTCCTGCTGGCTCGGATGGGTTGAGCATCTCCGACAGACGACATTTGGCCCGGCCAATACTCGCCTTCTCCTCATGGCATACTGTTTATGTGTGATAGTGCTCGGACTGGCGGTGGTTTTCCAGCTCAGCGCCGTGGCCGAAGTCGACACGCGACGGAAGGTCTTCCACGGGATGATGGTGCTGATGTTTTTGCCTACGGTGTTTGTGGACCCAGCCTTTTGCTCCCTGGCACTTGTGCTCGTCCTATCGATCTTCCTTTTGCTGGATTTATTCCGAGCGTCCCAACTGCCTCCGATCTCCCGGCCATTGACTTATTTCCTCGCCCCGTATGTGGACGGTCGGGATCACCGTGGTCCGGTCATTGTCTCGCATGTTTTTCTTCTCATCGGATGCTCAATCCCGCTCTGGCTGTCGCTGGCTGATCTCACGAGGGCAGGAGAAGGTGCCTGGGTCGGGTGGGAGGTGCCGACGCGAGACGTCAGCATGGTCAGCGGGGTGATCTGCGTGGGAATGGGCGACGCGGCGGCGTCGCTGGTGGGGCGTCGGTACGGGCGGCTGAAATGGTTCTGGGGAGGTGGCAAGTCGCTGGAGGGGAGTGTGGCCTTTGCAGTAGCGGTATCGGTGGGATTGCTGGGGGTTCGTGCCTGGCTGATGGTGGGCGGCTGGCCGATGGCG